TACATTATAGTAAATAGCTGTCCATTCAAGGTTAACTTCAGGCGTAAGAATCCCAGACACTCTAGGTGGCACCACTAAGCTACATCAGACCTAGTCCCTCCTGTATTCCGCCCCCCCAACAAACAACTCCATCGAAGTGTGCCACACAGAGACACTTAGTGCTACCTGTACAGCCTGAGCGGCTATTCAGTGTTCACCCCAGGAGACAGAGAGCTCTTTCTTTCCACCCCTGAGCACTCTAGAACCATTCAGTGTTCCTTTAATCTTTAATTAACCATTTATGTCTGACAAACATTTTCTTTTGGAACCTGCCTTCTTTTCCCTCTGGTATCCATGGCAATGCACTTTCCCTCCAGATGAGAGCAGTTGTCAGAGCAGGTGATGGAAAAGAAGGAAGATCTTGCTTAGGGTCTGGATATTTTGTAAATGGCAGGAAATGTCAGAAAGCAGATTTTGCAAACAATCCAAACGATAACTGGCACTGCAGGAAACCTCTATGGAAACCTCACTCTCTTCTCCTGAAATGGGACCATCTTCTAGGTGGGGTTTTAAAAAGAGAGAACAGTTCTGTGAAGCACATTAGCTGGACATTAGCCATACAACAGCAGGATCCAAAACTTGAGGAAGAGGATCTTGCACCCAGTATTTGCAGGTGAGGTGGTGTGGGTGGGGCACTGTTGCTCTCCCAGATTCCCAACACAAAGGGCCCCTGGCACTTACCGAAAGGGGAAGGGAAGGGGAGAGGTGCAGAGAGTATGATGTAGTGTGGCACAAGATGGTGGGAGTGTCAGATTGGCTCCATCACCACATGCAGCACTGTGCCATACTCTCTGCATCTCACTCGCTCGCTCGCTCCCCTCTCCCTCTTGCTAAGTGCTAGCGACCTCTTGTGTTGGGAAGCCAGGAGAGCAACAGTGCCCCATGTGCCACCTAACAGGCCGCTACTGCATGTACCATCTGCCAGTGGGACTTTATTCTTTCCCTCTACTAGGTAAAGCTATCCAGTGTAGCTTCTATTGCCTCTATTGCCTTTTTCGCCCCTTTGCACCCAACCTAAAATTCACCACAGCTTTGTTAATAAAGAGGACCATCTGGTTTCTCTTTATTCCTATCTGCCACCTACAAAGAAAACCTGTATTTCCCCCTAAGGATGGAGGCAGAGCTGAGTAACAGTTACAAAGTACTGCTAACATCCAGCTTTTGCTATAAGAAAGGTAGCCTGCACCTGAGGAGGGAAGCCCTATTTCGGCCTTGTGAGGGAAGAATGGAACATCCCTTCTATTAATTTGGCAAGGCATGTTAACACAAGCAATGGTGTGTGTGTGTGTGTGTGTGTGTATGAGAGAGAGAGAGAGAAGCTGTAATACTTACCAAATCCATGGATTACTGTCTCCTTTTCCTGTAAATCTTTGCCATCTTCCCCAATCACTTATAAATTCAAAGTTAAACAAAGGAACACCAGACGCTTTCTGGGAGTATTAAGCTGGGAGATATGCTAAAAGTTACTCACTCCTTTATTTGCTCACCTCCCCACAACCCAGAAGATAGGCTCATCTCCCCACCACCACTGTTGCCCCCAGCCACCTGGAAAGCAGGAGGAAAATGCACTTTTGAAGCCATCTCTCACAATACTTGTGGTGCTTCCAGGTGGTTGCCAGTGGATTCAATCACTTACAGGCAAATTCAGATTGTCAGTTAAAGTTGGTTTGGTGTTCTTCCACAAACAACCCATCCCCCCCCCAAAAAAGACTTTTTGCAATAAGCAGAGTGATGGGGAAATGCACTGCAAAGTTGAGAGATAACAATTGCTTGATGCAACACCATATAACCTCCTGGCAAACAAATCAGAATTGATGTTCAACAATTGAGGTCATCCTCACAAACTTTGTGCAAACAAATCAGGATGATTTCTCAGTAAGCAGGTCTGTGTGAGTGACCTTAGAACAAATTCTTCTGCATGGCATCATTTAAAAACATTAACAAAGGCAAGATTTTTAGTCTTTGTTTTTATTCGAACACCCACCCTCTTGCAGTTGCCAGGAATAATGGTTTCTTCTTCGCATAAAAGCTTGTCTGCCCTTTCCAGGAACCGGACATTCCTCCAAGCTTGGGTTACTGCAATGCACTCTATGAGGGACAGTCCCTTGAACTGACCTGGTAGCCCAGCTAGGACAGAATGCAGCAGCAGGAACATGGCTGCGGGGGCTGAAAGGGGACAGCATCTCACACCTGTGCTGAGAGAGCTGCATTGGTGCTGCTCCCCTGTGCTCTGGTGATGCATGTATTCTGGATTGTTTCATTAACGTAATATTACTGTTGATTTTATGTTGTTCCTACACAGCAGTATTAATGTAGGCAGTATAGAAAACTTTGCCTATCATCATCATCATCATCATCAACATCATCAAATACAGGGTGATTGCAATTGACACGAGGGTTATGGTCCTATTGGTTGTGCATAAAGGCAAAATTGTGCAAAATCAGAATGACCTTCTCCAAACCAACCCCTCTGTTCTCTTGAGATCTTGCAAGGCCAAGGCTGTCCAAGATCTCATGAGAGCCTCTCAGAGACCTTGCACAACCATCCCAGAACCCTGGGACATTGTTGACCGTAGATCATTCTTTATCCTTTTTAGTCTAGAACATGATCTTTCGCTAGTGCAGTTTGTAACCATTAAACTCAGGAACAATCTGAAAATTGTTTCCACATTTGCAAAAGCTGTTTGAATTTTCTCCTGGGATGTTATTTGATACATATCTTGGTGGCTGAAATTTTCTTTTTCATCGTGAGCTAGTTTGACATACAGGTGGAAGTGCAAAGTTCATTGACTAGACTAAGGTCAACATCCTTTGGATACTCTTGCATCAATAATCTCAATGCCATTGTGAATCTGCTCCTCGGTTGCTTGCAGGTTCACCCAAAATGAAAAATAGCTAGCCGTACTCCTGTACACTCCTATACCCCCTTGCTCTTCTGTCTAGGTTGGCTTCAAGAGCATGCATGACAGGGATAAATGAATTTACCCTAAACTTGCCTCTCAGAGAAAGTTCATCTGAGGCTAAGGCTTCAGGTGCTGTCCCATCATGGGGTGTGTGTGTACTCTCTGCCTTCTTTTGACAGTTTTGTACTCTGCATCCGGCAGAGTAAATTTTGCTTATTGTTCAATTTCATCAAAATTGGTACCCATGACATAATGTAGGGATGGGATGGGGAACTTAGAAGGAGAAGGAGCAGAACCGGAAGAGTTCTGCTTTGCTTTGCTTTGCTTTGCTTTGCTTTGCTTTGCTTTGCTTTGCTTTGCTTTGCTGTGCCCTCTCTCTCTCTCTCTCTCTCTCTCTCTGTCTCTCTCTCTCTCTCTGAAGGCTGCTTGCACATGCCAGTTTTTGCTTTGGTGCATAATGCAAAGCTTATGGCCAGAGTTGCCCTATGCCTCTTCCTCTAGCTCTGTTTCCAGAGATTTAGGTGAATCCTACTGCACTAATGGGACACCTTCGGCAAGAGGATGGTGTGATCCCAGCATCCTCCAGCGACCTCTGAGTTAGCGGAAGCAGGGACTCTTCTCTGTGAAAAATGAGCCAGCTGGCAGGGCTGGTGGGGTCAAGTGATGCTTAGTGTGCGTGAGAAAGAGAGGAGGCAGTGCAATTAGAGGGAGGGAGGGAGGAGGAGCAGGGACCTTTCCTGCAATGTGCCATTGTCACAAGGACTGGCTGTCTGGCTGAGTGACTAGCCAGCAGAAAATGGATGACCCCAGAAAAGAGGGAGCCCGGGGGGGGGGAGCCAATGGCCTCTGTTGCCACAATATTGTGAAAAGCTGGATAAACTGCAGTTGGGGTGATTGACTGAGCCCATTGACCAAATCCTGGTACTGCAAAGGACTGGATAGGAGCAGCTGGCCCTTGGAGGTTAGAGGTGGCTACGGCAATGTCCTCCTCAGGGAGCAGGTGCCAGTTGAGGAGCCCTTTCCCAGGAGAAGTTAGGGTGCCTCTTGCAGTTGCTTTCCCCTTGCAAGACTGAGTTGTGATGCAGTCCAGCATTCACCAACCTGGTGCCCTCCAGATGCCCAGGAAACGTGCCCTCAATTTGCTGCCTCACCAGTTTTACGGCAAAGTCTCCCACTGATTAACCATGTTGCATGCCACCCCCCAAACTACCCCATGTATATCATTGGATGTCAAGGGAGCAGTAGCCACATTCCCAGTCAGATAAGGTCATGGCAAGAGTCTGAAATACTTGGGATCTCCTCTGTCCAAAATGCAGAATGTGCCAAACTCTGGGGTGAACAATCTTATAGAACTAATTGCAGTTTGGTTCAGATATCCTCTGTTGGTAGTGGAAGGTGTCCAAAGGTTCCAGTTGTGTGGCTGCAGGGGAAGAGAGGCAGAGAAGGAATCACTTCTCAGGAGCAGCTACACCTGCTCCTGTTTTTTGGCCCTCTCCATTCCCGGCAAATGCTACAAATCCCTATGCCAATCCTGCCATCTGCTGCCACTGTCCCAAGACAAATGACATGGCTTTTCTTCATTATTTTCAGTGGGTTTTGTTGGGGGCAGACCATGCATGGTCTGTCTGATAACTACGAAGACTGTCTCAGATGATTAGCTGCCCTGTTCAGAAACCAGGAGTTGCACATGTTTAACGGATGTAACTCAGATATTTCATGCAGACTTCCCTCCCTGTCATCTGTCATGCACCCAAGTACTTTGCTTTCATTAGGTTGTAGAACTTCCAGATTAGAACACACACTGGCACAGACCTACGTCTCTCTCTCTCTCTCTCTCTCTCTCTCTCTCTCTCTCTCTCTCTCTCTCTCTCACACACACACACACACACACACTTTCCGTTGCTGCTGCCGCCGCCGCCTCCTCAACAGCCTGTGTGCCCTCTAGTGGACGTTGCCTCCTTCTGCAAGCTTTGAAAGGCTTATAAAGGCAGAGAGAGCAGCGAGGGAGCTGGAGAGGCAGCTGGACAGTTCCTGGTGCTGAACGCAGACAAGAGAGCAACACGGTTGAGGACCAGTTCGCTCATGGCAGGGAAGCAGCAGCCCCCTTATCTGCACCTGGCAGAGCTCACCGCCTCCCAGTTCTTGGACATCTGGAAACATTATGATGCTGATGGTCAGTGAGAATGAAAAGAGGGACACAAACTTCTGTTCATTTAACCTTTAGGGACAACTGATGTTTTATTGCTTGGTGCCAATATGTGGCTGGAGGAGATTGATCAGTGGCTTAAAATGGCCAGTGCTAATCAGTAGGCATGCTAAGTTTCTTTCTACTTTGCCTGAATTTTTATTTAAAAGGCTGCAATAAGGTGGTTTTTAAGACAGAATTCAGAAAGGTAGTTTCTGTTGCTTGTTCTTTTTGCTGTTGTGTTTGGTTTTTAAGTGTCTACGTTTTCTAAATTGTTCACTTTTGTTAGCTGTAGTAAATGAGAGTTGGAAATAGTGAGACAAAGAGTGAGCAGAGATGTGCTCGCTTCGGCAGCACATATACTAAAAAAAACAAAGAGTGAGCACAGAGGAGTGGAAATGTTTCTGATGAGAGTGGGCACAATGGGTGTGGGCAAGTTGAAAAGTGTTTCATTTGGTAGAATTCAATATGTTTTAGAGTAGTATAGTCTCAGTCTTCTGTTTTAGATTTCCTGGTGTTTATTTTCTTAAACTTTGGAGGCTCATAAACTTTTTGCCACTATAAGTAAGTCTGGTTAGAGATCCTGTCCTGTGTTAGGAAGAGTTGAGGCGGCTTTTCCTGTTGGGTTGTGTGTGCCTGTGCAGCTAAACATGTGCTCCTGTAGAGAAGGGCAATGATTGCAGTATGATGGGAGTTTGCCTTATTGTAAAGGGTCCTGTGACCATGTCTTGATAACACCCCCTGCGGGTGTCCATTATCATTTAGAAACCTTTGATCTGAGCTCTGGAGAATTCTGTGTACAATATGTTTTCCCCACTAGTCACTGTGTCAAGACGGCATAGCAGGATTTTACTCTAGATAGCTGCAAACCTGCCTCTAAGCACCGCTTACAAGTAATTCACATGAGGTAAGCCACTGGGTGCCTGAGGTGGTGGCTGTTAACATCTAACACAACACAGGAACAGATGGCTGCTATCCAGAACGCTGATCCAAAAAGGTTTTTATTTGTGGGAGAGGGGGATACATGCATATCCTGAAACTCTTTAAGCCCTTTGCTGCACCTCCTCTCCCAGCCATGATGGGATATGCTCAGGAAAAGCAGAACTTGGAAGAAGGTGGTCTTTAAGAATTTCAGCTGTAGGGGTGAAACAGTCTCCTTGATACTGTTGCAGGAGGCAAGAGGTTCACATGGTTTGGGGCCATATGGATATATCTAATCAGGTCCTTTTCTGACTCTTTTTGTCCTATGAAATGAAAGAGAACCAAAAATTTCATAAATTAAATTCCCCCACCCTATATATGTGCATGTTTTGACTACACCAGTTGCCACACCGGTGACAGGGAAGAGAATTTCCTCTGAGATGAACTGGCTGAAGGCACACCCCAGTATGCGGTAGGGTGTGCATGATGCTCCCCTGTGGTGTGCTACTGGGTGGGTTTCTTGCTGGAGCCACTTAAGTGGAGCATGTGCTTTCAAAACAATGAGTTTCTGTGGCATATTGTGCATGGCGTGGATGATCAAAGGGCTGGGAAGGTGAAGCATGTGGGTGGGCGGGCCAGTTGCATAACAATGGACCGGTCTCTGTGACTGCTTGACTACTTTATGATTCTCCATGGTTGCAGCAACCTCAGGACAAACAAGGAGCAGAAATCCAGGGGTGGAGTTTTATTGCATTTGTATATCACTTTTCCTTAGAAGAGTGGACAACCTGCGGCCCCCGGCTTAGTTTCAAGTGGCCCTCCAGGAACTGCAGGCCCACTTTTCCTTGCTCTGTCTGTGTGTAAGAAAGAGAGGGGGGGCACTGTGTAATCCTGCAGTGCTGTAAACTCCAGCCAATTTTGACCATGGCCTCAGCTGTCAGCATGCAGTTCTGCCCCACCTGATTGCCTCTGAGGTTATGCAGTCCCTGATAGAAAAGACGTTCCCCAGCCCTAACTCAGAAACTCAAAGCAGCTGAAACAAAAAATCCTAGCAAAATGGTCAGACCATAGTCTGTACGTCAGAAGGAACTGAGCAACCTTCACCTTGGGCAGATGCTGACGGGAGAGGAGCGAAAAGCGGGGTGGTGTTTTCAGCTCACTCGAGTCCGTGATCTCCTGTGGGGCGAGGCAAGCTTAAGCCTACAGAAACTGATTGGGGATAAGCTCACATAACTCACTGCTGGATTGTGGCTAAAGTGCACCGAGCAAGTCCTCTTCCAGATGGCTTGTTTATTGATTATTCACCCTGATTTGTTTGCAGGGAAATTAAGCAGTGTTGACTATTTAATGAGCATTTATTCTGACAATGGTGCGTCAAGCAAATGCTAGTCTCCACTTGCTGGTGCATTTCCCCATCACTTCCCGAATCTCAGAATGTCTGATCTTTTCAGGGACGAGGGGTTTTATTTTTGCATGACATTCTCCCAAGCACAACCTGAATTGGCCAGTATATGAACCGAATCCCACCCCAAAATAGCAACAGCCTGGAAGCTCTCAAAAAAGGAGGAAGCTGACCTCGTTGCCCCTCCTAGAGAAGGAAGGCATGCTGGCATCTTTTATTTAGTTTATTTATGGCAGCCTAATAACATATGTTCTCTGGGAGGCTTCCACTAAAAATTAAAGCAAATAAATATAAAGCCGGATAATAAAACCATAAAAGCACCACAAAATCTAATAGAGCAGAAAACTACCAGCAAAATACAAAATCAATACGACAGAGCTCACAGCTGCACCAAAATGTCATCAGTCTTAAAACTCCAAGAATATACCAAAGATCTGAATGTCACTAAAATATATTAAGACTGAAAACCCAGGAAACATAAAAAGGGGGCTCTATAAGCAATGAAAGTCACTACAGAGATCCTCTCCCTATAAACTAGCTGCATTACCTTATTTGTTGGGGAGACCCTGAGAAGGACCTCAGAAGATATTGATGTCCAGGTAAGTATATATGGAAGAGACAGTCCTTCAGATCACCTTGTCCCAAGCTGTTAAAGGTGAATGGATTAATGGTGGCTCTTTGAACTGGGCCCGGAAATGGACTGGAAGACAGAGCAGAGCAAAAAAGACTGGTGTAACATTACCATGCCATGCAGTCCTAGTTAACAAACTTGCCTGCTGTATTTTGGACCAGAGGAAATTTCCAGACTGCTTTCAAAGGCAGCCCTTTGGGACCATGATCCCACCCAGACATTAATCAATTGATTCAAATATTTCTAGATCACTCTTCATCAAGAATTGATTCCAGGACTGTTCACAAAGTGTTCAAAACTTTGTGGCTCTATCTGTCTATTTGGCCCTGTAGGCAGGAAAGGTAACATTTTAAAAATTGCTGCCTTCATGTGTCCTGGGCTTTAATTTGCTAACTGTGAACCACATTTCCCAAAAAATCAGTACTATGACTGCAGACCCTCTCTTGAGTTCCAGCAACCTTTCTAGATAATGCATGACATCTGCAATATTTTGCACCAGATACCCAGTTTGCATTTGTCAACTGTACTTCACAAGTCCATCTGTTTCTCTTGCAATCTCACATTTGGAAGACCCCTGTACCTTCCCCACTTAACCCCTGGAGGTATGGTTGGTTAGTTGGTTTAAGCTGCTGTGATCGTATTTCCTTGCGTTGTTCAAAAAGCTCAACCTCTTGCTCCTTCCATGAGATTAAGAGCCACTCCATGAAATGCATTTAGTAAAAGAAAGACTTCCCTTGCTCTCCCTCAGGGGGGTCTCTCTCTCTTTGAGGGCACAGGGGATTCTGACTTTCCAGCAGCAACACAATCCCACCCCTGGGATGCGACTGGAGCATGGCAATAATATTACAAGGCTCACTCTTTAAAGGCAGCAAGACATAGCCCTGTTCAGGCATCCTAAAGAAGGAGAGGGAGGACCTCTCCCCACCACCTCATCATTACCCCCCATGCATTAGAGGGATAATTTTTGAAGTGGGGAGCCTGCTCTCCTTGGGTAAACAGCCTCCTTCCCTGATTTCTGTACCATGCAGAAAGGCTGCATTGACAGAAAAAGGCTGCCTGCTTCAGGCACTATCCTTCAGCTCATGAAGGATGATTGATGGTGGGGGGCGGGCAGGGCAGAGCATACTTATTCTCACTCTGAACAGAATGTCTGAGTATGGCTAGACCTTGTTAGCATTGTGGATTATATACCTTGTTGTCAAAGCGGTGCCATGTGGGGCCTTATCCTAAATGCCTGATTGGTAGAGGAGGCAGCAAAGCAAGATCCCCCTCCTGACTTTCTGTAAGGCAACAAGGGTGTCTCCTGCAGCCACTTTGCAGCAGCTTGCCTCCTGTACCACCAGGACTTCAGCCCGTCAGCAAAGCTGGTAAATGAGGCTCAGTGGACTCAGGGCACCCTAGACTATCCTTCCAACCTGAACACTGTCAGCTGACCTCACTGGCCAAGGAGGACACACCAAGGAAGAAAAAGCCAGTCTAAGCAGTGCTAGCCTGATCTCATTGAGTCTCCAGGCCTTGCCTCACTTCTGGTGAGCAAGCAGGAGCAAGCTGGAGTCCCTCTCAGTCCCTCCTCTTGGTAAGATTCGTAAGGCAGTTTTACTTGTGGCACCAGGATGGTGCCCCCAAGATTTTTCAACCACAGTTCTCATCAACACCCAACCAGCCCCACAACCATCTGAGGCTGGGGGTGATGGGAACATGGATGTGCTGGCTGGGGTGGATGGATGTTGCAGTCCAGAACTCCTGGACAGCACCAAGTTGGAGAAGGCAGGTATGAGGAATACAAGAGAAAGAGAGGGGGGGAGAAAGAGAAAGACGGAGTGCCCAAAAGAACTGCATTTCAGATTGGCCCCTGTAATTCCTATGTACCCCTCCAACCATGGTTGGCCTCCTTCTAAATTTGAGCAGGATACATAGCTAAAGGGTGAATGCAACCAAGACACCTTTTGTCAATTCAAGTAAGCACAGCTTAAAAACAAACATGACACCCCCACCCCGCAAACAAACACACATACACAGACATAAATGATATGTTGTTGCCGTGTAATTTGAGGGTGATTCAATGTGTGGAGGGGGGTCTTCCCAGGGGAGCTAAGGAGATCTAACCTGTTATTAATATAATCATTTTGGCAACTTATCATTAAGCACAGCTTTTCAGTTACATCACCTCGCTTGCAATGATCAGAGCAGAAACCAAGGACTTGGCATCAGTATGAAATTACACTGTCCCTGCTTAGTAATCCCATTATTATATCGGAGGACCCCTGCAATTTCTATCTTATCTATCTTTCTGATGAATCAAGCCATGTACAATATACTCAGGGTGCTCAAAGCATCACCATCATTTACATTGCATCAACAGCTGATGTCGCAGAGGATGCAAAATCTGGAGATCCTAATAATGGTGGATTCTCACCCAGTTATGTCCTTCCTCAACCTTGGTGCTTCCTGAAGCCCCTTGAGGTGGTCAGCCACTTCCTCCTTGTCTCCCTCTTGGTTCAGAGGCATGCAGGACAACCCAGGGGCAAGAATGGCATCAGCAAAGCTGGATGGGGGTGGTGCTCACAACCAAACTACAGGATGGTAAACCACTCACAAGCTAGAAAACTGCACATAACTTTGGAATACAGTCCTGCAGAGTCCTGCATTTCATTAGTGTACTTCTGAGTAATTTCCCACATGTAGAAGCCAAGCACAGCAGGCCAAACCCTGATACACTAGTTTTCTATCTGCAGCAAGTTTCCCCCTCCCCACCACGTTCATAAGGACACATGCAAAAGTAGCAACTACTTGTGTGTTCTGAACTGGTACTCACTTTGCTTCATGTGTAAGGCAGGCCTCCAGAATCATGGGTTAAAGTACAGTGGTACCTCGGGTTACGAACTTAATTCGTTCTGGAGGTCCATTCTTAACCTGAAACCATTCTTAACCTGAGGTACCACTTTAGCTAATGGGGCCTCCTGCTGCCGCTGCCGCACCGCTGACCGACACGCCATTTCTGTTCTCATCCTGAGGTAAAGTTCTTAATCTGAGGTACTACTTCTGGGTTAGCAGAGTTTGTAACCCGAAGTGTTTGTAACCAGAGATGTTTGTAACCCGAGGTACCACTGTAATTACTTTACATATAACAAGTGTTGGAGGTGGGGGTACATTAATTTAACTATGTTGACTGTGTTTCACTCAAAGTTGTGTGAATGTGGTTTATTAGTTTCCGACTGCTCTTGTGAACATGCAAGGTCTCTTTCTAGCGTCCTCCATCTTCTCATTGCTCACACTTTCTCCTTTCCAAAGCCATGGCTTAACCTTCCCTGTTTGCAGGCTTGCTCTGTGTCACCCTATCCCACACTCTTTCACTGGCTGCTCACCCCACAGGGATGTGCCAGTAAAACCTCCCCTGATTAAAGGTTCTCCCTTGGGGGCCCATCAGAGATCAATTACACAATGCCACCTGCTTTAAGAAAACACTTGCCTCACCCATCTCAGACTTTCCAGCAGGACTCATCTTCAGGACTGCTGCGATTCCCAGAGCCCATGATGGCCCTGTGTACAAAGTTGCTTAGGGCCAATGCGAGCATAGACTCAGCAAGCATCTGGTCCCAAACTCACACTGGACAAAATAGAGTGCCAAGGCCAGCTCAAGACATTTTGCTGCCTAAGGCCAAGATGCTGCCCCTATTCTACATGCAGAGGCCAACTGGACTGGTGTGTGAATCTTGCTTCCACACTGGCTGGTGGGACAGTGTCTTCCTCTGCACCTGAGGGCTTTTTGGGTGGCTGGGTGGACTGCATGGCATAGGTGGTTCTGTCTGATCCATAGCCCTCAGCATCTGCTGCCTGAGGTCTCCTGCCTCACTCTGCCTAATGGTAGAGCTGGTCCTTGATGCTGGCCCCATACTTGTGGAATCCCATCTGAAGGGATATAGGGCTGGCTCTATCATCACTAGCTTTTGAACCAGCCTTGAAAACCCACTTGCTTCCATCTGCTTTCAGCTGAAACGTTGAGCTGAGTTTTTAGCATCCTATTGTTTAAACAGCATTTGACTTCCTTGCAATTGTTTTAAATGTTACAGGATGTACGTGTGTGCCCGCTGGGGCTGCCTAATGCCTTTAGATGGCTATTTTAGTTTATATAAGTTAGTTAATATAAGTGGATGGTTTTCGTTTTGATATTTTCAAGTATGTATGTGGGCCGCATTGGATTGAGAGGCTTTTACCCTGAGGGGGCAATCTAGAAATATTCAAAATAAATTAATAAAATGAATATGGCAGGAAAGGGAAGAAGACTCATTCCTTTCCCCTTCAGCTACCCTACAACTGAGTCCACGTCTCCCCCCAAAAGCCCCACCCCTCGGCTGGCCTCACTTCCAGCTCTGGAACCCAATGAGGGAGGGGAGACATTTTAAAATAACCAAGGGGATCTGCAAGGATGACCCAGGGCTAAGGAAGGAGTAAGTGCCTCCTCATAGCCACCAATCCCTCTCAAACCTCACCCCCACCCCACCCCAGGTACTGTCACTGGAAACCCATTGTTTCCTTCGCATGCTTATAGTTGTGTGATATATTTGGTTGGGAGCCTTATAACTTTCATGGCGCAGGTGAAAAAGATTCTGGGGGGATATTTTGTACTGGAAAACAACAGGAGGGGGAAGGGGGAAGCTGCTGCCTCTCCCTGCCTGCCCTCCTTCTGCTTAGACACAGCCTCCTCCTGCCCTGGCTCTTTGGGTTGAAAAACAAAGTGGAGGAGGAATGGATCACTAGAGCCTCTGTCTGGCAGGGGTAACTGCCCTGTGGCCCTCCAGAAGTCATTGGACTCCAATTTCCGTTAGCCCCTGCAGCCTGCATTGCCAGTTGGCTGGGATGATGAGAGCCAAACATATCTGGAGCGCCACAGGGTGCCCTCCGCTTTCCACCCCACCCCACTGCCCACTCTATAGTTCACAAGCTGAGAAACAGCAGGCCTCAGTGCTGGTCTATCAAAACACCAAACAGCAGGTGTCTGTTTCTTCCATATTGTCAAGTGTGCCAAAAGCACATTTTGCCTCAGGATATTCTGAAGGGAGTCTGTTACACATTCAGTTTTCTTCTGATGGAGGAGCAGACCACTGACAACCCAGTTTATTTAAGTGCTATTTCTTGTTAAATCCAAGTAAACATTTGAAAGGCATTTTACATATACAGTGGTACCTCGGGTTACATACGCTTCAGGTTACAGACGCTTCAGGTTACAGACTCTGCTAACCCAGAAATAGTACCTCGGGTTAAGAACTTTGCTTCAGGATGAGAACAGAAATCACACGGTGGTGGCGCGGCAGCCGCGGGAGGCCCCATGAGCTAAAGTGGTGCTTCAGGTTAAGAACAGTTTCATGTTGGAGTGAGACTGAGTTGAGAAATAAGACTAAGAGCACATATTGATATAGGAATGTATTAGATAATATGTAAAGAAATTTACAGTGGTACCTCGGGTTAAGTACTTAATTCATTCCGGAGGTCCGTTCTTAACCTGAAACTGTTCTTAACCTGAAGCACCACTTTAGCTAACGGAGCCTCCCGCTGCCGCCGCACCACCGGAGCACAATTTCTGTTCTCATCCTGAAGCAAAGTTCTTAACCTGAAGCACTATTTCTGGGTTAGGAGAGTCTGTAACCTGAAGCATCTGTAACCTGAAGCATATGTAACCCGAGGTACCACTGTATAATAAGAAGAGTACATTCATTTGTAAAAAAGGAATATACAATGGGAAAGACAGGAAGTCTAGTATGTTGGTATATATATGATTTTTGGAAAAATTTGTTTTTTTCTTTGTTCTTTCTTTTTTTGTTTGTTTAATTTTCTTTTTAGGTACCGGTATATAAAATTTGTATATAATTTTTGTATACATGTTGGAAATTATAGTAAGTCCTGTAATGTAATATGACAATGTTTACTGATGTAATATAAGAATGTTAATAAATAAATAAAATGCAAAAAAAGAGAACAGCTTCAGGTTAAGAACGGACCTCCGGAACGAATTAAGTATGTAACCAGAGGTACCACTGTATTTCTTAAAAAAATAAAAATAAAGCCTGTATCTCCACAATTAGATAGATTGGGCCACAATAAAAAATCCAAAATCCACAGTTCGATGATGCCATTAATAGGACCAATCAAAATGTCCACAAAAGAGTCTGCAAGGCTTTTGAGTTATCCAAACTCTTCATAGATAGTTAAAAAAAAAATATGCAGGCAGGCAACAGGAAGGTAAGATGGTTTGTGGTGAAGCTCTCTAAATCTGGTAGGAGTCAAGGTGGAGCAGATGCTGAAATGAAGTTCTGTTTGCTTTGCCTAGGAAGGTTGACTGCTGGGAAGGAGAAGCATATCAGGGCAGATTCCCTACTTCTGGCTATGCAACAACCCATTCTGCGGTGGCGGTTAGAGAATTGGACTCAGACTGGGGGGAAACCTTGGTTCAAATTGCCACTTAGCCATGAAACTCTTGCAGCCTAACCTACCTCACAGGATTGTTGTGAGGGAAAGAGAACCGCATACACCACTCAGCTCCTTGGAAGAAGAGTTGCAATACTGATATCAACAGCAAAAGCCCTGAAAATTGCAAGGCATGATCAGAGTTCTAACGTGTAAAGGGGTTTGAGTAAGGGATTTAAAAAGTGCTATGTATTTCAAGTTTGCATATAAAATCCCAGCTTGGTTTATACTGCAATTCAGAGCCAAGGACAGCATTTTTGAAAAGCTGAGGTTTACGGCTGTGCAGCAGGCCAGAACAAGGCAAAAGAATAATTAACTACCACATTATTTTGATTTATTGCCTTTGTTACAGGCTCCATTTTGAATGGGCTCTCCTCCAATAGTTCATCTATTACTGGCTGAATGATGGCATTGATGGAGCTTATCAATTTTGGTTTTATAAAATGCTGTGTCTATCTATTATCCTTCTCGCTGCACTCCCAAATAGAATGCTGATATTGGATTTCAGCCCAGGAGTCAGAATGATGACTGGGCTGCCCACTGTGCAAACAGGACAGGCAACAGCCAGCCCTCCTGCCTACCCAGGTGCCCATTGGAGGAGAAATGGGCGAAGCACTGCCAGCTGCTTTGCTTCTCCTGGACCTGGGAAAAGGGGGCCCAGCAGTTGCCCATGCAGGCTGTTTTCTTGTGCCACAAGTAGCTGGAAAAGGTCAGGGTGGAAGAGGGAGTGCCAGGGGAGTTCAGGGCTGGCCAAATTGCGTTTTTATTTTGACAATTAATATACCGCTTAATTACAACTGTAGGTAGTTAATGGGTAACTCGAAACAAAACAAAAAGAAGAACAAGACAGTTTACCCAGCATGATCAGGATCGTCTTTTCATTAATTGATCTGTGTTGCATTTATGGGAGGGGACAATAAATTGTTCGCAAGGATATTGGGAGAATTAAAGAAAACCATGCTCCCCACCCATCCCAGCTCCTCTCATACTACCGTGTCCTGCAACATTGCATCATCTCAAGGACCACAGATGCATATTTGGGCGATAGGCAGCTTTTTAACTCCCAGGCAAATCTTGTGAAGGTGTCCTTTCTGAGGGCTACATGCCTACAAAGGACTGGAGGGTCACAAAGTGTATACCAGGGCTGCTAGTAGTGTTCCCATCGGATGCTCAGGAGGCGTCCAGTGAAATCCTCTGGCAACCACTCTTCTGAGTCCTAAAGGAAACAGACATGCTTATTAATGAAAGCAATCCACAGTCTGAAAGCAGAACAAATTAGAACCCTTACACCTCCATCGTGAGATAAGCTAGGGATGCCCACATAAAAGCCATGGGAGAGGTTGCCAGGGATTCAGAGTGTAAGGCAGGCATAGGCAAACTCGGCCTTCCAGATGTTTTGGGACTACAACTCCCATCATCCCTAGCTAACAGGACCAGTGGTCAGGGATGATGGGAATTGTAGTCTCAAAAACATCTAGAGGGCTGAGTTTGCCTATGCCTGGTGTAAGGTCACCAGTACAAGGAAAGCATCCAGCTCTTTCTCTCTCTCTCTGCTTTCCCTCTTGCTCCCGAAAGCCTCTTGGGGCTCTGAACCAGCTGTGTGGCCTAGGGGGAGTCCAAAGGGCTAATTTTGGCTCTCCAGCCTGAGGCTGTTTCTCCTTTGAAGCTGGTGGCTGAAGTCCAAAGGCTTAGAAAGAGACACATTGAACATTCAGACCCTCCTGTTTATAAATGTTGATAACTGTGCATGTCTGATGTTATGAAACTTTAGTGTTGCAGTTTCCCCTAACACCTCATGAAAAGCCATCCTGCACCCGGTAATACTGTACATCGAAGTAAGGCTTGGTACCTTCCCAAAATCACAGTTCTCCAATGGCACTCTATTGGAAGGAGCCATCACAGTTTGTGTTGATGGTGCGGAAGACATTATGTGCCCTTCTGCCTTCCTGGCTGACTTGTATGAGACCCTCTTTTGAGAGGCTAATCAGGTCCCCGGATGGCCTGCAGGGCATTAGCATAGCAGAACTTTTTGCAAGGAATTAAAAAATGCATTGACTGTTTTAGTAAGTCAGGTCTTATAAGAGCCTTGCTTCAGCTGACCTAATTTGGTGAGACTTCTCTAGGAGTATGAATAAATGCATATTAAGCCTCCTTGTCTATTCATGAGAAATACCATTAAAAGATGTTTTTCAGAACACTCATTTCCATCCTGCTTGGGATCCCCAGAGTTGGAAGGGACACTTGCAGGCCTTCTAGAGCAAGATTCTGGGTTCAAAGTGTAGCTCTGTAGAAGACGGAGCCTCCACAGACACTCCTTCTCACTGCTGGAGGATTCAGCCAAATTCCGCTCTTCAGTGTGCCTATTAAAGATTCACGAGCCCGTCCCACACCCTTGGGCATGAGGGCTATGCTCTGCCGCCATGGTCGGAGGCAGTAATGCTTGGAATACTCAAGTCCTGCTTGCCAGTTTCCCCATTGGCCTGATCCAGCAGGCTCTTCTTATGTTCTATATCGTGAGAGGAATAATCTAACCAAATCATAATCAATTGCTTCTTGTGTTACCTTTGCTGGTTACAGGTGTTTAGCTGTTCTTCTTCTTACCCTGCTTTAATTATCTTCAAATCAGAAAGAGTGTTTTCAGACCTTCTTAATGACTCATGCTTTTCACATGGACCAGTTGACTTGCCACAGCTCCATGCACGCAGCTGTGGTGTTGCATATGCATCTGCCATACCTGGGTTCAAGTAGCCACTGAGCTGCATATTCTGAGGCAGCTTCAAGCAAGTTGTCTCAGTTCCCCTTTCTTAAAATGGGTTCCTTAGCATCTTCCCTCACAGGGTTCTTGTTAGAGTGAAGGTTTGCCGTGTATTTTCCCCAGTTAACCGAAAGGTTTAACAATAGAGAGGTTTGTAAAACTGACTGCAACCTGGTAGGTAGCCCCTAAGGAAGAGACTTTAACAATCTAGACTAAGCCATTGTTATCTGGAATGTCCTTAGTCTCATTCAAGATAAGAAGTGAAGAGGGCCTCTGTCCTTCAAAAAGAAGCTTGCCAAGCCAAGCAGCAGCAACTGTAGAGAAATCAGAGTGAGCTCTGTGCCATTTAATAAGGGCTTTGCTGGGCAGCTTGTTTCTATATGAAAGAGTTTTCTGCTGCTTTGAAAAACCCTCGTCCAAATGATTTTTAAGGGATGCCATATGAAAACCAGAATTTTTTGGACTCCCTGCAGAATGAGGCCCAGTAGGTATAACCATGCCTTTCCTTTTAATTCTTTGATATTTGAGCCTCTACCATTAAATTCTTTTAAACAATATTTGAAAGTGTACTCAAAGAAAAGCACAAAAGAGAAATGTTCAAGTCAGAAAGGCGGAAACTTTCATAGAGGAAAGAGGGAATTAGAAAGCCTTTGGCCTGCTGAGCCAGCTTTCTATTGGCAGAGTGTTTGCAACACAGGGAGCAGACAGATATGTCAGCCATTGAGACAGAAATTAGCAGCTAATTGGACAAGCTGCTTGATGGTGACCAAACCAGCTCCTCCCAAATTCATTCATTGTCAGCTAGGAGTGTGGAGGGGGGTACCTCAGTTCCTTACTGGAGAATCTGGCCTCTCACTGAGAGTCAGGTGTGGATTCTTAGTTCTGCTGAAACAGATGAAATATTGTGCTGCATAAAAGGTGGTGATTTCTGTATTTAAATGAATTTATATAACTGGGAAGTTAACCTCCCCTCCCTCATTGGGCCGCACTGTCAATTCTTGGTTAGTCTCCCTTGGCTAAATGTTGCCAGCCATGAAGGATCCAGGGTCCAGCGGGCATATGGGAGGCTACACCCCCCTCCAAGCACCTGGTCCACATACTCAGGTTGCAATAACTGAAATGTATTCTACAAATTTAAGTGACACAACTGCAGAATTCTTGATACCCAAGTCATGGCAGATCCAAAAGGGTGTGGGTGTGTTTGGCCTCAGTGTCTTACAAATGTGCCACCACTTACTTCCATGAGCTCTCTTGCATCTTCTTGTGGGCCAAGATGGAGCATAGACCCTGAACCACTCAGAAAAAATGGTGTTGGGTTTACTTATTTAATTAAACTTATACCCTACTTTTCACTACATCTGGGTCTCAAAGGGGCCTTATAGAATGACACATCTCACAGGCTTCAGCGGGAGCACCCACAGCATCAGCCAGAAACTTCCCTAGTAGGGCTCTCAGAAATACCTCAGAAATCAACCTCAGAGCAGAGTGGTGTCCTTTAATGCCCAGCACTAAGTCCCAATACTTAAAAACTGCATCCTACCATAAGGGAGATGGAGATGTAATCCCTGTTAGTGACAGCTACTCCCTCTCTGCAACCCCACAAGCCTACATTAGTGCTGCGCAGAGAACTCAGGAGGCTAAGTCTGAGAAGGATCCACTCTTTCTAGCCCATCCACTTTGGTCTTATTATTGAATGCCAGGTTGGCTCCTACATTAGTGATTCAATCCTGGGTGGCAGAGGCTGTCTACACAAGGTAATTTAAGATGGACTCAAGGCATTTCGTGTGTGCATGTTTTCCACATTGTCCAACACAAGATTTTCCTCATTCAAGCAGCAGCCCACACTCCCCCTCCCTCATTTAATTCAAGTTTTCCTGATTAGCAGACAAATTGGTAAGCAAAAAAAATCCAACATATAATTGCTTGTTACTCAACTGCGGACATACGAAAGAGCATTGTGTGGGTGGTTTGTTTTGGGGTTTTTTACATGTGTGTTGACATTTTGCTGTGTGCCATCAGGGCTGCCAACAGTTGGCAGAAAGGGTCAGATCTGGGGGGACCTCAAGGCCAGCAGAGCCCCTGGTTGCTTAGCCTTGGGGTTTTTTTTAAAAAGTAACTTCCTCCATTCTCTAGATCAGAAGATATGAGCCAATCCATTAACACCTCCACCCCTGTGTCACAGTTTCTGTGAACTGAGCTAGTCTTTTTGGTGGACTCTACTTTGCAGGGTTCTAGCTAATGAATGGCAAGTGACCTTTTTGGACATCATCAGGAGGAACTAGGAAATCTTAGAGCTGCCTGTTCCTGCTTCTGTATCCTTGCTGCCCAGATACTGCATAGAATGGGGAAGGGGGTGCACACATCACAGGCGTTGAGTGAGTTTTTGGCTTTCAGCAGTGGCACCACATGTGCCTGCCCTCCCACTGTGTACTCTCTGTGTACATCCAGTAGGAGTTCCAGAAAATCAAAGAACACATATAGGCAGCATCTTGGTAGGCACATACATTTAACAATTTCTGTGGTGGTTATAACAAAAATGTACACACACACACTTTTTTCTTATTTGCAATCATGTTTTTTGAAGAGAAATATAAAAGTGTAAATGCAGCTTATGATGCCTTTAAAATGTGTTGATATTTTCTTCTTCTAAACATAATGAGCTATACAAGTTTAATTTTTCCTGGGCTGCTGAATAGGGCAGTTTATTTGTCTATTTCATAGCCTGTTTTTAATCTAGTCCTGGCATCCTGTATTAACTTTTCTGGGAGTAAGTCTGCAATCCTCATTCCATTTACCTGGGAGTAAACACTATTAGATTCAACAGGATTTACTTTTGAGCAGACATGATTAGGATTCTGCTGTACTTTTGAGTAGATCTAGGATTATGTTGTTAATCTCTCCCTTTCTCCCTCCAATCCTAAATTTTAAAACAATTACGCAGGGACTACTTAGGTGTCACTGATGTCACTTGGCAAGAAACTAATACTAATTTTTAAATAATTATTCTGCAGTGACCAACTGGTTTTGACAGTAAATATGTGGTGCATGTATTTTACATTTCCAATGTTGGAAAGCTTTTTGTTTTGTTTTTGGCATTTTGCTGTAAAATATCAGGGCTATGAAATGGTGCCGCTAAAGCAAGGGAGAGGCTGTTTTTCTGGCTTTGTGAAGGTGTGTATTTCTTGACATGAACGGCAGTACATGTTTGTATCTTGATTAGCCTGCTGTTTTGTGCAAGTCTGGCATTTCAGAAAATTTGTAGCTCAAAAAAATAAAATAATTGTGCCCCCCAAAAAACTAATGCCTCTAGGCATGCCCTCAATGGACCTCAAGCTTCCAGAACTCAGGGAGGGCAGAGGAAGTACTAACTGAGGGGAGGGGAAAACATACCCCATCAAGCACAACCCACTAGTGTGGATAGGAAAAACTGAGGCAGAGTTCAACTGAAAGCTCGCATTTGTGAATGAATGTGCACAAAAGTACACATGGAAGGCTCTGATCTGTGGCACTCATGTGTGCATGGACACTGGTGTGTACAGAGCCTGACCTGGCATGTCAGTGTGGAAACATCTTTGGTGGGGAAGTGAAGCCATGGCTGGATGAAAGGGGTAGCACAGGTCACGTTGATTTGTTACTCAAAGCAAGACGAGAGATGCCTTCTGCTATCCTTTTTTCCAGCTTTGGATGCTCCTTATTGCTCCCTTTGTGCTTCTTCTTTCAGGAAACGGCTACATTGAAGGCAAAGAACTGGAAAGCTTCTTCCAAGAGCTAGAGAGCGCCAGGAAGGGAGCAGGAATGGTAATGACCTGTGCATTTTCTTTCTCCCGTCCATTAACTTCTGCTTCTATTCCTGTTTTCAGCTTAAAGAGGCTGTCCTGTGCTCATTTACTTGGGAGTAAGCATCTAGCTTGACCCCTGAAAGAAAGGGCTAAACTGGGCTTTAAAGTTTGCATTGCTGTAATTTTTGCCTTTGGGTTAATCAAAATGTCTTATTCTTATTATTCAACACTGTTGCTTTATTGCAAAGGTTGGGGGAACCTGTGGCCCCCAGAGGTGTTTCTGAGTGACAACTTCTGTTACATCTGTGTTTTGGGGATTTTAAAAGCAAAGCCTGCTGGGGACGGGGCTGCACTCAGGTGTATGGATCCCAAGTGGGACGCAGGTGGCGCTGTGATCTAAACCACTGGGCCTTGGGCTTGACGATCAGAAGGTTGGTGGTTCAAATCCCCGCGACGGGGTGAGCTCCTGTTGCTCTGTCTCTGCTCCTGCCAACCTAGCAGTTCGAAAGCACGTCAAAGGGCAAGCAGATAAATAGGTACCACTCCGGTGGGAAGGTAAATGGCGTTTCTGTGTGCTGCTCTGGTTTGCCACATGACCCAGAAGTTGTCTGAGGACAAACGCCGGCTCCCTCAGCCTATAGAGCGAGATGAGCGCCGCAACCCCAGAGTCATCCGCAACTGGATGTAACGGTCAGGGGTACCTTTACCTTTATGGATCCCAAATGCCATTTCTCCTTGAAATGCACCTCGCCTGCTGGTCTGGGAACAGGACAGAGCCCAGAAGTGGCTCTGTTTCTCCCCACCCACCAAGCTGAGCCTGCATCAGAGGAGTAAGCCGTGCCCCCTCTTTTCTCAGGAATCGAAAAATGTCAATGTTGCAGAGAAGATGCAGGAGTTCATGCGGAAATACGACAAGAACGCCGATGGGAAAATTGAAATGTCTGAGGTGAGCTGTGTGACACCCTCCCCCCTGCAGAAGTCCAGAAGCCCCCTGCCCTGAAGAGGGTGTGAGCCTGTGAATTCGCCAGAATCCTCACCCCTCTCTGCATGATGACTGCTCTGAGTCTGCCTATATGCAGGCAGGGACAAACTCAGCAAAGGGGAAATGCTGCAGATCTCCTGACGGGAAGAAGATTGCCCCTCTTGCCACTGCCATCTCTCTTTGCTGCTCTTGTGTGTGGTGTAGTGGTTAAGAGCGATAGACTCATAATCTGGGGAACCGGGTTCAAGTCTCCGCTCCTCCACATGCAGCTGCTGGGTGACCTTGGGCTAGTCACACTTCTCTGAAGTCTCTCAGCCTCACTCATCTCACAGAGTGTTTGTTGTGGGGGAGGAAGGGAAAGGAGAATGTTAGCCACTTTGAGACTCCTTCGGGTAGTGATAAAGCGGGATATCAAATCCAAACCCTTCTTCTTCTCCTCTTACTCTCTGGGCCAAATCCTCACCTTTCCTCAGGAGGGCAAGAGGAGGTGGCTGATCTCCACACTGTTGTTGCTGTTTGCCTCAGCCCTGCTAGAGCTGCCTTCCCCCAGCTGGTGCCTTCCAGTGGTTCTGAGCTACAACTCCTATCAGTCCTCATCAGCATGGTTATGCTCCCCTAAGTCCCAGGATCCTATGGCTGGGACTGGCAGGAGTTGTAGTCCAAGACATCTGGAGGGCACCAGCTTGGGGAAGGCTGTACTAAAGCCTTGGAGAATGCAGAACAGTGGGCAGCAAGAGCCAGAGGAAGCCCATCTAGCATAATACCAAGCGGCCACCATGGCTTTCCAGGGTGAATCAGAGGGGATATTCCCAGCCCCACCTAGAGTTGCCACTGGAATTTGAATACGGGACCTTCTGCAGGCCATGCAGGTGCTGTATCCCTAAGCTTTTCCCTCCAGAGGCTGTTCAAGCTGCCCTGCAACTGCTACATAAATAACAAAAATGTGTGTGTTAAGTGCATTCGTACAATGGACATCATATCCATAGTTTTGGAGATGTAGTTTGGAGACACGGAGCAATGGATCCAAACTACAAGAAAGAAGATTCCACCTAAACATTAGGAAGAACTTCCTGACAGTTAGAGCTGTTCGACAGTGGAATTTGCTGCCAAGGAGTGTGGTGGAGTCTCCTTCTTTGGAGGTCTTTAAGCAGAGGCTTGACAACCATATGTCAGGAGTGCTCTGATGGTGTTTCCTGCTTGGCAGGGGGTTGGACTCGATGGCCCTTGTGGTCTCTTCCAACTCTATGATTCGATGATTCTACGATATCTAGTTTGGCCCTTGGTTGTTCTGAGGAATCCTCTTGAGCATATTTCTCAGCAGCTTCCCTAATCTGGATTATGCTGTTCTAATACCAGCCATTTTACCCTGTGACCAGGAGTCCTTTGGAGTGCCAACAGTTCATTTCAGTGATCTAAAGTGGGCTTGCTCCAAAACTGTCCAAGTTGAACTTCTCCCTATATTCTTTCCTAGAAAAATGGCAAGACAGAAGGTCAGGGGAAAGGAGACCAGGAACATACTTCTAAGCAGTTGTTGTTGATATCGTCTGCTGTTCTCAACCAGTTTCTCTCTCTGAAGTTGACTTGCCTTTCTTGTCTCTTTCTCCTCCCCCACCCCCACCCAGCTGGCACAGATTTTGCCCACAGAGGAGAACTTCCTGCTGTGTTTCCGGCAGCACGTTGGCTCCAGTGCCGAATTCATGGAGGTAAGAAGAACTTGGCTCCTGCTATCTCATTTGGGGCTCCTCCAGACTGTGGTGGGTTTTGTTCTTAGCAGGTGAATTTTGCAAGATGCTGCTGACGCTGTAGGGGTGATTGGTAGTGGATTTGTACTGGGCCATCCACATCAATCTGCTTCGTTAGTTATTCTGTGTTGCTTCCCCAGTGTTATTACATTATTGCCATCTGGAAAGGCCCTCTTGCACTGCAGAGCACCGAGAGCAGGACAAAAAATACACAATAACATTTGTCATATGAAAAGTTACAGGATTTCAGCTCTGAGATAGGCACCAACTGGAAACGGGCCAGCCTGTTCGCCCCAGAACTTTTGCTACAGGGCTACGGCCCACTTAGTGAAGCAGAGGAGGCCAGGCCAGCAGGGCTGTCATAAGGTTGGCATTGGGCAACTTCTCCCTGGAAGCAAATAGGTGCTGTCTGCCCTAGAGGCACATAAATAAATAAAAATGCTACTGATATGTCGTCATCTTGAGACATACATCCAACAGCTGTGAAACAGCGATCCATCCAAGCAATTAAAATGAATAATAGGAAATGAATACCGTGTTGGGAAATGAAACTGGAGTCCATCTGTTGTTAGCTAATGGGCAAATTAAGTTGTGTGACAGGCACAGGCAATTAAATATTAAAATTGATCTGCTTATAATAATTTGTGCTTAAAATATTCATTCTTTCAATAATGAAGGTGAACCCTTGACACAGCGTTTTCCACTGTGCTGGCCTTTCTCCAGACGAAAACAATATTGAGAATCCTTTCCCACTGATACTGAAGATTTGGAAAGCGGTTGCTCTGTGACACAGGATGGCTCCAAAGACCATTTCTTAATTGATTGAACTGCTCTCTGATGGATTTTCAGTTACCGGCTCATTATTGCTTTTTCCTAATCTGCTGATTCATTTGTTATTTTCTTCATTATTGGTGCTGCTGCTCCTGCTGTTCTTAGCCACCTTGGGGCATTTTGTGAGAAGGTGGGTTATAAATCCCAAAATGTATAAAAATCAATATAAATGCAATTGTTGTGACAAATCTGTGCTCTTTCCATTGCAGGCTTGGCGGAAGTATGATACCGATCGCAGTGGCTACATCGAAGCCAATGAGCTCAAGGTGGGCTGAGCTGAGGTCAGGGCTAGGGGAAGATAGAACCAGATGCAAAATGGCTCACAGGGATAAACATCTTTTAAAAGTTAATGCCAATTGCATACTTGCATGCACACACACACATTTTCTAATGCACAAATAGCCTCTATGCAATATCAGTGCTCCCTTCTCTTCATAGCAAAGCACTTCTCTTCATAGTTGTCAATTTTTCCCTTTTCTTGCGAGGAATCCTATTAGGAATAAGGGAATTTCCCTTTAAAAAAGGGAAACATTGACAGCTATGCTTCTCTTTGGTTTTCAGTACTCTTTGTAATAGCCCTGTAGGGTTGGCTGGTGTTAAGATGGCCACATTATAGGTGGGAGCTGAGGTCGAGAGAGGCTTTCCTGTGCAAGCACAATGATGAAGTGAGATTTGACTCTCCCGGGTATTTTGTGGCTGGCAATTCACTCTTTGAAGCACTATTCTATAACAACGACCCCCCCTCCCCTGCTCTTCACAAAGCATCCATTGATCACGGCTCTGATACTGCTGTTGTCCTTAGCACTTGAGGCGTGGCGGAGTGGGAGGAAGAGCAGCAGCACTAAGAGGCGGCTTCAACAAGGATCCAAACAGTGGCAACAACATCTTTTGTTTGTGCTGAAAATGGCCTCCCTATCCATCACGTTGCCATGCTCTTACGTGTTTCCCCAGCTGCATCCAAATCTCTGCATGGAGCAGGCAAGAGGTGTAGACTTTGCAGCATCTCTTTGCTGTGGACTGAAGGAATGGAGGGGAATGGAGCTCCTCCTCATAGGGAACTCCAAGGACAAAAGAAAGGATCCGGCAGCTGGATCAGGCCAAAGTGCCCCTCTCTAGTCTGGCATGCTGCTCCCACCATGACCAGCCTGATGCCTCAGTAGGAAGCCCACCAGCCAGACCTGAGCACAGCAGCAGCTCTCTCCCTGCTTGTGATTCCCAGCAACTGACATTCAGATGCATACTGCTTCCAACTGTGGAGGAAGAAAATAGCCTTAGTGGCTATTGACTGATCTCCTCCTCTTCCGCCTCCTCCTCCTCCTCCTCCTCCTCCTCCTCCTCCTCCATGGGTTTGTCTGACCCTCTTCAAAAGCCACCCCCTGCCTGTGGGGTCCCTTCCAACTCTACAGTTCTATGATTGTATGTCACACTGAAAGGCACACTTATTTACAGTTTCTAGAGCACTTCTCGTGTGCAAATGCTTCTTGCTCTTTATTGTCACCACAGCATTTGCCTCTTACCCCCATTTTACAAATCGAGACTCTAAACCAAACAGAAGTCACTTTTGGTCAAGGGAAGAGTCTCTTGTTAAAAGGCAGCGCTGCAGCTTTTATGCACAGCTCATTCCACTTCTTACTGTAATGTCCTGCTAGGAGATGTCTGGCCTTACTGTGGTGGGATTCTCTTTGCCTGCTTCCCCTACAGTGTCACGGGGGACTGGGGTCAGTGGTGGTGGTGTTTATGCAGGAAGGACAGTTGTAGCTGCCTTTTTCAGCAACAGTTGAGTCCTCCCCAGGATGCCTCATTTCTTCTGCATTTCTGTGCTTGCTTCCTAGGACATCAAGGCCTGTTGAGCTTATGGTTGAGCTTAGTTTTGAGTGGGCATGTTTACGATGGGGCTTTAAATCAATCTGCGCCTTCTCATGCCTTCTCTTTTTGTAGGGATTTCTTTCGGACTTGCTTGAAAAAGCCAACCGGCCCTACGACGAACCAAAGCTGCAAGAATATACACAGACCATCGTAAGTGCAAGAAGCCCCCTGGGAGTAGGAAGGTCTCCTGTGGGGATGGAGAGGTCCATTGCTCAACTCCAGAACTGCCTGCAGGCTTCCTCTGTCCCCCATAGGCTGTATCCCCCAAAAGCTCCTGCCACAACTAATTAGTTAGGCTTTAAAAGTGCCCTCTCTGGCTGCAGTCCACATCAGCTTTCTTCAACCTGGTGCCCTCCAGATGTTTTAGACTACAACTCCTAACCTTGGAAAGTTTGTTTTGTTTTTCCAAAGACACCAGAAGTGTCTTCCGTTTTCTTTTTTCCAAGGGAATCTGGAGAAGAGGAAGCAAGTAGGCTTCTTCAGGGACTGCTGTGCTACCTCTGCCGATTTCAGCAGAGGCTGTGTTCACACTCTGATTGACTGTGCACTCCCAGCAGATCCAGTTCTGGGTTTTTAATCTGTGGTCGTTATGCCAAATGCATGTGTATTCTGTCCTTCATTATAAAATGCTACTGTTTGATGCCATTGTTTCACAAACAGCTTCATACTGACTGGGGTCCTTGAGCCGCAGCCAAGGTGCAAAAACACCTTTGCATGGGGTAGAGACATCGCTGCCCTGTCAATGCCCACTAGTGTGTACACAAACAGAAACAAGTCTGACACAAATGAAGCTGTGCTGATTTGAACAGCTAAAGGAGAAAGAGCTGTGAAATGCAGCTTCACTGCACTTTAAGGTGGTAATATGAATACACTTCACATTGCATTGCATTGCATTGCAGAGGGGCAATGAAAAGAGGCCACCTGGTAGGAGCCACCCAGAGTCAGGGGTGGAGGAAGGAGGGTGCAGTGGGTGCAGTCTGCCCTGGGTGTCACCACTGAGGGGGGTGACGAAATGCCGGGTGGCACTCACCGCAGGGCCTGCAACACGCCCAAGCCACGCATCTCTCCTGGGAGAGATGTGGTGGCTTGGGTGCACGTAGGCTCCGTGCTGCCCAAATGGTCCGCCCACTGCCTCCCCCCCAGCTGTAGGGCAGCTGAGTGGGAGGAGGCAGGCAGACTCTGGAGGCCCTGTGGTGCCTGTTGATTTAAAGCAGAGTCTGTCGTGCCCAGCGGAAGGATGAGGAATACGTGATACATACTCTATATTGCTTTATTTACAGTTCAAAGCTGGTATATTACAGAAAGACATCTTGCCTCTGCAAGAGCAGAAAAATGCATCCTCTCTCCTCGACAGCTTGGAGAGAAAAACACAGTGAAAAACAGGAAACCAGTGTACGTCACATCCAGTCTCCCTTTCCCGTGAGAAACTCCAACAGTACAGACTGTGGAATGTAAACACCTGTCTTGTGACTGCAGTTGCTGCTCAGTGAAGGAAATAGAAACCAACATCCTCCCCTTTCTGTGAACATCACTGGGCAGCGTGTTCGTACAGTATCAGTACAAACCCAACTTCTGCACATAGGTACAGTGTTGATCCCTTGATACAATCCTGGACAATACATCAGCAGGAATTTCATTACCTGACATATAGGACACCGTTACGAGTCCCTTCTGAATACATTCCCTAGCATGCTGCAACTTTAATTGCAAGTGCTTTGTGCTTTGCTTACAACCTTCAGACTTTAGCAAAGCCAAACATGCTTTGTTGTCCTGGTAAACCTGGATTGGACATTTGACAGGAATTTTCATATCTTTGCACAATTGTACTAACCATTCATAATCCTTAAGTGAATAAGACAGTGCATTCAGTTCAGCTTCACAAGTACTTAAGCTAACTGTTGTTTGCTTCTTGCATGACCAATCAAACAGACTCTGATTGTACATGTAGCAAACTCCAGACGTACTTTTCCTGTCTGTAGTGTCACTTCCAAAACTTGCATCTGCAAATATCTCAAGACCACCAGACTTCTGATTGTTAAATCTCAGTCTGTAATGCATAGTGCCTTTCAAATACCGCGCTATGCGTTTCAGAGCTTTCCAATCCTTGACACTAGGATTGTTGACTTGTCTGCTTAGCAAATTACAGCTAACAGCAATGTCTGGTCTTGAACATCTGGCAATGAAGTTTAGCTTGCCTAGCACACTCCTGTACAGTGTAGTGTCAGAAAATGCTTCTTCAGTGTCATCTACCTGATAACCTGTTGTCATCGGTGTGTCTACAGGGTTAGCATCCATCAGATTTAGTTTGCTTAACACATCAGCAATTTTCCGTGACTGGTGTACTAGAATGTTACCATCTTGATTTCTCTCTATTTCCAGAGATAGGTAGTTGTTTACCTCACCAAGATCTTTCATGTCAAAGTGCTCTTTCAGTTGAGCTAGGGCGCTATTGTACATTGCAACATCTTTCCAAAAGAATAATAAATCATCAACATAAAACAAACAGTACAGTTTCTTTTGCCCCTCCTCTTTGACAAATACACATGGATCAGCTTTCCCTTGCTGAAAACCTAGAGAAAACAATACTTCAGTGAGTTTTGTGTGCCAACACCGTGCACTTTGTTTGAGACCATAAAGGGATTTCTTCAGAGCACAAACAAATCCCTGTTTTACCTGTACGCCATCAGGTGGAAGCATATAAAGTGATTCATCTAGAGATCCGTACAGAAAAGCTGTATTAATATCATGGTGACTAATGTGTAGATTTTCCTCTGCAGCTAGCTTGAGCATAAGCCTAATGCTTTCATATCTCACTGTGGGTGAATAGGTCTCGTGATAGTCTTCACCTGGTACCTGTGCAAAACCTCTGGCTACCAATCTGGCTTTGTGTCTGACTATCTTGCCATTTTGATCTGTCTTCGCTTTGAAGACCCATTTGCTTCCAAGCAGTTTCATTCCTGGAACTACTGGAACTAGCTCCCATGTTTTGTTCCTTTCTAAGGAATCAAGCTCAGCCTTCATGGCATTTAACCATGGCTCAGCTTCCTTTGAATCCAAACCCTGGATTTCTTGGAAACTTGAAGGTTCAAATACCTTCTTGGAGCTTTTAACAGCTGTTACTGCTATCGTAGCAAACTCATCAGCAAATCTCTTTGGAGGTTTGCTTTTGTGGCTCTCTGTGACCTACGAATTAGCCTTAAGTCTTCAACACTCTCCTCTTCCTTCTTAGGAGAAAAACGACCTATTGTGAACAATGGTTCCTCTAATTCTTGATCAGAGCTTTCAGAGGGTCGCATAGAGGCTTTCGCACTCTCGAAATCCTCTGAATCACCCGATTCAGTTTCAGATTCAGACTCAGAACCTTCATCAGTGGGTGTGGGTTGTTGTGGTTGCTTTTGACTATCCTCAGTTTCATCACCGTCATCAGGATAACATTGGAAAATTCCCACATTCTCCCCCCACTTTGCATTGTACTCGGCACTTCTCGTGAGCTTAATTGTCTTAGAGTCAGTCATCATTATTCTGTAAGACCCTTTCTGATAACCTAGAAAGATACCATGCAATCCACGCTTGTCTAACTTGGAGTTTTGTGGTGAGCGAACCCACATGTCAGAACCAAAAATCTTCATGTGTTTGATGTATGGCTTCTTGCCAAACATCTTCTCATAGAGGTACAATCAATCGCTGAAGATAATCTGCGATTGTAACTGTAAACAAAACACGAGAGAGATTCGGCCCAATAACTCTCTGGAAGATTGGCATCATGCAGCAAGGTTTTTAATCCTTGAAGCAATGTCTGATTTGCCCGTTCCGCAAGTCCATTCTGCCATGGCGAGCGAGGACTAGACAAATCGTGTTGAATTCCTTTCTCAGTCAGAAAAGCTTCAAACTGCTGAGAAGTGAATTCCCCCCCGCGATCACTGAAAAGAGTCTTTATCTTCTTACCATGCACATTTTTCAACCAAGCACAGAATTCCTTGAACCTAGGAAAAGCCTCCGATTTCTGCTTGAGATTGTACACAAAAATATATCTAGAAAATGCTTCAATGAGAACCATGAAGTATCTATTTCCACCCAAAGAGGGCGCAAGTGGTCCAACCAAATCAGCATGAACAACCTGGTATGGTTCTGTAGCTTTCCTACTAGACACCTTACCTTTCGCAGCCATTTTCACCTTGTTTGCTGCGCATGCTTTGCACTTCATGTGGTACCTGCAGGGTTTAATAGTCATACCTTCAACCAAGGCAGGCATTTTAGATACTGCCTCAAAATGCAAATGACCAAATTTGCGATGAAAATCGTGAATACATTCTGCATGCAAACTTTTGTTAGAACCTGCAATGCAACAAGTGTCATCCTGCACCACATCATCATAATACAAAACAAACAAATGATCAACATATTCTGCATGCAATACATAATCATTTTTCTTTGTGATGATGCACTTCTTGTTCTTGAAGGAAACGTCAATGTTCCGCTCATTCAGCTGTCCAACGCTGAGCAGATTATGTTTGGCGTCTGGCACGTAAAGCACATTCTGTATCGATAAGTCCAAACTGTGAAGAACAACAGTTCCGTAGCCTTTACTGGGAATAGTGTGGTCATCCGCCTGGTGAATCGCACCTTCCTGCGGTGTAAAAGACACAAACAGTCTCTTATCGTTGCACATGTGGTGGGTGGCCGCTGAATCAACAACGAAGAAAGATCTAGACGTCTTCTGGACCTCTGCAACCTTTGGAGTGAAGCGTGAAACCATAGCCTTGTGCTGCGTTGTCCTAGACACCGGACCTTTGCCTTTGCCTCGGCCTTTTCTGCGCGATGAGCTTTCGCTGCGCTGCTCTGTCTTGGCCCTGGGATGTCTGCATTCCCTCTTCATATGGCCTAGACGTCCACACGAGTTGCATTTCACTGCCTTCAAAGCTTTGGCGCCATCTGGTGGTTCCACTGCACTATGGGATGACGTCTGTGAAGACTCCCCCTTGCCCATGCAGCTAGCACCACGGCGATCTGCTTCATTTAAAATCACGGCAGTAACAAAGTCCACTGTCAGCTGAGCAGTTGGTTGTACAGCAATCTGGGTTGCAACAGACTCCCAACCTGAACCCAAAGATTGTAGTATCATGAAAGAATACACAGCCTCTGGAAAATTGAGTCCTCTCTGTTGCAGCTCATGTCTCAGATTTTGCATCTGCATCAGATGTAAACGCACATCTCCACCTTCAGCAAGAGCCATATTATGCAGCTTGTTAAAATAATACATAGTGGATCCAGCTTCTGTCCTTAAGTGAGCCTCTCTCAGAGCGTCCCAAATTTCTCTGGCTGAGGTCTTATCACGCAATAGACAGAGCTCTTCTGGGGATACTATCAATGTAAGAGTTCCCCTTGCTTTGGAATCCTTAGCTTCCCATGCATCTGTAACTGGAACTGGGGGGGTTTCTGTAATCACCTCAAACAAACCCTCTTTCCGCAGAATTCCCTCTGCATACAGAACCCAGTCGCTGTAATTTTTCTTGTTGAGCTTAGGAATCCCACAAGCATCCTGAAGGGCCATCATGACTCTGGCATTAGCCTTCAGCGTCATATGCTGCTTTAAATCTTGCTGCGTCACTGCTGCAGCTGCTTTATTACAAAGGCACACTTAAAAGTTACTTTCGATTTCCCCAGCATAGTGACTTGTGCCTGGGAGCCTTTTGCCTGTTCCCGGCAAAACCGGCTTTAAAAGTTCAAAGTCCAGCCATAAAGCCATTAATTTGAAGCTGGCAGGCTGCCCGGAGCAGTAGCACATACCTCATCAATCACTTCTACGCGCAGAGCAGATTCCTTTCCGATCCGTCCCTCTGCATTCCGATCCTTTGCCGGCACTCCGATTCGACCTCTGGAGTCCATAACCACGTGTTGATTTAAAGCAGAGTCTGTCGTGCCCAGCGGAAGGATGAGGAATACGTGATACATACTCTATATTGCTTTATTTACAGTTCAAAGCTGGTATATTACAGAAAGACATCTTGCCTCTGCAAGAGCAGAAAAATGCATCCTCTCTCCTCGACAGCTTGGAGAGAAACACACAGTGAAAAACAGGAAACCAGTGTACGTCACATCCAGTCTCCCTTTCCCGTGAGAAACTCCAACAGTACAGACTGTGGAATGTAAACACCTGTCTTGTGACTGCAGTTGCTGCTCAGTGAAGGAAATAGAAACCAACAGTGCCCCCCGCCCTCGCCCCCGCTCCTATAGGTGCGCCCCAGGCACCCGAGCGGCTTCCTCCACCGCTGCCCAGAATGGCTGGGACAACCCAACCAGATGGGTGGCATATAAATAATAAAATTATTGTTACTCTCATTAGGAGTGTCTTGTTGCAGGCCAAACCTTTAACTTAGGAGCCACTCACAGACTGTCGCTTTCTGACCCCACAGCTGCGAATGTTTGACTTGAATGGGGATGGGAAGCTCTGCCTGTCGGAGATGTCACGGTAAGATTCATAGAATCCATAGGGTTGGAGGGGATCCCAAGGGTCATCTCAGTCACCCCCTGAAATGCAGGAATCACACCTGACGGATGGCCGTCCAACCTCTGTTTAAAAATCTCTAGTGAATGGGAGTCCACCACTTTCCAAGGGAGTCCATTGATCCATCACATTGTTATAAGCCCCAAAAAGCCAAACATATTTCTTTGGTTGTCACTTTTCTGGCAGGGAAAACTCTGATTTTGACTGAGAGTTTGCTGCTCCTGCCCTTCCCAAACAATGCTCTCATGCCCTCAGACCTCCCTACACCCCTCCATATGGCAGGAATAATATAAGTGTAGAATCTCTTTTTCTCTGGGCGCAATCTCCAATGTACCCTTCCAGTGTGAATAGTTGAGTTTCTTCCTGAGTAATCACCAACCTGGTGCTTTCCCTCTGTTTTGGACTACTACAGCTCTCCTCACCCTCAGCCAGCACAGCCAATGGGAGCTGCAGTCCAAAAGAATGAGGTGGTAGGCATTTTCCAGGTTGCGCAAGGCTGGATCAGTGTGGAATAGTGGTTAGTGTGTCAGACTAAGATCCAGGAGACCAGAGTTCAAATCCTGACTCGCCCACGAAGCACGCTGGGTGACATTGGCCCAGTTAAATTTGGCCCGCAGCCTCACCTACCTCACGGTCACACCCATTTAACCCACATCTTGAGCAGAGGGGTTTCTTGCCACTTGTCCCTGTAAGATGACCATGTTTCAAAAGGACTTCTGAGGCAAATGTCTCCAATCCCAGTAAGGCACGGTCCAGTTTCCAACTATCATCCCAGCTCCAGAAATCCACATTCCATCTAAAAGTTTGCCCCAAGCAAAATGCATCTGGAACTGACAGACAAAACTCACCTATTCAGAGGTGGTGCTGATCCCTTTTCTTCCTGGCAAAAGTCACGCTGTACCTTCTTTTGTCTGACATTATCCCATTCATGTTGCAGACTATTGCCTGTGCAAGAGAACTTCCTTCTTAAGTTTCAGGTAAAAAAAAGTGGTGGTGGGATGTTGGTGCGGTTGCTTTCCTACTGTTTATCTTAATCCATGAGTAGGCAAACTAAGGCCCAGGGGCCGGATCCGGCCCAATCGCCTTCTAAATCTGGCCCGCAGACAGTTTCAGAATCAGCGTATTTTTACATGGGTAGAATGTGTCCTTTTATTTAAAATGCATCTCTGGGTTATTTGTGGAGCCTGCCTAGTATTTTTACATGAGTAGAATGTGTGCTTTTATTTAAAATGCATCTCTGGGTTATTTGTGGGGCATAGGAATTGGTTCATCCCCCCCCAAAAAAATATAGTCCAGCCCCCCACAAGGTCTGAGGGACAGTGGACCGGCCCCCTGCTGAAAAGGTTTGCTGACCCCTGTCTTAATCAATTTCTCTTTCTCATTTATTCAGGGAATGAAGCTAGATTCCGATGAATTCAATGCTATCTTTGCATTTTATGACAAGGTACAATATCTAGATCTTCACTCACCCCTTCTTCCCTGGCCGGGGGGGGGGGGGGGGCTCAGGGGCCAAAATGTCTTGGGCTGGCCATGCATGGAACTCTCTTCTGGCCCAAAGGAGCCTCAGCTTAGTCTGTTCTCCTTGGGGCAATGAGTAGGCGTGTGAAGAAAGCCATTCAGCTGATTTTGTTTCAACAGTTTGCCAAGTTGACCACTTTGTTCGAATAAAGTACGGTTTTCCTATGATGATGCTTATATTTCCAGGGTTGCAAACAAGAAAGCAGCTATAAAGCAGAAAATTTTCAAACAGCTGGGATGGAGAGTAAGGCTGGTGTGGCTGCAGATTACAAGTGAAGGAAGAGAAGACTTACAGGGGTGGGGAATAGTGTGCCTTGATCTTATGCGTTGAAAGAATAGTCTAATCTTTCTCTATTATCTCCTACCATTAATATCCAGGATGGAAACGGCTTCATTGATGAGAATGAATTAGATGCTCTTCTGAAAGATCTCTATGAGAAGAACAAGAAAGTGAGTGCATAAGGTGGTGTGTGTGTGTGGGTGTGTGTGTGTGTGTGTGTGTGTGTGTGTGTGTGTGTGTGAGAGAGAGAGAGAGAGAGAGAGAGAGAGAAGAACACACAAGATTGGGTGGGGGCAGGGTCTCCTCACCCCAGAGCACACGTTATGAGGAATGTCCAAGCACTTACTGTGAAGATTATAGCCAGATGCACAAACATCAAGTGAGAAAATTTCTTTGCAAATCTGTCCCAAAAACGATGTCTGAAAGATTGCACCTTTGTACCCTTTCCTTATTGGTGCAAATGCACTGCTAGCAATTGGAGGCTTAATTCAAAATGGAGCCTCAGGAAGAATTCTGGTTTTAAAATTCATACACTTAAAACTGCATGTGAAAAACTTTTCATTCCCCATAGTCAGAACTTGGAATTTTTAAGTGTAAGATTTGATATTTCAGTGTAGTTGGCTTTCAGCTTTTATTAAACATTTACTTTTTGTATCCAGCTTTGTAGGAGTGAAAGAGGGATGATTGTTGAGTTCTGGGCTCATGATATTAGGGGTGTGTGTGTGTGTGTGTGTGTTGGTCTCTGTGTGTTTTGAGACAAATCACCTTTCGTCCACAGCAGCTTGGAGCGATATACAACAGGTATGAACTGCATAACACAGACATCAATAAAACAGTAACTAAAATAAAAGTGTTAATGCAAAACTAAGAAGTTATTAAAATATTCATTCACATATTGTTGCTGCGGGTGAAAATCCCATAAATAAACTACAGAAGCCTGGATAAAAGAGTCCTCATTTGCCCTCTGAAGACCAGCAATGAGGGTGACAATCCTACCTTAAGGGGGAGACGATATCAAAGCTGGGAGCTTCACCACAGAATTCCCTTTCTGATTATTCCCTTTCCCAAATATTGTTTGGGACCATAAGCAGATCACCCTGGGGTTTTTTTACATTAAATTAGGAGGCTAAGAAGTGCATTATATGATTCCTGCATTGCAGGAGGTTAAACCAGATGGTCCCTTGGGCCCCTTTCAATGCTACAGTTTGTAGAATCATATAACTGTAGAGCTGGAAGGGACCCCAAGGGTCATCTAGTCCAACCCCCTGCAATTCAGGATTCTCAGCTAAAGTATCCATGACAGATGGCCATCCAACCTCTGCTTAAAAACCTCCAAGGAAGGAGTGTCCACAACCTCCCGAGGGAGACCATTTGCTAAGTATTCCATTCTCTGCCATTTGCTCGACATTCCAGTTCTCTAAAGCCTTGCTCTGAACTTCGCTCCCCTCTCCAGTGAAATTTCATTGCTCCCTCCCCTGTTCTTTTCCCTTTGCCAGGAAATGGGCATCCAGCAGCTGACCAACTACAGAAAGAGCATCATGAATCTGTCCGATGGGGGGAAACTTTACCGCAAGGAACTGGAGATCGTTCTCTGCAGTGAGCCCCCTCTGTAAAGATGAGCCGCCCCCTCCACGACTCAACCCGCCGCCCCCCGCCCTGCCACAACCAACCACAAAGGCAAAGGAAAAAGGAAAAAAAGACCACGAGGAGCAACGGGAGGCCGACTGTCCAACCTGTACCTGGGCAATCCACTTGACCCCGCAAGGCTTGGCTTGCTGATCTGCTTGCTGACTTTGGGCACACAATTGCTGCCGGATGGTGGCGCCTCCTCTCCCAGAGGAGGCTCTGATCCAAACCATCAGTTTCCTCTTCCTGCTTGTTTCTCTCTCTGTGTTGGTTACCATAGTTTGTGTCCTGTACATCCTCAGATCTGGAGTGTATTTTATTTTTGCTCTTAATTTTTATCTTTTGCTTTCTTTTCACACTAAGTCTTCTTGATTACCAAAGAAGAGTTTACAAATAAAACTGATCTTCTGCTACGGGAATTGTGTAGTTGCATCTTTTCATTCCCTAAACGTTGCAAGGCTCTGCAAGGATGGGCCAGATTTTCAAGAGGGCAGACTTGGCACCCATTCAAATCCCTCTTTGACTGAAACTGGAAGAATCTAATATGCCCAGATCTTGGCAATGCAAAAGTGCAGCTGGCTTTCCCTTCTCATTGTAGACACTCTTTGGGGTGGGAAGAATCAGTGACTTACTGAAGTTAGCAATTTGTGACTTGGCTCATTACGGCTGTCTACACACAGCAATTTAAAGTGGATTTGATGCATCTGAGGTGTGTGTCATCCGCATGACATTCTCATCCAATTAGCAGCCCACACTCCCCCCCCTTTAATCTGGATTTCCTGATCTGCAGATAATGTGGCAAGGGGGGAAGGTTGGGAATTCAACATGTTACCCAATTCTGGACATACTGAAATGTTTTTAAGCAGAGGTTGGATGGCCATCTGCCATGGATGCTTTAGCTGAGATTCCTGCTATTGGGGGGTTGGACTAGATGACCCTTGGATCCCTTCCAGCTATAAGATTCTGTGAAGCACCTTGTCGGGGCAGGATTGGGCTTTTAAAATGTGTTTAGTGACGTTTTTCTGGGTGCTACCCCCTACATTCCTACTTCCATTGATGGATTCCTGCTGGGAGTGGCACAACACATTAAAATAAAGAAAATTAATGTGCTGTTTTATGCAAGTCTGGTATATCAGAAAACTTGTATTTAATTTTTTATTTTATTTTTAGATGACCACACACACACACGTAAATCAATGTCTGTAAGCTTGCTCACAATGAATCTCAGGCTTCCAGAACTCAGGGTGGGTGGAGGAAGTACTAATAGATGGGAGGGGACAACAGAACTCATCAAGCACCACCCACTAGTGTGGGTAGGAAAGATTGAGGCAGAGTTCAATTGAAAGCTGGCATGTGTGAATGAATGTGCATAAAAGCACACATGGAAAAATCTAATCTGTGACACCCACATGTGCATGGACACTCTGGGATGACCTGACATACCAATATGGAACAACACTTGGTGGGGAAGTGAAAGCATGGCTGGATAAGCACACTGGATCATTTCCTTCCTTCCCCCAAATATGGGGTTTAGACCCCAATCCATTTCACCCATTCCGCCTGTGTGCATATATTTCTAACTTAGGGACGTGGGTGGCACTGTGGTCTAAACCACTGAGCCTGTTGGATTGCCGATCAGAAGGGCGGTGGTTCGAATCCCTGCAACTGGGTGAGCTCCCGTTGCTCAGTCCCAGCTCCTGCCAACCTAGCAGCTCAAAAGCACGCCAGTGCAAGTAGATAAATAGGTACCACTGCGGCAGGAAGGTAAATGGAGTCACGGTGTTCTGTTGCACCAGAAGCAGTTTAGTTATGCTGGCCACATTACCCGGAAAGCTATCTGTGGACAAACGCCAGCTCCCTCGGCCTGAAAGTGAGATGAGCGCCGCAACCCCATAGTCACCTTTGACTGGACTTAACCGTCCAGGGGTCCTTTACCATTTTTACCTTATATGTTTCTAACTACTAATAAGAACAAACTGGATTTTTTAGTATTGTGAATTGTTATAACTGGAAACAAGGAACAGGAACAGATGTGAGTGAAGCCCTCCCCACTACGCCCTGAGCCCTCTACAGATGGGGCATGGACAGTGAAGGCTTTCATAGAAACTCTCTGTACATATTCAATAGTCTTTCCAAAGCTAGTGGAAGGGGGTGGGGAGGGAAACATGCTTGGTAATGAATGTCATATTTTTAAAGAGCAGCTGACATTTTCATCTTGATAAGATCGAAGTTCAGGGCACTCAGCATTGTTTCCTCTAATTGCCAAGTTAGCCAGCAGATGGCTTCTAGCAAAAATTCTGTGGAACACAAGGAGGCTCTGATGTCCAATGGGAGACAAAACAAGATCAGACAGGCAACATCTGCTGGGCTAGTCTTAATTGCAGCAAATTGCAATCTATGCTGAGGCTAAATTAGGACAGGTGTGAACAGGCGCACCAAGACCACCTGACTGTTCCACAGTACAGGGTGCATTGAATCCACCCAGAAGCACCAACAATAGATGTTTTCCCTTGGCGCATCTCTGAATGCAGCTGGAATTTTGTTGTTGTTGTTCTTGAAACTAGAGCATTCGCCCCCATTAGTGCTGGACCTCTTAATTAGTGGGCTCTGGGATTCGCCCCCAGGGCCTGTCTCTTTTGAGAGGCTATTAAACAAATCTTAAAAGGCAGGGAGCCTTTGGTAGCCTCTCACTGGGCTCAGCCTTGATTGACCACAGTGGAAGATTTGTGCTTTGGGGGGAAGAATGCGATGCGGTCTTCATTATCCTGTGTGGCAGCCAAAAAGATAGTCTTAAAGCAGCTGAGAGCTACAATAAGGGTTGCTCTAAATAAACATCAATAAATAGTTCAAACAAAACAGATGCCAACCATTTAGGTCTGCTATACACATTTTTCTTATGTGTATAGTTAATAAATGTTAACCACATTTTTTTCTAAAAGTATGAATATATCTGAGATTTATACACATGACTGGGCCAAGACATTTTACAGCCTGAGGCAAGGACAAGGTGGTCTCTTCACTTCCTCCACACCACACACACATCCACAGAGAAACAGGAAGCTGCTTTATATTAAGGTTACCAGACATCCATCCCCGGATTTACAAATCAGTCCCCTGACAAAATCCATTGAAGTTGAAAAGTGTCCCCAGATTCATTGAAAAAAATCTGGTAACCTTACTTTCTACTGAGTCAGACCATTGGACCATCTAGCTCAGTATAGTCTGCACTGACTGGCAGCAGCTCTTCATTCTTTCAGCCAGAGAAAAGTCTTGTCCAGCCCTGTGTGGAGATGCCAGTGGGGATTGAACCTGGGAGCTTCTGAATTCAAAGAATATGCTCTGCCACTGAGCTATATGCCCCCCCCCCAAGAAAAATACAAAGTCAGAAATTAAGACAGATTATTCAACTGCTGCAGGTAACAGGGCAGGATCCTAAGGGCAGTAGACTTGCTCAGAGGTGCAGGTCTGGTCCCATGACACACACACAGCTCTGCCCTATAACAACTGCCCTCTGAGGCTGCATCTTCACTCTGCCTCACAGTGAATAATTCCTTTGGTGTTTATACTTCTTTTGATTTGTGTAGCAACCTTTTATCAAGAACTAACATTTCCCATAACTGACTGAACCATTCTAGCATAGATGTGCATTTGGTTTCTATATTTATCTGGTTGCTATTAAATATTTAGCTGCCGCTACTAAATGTAAAATGAATTCCTTCCACAACTGGGGAGCAGAGCACCTAAAAGTACAGCTGCTGATCACACACTTAACAATCGTTTTCATCAATGCAGTTTGAGGACGTGACTTTGGTAGCTGAGGGATTGGGCCAGTGACTCCATATTTACACCAGAGTCAGTGGAGTATGAGACTGAATTTCAGAGTCGTGGGTTTGAGTCCATTGGGCTAAAGATTCCTGCATTGCAGGGGGTGGACTGCATGACTCTCGTGCATGGGCATAGCCAAGATTTTTGTTGGAGGGTGCAGGCTTTTGTTAGTGTGGCAGAACCTCAGATTTGCATGATTTAGGGGGTACAGCTACCCCCCTTGGCTACGCCCATGCCCTCATAGTTCCTTCCAATTTGACAATTCAGTGATTCTATATCTGATGCAACAAAGCTAGTGTACAATGCCACCTAGCGACAAATTTGAGAGCTACGGTAATTCTTCAATGCTTTCAGAGCAAAAAGGAAATGAACTTAAGATGACTAAATATTGGTAGAAGTTTTGGGATCAATTGTCACTCTTCAATGCATCTCATTGACCACTTATTAATATACAGGAGGTCCTTTGACCAAATGATGAAAAACCAAATGATTATAGACATATGATGCTTACGCTTTAAAATAAAGAGGTATTCAAAGCAGGTGGGATTGCTGGACACCTGGCAGCTAACATGTGATTTGTTGTTGTTGTTTAGTCGTTTAGTCGTGTCCGACTCTTTGTGACTCCATGGACCAGAGCACGCCAGGCGCTCCTATCTTCCACTGCCTCCCGCAGTTTGGTCAGACTCATGTTTGTAGCTTCGAGAACGCTGTCTAACCATCTTGTTCTCTGTCGTCCCCTTCTTCTTGTGCCCTCAATCTTTCCCAACATCAGGGTCTTTTCCAGGGAGTCTTCTCTTCTCATGAGGTGGCCAAAGTATTGGAGCCTCAGCTTCACGATCTGTCCTTCCAGTGAGCACTCAGGGCTGATTTCCTTAAGAATGGATACGTTTGATCTTCTTGCAGTCCATGGGACTCTCAAGAGTCTCCTCCAGCACCACAGTTCAAAAGCATCAATTCTTCGGCGATCAGCCTTCTTTATGGTCCAGCTCTCACTTCCATACATCACTACTGGGAAAACCATGGCTTTTACTATACGGACCTTTGTTGGCAAGGTGATGTCTCTGCTGTTTAAGATGCTGTCTAGGTTTGCCATCGCCTTTCTCCCAAGGAGCAGGCGTCTTTTAATTTCGTGACTGCTGTCACCATCTGCAGTGATCATGGAGCCCAAGAAAGTAAAATCTCTCACTGCCTCCATTTCTTCCCCTTCTATTTGCCAGGAGGTGATGGGCCCAGTGGCCATGATCTTCGTTTTTGTGATGTTGAGCTTCAGACCATATTTTGCGCTCTCCTCTTTCACCCTCATTAAAAGGTTCTTTAATTCCTCCTCACTTTCTGCCATCAAGGTTGTGTCATCTGCATATCTGAGGTTGTTGATATTTCTTCCGGCAATCTTAATTCCGACTTGGGATTCATCCAGCCCAGCCTTTCGCATGATGAATTCTGCATATAAGTTAAATAAGCAGGGAGACAATATACAGCCTTGCCGTACACCTTTCCCAATTTTGAACCAATCAGTTCTTCCATATCCAGTTCTAACTGTAGCTTCTTGTCCCACATAGAGATTTCTCAGGAGACATATGAGGTGATCAGGCACTCCCATTTCTTTAAGGACTTGCCATAGTTTGCTGTGGTCGACACAGTCAAAGGCTTTTGCATAGTCAATGAAGCAGAAGTAGATGTCTTTCTGGAACTCTCTAGCTTTCTCCATAATCCAGCGCATGTTTGCAGTTTGGTCTCTGGTTCCTCTGCCCCTTCGAAATCCAGCTTGCACTTCTGGGAGTTCTCGGTCCACATACTGCTTAAGCCTGCCTTGTAGAATTTTAAGCATAACCTTGCTAGCATGTGAAATGAGTGCAATTGTGCGGTAGTTGGAGCATTCTTTGGCACTTCCCTTCTTTGGGATTGGGATGTAGACTGATCTTCTCCAATCCTCTGGCCACTGCTGAGTTTTCCAAATTTGCTGGCATATTGAGTGTAGCACATGTGATAGTCATAACCAAAGACAACCACCCACAACCTAGGTCACTCCCAACCTCTCTCACCATCAAGGAAATACAGCAAGCAAATAATAACTCATACAAGTTATGTTGACACAAAACTCCACACATACACTAAGTAGAAGAAACATAACCACCCAACCCCACCCTACTCGCCATTCCCCTCTTTCCCCCCTAACCTAATACTACATGCAATGCAAATGTCTCACAACAAATGAAACGGATCTGTAGAAAACGCAATTGGGGGGAAAAGAGACAATGCACGTATTTTTGAAAACTAAGAAATCTTTAATAAAAAATTATTTTTAAAAATACACCATTGGACTGGTCCATCTGAACTTGTCACTGTATTTTAGAGAGTAGTTTACCCTGTCCCTGGAATAGACTCCCATAGAAATGTCATCATTGATAGAAACTCCCACTTGGATGACATAGGAGAAATAGTTTGGGAAGGAAAAATATAGTGTGAACATCATGTGCCAGTTGGCATAAGTCTGTGCGATCTGTTTTCCACTCCTGCAGTGCCTGTCTCATGAAGCCCACCAACTACATCTGTAAAATAATAAAATATTTTGTTGTCGGCGAGCTGGCTGCCCTTCCCTGCGGCTCCTCTTTCCGCCTCAAGGCGGGGCCAAGCAAAGCGGCCTTCCCTTTCCCTGAGTCTCGAGGCCGAGGCCCGCCCCACAGCCAGCTAGCGCCGCCCTCCTTCCTTCCCTCGATCGGTGCGGCCTGTGGGAAGCGCGGCGTTGACTCCGCCTCCTTCCGGCTTCCTCCAGGCCAAGGCAGCAGCTGCAGCCGCCACCGCCGCAGGTTCCTCTCCATTCCGCCCGCTCCGCCATGGCGCTCCTTCACTCCGCCGCCGCCGGCAGCCGCCTCCTGCTCCTCCCGCCGCCCTGCCTGGCCTCCCTCGCCGCCCGAGCCAGGTAACGCGCGCCGCGGGGCGGGAAGGCCTCGACCGGCTACATCCATGCACCTCTCCGACTCGACACGTGTCGCGCTCGCCCCGCCACAGCGCCTTCGAAGGCAGCTCGAGCCTCCGTCGCGTGCGGACGCTCTCGACTCGTGTCAGGACGGGGACGTGTGTGAATGGGGCCTGAGGGCCGGAAACCCCGGCGTGTTGGACGAGAGAGGGAGTTGGCGGGTCAGGACACCGGCCCGGCCAATGCTGAATGCGCGAAAAGGCGATTCGGTGGGGAGAGCACCCCTCCACCTTTATGTCCTTTGGCAGGGCCCGTCGCTCGCGTTTGGTGCACGCGGCCGGCTGGGGAGATGGTCGGCGGCCTTGATTGGCTGCGATGAAGGGCGGGAACACAGGGGCTTCCTCGGATTGGCTGGAAGACGGTGGCGTTGGCCTTGGACTTGAGTGCCCTTGGAGAGGTTTTGGAGGGCGGTGGGAAGGGACAGAGACTGCAAAAAAACCGCAACCCTCCAGGCCTGTGTGTATGTAATACACGAGCTATAATTCTGCCCACATTTACCTGGGAGTAAACCCCATTGGATTCACTGGGACGTCCCTGCTTAGGAATGTGCTTTGGTTGCCTTATCCCATGCGGTCAAAGTTCCAAGTTCACCTGGCCTGGAGAGATTCTGGCAACTGAAACTGCATTAACTCCTCTCTTCCCACCCACCCCTTTGAAGTTTTCAATTGACTCTGCACTTTTGATTTCAACACGTGTATATTATTATCTTATTTATGGCCATGCAGTTGGAAATCTTTCTTCTCTGATGACCCTTTTACTGGTATAGATGATATTGTTAGTAATGATACCTGATGGTTCAGGGTGGTAAAAAGAAAGGGAGGGTTCTGAGGAGCTCCAGAAGGGTGAATAAGGTGTTAAAACGGCAGCCTAAGCAAGTTTAAAGTGATGTGCTTAGGGGCAGAAAAGAAAATCCCAGCTTCACTTTGGGAACTTTCACCCTTGACACTTATACCACCATGATAGCAACATAATCTTTACCTATTTGTCCTTTAACATCCTTAAGAAGATTTGGCTGTAACTCATAGCCAGTGATACCTTTAATTCCTGAAATTATCTTTTAAGATGCTTGCGACTGAGGTACGTCTTCCTTTCTGTTTAATAGAACAGCAGCAGGGGTATGTGTATGTTCAAGCTGTGGCATGGCTGTCTAGTCAGTAATCTCGCCCTTTTAAAAACACACATACCTCTTGCAACAGGCATGTTCCCTCCCACAGCAATAGTTTTATGGTTTCACTCAAAGCAAGAAAATAAAAATATCCCAGCTGAAACACTTATGCATTTACACTTACTGCATGTAGAAGGGCTGCAGCCACACCACTGAGGCTATTTCTAGTGGCCTTCACTTGGACATCACATAAGAATAGCCTGCTGGATCAGGCCAATGGCCCATCTAGTCCAGCAACCTGTTTGTGCAGCGTCAAACCATGGCTCTCAAGTGGATTTGTCTTTGCTCTGCCACTTCCCCCCAGAAAATCAGAACAAACGATAGTCCGCTGAAAACCTTATTGCCGTTTGTTCCAGTTTAGCGCTAGATCCTGGGAAAGCGATGGGGCAAACAGAAGTACAGTATGGGTGAGCCCTTAGTTACTACAGGAAGATCAGGAATATATGCATGCCAAGAAAGCAATAACAGTGAGTGCTTGTGCTGTTTTGTTCTCATGGGTCTAAATGGCAGTCTTCTTAACACTGTGCTATGACACAGAATCATAGAGTTGGAAGGGACCCCAAGGGTCATCTAGTCCAACCCCCTGCAGTACAGGAATCTTGTCCAACATGGGGCTCAACCAGGGGACAATGAAGAAGATGAACAGGAGGGAGCTGTGGGGAGTGAAAAGGGGTCAGGTAGTAGGCAAGAGAGGCCTGAAGGGGGGCTGCTTGGGTGTCCCCCACAGAAAAAGGTTAGGGGCTGTGAAGGGGAGGGTCAAGGGCTGCCAAATGTGGGCCATGGGCTACAGGCCCAGAAGCATGGCAGTTGTAAAGGAGTATTAGTGAACAGGAGGCTTCTTCAGCGCTAAAGGACACCTACTTAATAATGTGAGACTAAGGCACAGATACTCAATGCAATGAAAACTGAAGCCCTCTACACTTTTAAAAAATGTGTATCCCTCGTGAATTACTAAAATCATTTACATAATACCTTTACAAAGTTATCAAGTTGGCATACAACATGATAACTTATGATAATCCATTAAAATACATTAAACACCATTATAAAAAACTATAGCTGCCGTATCCAAGAAACAGTAAAATCTGGTATAATTTATCAAAGGCCCTGAAAGGCCTGAGTGAACAGGTATGTTATTCAGTTACTAGCAGTTACTAGTGAAGTTTGTGCCTTATGCTCAGCATGTGCTTAGACACACCTTTCATACTCTCCTATTACAACATATAATTGCAACTGTTCTCACCAACAAGGACAGCTTTGCCCAGTTCTGCATGCCAGGCTTGCTTTGGGGTTTGATTTTTTTCTCACAACCAGCTGCCCACAATTTTGGGCTGGGGGGGGGGCGCTCTCAGGCAGCAGCAGTTGGAATGTACAATGAAATACATCTCTCTGAGCAAGCGCTTCAGGTGAAGAGCAGATACCAGGAGCAGCACAGCTGAAGAGTCAGCCTAATCCTAAATAGCAGCAACCAGGACAAGGAACATCTGGACCAAGGCTCTGAGCGTGCCAGTTGGCAAGAGGTCAGGAGCATCTATTCAGAGCAAATCCCAGCAGAGCAGCCTCACATTAATGCCTTAACATGCCTCCATTTTGTGTGAGGCGTCTCCATTTTTCACAATGAAATTCAGACAGAGAGGAACATGTCACAACACATCCTCCCGCATCAACCTGTCCTGCACAAGGAGGGCATCTTAGCAACACCCTTCTTCAATCACTAGCAGAAAAAAAATCAATTATTCACCTAGGCTTTTAAAAACATTTTTACTACCTTAAAAAAATACTTTCAAAGACTTAATTGAGCTTTTATCCGCTAGTTGTTCTGAGTATATTTTGTTTGTTTGTTTATGTAAACTGCCTTGAAATATTTGATAAATGTAATACAGAAATAGGTTAGCATACTCATACAATGTAAATGAGGCACAAGACCTGAAGTGTGTGAATTTGGTTGGGTCTCATCCAAAACAGCTTATATGTAGAGTCATTTTTACATGGTAAAAGAACAAGAAATCAGTTTCATGGAAGACATTTGAAACACAGTATGGCTGCAAATGTCTTCTAGTCTGCAGCTAAATGGACAGACGTTGACTGACCATGCCTCATTTCCTTGTAAGGGAATGGAGCTCTGAACAGAAACAAACACTTTGCATTGATGTTGCAGCTCCTGGTGGGCTAATGTGGAGATGGGACCCCCTGATCCTATTCTGGGAGTGACTGAAGCCTTCAAGCGAGACACCAGCAGCAAGAAGATGAACCTGGGAGTCGGGGCTTACCGAGATGACAATGGGAAGCCATACGTTTTGAACTGTGTCCGCAAAGTAAGCAAAAGCGCCAGCTCCCACACATTAAGAGCATGTGTGGGATTGTGTAGATGTGGCTGTGTGTGGCAGCCAGACATGCCTATGGGCAGTCATGGGATCCAGGTTCTAGCCGCTAGGGTTGTGTGAGCGGCTTAGCTGCTTCCTACTCATTTCAGATGTCTGACCAAAACAAAGAGCCAGATCTCTTCTCCATCCAGTAGCTGCCTGAGATGCGTTTGGAACCATCCCAGTGTGGCCAAGTGTCTTCATGGTGGTGGGGAGACACAAAATTTTGGCTTTGTGAAGTAGCTGGAGGGTGGCAATAGGCGAACTGAACTATTTAGGTAGAAATTGAGTCTTGTGCAGGCCGAGAGGCCATATAGCTGCCACAAGCATAAAAGGGAAGGGTTGAGACTGAAGAGGGGGGTTGGAGAGAATTTGCAGCTGCTTGGCCTTTTCTGCATTGAGAATCTAAGGAGCAAGCAAGCAGTGGCAGCTGGGAGGTGTGAAGGCACCATCTGCAAAGATATTGAAGGAGCAACAAAGGCAGGTCTGAGTAGATGAATGAGGAATGGGTTGGGGGCTCTTGATGCTAGATGTTGAGTAGCTTTGCTAAAGCTCCTGGGTTCCCACTTAACTCACTTGTCAGTTCTTTCTGTGAAACAAGGATAATCCTGCAAAGGGATGTGTGCTCGCGTCCCTTTAGTTATTTGGGTGTGTAATCTAGGAGTGATAAATGAGGTGAATGGAAGTTGCCTCTCCTCTTAACCTATGGAGGAAACAAAATAAGAAAATGCAATCTGTTCTCTCTAGGCAGAAGCCGAGATAGCTGCAAAGAAGTTGGACAAGGAATACTTGCCAATTGCTGGCCTGGCAGAGTTCAACAAGGCGTCAGCTGAGCTGGCTTTGGGAGAGACACATGAGGTTATTCAGAGTGGCCGGGTAAGGAGCCAAGGTTATCAAGTGCATTCATTAATACTGTATTCAAGTAATGGATTCCTGCACTGGGGGCCTTGACACTTTTCACCCATAGGGAACCTTTTCCAGATTGACATATGCTGAGTACCCACTGAATGCTGCGCAGGATTCCAAGATGGGCAGTTTGTTAAGGTAGAACACTGGCTGGGCCTCACCATCCCCCTTGCAAATGTAGTGTTCTCATGGATCATAGCCCAATTCCATCCTGTTTCACTTCTGACCTTTCTCATTGAGGAATGCCCAGTAACATTCTGGGGAACTGCAGGGTTCCTCAAAATACGGTTTGAAAAGTCAGTGCCAAAGAAACTTGTAGCACATGAGAACAGACGTCCCCTGTGATTAGGTCAGTGGGGGCAGTGGGATTCGTTTTAGAGTTGCTGTAAGGATCTGGAAATGCAAGCAACACCACATTTTATTCTAGAGCCTATGATGGATCCTAGTCCAGAATTTGACTCCTTCCTTTAAAGCAAGATTCTAATCTCATGGTTGTGAACATGTTAGATGTGTGTTGTGTCTTCTGAAACCAAAAAGAGAGCCAGTCTGTGCCAAAAATTCCTTGCCTAGGATCCATATTTCTGTGGGTCCTCTGTGTTGTTTTGGCCTCAACTTATCTTTTTCTTTGGATATGTCAAAGGAGTCCAAATTCTTAAAGAATTAAAAAAAATGCTATTGGAATAAATAATAAAAACTGGGTCACTTTTATATGCTTAGTTATGAACAGAGTTTGAACTTCCTTGCTGCTGGGAAAAACCAGCTAAGAGGAAGGCTCTTTTGAGTATATCATTCAGATGAGCCACTGGAATAAATGTTTTCTCGTTGTTCAAGTGTTGACATGCACTTCAATCTTAACAGATAGTGTTGCCTTTGCAAGCATTGAGAAAAGCTTTATTCCTCCTTGTTACTCTTTCTTTTCAGTTCTTGGGCAGGTAGAATTGTTGACCAGTATTGCACACAGCTGTCTTTTCCTCTTGCCCTTACAGTCATGTTTCAAGGGCTTCACCTGTAAAATAGGCAGATTATGAGGCACACTGAGCTCCAGCTATCATTGGAGTGTTTACCTGTTGTATTTTGTGGGCGTGTCGTCTGGAGATGTCTCACGTGCCTGTTCATTGTTCTTTCAGTATGTCACTGTGCAGACAATTTCTGGAACAGGATCTTTAAGAGTTGGTGCCAACTTCTTGGTAAGTGCTTCTGTAATCTAACAACATAAACATGAGGAGATGGTGGGATACAGTTTTTTCACATCTCTTGAAGGAGCTGTGGTCTCTGGCGTTGAAACTATGATTCAAACACACCCTGTCTCCTATTCTTCATACAGCAACGGTTCTTCAAGTCCAGCCGCGACGTGTACCTCCCCAAACCATCCTGGGGGAATCACACCCCCATCTTCAGAGATGCTGGGTTGCAACTGCAAAGCTATCGGTACTATGAGCCCAAAACCTGTGGCTTTGACTTCGCTGGAGCTTTGGATGACATCTCTGTAAGTTGACAGTTGAGGGTGAGCTAATGGGGATGTGTAGGTCATGGAGAGTTTGGGCGTGGCTTGTTTAAATGGTGAGCAAGGAAAGATACAGCCAGGAGGGTTTAGATACTAGGCCCCATATGATGTTTTGGAGTAACAGGTCTTGGGAATCTAAACTTAAGAGATTAACCGCGTTGGTTGCAAATGTAAGTCTTGCAGTACCTTTAAAACCCAAGACCATCATGGAAGGAGCTGTTATAGGAGAGGACCTGTTTAATCAGAATCATGAAAAGAGTGGACATGCAAACATGGGTTGGAGAGAGACACTTGCCCACTTTCTGTCTTGTGAAGTGGAACTGGCAATTCTTGCCATCCATTACAGATGAAGATTCTTCTGGTCACGCTGTATGTGATGGAACACGTCTTCTCATACCAGCCAGCCCAAGCTCTGAGACTGGGCTGGAGACAGGGCTGCTTGTGGTACCACCAATGGATGTAGCTCACTGTATAGTGATTGGCCTTCTCTCTAGAGGCATCTCAGCTGTGGAGTTCCCTTCCTCTGGAGCCATGGATGGTCATGACTTTAAGGAGTTCAGCCACTTAGTGAAATCTTGCTGCATTTCTCTGCCTTTTGGAGGCTCTTGTTAGATGGGTTTTGAGCCTTGAGTCTGTTTATTATTATTATTCTGTTGGTGTGCGTGTGTGTTGTCTGTGGAGTTTTATTATTGATAGTTTATTGTTTTGTGGCATGTGGCTTTTAATGATGGCTCCATTCGCTGTGGAAATTGTTTTGAGGTCACTTGGTATATAAATGAGTAACGGCTCATTTTTCTCACACCCTTATTATTCAAGAAAATCCCGGAAAAGAGTATTGTTCTCTTCCATGCCTGCGCTCACAACCCAACTGGAGTAGACCCTCGGCCAGAGCAGTGGAAGGAGCTGGCAGCAGTAGTGAAGGTGAGGAGGGCCGTGGTACCAAGAGAGCAGGCGGCTGAGGGATGAACTTCCCTGTGTGGAGAAGGAGCGGGTCTGCTTGCCTGTTTGGAAGACACACCCTGGGAGGAGATCTCAGCTGGGCAAGAGATGTGTGTAACTCCTGTGAAAACCAAAAAAACTGTCTGAATGAGCACTGCCGCCTCCCAATTATTGTTGTTGTTACCTCATTGTTTCTGTATGATGTGATGCTCCTCTGCTGTGTGACCTGTTCCATTTACCATAGCTGCCCTTAGGAAGAAGTGTTGTCATTTTTAAGCTGAGCTGGCCTCTGTTCTTTCACAGAAAAGGAACCTCTTTACCTTTTTCGACATGGCCTACCAAGGCTTTGCCAGCGGTGACATAAACAAAGACGCCTGGGCTGTCCGCCACTTCATTGAACAAGGCATTAATGTTGTGCTGTCCCAGTCATATGCAAAGAACATGGGCCTGTATGGTAAGCCCCTAAGTCCAGGGTCTGTTGCCATCTCCGTGGGTGGGAAAAGCTGCTCAAGGGATTAAGCAATTTGCTAGCTGCTTTCACTTTCCAGTATATGGGTGAAAGGTCTACGCAGGACTAGAGGCAAGAGAAAGCCCTGCTGTTCGGTTGAGTTTGCATTTTGGACCACATTCCTGTTTTAGAGATGGTCCCATGTTAGAAATGGAAAGGCAGTGGCACTGGGGAAATGCTTGTGAGGCTCTTAATAGAGAAAGCAAGCCAAGAACTCTGTTTATGATTGAAGAGAGGTGGCTGTGATGTGGAGTCACAATTCTGTCACAGGAGAACATGAATTTCTGTAATCATCCAATTTGTATAAAGATGCATTCTTTGTGCAACCACACAGTGTCTTTGGGGACTCCACATGATAGGAGCATCAAGGAGGGCAGTTCTAGGGGCTGATAATTGTTTGGGGAGGGCAGATCTGCTCCTTGCCTGGCTAGAAGCCCCTTTAGCCTTGAATCTACTTTCTGAGTGCCTCTCTATTGAGTCACAAGGGGTTAACCCTACCCCTTTAAAAAGTAAATCTAGGGATAAAGAAATCCCCATTCCTTCCAGTTACAGGTATGGTGCTATAAAATCAGATTGTACTGCTCTAGTTTCTTAGTCTGCGTTTGAGCTAGCTGCCATCCAGAGAGCTGATGATTTCTTCTTTCAGGCAGAGGAGATAGGGCTGGAAGGAAGGACTGAGGCTGATAAAAGGAAGGGGATAGAAGGAGAGCTCCAGGTGGCATTTGTGTGCCTCTTCCAAACAACAGCACAAGTGCACAGCCAGACCAATGTGGCTGAGCAGAGCCACAGAGGGAGACACAACTGCACTGCATTCTGGTCTTTGTTTTCCAGGGGAGCGTGTGGGGGCCTTCACGGTGGTTTGCCATGACTCTGATGAGGCCAAGAGAGTGGAATCACAGCTGAAGATTCTGATCCGCCCCATGTACTCCAACCCTCCCCTTAATGGGGCTCGGATAGCCTCCACCATCCTGAATAACCCTGGCCTGCGAAAGGAATGGTAAGGCTGACTATGTGCAGTCAGCAGATGAACAGAAAAGGGCAGGGGGACAGCCAACCCTGGATGGCTTTTAAGGACAGTTGATTGTGGGGCTGCAACAACAAACCAGAGGAGTCCTTCAAATTGGAGGGCAACACTTTAAGCAAGTTTAGTCTGCTCAACCTTGTTCTTGGTTGATGCCAAATCTGCACCAAAGGCAGAAGGGCTGTGGCTGTTCCTTTCTGTAGCAGGCATGTAGCTGGGTTAAAAAAACAAAAAAAAATCAACCTGGGGTTTCTTAAAGCTGTTTTGGAGGCAGGACTGTGCAAACTTATTATGCTTTTCCATGCACATAAACTCCATCAGGGCACAAGGCATGGTGGAGCCTCCTATATTATTCCTTTGGCTGCTCCCCCACCCCCATCTCCCTCTGTCTCTCGCCTTGTATTGACTCCACATTTGCCTCCTTCCCTGGCACAGGCTGGTAGAGGTGAAGGGTATGGCTGACCGAATCATTGGCATGCGCACCCAGCTAGTGGCAAACCTGAAGAAAGAAGGCTCCCCTCATAACTGGCAGCACATCACTGACCAGATCGGCATGTTCTGCTTCACAGGACTGAAACCCGAACAGGTGGGTGAAGGAATCAAACTTGCTAACCATTTTGTACTGGCATCTGATTTGCTTGGTGTCCTCCCCCCCCCCCCCCATAGATGGGCTCAAAGTGCCTCAAACACCAGAACAGCTGTATAGAATTAGTCTTTGATGCACACCAGGAAAAGGACAGAACGTGATTAGTGTGGCTGCATTTTAATTCTCTGAAGAATTTAGAATGTCTTCCATTATTTAATTGGTGGCTGAGGGAAGTGGGAGCTGGGTAGGAAGCCGGCAGCTGCTACTAATTTGGGAATGGCAGCATGTGGATCCCCCATTGATGATAAAAGCACTCTGCTGGGCTGGTCTTGTGGAAAGGGATTGTTAAAAAACATGAAGCACAGTGTTAGTTGCATTGAAGTGAGATGTGGCAGCAGCCGACTTGAGTAGGTATCAAGCAGCCTGGCTGGGCTGCTGTTTGCTGAAGAGCGTTCACTTGAAGTTCTAGGAAGTTGCTTCGCTGTCCTCCAGGTTGCAAGTTGGCCCTGGTAGGTGGTAGCAAACAGACGTGCCTGGCCTTGGGAAGCTGCCTGAGTCGATCCCTTCCTGAAGTAGAATCTTTCCTGTGCTTTACTTTCCAGGTGGAGCGGCTCACCAAGGAGTTCTCTGTCTACATGACCAAGGATGGCCGCATCTCTGTCGCCGGAGTCACTTCTGGCAATGTGGCTTACCTGGCCCATGCCATCCACCAAGTCTCCAAGTAAAGCAAAGACAGAAATGGGTGGACTGACCGGCCTTCCCTTCCGTGCTCTCTGGACATTTTGACTCAGCAGAGGGTGGGTGAGAGAGGAGGAGATGGCGGCAGCATCAACAAGCAAAACGGTTCTTTCCACAACACTTCAACGTCATTTGAATGTATCTCTGTAGCGGCAAGGCCTCCTCAGCCCTCCCTACTCACACTGCTTGGCTCTAGGCAGAGCTGTTGACGTGTGTTCTGCTCCTCCCTTCAGAAGTAGCCACTTTACCAAAAATGGGTCCTTGAATCCTTCAAGAGTTTGTGGCGGATTTGATGCAAATGCTTTAGTGAATGTTTGCCTGCCAGCATTTTGTGTGTGGTGGCCTCATCGTATGAGTGTCAGGGCATGGTTGGACTACAACTCCCACCATCCTTGTCCATTGGCTGTGCTGGCTAGGGCTGATGGGTGTTGAAGGGCTGCAGCTTCCCTGCCCCTGAGCCAGGGTTCTGGATGATGAGCCGTTCCTTGTCTGCCCTTTTGGACTTGGATCGGGGAGTTCTGCAGAGCCCACCTCTGGCTTCACAAGAGGCTTTCTCCCCAGGGATCCTCTTCTTGCCCAGTTCTTCCAAGGAAAGGCAAGCAGGGGTATTCCGGAGTCAGCATTTCTTTCCATTGGCTCTTGGCTTTCTAGTTCTGCTTTTTCTCAAAAAATAAATAAAAATCACTTGAAATCAGCCTGCTTTAAATGGACCCCAAGTCCCTGGCACACTCCGGGAATTTGTGTAATGAAGCTTGAAAGAGAAATTACTTCCTCTTTTTTTCTTCCTCGCTAAAAAGCTCATTGTTTCCATGCATAGACAGTTTATAAAGCTGACTCATAAGTTTGTTTCACTATCAAATAAAAGGCAGATAATAGAACAATCTTTTAACTCTTCTCTGGCATCTTTGATCAGCAATAAGGGCAACAAATTAAACTGTGTTTCTTTTAATTTTTGGTCATCTGAAGCCCTGCTGGGCCCTTGCTCATTCTCTCCAAAATCCTTTCTCACACAATGCTTTGTAATCCTTTTCAATCCTTTGTAATCCTTAAATGGGACTAAAGCTCTGTTACGAATTTGGAATAGCTTCCCCCACCCCAACCCAGGAAATGTAACTGCTCTTTAAGTGCAACTTACGGTAATTTTGGCTCTTTTTAGTTTCCTCTCTGTTCTTGCCATTCACATGTGTTCAGGATATCCACCACCTGAGCCAAGAGATCCACTGCAATTGAATGACAGTTCACTAGGCCTGTAAGTAGGGCAAGATAAACTCTTCAATGTGTTCAAACAACTTAAGATGGAAAACATTTTTGTCTGTGAAGCATTTTTCTCATGGAACTGCTTCACTCTTCTCCCTCCCCCTGCAAAGTGGAAAGAAGGGGGCAGGTGAAACCTATGGGAAAACTTATGAGATCTCTTGTCTGTGTGTATGTGAGCGACAGAGATAAGTTCTTCAGCTTTGGCAATTAAAGAACAGCAGATACCATGAACAGTTGAGCCTCTGTGGCCAGAAGTTGATTGTCTGGAGCTACAAAACATGTACCTTGCTGCCTACTCATTGCCTCTGTTGTGAAAAGGCAGTTGAGTATTTAATGCATTGTGTGTGTCTCCTTTATATTGTGTGAACAACTTAAGGCTTTCGTGCCTGCCCAGAGGCCAGGCCTTAAGCCCCATCTCTGTGTTAGCTGAGTGTCAAAGCATGCATATTGAATGAGGAAGGGCTGAGAGGTCAAGAAGAGCTGTCGCCACAGCATGAAAAAGTCTCAGGCTGGTGGCTGGCCTTTGCATCCAGTGTCCATAGCTACACATGTGGAGCTGCCTCTAGGGGCAGAAGTGAACCTGTTTGTCCGTTGCTTTCAGATACTACGACCTGCTGCTGCTTTCCCCCTTGTTTGGGGTATGTGTGCTTGTCCTGTCTGCCCTTAACCAGTCTGTTTAGGGTGCTTAGCTGTGAGTTTCATTTGCAAGAATAGCAGAGCTAAAGGCTGTGTTCGGCTGATCACCAGAAAGAAAGTTGTTCTTGCAAAGAGCTTGCAGGTTTTGCTGTAATTCTCACATGACAGAAGAGAACAGCATTTTCCTTCTGTGAGTAGCCTTTGTGGTCCTCCTATTTCAGCTTATTTTGGCAGGAGAGTCAAGACAGCCCAACTCCCAAAGCTTCTTTTTGATTCTCCCACACTTCATGCTGCTGTTGTACACTCAAAGATTTGATTTATAGTCCTCATTTTTCTCTGCTGTGGTTTTAGGCCACTTCTGCTTCTCTGATTACTGTCTCCAATGCTCTGTCCTCTCACTAGAGAATATTCTGCTGTTCAGTAATAAATCTTGTTGCCCTTTATGCAGCCTGTCACTTCTGTTAAAAAATTAAAGCTGCTGTACATCTGAGCATTACAGATCTGAGGCTTTTATTTATGATGACTTCTGCTCAGACCTGCAACCCACTACTCTAAATCAAGCCTTCTGTAACCTGGTGTGCCTTCCAGCACTTTCAGAGTTCAACTCAGCCCCAACATCCAGCAAAATAACTATTATACCAACTGGATCAGCCCCAAGGTAGCCGCACATTGCAGAAACCTGGTTGTGAGGTTTCCACAGTTAAAGCAACTTTCTGTGTTGCAACATGACAATGAATAACCAAGGCTGCATGGTGGGCCTTGCACTGACACTTTCATCCTGTTCAGAATGATCCTGGTGGAGGCACAATGGAGTCAGCCTGGTGTGGGGAAGAGTGTACCTTACTGCCACAGTGTTCCTGAAGGAGCGTCTCCACCCCCATCATTCTGCCCGGACGCTGAGGTCCAGCGCCGAGGGCCTTCTGGCGGTTCCCTCATTGCGAGAAGCAAAGCTACAGGGAGCCAGGCAGAGGGCCTTCTCGGTAGTGGCGCCCGCCCTGTGGAACACCCTCCCATCAGATGTCAAAGCGATAAATAACTACCTGACATTTAGAAGGCATCTTAAGGCTCAGGGAAGCTTTTAATCTGTGATATTTTACTGTATTTTTTGTTTCTATGGAAGCCGCCCAGAGTGGCTGGGGAAACCCAGCCAAATGGGCGGGGTAAAAATAATAAATTATTATTATTATTATTATTATTATTATTATTATGGGGAGTGGTGGTGAGGTACATGAGCACTTCTTCCCATAGCAGCAGCATCCTGGTAAATGGGGAGTGAGGAGTAACATGGGGAATGAGGTCTATTCTATTTGGCTTGTTCCTGCTCTGCATAAACCAGACCTCATCTTTTGGCTATGCTAGAGTGTGATGAAGAGATGCTAGGCAGTCTTTACACCAGGCAGATTCTGAAGTAACAAGTGCACGTTCATGCTCTGATGTTAATAGTGGCTATATTTTCCCCTCTTATTCCTACATTGTATAAGATGTTTCTAGATCTGAATACCATATTGGATTAGTTTGACAAGAGTACCTTCCTTGTCCCTACTTATCAGTGCTGGGTCAGACTTTGTGTTGTCCTTTCTCACAAGCCTAAAGGAAAATTGCCTATTTGTCCAAAGCCGCCTAAGCTTCCTTTTTTTGTATCCCAGCAGAAGTGGGGTGAGTGGAGGACAAGGGCAGCTTTCTGAACTTGGCTCTGTAGAGAAAGACAGAAGCAGAACTTTCTGAGGAAGGAGGGAGCCATTATTCCTTTGTCCAGCTACAGGTTTCACTTCAGCCTCCCCATCACAAATGGAAGCTACAGCTGGGATCAAAATAGTGATAATAACTTATTATTATTATAACCCTCCCTCTGTGCTGTTTTTTATTATTATTATTATTATTATTATCTGCTTCTGCTGTTCTTCATTGCTTCCAGCATCTTCCCCAACCTGGCTACTTCAGTTTGCAATGCTGCAGAGCAGGAGTTTCCAAACTGCTCCATTGACCACCAGTGGTCTGCAAGCTTCATTCAGGTGGTCCATGGCATGTCCACATGAAATGCTCATGTTGGTTTTTATTGCTTTCTTTATTTCTTACACTGCATTACAATTTGAATTCCATGGAAAACAAATTGTATTTCGATAAAATGCAATATAAGAAACAAAAGGAGCAAAAAAAAACACCCCATGCTGTTTTAAAAATATGCAACACCTAAACACACCACATTACAATTACTACAATAGGCAGGAAAGACGTGAAGTGGTCTGCCAAGACCCTTGGCCATTTTCAAGTGGATTATGGAGAACAGACTGGGAGACTTTTGGCCCTCTAGATGGCGCTGCACTACAAATCCCAACAGCCAGCATGTGGCGGGATGATGGGAGTTGCCGGTCAACAACACCCGGAGGGCTCCACCACGCAGGTTCCTTATCCCTGCTACCCAAAGCTCCCAGCTCCAACCCGCGACATCTCTAGGCCTGGTTGTGACAGGACTTTGTCTTCCTGAAACCCCGGAGAGCCGCTGCTGCGAGTCAGCGGAGACTATAGTTGATTGACTCGGCCCAAGGCCGCCGGTTCTGTTTCTTGTCCCTGAGGGGGCGCGGTCAAGAACTACGACTCCCAGCATGCCGCGCGTCCAGGGGAGGGCGCCGCTGCAGCTGCCGCCGCCGCCGCCATGTGATTCTCGTCAGCTGAGAAGCCGGTGTGGAAGGAGGTGGGTAAGCGGGGTTGCGGCAGACAAGGAGGCTGCAGGGCCGCTCCTGGCGAGCCTTCCTCGCCCCTACCCCGGGTTGAAGGCGTCCTCCCTTGCAAGCAGAAAGCTAGCTTGCCAGGGAAGCGAAGGGGCCGCCGCTGCGGTAGCGGCAAGCGCACCTATGGAGGTGGCCGCGGGGGGCGGGATCCCCTGCATCATCCACTTTGGAGTAGAAGCTCTGGCTCCCGGGCCCGCTGGAGTGAGCCGGCCAACCACGATTTGAATAGGCTGAGCAGCTAAAGGGGTTGCGAGGTGTCTCCTTCCCGGGCCCGAGATCCTTAAGCCCACAGCTTACAATGGCCTGCCGGCTCCCTGTCTATCCCTTCGCCTCTCCCTGCTGTGGGTGAGTCAGGGAGAGGCGCCTTCTCTGCGCTCTGAAACTCGCTGAGCGACCTTGGCTCGGATGTCATCTCTTAGCATTGCCTGCCCTACTGGGCTGTTGTGAGGATTAAAAGGAGGGGAGGGGAGGACGCCGCCTTGAATCCCTTGGAGGAAAGTTGAGCCTAAAATGTAACTCACAAGTGAACACATTAGGGAGAGCTTTGTGGGTAATTTTTCTCTTCCAGTGAGTTTCTCTGCCATATGCCTAGGCACGTAAGATTTTGAATCCATGGCTCCCACCAAGCCTAGTCACTGGCCTGTCAGTGTTGGCTCTGAAGCTTTTCTGCTCAGATTTGTGTCTGTTATCTGCCAGAAATAATAGAAGGAAATGTCTGACACTCATAATTTTCCATTTAAAACTTGCTGGCAGAGAGGAAGAGAGGTAAAGGGGGATGAATTCATTAAAATAATGTTTGTGGTAATCCTCACAGGATTGCTAAGCAGTTTCTTACTATGAAGAAATGAAATGAAGAAATTAAAATTAAAATGTGTTATACAGTACCCAGGTATGAGAGAATTAACTGAAGGAGAGGTTACAATACAGTACCATAAAGTCAGATGATGAATTGGATGAGCTTCAAATGCTTCAAAGGAAATGTGGAATTGGGTACAAAAACATTCAAAAATCATAGTTTGAATATTAAAGAATCAGCCAGGATAACTGCTACAGGTTGTAGAGAAATAGGTGAAGATCCTACCACTTATTTATTTATTTGTAGCATCCCATTTCAACCACTCCTTGTTTTTGTTATGTAATTTTTTAAAAATATGCTTTTTAGAAAAAAATATAAATCACTTAATTTTAAAATTTTTTGAAGTGGTGTGATTAAATAATTATCAATATCCAAGTCACTTGGATTTCTTTAATTGTGAATCTTATCTAGAATGTTGTATAATGAAGGAAGATTTTTCTGAAACCTACATGAGTTTGTTAATCTTGGGGGGAAGGGGGGGTTAAATTTAAACAGAACAAATTACTCCTGCTCCTCAGAGATTTTAATTCCCCTTGCTGATTACCAAAAAAACACACAAAAAACCCCTTCTGTATAGCTGATTGAGGAGTTGAGGACTAAACTAGGTGATGTAAGCAAATAATTTTTAAAAATGGTTTTACCGCAACAGTGGATATGCAATAGAAATTATGGGGCTTAGGAGGAGCAAAACTGATTTTTTCACCAGTTGAGAAATCTTTCAGCTCCACCCTGTGGTTTTGTGGTTTTCCCCCCAGAAATCCAATTCTAAACTTTGCCCAGCATGAGCAAAACAGCTTTTTTGCTGAGTTGTAGAGGGAAGTGCTTATGCAGCTGGTTTCTCAAGCAGCCCATAAAAGAGGATAAGCAGCAATGGAAGACCTCTTTAGCTTTTCTTGTTTTAGCCATTGCAAAGGAAGCACTTGGAGCTTGGTGCCTCGGGAGCTGGGCCACAGGTATGCTAGGGCCAAATTTTGAATCTTTGTGAAGATGGTACTGAGCGGGAATGGCTTCCTGGGTCACCACTTTGGATTCTGAGCTCTTAGCAGTTGCTGCATCCTTTAAAAATCACGATGCCCAGAAACGAGTTTTTTAATGTTCCCCTCCTGCATGGGTTTTGAGGTTTTCTGTGAGCAGGGGCCTGTATTTCCTCTCCATCTGCTCAGAGCTGACTCTTTCCTTTGGTTTCTTCTAGGGCCATATGACCCACCAAACTGCGAGCAGCCCTGCTTGTGACATTATTCTGAGCTCAGGCATGTCTCTTCTATATGCCACACATCCATGCCTGTCAGGATAACACTTGGTGCTTCTCGGAGTCGGGGGGATGCAAAGTGTGGTTTGTTGGATACAGATTAGCCTGCCACTGAGTGGCCCTTTCCAGCGGAGGAGATGTCTGAAGGCCACTTGGGGATCAACACCGAATATGGTGACTGGGAATGGAGTGCGGATGCTGGCGAGAGGGCCCGGCTGCTGCAGAGCCCCAATGTGGAAACGGGGCCCAAGGGCAACGAAGAGCGTGGACCTGCTGCAACCTCAAAGCTGGGAGCTGTCTTCATTGTTGTGAACGCAGCCCTGGGTGCCGGCCTCCTGAACTTCCCAGCAGCCTTCAGCATGGCAGGCGGAGTGGCTGCAGGAATCACGCTGCAGATGGTGAAAGCAGGGAGGGTGTGGGGATGAAGAAAAATGTGTGGGCGGTGGGAAGGGATCCATTTGGGAATGTGCAGAGTGTGCTGGTGCTCTTTCTCACTTGGCCTGGCTGGAGCACAGCTTGATGTGGGCGGCTGTGAAGGTCTTGTGACGGTCACCAACTTGGATGGCTTTGAAAGAGAACTGGGCAAATTCACAGAGAAGGCTTTCAGTGGCTGCTCTGAGCGATAGCTATGCTCTGCCTCCACTGTTGGAGGGAGCAATTCTTCTGAATCTGGAAGCCACAGGTGGGGAGGGTGCTCTTGTGCTTGGGTTCTACTTGCAGGTGAGAACAGGATGCTGGACCAGGTGGGCTCCCCCTGGCCTGATCCAGCAGGTGGCTCTTAAAAGTATTTTTAAAAATAAATTTGCAGCTATAGAATGTCCAAAAAATTGCCATGGGGACAATGTAGCCTTCCCCAAGTAGGTGCCCTCCAGATGTTTTGGACTGCATCTCACATCAGCCCTAGCATCATAACACCAGTGCTGGCTGGAAAGCCAAGTTGGCAGCTGGTTGGAAAGCTACAATAAATTAAACTATGTATGGAGCAGGAGAGACCAGGAAAGCAAGACAGGAAATGAGTTAAAAAATATATATGCCCAGAGCTTTTTATTGTTTTCAGTTTGCCTGCTGGTGCCTGCCATCATCTCATGGTGCCACTCTTCCCTTTTCTGCTGCAGTGCATGCTGGTTTTCATCATTGGCGGCCTGGTCATCCTGGCCTACTGCTCCCAGGCTAGCAATGAGCGCACCTACCAGGAGGTGGTGTGGGCCGTGTGTGGCAAAGTCACTGGGATCCTGTGCGAGGTGGCCATTGCTGTCTACACCTTTGGCACCTGCATTGCCTTCCTCATCATCATTGGAGATCAGCAGGACAAGAGTGAGTACTGCTGGGAAAGGAGGAGGCCTGTTTGGGCTTTTATACCCTTCCCTCTTCTTCAAAATTAATTTCACTTTGAAATCTGATTGGGAAGGCAAGGCTTGATTGAACTCCATTGGGGTTTGACATGTACTCGGCCTTCTGTTTTTGGTACTGTGAGATGCTTGAAGCTGCGCCCCCTCCTTTGTTTTGTGCAGCTTGCAGAGAGAACAAGAGCTGTACAACCTAGAGCTTCCAACTGCCTGGTTTTGGCTCTGGCTTCATCCACCATGGCTGCAGCTCCTGATTTATTTTTTCTGTAGATCAGGTGTGGGAACCTGTGGCTCTCCAGATGTTGCTGAACTGCAACTCCCACCAGCCCCTGTAGCCAATGGCCAGGGGTGATGATAAAGAGTTGTAGTTAGTAACATCTGGACAGCTAAAGGTTCTTTCCACACTAGAAAACTCACAGAATTATGCCACAAGAGGAGGTCCTGTTTCCTTTGTAGAGGGCATACTCTGTAGCCTTCAGAGGAATTACAGCCTGGGGAGCTATAAAGAATAACTGCCTATGCTGTTTTTCAGTATATAGAATACTTTAATGTCGGAGCCAGCCATTACAAATGGCGCAGTTTAGCATAAAATAAAGACACAGAGAGCCAGCAATATTTTCAGGATGGTATGAGCAGCTCCTTTCGAACTTCCCTCTCCTCCGGTAACCTTTTTATTATCCTTTTTCTCTCTCCAGCCGCATGGCTGTTTGCCAATGTCTCACGTTACCTCCTCCGGTCAAGGCTTTAACCCACCCACAAACCATATAAGGTCATCACTGCCCAGAGGAAATACAACTCCATTTAAGGTCAATACATTCCAATACATTGTAAAGCTCAGAGTGCTGGTCAGCCGAGGTCAGGGGGCACCCTGCAATATTACAAGCCTTTGCCGTGGCTTTATGACTCCCACATGCCCTCTTTCTTTATTTTATTAATCAGTACCAATACGGTTATATCGAGCGCGATAAGCGACTCTTTGACACCGGAAGCGGGCCGCGGACTGGAGAACCATGCAGTACATATAGAAATTAAAGAAGGAATACATTGGATACAGCAACACAAAATAATGCAAATAACTACTATAATGATCACTAAAATCAATAAATGTCGAAGCCAACTTCCATCCGGAAGCCAAGAATATAAGAATTCTGATTCCAAGCTGCATGGTAGGCTTCCTTTCTAGTTTATTAGCCATGCACTGGTGTCACTCCTATAGCACTGAGATTGGTCACTGTATGTTCCTGTAAGAGAACAAGAGCTATTAAAAGTGAAATTCAATGTATATTGACAGTTTGGATATATGCCCCATGATTCTTTCCCCTCCTTAATTTGAAAATAAATGGGGGCAGGCTCATGGAGGGTCAATTGTACTGGAGGCCAAAAAGTTTGCTTAGGGGATATAATATTAGTAAATTGAAAAGATCCATTGACAGGCACACCATGAAGCATTATGCCTGAATGACTGGCATACACACCCAACATTTAGAAGCATGCAATAAACTGGCAAACATAATCATATCTTGTACAAAAATATTATCCCTCCATATCTTATGATAATTTTCCCCTAAAAGTCTTATTCAACAACGCTGTTCTTCTAGTTCGAAAGTGGCTGAGCCGTGGATACTGCCAGCCAGAGTAGGATTCTGGCGACAGCTGCTTGCCAGCCGATGAGGTGAAATATGGTGGTTTCAACTGGACTGGGTCGTCTGCTTCTCTTCCTTGTATAACGGTGCAGCAAAGGATGGCAAGGCAAATGGTTAGGAAGGCAAACACTGCCAGATGCAGCTCGTGTGCAGCACCTCTAGGTGGCGCATGCGGAAAGGTTTCAATGCTTCACCCACAAAATGTTGACAAAGTGTAGGGGAGTTCCGCATGCCTTGAGGCAGGACAACCCACTGATATCGCTGGGTGGGCTGCGAATTGTTATATACTGGCAATGTAAAAGCAAACCGTTCCCTGTCTGCTGGAGCCAGTGGGATGAAGATGGTTCAATGTGGCCGAAAGTCAATTGTTCAGAAATAAGCTGGTCAGAGATAGCTGGTGCCGCTGCTGCAGATTTTTCTTTTGGTAGAGGCCACTGTTCTACCCCCACTGGGGTATCGGTGATCCTGGTTTGCCACACTGGAAACAAGTTGTATCGGTGGCTACAGGCTGGTTTTCATTTAGCGCTGTTGCCAGCAGATGAGCCTTGTGGGTGGCTGTAACTACAGACTGACAAATGCGAAGCATGGCTGCTGTGTCTGTGGCAGGACTGTGTATTATCGGTCGTACGGCAAGATTACAATCCTCATTGGCATTTTCAAAGGCCAATTGTTTGATAATTATTTGTTTGGCTTCAGGATTTTCAATTTGGCGACTCACTGCTGTAAGCAGCCTATCCATAAAGGAAGAATATGATTCTCTTGCCTCTTGCCTGATTGAACCCCACCTTGATTGAATACTGGGGTTCTGGGATTTTTCTCATTGCTTGTTTAGCAGCAAGAGCAGTGTCCCTCAATAAGATTTGCAGCAGTGTGGCTTGCACTGAAGCTTGAGCGAAGGGACCACGCCCCAACATGGCATCTATGACGTCTGCGAGGGTAACATTTGGATTATTTCCTCTGACTTGTTGTAACAAGGCTGGAGCATAAGCACGGCAGGCAGTTTCCCATTCGTGGGCAAACAAAACACCAGCTGATGGGGGTAACACTGTATGGGCCAAAAGCTTGATGTCCTCTGGAACCAAGAGCTGGGCTAATGTGGCTTCTAAAAGCGCCTGCGTATATGGGGCTTGGAGTCCATTGGCCTTTACTGACTGTTGCAGCTCTTTCAAAATCTTAAAGTCAAAAGGTTGGTGTTGGGCTTGGGTGCCTGCCGGGGCACCAGCAGGGGGCACAATAACAGGGAATGCCATAGTATCCTGAATTAAGGAACAGGCAAGGACTGCACGTTGAAAAGGGGTAGCTGGTTCTGCCGCTGAAAGATTAGGATCATTGCCAGCCAGATCACGGTATTTTTGCAGGATTGGGTCCTCTGGTGAGGAACTGTAGTCCGGAGGTTTGGGGTCTGGAGCTGCTGCTGGCAAGGCAAGTATTGGAACAGATGGCAGCACAGCAGGCTGAATTAAAGAAGCTGAAGGTTGTGTTGGCACTGCAGCCATGGAGATATTTTTTGGTGATAAAGAGCCCATGGCGTAACGAACCTTGCACCATGCATTTAGAATCCGAACACCTATGCTGGGGTGCCCATGAAAATGTGCCCCAATCTTGTCCCAAAGTTTTAATTCCCAAGTCCCATCTGCAGGAAACCAGGGGAATGCTCTTCGATGGCCAGAATGAGCTGTATCAAATCACCCTCCGGAACTTCCAATTTGTTGGAGGAGAGGAGAAATTTTAAGTCTTTTAAAAATTTCTGTTGGGGAGCAGACAAAGAGCTGCCCATTTTTCTAAAATCAATATAAAAAAGGGATCGAACTCACCAGGGATCCGAAGATGATTAGCGCTTGAAGCCCTTGCCGGGCGTGGTGAGCCGATGATATCCGTTGCTTGGATCGAAAAACCTCACACGGTTTTCTTTTAAAATCCTCTTAGTCTGCCTCAGACTGTTTTCTTTAAGTTGCCTCACACGGTTTTCTTTTAAAAGCCTCAGACGTATTCTTTTATTCAGCCTCACACGGGGCACCACTTGTCGGAGCCAGCCGTTACAAATGGCGCAGTTTAGCATAAAATAAAGACACAGAGAGCCAGCAATATTTTCAGGATGGTATGAGCAGCTCCTTTCGAACTTCCCTCTCCTCCGGTAGCTTTTTTATTATCCTTTGTCTCTCTCCAGCCGCATGGCTGTTTGCCAATGTCTCACGTTACCTCATCCGGTCAAGGCTTTTATTGCCCCCATCACCATATAAGGTCATCACAGCCCAGAGGGAACACAACACCCTTTAAGGTCAATACATTCCAATACATTGTAAAGCTCAGAGTGCTGGTCAGCCGAGGTCAGGGGGCACCCTGCAATATTACAAGCCTTTGCCGTGGCTTTATGACTTCCACACTTTAAGTTTCTTTACAGCATTTTGCCCTCACAACCGCTCTGTGTGGTGAGCAAGGCTGCGGGAGGATGGCTTGCACCCAGGCCACCAACTGAACTTTATGGCTAATACTCACCACATTCACACTATACTGCCACACAGATACATTGAATAGGTTGGGCACCAGCTGCCTGCTCAACCTCCTGCCTGTGAGTTTCTTGGCAAGTGTGCCACTGACCACTGGGGGGTGGGGCTTGCTCATAGCAAAAGGCTCTCAGCTCTCCTCTCAGTAATTGTGCTCTTGCATTAGGCCACCCTTGCTGGGGAGCAGGGAGGCTGTGCTGACTCCTGGGCATGCCTCTTGCTGGCGGTGTCTGCTGAGTGATAAAAAGGGCTTCTGCTAGCGTTGCCTTCATAATGTTGTGAATCACAGGGTCAGAGGGAGCTACCATTAACCTGGTGCCTTCCAGATAGTTTGAACTTCAACTTCCATCATCTCCAACCATTGGCCATGCTGGCTTTGACTGATAGGACTCGTAGCTCCCAAAGTCTGGCGACTGGTGTAGTCCAGTGCAAGAAATCCAGAGCTTCTCTTGCCTGGGTCCTGGTGTTCTGTACACCTTTCTATAATGCAAAATTTCCCCTTAGTTCCATGCCAGTTGCTTTGTGTTTCCTTGGACATAAGAAGTTCAAGTCTCCGTGAGAGTCTTTTCTTTGTGTGTGTAGCTGTGCACTGGCCTTTGAGCTTTGACTTCCCTCTGCCTGGTGGATTGGGCCCAGAGGATGATTGCAGTCTCTCTTTGTCTAGTAATTGCAGCATTAATGAAGGACTCCACAGGGGCAGAGAGCGGCCACTGGTACACAGACCGCAAGTTCACCATCAGCATCACAGCCTTCTTGCTCATCCTTCCCCTCTCAGTGCCCAAGGAGATCGGCTTCCAGAAATACGCCAGGTAAGCACAGGCCAGTTCTCAGCTGGCACATATCTTGGCAAATGCTCCCCAGCCACTGCAGCCAACCAAGGTCCTCATGCGACAAAAGTGTGAGGGTGGCAAACAGGCCGTGCCTCTGTATTGCTTGCCAGGATGTGTTGCTTGAGTGAAAGACTAGGTGCCATTGAACTGCTCTGTCAAGGGCAGGTCTAGATGCAAAAGGTGGGTGTTGGCATCTCAAGATGATCCTTGGAAGGAGATAGCAGCAGCGGCAGCAGCTCCATCACCTGTCTCACCTCTCTCTCTTTCTCACAGCTGCTTGAGTGTTGTCGGGACCTGGTATGTTACAGCCATCATAATTATCAAATATATTTGGCCTGATGAGAACATCCCAAAGGAAATTACAACAAGGTACGTGGGAGTGATGCTCCTTCAGAAAGAGGTGGAGCCTTCCTGAGTTGCCTCCCTTCCAGTCTTTGTTTTCTGCAGTAAGGCAGTGGAGAGACCTGACAATTTAATTACTGGACTACCCAGTCAAGAGTCTCCAGTTAGCTTTTAACTTTCAATGTAAAAAAGCTTTTTATTTCTGTGGTGGGCACTGTATCTGCCCACTCTTTAAGCTGCTGAGAGGTGCATCCCATTCCTCTGAACTTTGGCCATCCTTATGCTGGGGACCCATCCAGTTCTCCCCTGCTCAGGACTTGACGACTTGCAGCTATCAGTCAGTGGGGGGCACCTGAAAGGCAGAGGGTAATTCTCACTGTAGGGGGAAGAAGGACGCATTAACCCATCCTTTCCCAACCCAATGCCTTCCAGATGTTTGGATTTCAGTGACTGGGCTGGCTAGGGCTGATGCGAGTTGTAGTCCAAAACATCTGGAGGGCATGAGATTGAGAAAGGCTGTGTTCGCGAGTGGAAGGGTTCCAGTTTAGGCATTGTCTGTGAAAATAGAGATGTGCATCTTAAGGTAGATTCATTTAATTGGAAGTGCCTCTCCTGCATTAATTTTGACTGAGTTAAAACTAGATCCTGCTAATCCGTTCTTGACACCTTACTCCCCTCAGGGGAGGGTTTTTTTCAATTCTGAGTAAATGCTGATGGTAGACATTTGCTGAACCACATCCTGAACTAACGTGTGCGTTCCTCTCCGCAGCCCCTCCTCTTGGATGTCTGTCTTCAATGCCATGCCCACCATTTGCTTTGGCTTCCAGGTGAGGCTTGTCTGAAGGCCCCAGGTGGGTGTGGGCACATTGAGGGCAAGAAAGTCCACCTCTCTCGGTGTCTCTGTAACCAGGCCTTTGGCTGATTAAACATTCTATGGCCTTTAAAATGTATTTGGGGGAGGGAGCAGCTATTAGTATTTGTTTTACTATATATTTTGTGTTCTCATTTTGTATTTTTATTTTGTGAGCTGCCCTGTGATCAGATGAAGCGCAGCATACAAATTTAATTAGTAATAATAATTGTACCAAGTAAAAGCACAGTGAACCACCCAACTCAATATTTTCTATGCTAGCTTGGTGCCCTCCAGACTGGCAGGGTCTCTCTGGGGTTTCATTCAGGGGTCTTTCTCAGGTCTATTTGGAGACACTGGGGGTGTAATGGGGTGGGAAGAGAGACAGAATAATCAATTTAAACCCTGACCTTTGTTTCAAGTTTAATTCATTTTTATCTTGGATGAAATTGTAGTGTTTTCTTTCGTATGGTGTTTATGATATGTAGCCTTGTCTTTTTCTGTCTGTTTTTTTATAAGTAGGATGTGATATCCTAAATACACTAGCCTCAACCTGTTGCAAGAAAGGTTGAATAAGGTGTGAACAGACAGACAAAAGCTTTCGACGTGCTCATATGGAGCCTGCGCTCCCTACTCTTGACAGATGAGGGATAAGGGGAAATGGATTACTGTAGAATAATAATACAGCTGTCCTAGGCAAAGTTAAGATGGAATTTGGTTCAGAAAGCATTTAAAAAGGGATAATGTGAGTTACTTAGGTCCTGGAATGAGGCAGAGGTGGTTCTTATTCTTCAACCTTCTTAAGGGAAAATCAGAGGCCCTGTTATAGCATCCTCCCTCCAGATGTTCATGGCACCAGGTTGGTGAAGGCTACTTTTTGCTGAATTTGTTGACTGGCTCTTTGGTCTCCAGCTGTGAAAACGTATATGTGGAAAAACTGCACTAGCCGAAAGAACAAGTCTGGGAGAAGGATCTCCTGTGCAAGTAATCACAAAGGCTGATGACTTCTGCGCGATCAGAAAACTTGCATTCTTCTCTTCCACACCTAACAACCCTTTCCTATTCCTCTTCTCCCTGGCAGTGCCACGTCAGTAGCGTGCCTGTCTTCCACAGCATGAAGCAACCAGAGGTGAAGCCATGGGGGGCCGTTGTGACAGCAGCCATGGTCATTGCTCTTTTTGTCTACACGGGCACAGGTAGGTGGGATGAAAAAGAGGAAGCGCTTAATCTCCTCTTCTGAGCCACAAAACGGAGACTGATCCCTGATCCATATTCCCTCATGGGATGGGAAGTGACTGGTGGTTGGCTCTGGGTCATTGTGAACCTCTTTCTTCATCTTCTTCTCTTCCTCTTCCTCCTCCTCCTGTTTCCTGCCAGGAGTCTGTGGATACTTGACGTTTGGGTCCAGTGTGGAGCAGGATGTGCTCATGTCCTACCCCTCCAACGACATCCCAGTCGCCATTGCCCGCGTTTCCATCATCGTCTGCGTTCTCACTTCCTACCCGATCCTGCATTTCTGTGGCCGGTGAGCGTGGAGCGGGAGGGGTTGGTGGGGCTGGCTGGCTTGAGCCTCTCCTGCTGCTGTGCAGTCCTTGCAGGGGGTGTTGCAGTGGCAGAGGGCAACCCCTAACTCCTCCTTTTGTCTTGGCTTCCCGCCCAGGGCTGTGCTGGAAGGCCTCTGGCTGCGCTACAAGGGGGAGGCGGTTGAAGAAGACGTTGTGCGGGAGAGGAGGCGGCGCCTCTTGCAGACGGTCAGCTGGTTCCTCCTCACCCTCCTCCTGGCCTTGTTCATTCCTGACATTGGCAAAGTCATCTCTCTCATTGGGGGCCTGGCTGCCTGCTTCATCTTTGTTTTCCCAGGTAGTTTTCCCTAGCTGATTGTGTGTAACGGGGGGCTCTTATTCTGCTTTTGGTGGGGCTGTGAGCAGGGACCCATGGAGATGCCTCCCCTAGCTTGCCTGAAGAGTCAAGGTACCCCCACTCCAGGGTCCCTGCCCAATGGCAGGGGGAGCCTTTCAGGCAGAAGGCTACAGAGAGGCAGAGAGGCACTTGCCCTCAGGCTGGGGAGTCTCGCTTAGGAGGGGAAAACAGGACAGAGGGACTCAGAAGACCTCAGTTCACTTCTGCTCTTAGCAGAGCAGATGGCTCCCTTGGAACTTTATTTGGTGGTCTTTACTACCAGCCTGCCTCACCTCGCCTCGCAGATACCTGCTCTGGACAGGCCAGAATATTCTCCTAGCCAGAATTCTCTTTCTCTATAAGTTCAGCTTGAGTTGCCACCCTTCCCGCACCCACTTCCTTTGGATAAATTAGCAATTTATTGTTAGCCCACACAACCAGCTTTCTTCTGCACAGTGACTTTTCTGCAACCACCTCAGCGGTGGATCTTCTTTCACTAAAGTGTTCAAGACATACTTCCTTTGCACACCAACAAGAACCTGATATCGCTCAAAACAGTTGAACGTAACACTGGCTTTGTTAGAACTGTTCATCGTTCTGAGATCTAGATGGCTGCAAAAAAAAATGCCTTGGTGGTTCCTTCTGCTGCTTTTTTCCTTCACCGTTTTCCTCCGCTCCTTCCTTGCCAGGACTCTGCCTCATCCACACCAAGCTCTCCGAAATACAAGAGGCCAGACCAGCCGGGTAAGAGCTGTGCTTCTTCTTTGCTGCCTCCTCTTGCCCAGTTCATCCATGTGGGGTCAGTGGTTATGGAATCATTTGTGTTTCATGCCAGTCTCCCCTCTTTTATCCATAGCTGGTGGGCGATGGTGAGCTACGGCGTCTTCATGGTTATCCTTGGAGCATTTATCTTTGGACAGACAACTACCAACGCTATCTTTATGGATCTCAAGAAGTGATCCCTACAACTGCCCGCGGAGGGTGCCTTTCCTCCTCTGGATTCTTGAATTCCAATTTTGGGGGATGTCTCGTGTCAGCAGGAGGCAACCGTTCCCTCCACTCTCCCCCAGTGATTGTGCTACTCCTGTTTTGTTTTGTTGGGAGCCTCTTCCGAGACTTTGATTTCCATCTTCTTTCCCACTTGCTTCTTGATAGACCAGTCAAGTCCCCACAGGGCCACTTGCTGTGCATGCAGCTTCACACTCTGAACACAAACTGAATTCCTCTTTGCCTTTTGGGACATCACTCTCAAAAAGGACTCTCCTTTTGCCCTTGCCTTCCACACACTTGTGTAAGAGGACCCAGGCCATTCACTACACAACTTCTGCTCTAAATTTATGTGCCCGGGGGGCTCATCTTTGTATCATGACCAGTGATGTAGCAAAGGTCATGTGGTTGATAATGACATGACTGCACAGTGTGAACTACAGCTTAATTACTTTAAGGCAGCCTTCCCCAGCCTGGTGACTGGTTTGGATGACAACTCCCATCAGCCCCAGCTAGTACGGCTGTATGATGTTGGGACTGACAGGAGTTTCCCTCTGAAACATTTGGTAGGCACCCTGTTGGTAAAGGCTGGCCTGTGGACTTGGTGCTTATTGTGGAAGTTATTTTTTTTTATATTGTTGCTATCCTTTTACTTTTTATATTTGAAAATGAAAACTGAGGGAATAGATCCTTGAGTTTTAGATACATGTACGTTGGAAAAGGGAATATTTGACTACATTTGAGGGCATTTCCTTGGCATCAAATTCACACAGGTCCTTCCTTCCTGTCACCTGACTACTTCCTTCCCCTCCTTTCTGGTGAGATTCGCCAGATTCAGATGCCACATGAACAAACTCTATTCCTTTGCTGGGCGGTGTCTCTGCTCCATCCAATCATGTTTTAACCCACAGTATTCGGTTCTCAGAGACCTATTTCCTTTTATATTTTCATTTGATTAAGTTGATGTCAGATTCTGGGGCTGTAGCACAGGTTTGCCAGGTGTGGAGAACCTGTAGCCGCCCCCCCCCAGGTGCTCTCATCAGCCTGTGCAACCAGCCAGGCCCAAGTGTCAGGGATGATGATGGGAGCTCTGTTAGTACAGCAACATCTTGGGGCCACACCTTCTGTTGCAGGATCCCATTCGTATCTGTTGGTTCCAATGTGGCATTTTGTAGCATGTTCTGATGTTTGCAAAGCAAATTTTTAGAAGGTCTCTATGTTCTGGCAGATGGGGCTAAAGTCCAGGCTCTCTCTCAATGTCAATTATACACTAATTTTGAAGATTTTTTTGGGGGGGTGCAACACACACCCCCAGCCCCCATTTCAAATCTTGTGTGCCAGGGTGGGTGGTGGTGGTGAAGTTTGGGCTTTAATGGAACAATGTCACTGTGGAAATAAGAATTAAAAAGGAAAATTCCAACTTCTGGGTTACTTGTGCTTTGATTCCTGTCCATTAATGCAGATCCAGTTCTAGGTGGCTTCATAGCTTGGTTCTCCTGCAGAGAGGACAGAGAAGCCCAAAACTCCCTTACCCACCTTCACCTTCTTCCTTGCAGGAACCATCTCTTTACCAAACTGCCAGCTATTGAGCAACCCCTCCCAGATTCTCTTTCACTCATTGAGTGATGCGGCATAGTTGGAGCAAAATAGTTTTGTCCCTCTCCGAGATCTGGAAAGAGGAGACAGAGAGAAGACAGCTTCTAGTGGCAGCACTAGGGAAACTGGTGTGGGCATCCATGCAGGGTAACATTGCCTTTCAGGTTCTGTTTATCTAATCTTTATGCAACAAATTGCATTTGATTAATGTTTGTATAACATATTCCTATACGTAACCAGACCCTTTGCTGCAGGCCCTTTAATTTCATATCTGTTTTTATGTTCCGCCTTTCTGCGTAGAACTCTGTGGGTCATGATCTCAAGAACCACTGTTTAGAAAGCCAGTACAAAGAAAAATAAAACCAGTCAAAGTCACCAGCAGAAATGCTGCTAAAATGCAAGAGCTGGAGCAGGCCTCTCAGGCTCCGCAACCAGGTGCCCTCCAGATGTTTTGGATTGCAAATCCTCAGCCAATGTCAACTACAGTGGTGTAGATGGAAACCGACTTGGGGATTTTTCTCTTCCAGCATCCTAGATTTTAATTTGTTCCTGGTGATTTCTTATCAATGTCTAGATTGGGGATACCATTGAGCTGCCACGGCCTAGATAAATTAACATTATTATGTATATGACTTTGGTTTAGTGCCATGTACAGTGGTACCTCAGGTTACATACGCTTCAGGTTACAGACTCCGCTAAACCAGAAATAGTACCTTGGGTTAAGAACTTTGCTTCAGGATAAGAACAGAAATCGTGCTTCGGCAGCGCAGCAGCAGCAGGAGGCCCCATTAGCTAAAGTGGTGCTTCAGGTTAAGAACAGGTTCAGGTTAAGAGCGGACCTCTGGAACGAATTACGTACTTAACCTGAGGTACCACTGTACATAGTTGAGTCACCTTTGTTTGGGGTGTGCATGGAATAGTTTTTGTGAATGGCTTTGAGTCTTGGGGGGGGGGCAACTTACCCATCTCGTATCTTTATATATTTTTATATCCTCCTCCCACAAAGGACCCTGTCCTTTAAATTCACCGTGGTGAGATTTGTATAATTTGCATCAAGAAACCTGTCTCAAACCACAGCTTTATTCCTCACTTGTGTCTTGTTTGGTGCTACCCTTTTTGGTAGGATCTGCTTGGCCTCATACTGCACTGGCAACAAGCTTTTCCAAGGGCAGGAAATGTGCTGAGTCAATAGAAAATATTTTGCCTGGAAAAAAGGAGGCAGCAACCTTGAAAACCCCACTTAGAGCTTGTGTGGGTCACTGCTATTTTTATCTTACTGTACTGTATTTTTTTATTTGTTCCACCTCACACTGAGGGGGAAAATTCCAAAGGTGAAAAGTGGGGCTGATTAAGAGCAGGTGTTGCTGAGTCTCACTTCCACTTGAGGAGGGGTTCCTCAGTTTCATCCAGGTGGACTTTTCTTGAAGGGACTGAGAGGTACACAAAGACCCTCAAAGGATCAGATAACTTGACAGATGGCATTCAGTTCCCCAAATTGATGGATTTGGAGAGAAATGAATATGACTGGGTAGAAAACCAGATAGCCTGTCAGCTCAAAACGCCTACCCTGTGTTCAATAAGGTGCAACCGCATCTGTGTGCCTTTGTGCCCGTGTGCCACCATTGACACCTCAGGGAGGTGGGTTCTCAGAGGAGTGAATTACAGATGGTTCCTTCCAAGTGGGGTGTTTGTGCCATAGCCCATCATTTGTCTGGCTTGGGCAGACTTGTGGCATCAGGCAAGCCAGCCTGGCACTCCCGACTGAGTTTAAGCTCTCAGCCTGGGCAACATCTTACTGAGAGGGGGGACCAGACTGCTGGTCTTCAGCCCATCTCAATCTTGCACACCATGATTCCAGGCATCCAGAACTTCTAGTCCACCCTCAAATATAAATATTTCCGGCACAGCTGGATGAAACAAACTGGAGAAGGCAGCCACAGTCTGCAGCATCCACCACATCAATAGAAGAGGGCATTTCAGGCCAGGAGGGCAAGTTTCCATGACTTTGAGAAGACGTGTTTTGCACTTTAGAAACTCTGGACCCAGCCTGTGAGCTGGCCCACCCATACACACTTAGGAGATGGTTAGCATGTGGGATTGAGCCAGTGCATATCTACCAGGGAGATCAGCCTGGGCCACCACAAAGACCACACTGTTCAATGGGATCTCTTCATACAGTCAGAAGCCGGTCTCAGGTGATGTGCTCCACATAACTGAAAGAGTACCTTATATTTTGGAAAAGCTTGCCTCCTGATGGAGAGGTGAAATTCAGCTGGGTTATGAATAAAACCACCTAATTTTTCAAACTTGTTACTTTAGTCTGCTAGAGGTCCAATATTCCAACTTCCACCAGATGAGATCACCCAAGTGTCTTGTACCCTTACTTTTCCAGGTGATGCATCAGGTTTTAGCTAGGATAGTTGTGAAGTTGGAATAGAACATCACTGACATAATGGAGGCGCTGGACCCAGCTTTTAAGTGGCTAATTACCATTTCTGAATTAAGTGCTGGTTTTTAAGGCTACTAGAACCAGAGGTAATTCACTATTCTATAATTCAGTCTATCCTTATTGATCCAGTAAAGATTCAAGTATTTCTGTAAGTGAATCAGCAGTGGTTGTTGATACAATTCATCAAAGAAAAGTTTCAGATTGGGGGATTCATACATCACTGTCCTGTTTTTTTGTCACTGAGCAACAGCTTACAGTACTGTATTATTTCTACATCTAAGCTTTTCTTTCTTTTTTTATAAAATATTTATTAGAATTTTACAATAAACATAGGTTTAAAAAAAATTAAGAAAATTAAACCAAAGATTACACATAAACAGAAAAAGAAAAAAGATAACAAGGATAATACCAATAAAACAAGAACCTAAGATAATACCCCCCCAAAAAAAACAAAAAAACAAGGACCTAAAAGAGAAAAAGGAAAAGACAAAATACAAAAAACAGATGGCTTAAAAAGAAAAAGAAAAAAATTAAAAAAGAAAAAATCCATTTTTCAATATCTTTAGGCTCATTTACTTATTTCCTTGACCTCCTCACACCTCCCCTTTTTGTATTCCCGTTTACAAAATCCTTTCAGCAAATCCTTACCCTCTTTCATTTATCTTTACTCTATATCTTAACCTATTATAACAATATATTTTCATCCATATAACAATCTATATTTGCATATTCTTATTAACCTTATTACCAAAACCACTTATTTCCATTCCAACATCATTTTAACATTCATTAATTTTACAGTATTTCTGCAAATAGTCTTTAAATTTCTTCCAATCTTCTTCCACCGACTCTTCTCCCTGGTCACGGATTCTGCCAGTCATTTCCGCCAATTCCATATAGTCCATCACCTTCATCTGCCACTCTTCCAGGGTGGGTAAATCTTGTGTCTTCCAATACTTTGCAATAAGTATTCTTGCTGCTGTTGTTGCATACATAAAGAAAGTTCTATCCTTCTTTGGCACCAATTGGCCGACTATGCCCAGGAGAAAGGCCTCTGGTTTCTTCAAGAAAGTGTATTTAAATACCTTTTTAATTCATTATAAATCATCTCCCAGAAAGCCTTAATCCTTGGGCACGTCCACCAAAGGTGAAAGAATGTACCTTCAGTTTCTTTACATTTCCAACATTTATTGTCGGGCAAGTGATAGATTTTTGCAAGCTTGACTGGGGTCATGTACCACCTGTATATCATTTTCATAATATTCTCTCTTAAAGCATTACATGCCGTAAATTTTATACCTGTGGTCCACAACTGTTCCCAGTCAGCAAACATAATGTTATGTCCAACGTCCTGTGCCCATTTAATCATAGCAGATTTAACCGTCTCGTCCTGAGTGTTCCATTTTAACAGCAAGTTATACATTCTTGAAAGTATCTTTGTTTTAGGATCTAACAGTTCTGTTTCCAACTTTGATTTTTCCACCTGGAAGCCAATTTTTTATCTAAATTATAAGCCTCTCTTATTTGATAATAATGAAGCCAGTCTCGCACTTTATCTTTTAGTTTCTCAAAACTCTGCAATTTCAATTTGTCTCCTTCTTGCTCCAAGATTTCCCAATATTTCGGCCACTTGGCCTCCATATTGAGCTTTTTCAGGGCCTTTGCCTCCATCGGTGACAACCACCTTGGGGTTTTATTTTCAAGTAAGTCTTTATATCTTGTCCAGACATTAAACAATGCTTTTCTGACAATATGGTTTTTAAATGCTTTATGTGCTTTAACCTTGTCGTACCATAAGTATGCATGCCACCCAAAAACATTATTGAAACCTTCTAGATCCAAAATGTCTGTGTTCTCAAGAAGCAGCCAATCTTTCAGCCAGCAGAATGCTGCTGATTCATAATAAAGTTTAAAGTCTGGCAGGGCAAATCCCCCTCGTTCCTTTGCATCAGTTAATATTTTAAGTTTTATTCTGGGCTTCTTGCCCTGCCAGACAAATCTAGAAATATCTCTCTGCCACCTCTTGAGACAATCCATTTTGTCCAGAATTTGTAGTGATTGAAACAAAAACAGCATTCTTGGCAATACATTCATCTATATAGCAGCAATTCGACCCAACAAGGAAAGCTTCAAATTTGACCATATTTCTAGATCCTTTTTCACTTCCGACCAACATTTTTCATAATTGTCTTTAAATAAGTTCCCATTTTTAGCTGTCATATTAATCCCCAAATATTTCACCTTCTTAACCACTGTTAAACCTGTCTCATTCTGAAACCTCTCTTTCTCAATCGATGTTAAGTTCTTCTCAAGGACTTTAGTTTTTAACTTATTCAACTTAAATCCTGCCACATAACCAAATTCTTGGATCAGTTCTAATACTCTTTTAGTACTAGATTCTGGCTCCTGTAAAGTCAATACTAAATCATCTGCAAAAGCTTTCAATTTGTATTGTTTAGCTCCGACCTTTATACCCTTGATCAGATGGTCCCTTCTAATCATATTTAACAAGACCTCCAGGACCGAAATAAAAAGCAATGGGGAAATTGGGCAACATTGTCGTGTCCCTTTCTCTATCTTGAATTCCTCTGTCACCACGTTGTTAACTATTAGTTTAGCCTTTTGTTCTGAATAAATTGCACTTATACCATTTTCAAACCCTTGACCGACCCCCATCCCCTGAAGATTTTTCTTCATAAAGCTCCAAGAAATATTGTCAAAGGCTTTCTCGGCATCTACAAAAATTAAAACTGCTTTGGTGTTAATGTCCACTTGCAACTTTTCCAAAATGTTAATTATATTCCTCGTGTTGTCAGACAAATGTTTGCCTGGGAGAAAGCCGGCTTGGTCCTTGTGTATCTCTCCCACTAATACTTTTTTTAGCCTTTTGGCCAAAATGTCAGCAAATATTTTGTAATCCACATTTAACAGGAATATGGGTTGGTAGTCCTTAAGTTGTGTCTTTTCAGACTCACTTTTCGGTATAAGTGTAATATATGCTTCTTTCCACGACTCTGGTGCTTTTTCCCCCTCCAAAATTTCATTGCAAACCTCCTTTAGTGGTTGAATTATCCAATCCTTCAAAGTTCTATAGTATTTTGAGGTTAAACCATCCGGCCCTGGAGATTTTCCCAACTGCATGTTCTGAATGGCACCTTCTACCTCCTGTTCCGTAATTTTATAGTTCAGCATTATCTTATTTTCTTGAGAGATTTTTGTAATCCATTTGTTTTCAAAATTTGGTCTATATCAAACTCTTTCTGAGGCCCTTGTGTATATAACTGTTTAAAATACCTCTGGAAACATTTTCTAATTTCCACTGGATTCTGGATGTTCTTTCCATCCACTTCCAAATTGGCAATGGTATTAAGCTTTTGTCTTTTTTTCATCTGCCAAGCTAGCAATTTCCCACATTTATTAGCCGATTCAAAAGTCCTTTGTCTCATTTGTTTAATTTTCCATTCGATTTCCTGATTCATCATCTTCATATATTGCACTTGATGTAGCTTTATTTCTCTCAGAATCTCTTGTGAATTTGGCTTCACTCTCAGTTTCTTCTCGCCCTCTTTTATTTTTTCCAAAAATTTTTCTTTTTTCTCATTTTGAGCTCTCTTCTTTAATGAATTCTGTTGAATCAGAAACCCCCTCATAACTGCTTTACTTGCGTCCCAGATTACTCTTTTTTCCACAGTAGTATTCAAATTTATCTCAAAATAGTCTCTCAGAGTTTTTTGGGCCTTCTTGATAACCTCTTGATCTCTAAACAAGGTGTCATTCATCCTCCATCTGAAGGAACCGGTTGGTGTTAATTTCATCTCCATTTTCATGGCATTATGGTCGGAGCACGTCTTAGGGCAGATCTCTACTTTTCGAGTCTTAGGTGCCAGTCCTCTAGTTATCCAGATTTGGTCAATTCTTGTCCACATCTTTTTGGTTTCAGAAAAGAAGGTTCCCTCTCTACCCACGGGATTCCTAGTTCTCCAAATGTCAATCAAATCCATATTGTCAGTCAATTCAAAAAAAGTTTTTGGTAGTCTACCATCTTTAGTAACTACCTGTCTCTGCGACTTATCCATGTTTGTGGATACCACTCCATTCATATCTCCCATCAAAATAATGTTGTAGTCCATATAGTCCAGCAAAATCTCATGCAACTTCTTATAAAATTCAGATTTCCCCTCATTCGGTGCATATACTCCTACTATCAGAAATTTTTCTCCTTGTGTTTGAATTTCAATTGCTACAAATCTTCCTTGGTCATCTTTAAAAACAAATTTCGGTGATAGGCTCTCTTTTGCATAAATGACTACTCCTCGCTTTTTAACCTTGTCCGATGAAATAAACTCTTGGCCCAGTCTCTTATTAATCAATATTTTCCTGTGTAGCCTTATCACATGTGTTTCCTGTAAGCAAATCAAGTCCAATTGTTCCTTTTTCAATAAATAAAAGACTTTCTTCCTTTTCTCCGGGAATTGAGTCCATGAATGTTCCAGCTTAATAGTTGCAGAGACATGGTGTATTTAATTTATTTTTCCTCCAACTGCTCCCAATAAATCCTCTTGTTCTGACGGTGGTATCACTTTCTCTAACTTGTCCAATCCCGAAGGTGGTGATACTTTGTCTAATGTTCCTGGTCTTAGGGCTCTTGGCTCTTCTTCCACTCCTTTTTGCAGGTCTTCTTCGTGATCTCTCAGAAATTTTTCTTTATCCTCCACTGATCTTATTTTAAACTTTTTACCTTTAAAGGTAAAAGAAAGGCCTTGGGGGAATTCCCACCTGAAGATGGTTCTATTACCTTTCAACAGGGCCACCAAATCTCCGTAGTTAGACCTAAGGTCCAAAAGATGTTTCGGAATATCCTTAAATATCTCCACTCTTGATTCATGTATTTTTAAAGTATTCTGGTAGTGCAGACTCAATATTTTATCTCTCTCTTCTTTTGATCGAAGGGTGATCAAACAGTCTCTCACCCTGTTCTTTCTCCCTCCTCTTCCAAGTCTGAAAGCATTTACTATCTTAAAGTCTTGCTTATCATCCAGTTTCCAGAAGTCTGCAAATTCCTGTGTTAGAAAATCACTTAGGCTGTCTTTCTCAAGTTCAGGTACCGCCCTAATCCTCAGATTGGTCTGCTTTTCCTTCAATTCAATCATAGACAAAAGTGACTGATGGGCCCCAAGCTGTGACTGGTGGTCTCCAAGCTGTTTACATATCGGTATTATCTTTTCCTCTGCAGCCACTGCTTTTTCTTTTGCTTCCTCAGCTGTCTTTTGATTTAATGCAGATTCTTGCAGCAATTTTTCAATAGATTCTGTATTTGAGTTTACCTTCTGCCCCAAATTGTTAATGCTTATAGTGTTCTGGTCAATTTTATTTGTCGCTTCAGTAACTTGTTTACTTAATTTATCTAAAGTTTCATAAATTTTACTTAAAACTGAAGTAAATCCTTCTTCCGATGTCATACCTTTTACCCCCGCTTGTGCCGGGTCTTCCCCTTGTGGTACAGGAGGGCCAGATGCAGATGCTCTGCGCTGTTGCAATGCTGCACTGGTCTGTTGGAGTCTAACCTTGCCCGATCTTGTTGTCTTTTCCTCCATAACACTTTGTCTGCAAGTCAAGGTCACTCCCACGATCAGGCTTGTTTTGCAGTGGAAAATTCCCTGGCTGGTTAGAAATGGAAAATTCCCCAGCCAATTGTAACAATTTCAGTGAGCCTCTAGGGGGACACAGTAACAGACAGTAATAATAACAGTCAGTATCTTCCCAACTCTTCAAAAGTCCCTCTACAGCAAAGTTAATAACAATTTCAAGTCCAAAGTATCTCACATGCAGAGTTGGCTATCAAAGAATTACATTGTCCATAAATAGTGCGGCTCTCAAAACGACAATTCTATTAGTCTTGGCAATCCGTTCCCAAGGATTGAGTGGTGGTCTTTTATCCCTTTTTCCTTCTTTTCCTTCTCCTTTTTATTTTTTAACAGGCAGAAAATACTTTCCCTTCTTCCCTCCCCTCTCAATTCAGGGAGGGAGTTCTTTTTATTTGACGTTTGGGTTTGAATCTTTTAGCGCACCTCTCCCGGTCTTAGCTTAAACAGTCTTTGCTTTGATCTATATACAAAACGGAAGGTGGACTTCCTGTTTGCACCTTGCCGCTTCGGTACCGAATTTGACCTTCTTTTTCCTTTAGCATCCAATCTTAAAGCTTGACCTACTCACGGGTTGTTGTTTAATAGCCGAATTGTCACAGGAAAAGAGGTCAGCGCTCTCCGGCAACAGCTGCGCGGCTTCACTCCACGGAAGTAGCGATCAACTCTCAGCACCGCGTCAAACCCCCGTTTCACTCCGGAGCCCCTCGCAGGGTTCCCTTGCAAATTGGGGGAGCGCTGAAGGTGCCCGCCGAGTCCCACGGTCACAGGCTTCACCCGCCTGTGGTTTTCGAGGGGGTCCCCGCTTCGCCGTAGCGGCAAGACCCGATTTCCGAGGAGCTATTCCCTCAATACTAGAGGGAATCTGCCATTGCCGATGGCGCCGCCTCCGGAAGTCTAAGCTTTTCTTACCTGTCCAAACGAAATAGTTTGTTATCCTTAGTTGGTTATCCATTTTTTTTTCAAATGTCTGGGAGACCTAGGTTTAGAAAAAAGTTAATCCAAGGATTTAAAAATGAAATGAAACCTACATACAGCAACAGTGTTTTGTGTTGTGTAGGCTCCTATGATGTAAGTAATGGGCCCCGCCTGCTAGCCTGCTCCCTAAAATATCACATATAAAGGGCCCCATTATCTTCAATAGCTTAGGGCCTCATCACACCTAAGTCCGGGCCTATGCCTAGATATTTCTGCTTCTCAGATTTTGAGAAATTCCATTAAGGAAGTGTCACTTAACCGTATCAGTACCAATTCTTGGAAAAGATTGATCATAATTTACCTTGAAGCCAGAGACTTAGCCAAATTGGTCAATCTAATCTGAAGTCTTGTTAGGCTAAATAAGGTGAAGGTGACATTTCAAAGTGACATTTCCTTCCAAAGAAGCCTGGCTTGTGTTTTGCTGGTACATTGAGCCACGCTGCCCACCTTCCCATTATTTGTAGTAATCAAGAAACAAGATTATGCTGCTGGCTTGTTATCAGAGTACACAGGCCGAGCATGATATAAGGTGCCCTGCAACTCCACCACTCTATGGCAGCCTGTCCCAAAACAGCACCATGCACCTCTTGTTCAGGTTGTGCGCCGTCTTCAGTGTCTCACTCGGCCTCTGTTCAGGGACAGATGCTTCTCCGGATCTCATCACTTCCCTGCCAGGACTGTCTGAGATGCCAACCTTCCAGCAATGGTCTGGCTATCTCCAGGCAGGATCTGGCCAATACTTCCATTACTGGTAAGCAGAGAGACAGAGAGAGAGATTGAGTTAATATCCATGTCTCCTCTTCATTGAACTGTTTGTTGCTTTTGGGTATGTGCTGGCCGACCTATGCATGCTTCCACTTGCTCATGAATTAAGAGCTAAAAAGCTAATCCTGGCTAGACACATTGCTGACATCCAGGCAACAGCTGCTTCATGGACTTCCACCATTGGCAGCAGCAGCAACACTTCTGAATGCCAGTTGGTGGAATGTGCAGGAGGGCAGAGCACTCTTGTGTTTGGGTCTTGCCTGCAGGTTTCCCTTGGGTTGGCCCCTGTGAGAGCAGGGTGCTGGACTAGATGGGCCCCCTTGGGTGTGATCCAGCAGGCTCTTCTGATGTCCTTATGCTCTTGCTAACCGTTTGTTGAAATTGCCTTTGCCAAGATGTTCTGGATGAGCTGCAGCTTACAGAAACGTTTATGCTTCTCTACTGCCCTGGAACTAGCTGTGTGGGGCAGCCTAAGAATAAGTTGGTTGCTTGTAACATTAGCTTGATTGATTGATTGATTGATTGATTGATTGATTGATTGATTATAATAATTTGTGTCTTCCCTTTACAGGCACAAATTCCCCCCAAGGCAGCTTACAAATAAAGTCAAAGTGCAATAACAATAAGACCATTATGAAAACAGAAGCTGTTTCATTTCTGGGGCAGGGGTAGGGGCAGGAGGGAGGCAAGTCCAGTAGGAGCAGGCTGCCATGTTGGATGTTGTAGTTCCTTGCCTGCCTCTCTCCTGGATTCCTGCCCATAGGGTAGCTGCATGGAGGAAAAGGTTGATTCAGTGGGGGCTGGTTCACTAGCGTAAATGAGGCACAGCCCCACCAACCTTAGCCATGTCACAACTGCCTGCCTTATGATTTACAACGGGCCCAGGGAGTGGCCCTGCTTGCCACCTTCCTCTTCCTCAGTCTCAGGGTTGATCTTGTAGAACTCACTTGGGAGGAAGATGGGGACAAAATTTTCTGACTCTGCCTGTTGCTGGCTGTGGCTCCACCTCTCTCTGCCTACCATTAGCCCCTCTGCCTTCTGCCCCACTCGTCCCACCAGCTAACACCACATTTATTTACACCTCCAATGATGGTGCCCCTGTTCCATGTTCCCAATGCAGCCCCTCACTCAGCACAGGCATGCTTAGCTGTAAGACTGCTACAACATCAGGCAGAGGCAGTTTTAGGGTGGCACAACCAGAGCGGTCACACTGGGTGCCACACTGCAGGGTTCACCAAAACAGTGCTGTAGAACAAAGCATAAGAGGCGAGGTTGCACCAAATATTAGCGTCACACAGGGCGCCGCTGAAATTTGAGAGCCCAAAGTCTGCTACTGCATCAGGTATCTTCCTTGGGTCTCCATTCTTTGGGCCTCCTCCAGACATATCCATCGGGGTGTTTGCTCTCCCTTTCCATACTGACAGGTTTGTGGAGTCTCAGGGCAACCCAGCGACTGACCCCGTGGTGCTCTGGCTAAATGGGGGACCTGGCTGTAGTTCCATGGAAGGCCTCCTGGCTGAGAATGGACCTTTCCATGTGAGTCTGTGGCCGCTCAGTATGCTGATGGGAAAGGAGAGAAACATGGGACAAGGAAGGGGTTGTGGATCAGGCAGTTGGGGCTCAACTGGGCCTGAAGCTCTTGATCTCATCTCAAAGTTGTGGAGGCTGCCTGGGATCATTCTGTCAGGAGGGAAAGGTGCTCTATACAGGCGCAGAGGCAACATTATTTACTTACTATGAGATCACCAGAGCCAGGTGCAAAGGGGCTCTATGTTGTTTTAATTTTGCCCAAAGTTGTTGAGCTTTTGGGGATTTTCTTGGACATTTTCCCGATTTCCACCTGGACACTGCTGCTGACTGCAGTATTTTGTATGTGTCCGGGAGAATCTGGATGTATGGCAGTCCTGCAATAATGCCCAGACCAACTCACAGATGCCTGATTTCTCAAGGACTGGGAATCTGAGACTGTGCTTGGAGGCAATTGATATGGAAGATTTAGTGAACAGCATGCTGCAAATACCTCACATCCCCAAAGTAACCCTCTTTGTCTGCCTCATGGTTTTGTGTAGCTGAATGATGATGCAACACTCTACCTGAACCCCAACAGCTGGAACAAGGTAGCCAACGTGCTTTACATGGAATCTCCGGCTGGAGTTGGCTATTCCTATGCCACAGAGGACAGCCCTATCAATGACAGCCAGGTAGGTCACTTGCTGTTTGTTCCTGGCGTAAGGGCCGCATTCTCTAGTAAACAAACCAGGGGCAAGGAGTATCACATGCCAGTGGTGGGTGGGGCAATAATTGGAATGGTGATGGTAGCAGCTGATGGGGGAAGGTTGTCAGTCCTGTGGCAGTAATATAGGGCAGAACCACACCATACATCATCATCATCATAATTAATTTGTTCTCCACCCAACTGATTGGGTTGCCCCAGTCACTATGGGCAGCTTCCAACAGAGTATAAAAGAACACATGATACATCAGACATTAAAAGCTTCCCAATACAGGGCTGGCTTCAGATGCCTACAGAAAGTCATATAATTGTTTATATCTTTGACATCTGATGGGAGAGTGTTCCACTGGGTGGGTGCCACTACCAAAAAGGCTCTCTGCCTGGCTCCCTGTAACTTCACTTTTTCAAAATGAGGGAACTGCCAGAAGGCCCTCTGAGCTGGACTTCAGTCACGGTTTTAAAACACAGCCAGTGCACATTTAAATCATACGACTTCCCCTAAAGAATTATGGGAATCGTAGTTTGCTAAGGGCACTGGGAACTGCAGCTCTTTGAGGAAGAAACTACAATTATCAGCATTATTTGGGGGAGCCATGTGTTGTAAATGTGCATTGGCTGTGCCTTAGATCTATGGCATGGTTCTATCCAGTGGCAATATAGACTTCCTACACAGCTGCCTGGGCTGTGAGGAATCAGCTCACAAAGTTTGTAAGTATTGTTGGGACAGAATCCATTTGCCTGACAGGTAGGAGAAGTCTTTATTTGGATGTTCATTGAGACAAATCAAGACTTCTGTCATATACTCCTGACGGATGAGGAGCAGAGGAGTGGGGTGGGGGAAGATAATGCCAGGAGTGTGTTTCTTAATGCAGCCGCACATGATATGCACATCAAACTCTGTCCTATGATTTGTAACAAAGCTAAGTGGTGGGTCAAAATTTCTCCCTACTTCAGGTAGCTGAGGACAACTACCAGGCTCTCCAGAGTTTCTTTGCTAAATTCCCAGACTTTGCAAACAACGAATTTTATGTTTTTGGGGAAAGTTATGGTGGAATCTATGTCCCCACTCTCACTGCCAAGATTGCGGAAGGATCAGCAGGCATTAACCTGAAGGTAAACACAATCGCGGTACAGGAAGCAGAGTCACTGGAAAACCAGGAGAGCTAAGATCTTCCATGTAGGCCAAATGGCACATTTAGGGGCACTGAGTGAGCACTGCCAACCCACAAGCAGCAGCCACTAATGCAGATTTTGCCCTGATGACAACAAGCCCTGAAGGCCTCACTCCTCTCACATCCAAACCAGGCCACACGGAAAGGGCATGCCTGGAAGTGGGGAGGTGGATCCACTCTGAAGGCCTTGCTTGATAGCTGCCTCTGAATGTCCGGTGCCATTGCCCACATCCAGTTGTGCTGTATCTCAAGAGGCACTAGTCACTACAGTTCCTCTGCCTGCTATCTTCAAACCTGGCATCAGGCCTGGTTCTAATTATAGCCTTTCAACTAACTATCCCATCATCCAATTTCATACAACTCCTCCTTTCTTGGCATGATCTTTTGTTATCTGATTCCTCAGGGATTTGGAGTTGGCAATGGCATGCTGAGCTATTTCCTCAATGACGAGACACTGATGGAATTTGCCTACTACCATGGAGTGTTTGGAGATGAGTGAGTACAGAAGAGGACAAGGGGAGTTGGGTCAGCAAGTGGCCACAGGTAAATCTCCCACCATACAAGTCAACAACTGGTAGCTCCAAGTTCACACCTGGCCTCTAAAAGAATTGTCCCCGCCTTCTCTATTTGCCAGATCAAATCAGAAGCAAAAAAGGAGAGTGCAGACTGTAGTAAAGTGTCTTGCCCTTATTATGTATCACTGAGTACATCAGAAACAAGAAACTGGCAAGCAAGGTGGTTGGACGGCAAGTGAGTCAAAGGTGTGCTAAATAAGGGGAAGCCATTGTTTCCTGTCCTTCCTTCAGTGAATAAAATTAGCAATTATCTCCACTGAAGAGAGGACAGAAAGGAAAGCTTAACTTGCACAAACTGTAGGCAGAATAGTCAGGGAGGTTGTTGACATCTCCAAGGAACACAGGACAGATACCTGTCAACGTTGTTTGAACAATCTGTTCTCCTTTGTTGGGCAGGGGAGCCGGTGTGCGTGCGTGCACACACACACTTTGTGCTTCTAAGTTGTGAACCACCCTGTGATCTTGGAGTGAAGGGTGGTATACAAATTTAATGACTGAATAAAAATGAATAAGCTTCCCTCTACCTGACACTCCACCTCCTTCTCTCCTGCCTTACAGCTTGTGGGCCTCCTTGAACGAAAACTGCTGTGATGAAGGAACTTGCAACTTCTCCAGCAACATGAACAGTGATTGTATCACAGCAGTGAGTGGCTGGTCTGAAAATCCTTGATACTAACTCATGTAGTGTGCACTTTGCAAACTCCATTTGCACCTGGCCACAAACTAGAATGTTCTAACTGTTATGCAATAATGTGTTTTGGCCTGAACTGGTAGATTATGGGTTTAGTAAAGTCTTCTGGAAATGTCTTTGCCCTATTTTGTGCCCATAGCACCTACTACACCAAATTCTCTGAACAGCATTAGGATATTGCCAACATGTTACCACACCATTGAAATAATTGCAATGGGTGCTAATCAGTCACTGGGTTAAGTTCAATGTGCTGGTTTTGGTGCATAAATCCCTATGCACCTCGGAACTAGGATTCCTGATAATCCCATCCCTTATATATTCAGTTGATCACAGTGCTCTGTAGGTGAAGGCTGCCTGCAAGTACCATCTTGTAACGAGGTCTATTCTGTACAATGTAGTAATCAGGTCCTTAGTGTTGGGGCACCTACCCTTGGGAATCCCCTCCCCTTGAATATTACACAGCTGCAATCTCTTGTCTTTTCAGTGGCTATCTTCACCCCAGTCTGCATCTGTATTGGAATTGTTTTTAAGATTTTGGAATATGTTTTATCGCTTTGTTGTTAGCTGCCCTGGGCTCCTTTGGGCAGAAGAGCAAGATATAAATTTGATAATAAACCCATAAAAATAAACTGATGACCCTCGAAGGCTATAAATATTACCGAATTCCACACATCTGTTTCCTTTCTCCTCTTTCTGCACATAAACTCAGAGCGTAGCTAACTCTTCTATCCTCTTCTTCCCTGTTCCCATCCTCAAGATATCACAAGCCTATGGAATTCTTTATGGAATTGGCCTCAACGTGTACAACCTCTACGCATCTTGCTGGGGAGGAGCACACTACCAGGAGCGTTATGAAGCCGATCTGTCGAGCCTCTTCCACCACTACCAGTTTGATGTTCCAGTGCCAGTGAGTTGCTCGGCTATCTTCATCAAATTTACATCACTCAGGTGGCTCTAGCGATTCTGTGAATTTGGCAAACTTAAAAAAAACCAAAAAAACATTTTCTTAAGCATTAATATTCAGTATGGAAATTTATTCCCAAAAGTTTATGCTGGGAAGGCATGATTCATCCATTTATAAATGAACTATGGGCCACTTGCTGAATCAGGCTTAGGTATGGCAAAGCAAGGTGCTGGTATCTTGCACCAGCTTTCCCCAGAAGAATTCAACCTCATCTTGCCTTCTTCTTGCTTTCACTTTCAGAAAATTGGCTCCATCCCAGGAGTGCCACATTGTATAAATGCCACCGCTATGTATGTGTGGCTGAACCAGGATGAAGTCCGGCAGGCTCTCCACATCCCCAGCACTCTCCCAGACTGGGAGCTCTGCAGGTGACTCCCATCAAATGTTTCTGCCCTTCAGAAGCATGAAAAAGTTGTTTGGTAATGGAATGGTAATGAAGGGCAGTGGCCTGGCAAGGCTTTCTGGAAAAGTGGTGTTTCTCTGCTGGTATAGAACTGATGCACTGCAGGTTGCCAGAGCTTGATAACATATGGGTATGTACTAGGACTGAGATCAAATGAAAATGCAGACTGCAACAAAAACAGCTTCCCCATCTTTGTTTTGACAACCCTCTAATGTGAAGCACCTGTTTCACTCTGCCCATACTTTATTGCCCTAAACCTGGAAGCTGAGGAAGTAGTCTCCTTTCCCAGATAATTCTGTCCCATATATTTCCAATTTTTGTATGGATGTACAATATGTAATCAAGTGAAGGGAACTGAAGATTTTATTGATGTACTGACTACCTTGCTTCTTCAAGACCCCTTGGGTGAGCTGACAGAAGATCTCCAATACCGATAGTCCGGGGAGAACAACAATCATGTTACAGTCATCTTGTAAGATGTGGCATAAGTCCTTTATGATATTGAAGAAATCTTTCCCCCACTTCTCTGTTGGGGTTGCATGCATAGTGAGTCATCTGGTAGAACTTTTTCAGGTGACAAATGGACCTTTCTTCTCCTTACTCATCTTACTGACATGCAGTCATCGATAGTCTTCTGTGGTATTTTTGTTGGGCATTTGCAGGGGTGTGCAAAACCTTATCATTATTTATTTGGGTATTTCAGTCTCACTGAAAATTGGCATTACATGTTCAGGAAATTTATTTGCAAAAAATAACTCCTCCAAGGGTAAGGTTTTCCACATGGCTAATCCTCACGTTCATTCACACCTAGCATAGTTGTGCATTTTTCTGTATTCTAAGTACTGATGCTTACCACCATTTCCCATTAAAATGTCTTATTGTGGCTTAGATGGTTTTCCTTAAAAAAGACAATGAATACAACAACTAACTGCTACTACTGGGCATTAAGAGGTTTTGGCTGGAACTAATAAGTTGGATCTCAATTGTATGAGAATTCTGAAAACAGTTGTAAAACAAACTGCCTTCCAGACATCACTGGATTAAATTATAAAGGATATTTGTCTCAGTTGTGGACCGCTAAGGTTGGGAACATTTATTTCTCCCCAGCTTATTTATTATTCTTCCTCTGGGGCAAGGTATAGAGTACATGGATTTGTATATTCAGCATCATTTCCTCTTGAAACCACTTGGTGGTGGATGGCCTTGGCTCATGCTCATATTCTGATAGGCCTGCAGGGGCAGGAAAGGAATTCTGTGGCTGTTGGCAGTCAATGAGAACCCCAACTTGCATGCTCTTGGCAGCTTGGATTTGCATCTTGGTGACAAAATCAAAAGGGCACCCTTGGTTGATCTTACTGGTGAAACAAAGGGGAGAAGGGATGAGGGGCCCAAGCTCCTTGAACCCCACCCCCCATGCATTTCTCTTCTCCATGCAGTACACAGGTTAGCTCTCATTACCAAAGGGTGTACAGAGACATGACTCCCTTCTACAAGTATCTGCTGGCTCAGGACCTACGAGCATTGGTTTATAATGGAGACGTGGACATGGCCTGCAACTTCTTGGGGGCTGAAAAGTTTGTTGAGTCTTTAAATCAGACTGTAAGTAACTCCTTTGAACTTTGCATAGCTTAAGTGTTGTACTGTATTGAAAACCTATTGCTCCTTAATTTATGTGGGAAGACACAGCTGATCCTGCCTTTTAGACCCAGGTTTCCAACACCGACAGATGTACAGTTGTTGTTAAAGACAGAACCAAGCTGTCATTTAGAAAAGAAGTTAGAATGGATGGGCAGAGAGGAAGAGAAAGTTAGCAAAACATGATCTGGAGTAATAAGTCTATTAAGAGCCAGTTTTGGAGCATCCGTGATAGACTAGTATGTACACTAAAATTCGGTCTGCTGTCCGTTTCCAGGTTGTGACCTTCTTTTTCATTAATTCCACAGGTGCTAAATGATTACCAGCCCTGGTATTTCAATGATCAGATTGCAGGATTTTTCAAGGAGTATGAGAAGATCACATTTCTCACCGTAAAGGTCAGTGATTTAATCGGAGCCAGTGGGCATTATACTTTTCATTATTTAAAAGATTTATGCCCTGCTTCTCCCCTGTACAACAGTGTTACTCAAAGCAGTAAAAATCAGCAACAAGCTAATAATTAAAAGACAAAATAACAAGTTTATAAACAGCAGGATAACACAAAAACAGGAAGAGCAACACTAACAGCCAATACTTTAAAGCAGGAGCAGAGCCAAAACCTTGTTTAGAAAGCACATTATATCGGCTCAGTTATTTTTTAAGCATGACATGGCTCTCAAGATAGAGGTTTGTGATGGGCCCAGTGACTGCTTTACAGATTTCATCCCAACACAGCCACAAACAAAGGTCGACCCCTCTTCCAACAGTAAATAAAGCCAATATATAAAGCACTGGGTTATAAAAGATTGCTACTTCTACTTTTCCAGCTTTTCCTTCAGGTTCTAGGAGGAGGAAGCACCTTTTATTTATTTGCCAAAATGGGTCCTAGCAGGCAAAAGTGCTGATCTGGGTAACAGCTTTACATTGGGAATCTTCTGCCCTTAAAAATTAGGCTTTTTGCTCCCAGGATAAACCTTTAAGAAAAAGCCTGGGGGAAACTGCTGCACTGACTACCAATCAGAGACAGAGCAAATAAAATGTTGCCCCCAATACATGGTGGTGGTGGGGTTTGGCACTCATGGCTTGATTGAGTTACACTACTTCTAGCCTGGGAAATGCTATTGCTTGCTAGATCACCTCCCCATCAAGCGACAACTATGATTTTAGTACACGGTTAAACAGGACCTGCCACCTGTTCCATGTACCCTACAGAAGCAGCCAGTCCCTCACCTATGACGTGTGTGTGTGTGTGTGTGTGTGTGTGTGTGCAGTGTCCCATAAAAAATGCTGGTCAGAGTTAGAGCATAAGCAGCCAACAGAAAACACGTTGGAGGCAATGGCTTCTCAAGCTGGAGAGACCCATTATTAAAAGGGCTTAGGTGTAATCCTGGGCCCTGTAACAAAGGCCTGGTTTCTCATGTAACATTAAACTATGGTTTGTTTAGCGTAACTGTGGTTTTTCTGAACATGTGAAAACATATCAGCAAACTAGCCTGTTTATTTTCTATCAGCAAATGACAATGTGAAGCCATGGCTTGGTATTGGCTTAAAAACCATGGCTTATTCTAACTATGGTTTAACATTACTTATGAACCTAACAACCCTGCTTAACTATGCTTGTTTTCCCTACCTGTTACCCAAGATGCTCCTCAAGCTGGGAAGGCATGACGCAAGAGTAGCTAGAAAACAAAATAAGATCTAAGCAGGTGTGGGGAACCTTTGGTTTGACAGCTGTTGCTGAACCACCACTCCCATCAGTCCCAGCAAGCATGGCTAATGATGATGGGAGTTGTAGTTCAGCAACAACTGCTCTAAATAAACAATACATGGCTTGTTTGTTAAATAACATTAACCCCAGTTTATGTGAAAACACAGCCAATATGTGATTAATTGCACGCACATTATCAAGACAGCACTGGCGAAAAGTTGCTTTCTCTCCTTCACACAGATGTTGCCTCTTCTTGCTCTGTTCAATATAAGCTTCCAGTATCCTTCACAATGTTTTGGGCAGGGGGGAATTATTTCAGATGTACTTTATCAGCTCTTTTCTAAAGCATCTTCCCTCTCATATATAGGGTGCTGGTCACATGGTTCCACAGTATAAGCCTGGACAAGCTCAGAAGATGTTTGAATGCTTCCTCTCCAAAGCCAGCTACATCTGATCTAATGCCTTTTAAAATAGTAAATGTCACTGAAAAGAGTTGTGGGGAAATAGTATTCCACATAGTACACAATACTTTGTAACATAGTAACATAATTGAAGCTATGTACATGCTTATCTTCTTATGATTGAATAGTTGCAAAAGCTTATTAAATCATGTAATCTCTTGGGTGTGTGGTCATTCTTGGCAGGGCAGGGAGAACAGATACTTCTATGGCACTTTTGTGGGGGCATCACACAGAAATGCCCCCCCCCCCGTGGTAGAGAACCTATAACATGACCTGTTTCTAGGGCTGCCATACATCATGCTTTTGTATTAAAAAAAAGCTCAACAACTTTTGGAGTGTCCTGGTTTTTACTTTTTGAAATATGGCAACCCTACCTGACTATATTTATTATATTTATATACTGCTTTCAGAAGAATATTGTTTCGCAAAGCAGCTTACATAAAAAAAGTAACAGGCCCTTCCCTTTGACTTACCAACTAAAAGAAAGCAAGAGAAACAGGGGAGATCAGCCTAATGTTGTGAGAACAGAGCATAAGTTGTACAAAAGCCTCCACATCCAGCTGAGGTTATGCTCCTTTCCTCACATAAAAGTGGTGCAAGTATGCAACTGGCTCTTCATCGTCTGGTTGGTGACATAGGGCCAGAATGGCTTGCTCTTCCCTTGCCAAAGAGTAACAGGCAGTTGGAAGTGTTTTTTGTTGTTGTGGGAAAGGAGCAAGGTCTCTGAGGCTGCTCTGTCACTGGGTAGGACCAGGCTGGTCATCCGATTGCCATAGGGGCAGAGGGAGGGGGCAAGGATTGTCTCAACTCTACCCAGCTTTTCATGCTATGACAGAAAATCCTCCTCCACTCCAACCTGAGGTCTACAAGGCTCACAAGCTGCCAAAACAGATTTTACAAAGTCCTGCCTACTTGGCTGGAGCCCTTGAAGAGCAAAGCCACAAACAGCAAGAGAGTTACAGGGGAAACTACCAGTGTCCTATTGGTGTTTCGCAACATTGACCTGTTGCAGGACCTTAGCCAGACCTTAGCAGAGCATACGCAGAGTTCCGGAAAGCAATCAGTTGTAGGCAGGATGGACGAAGCAGGAACAAGACGCTGCTACCAGTAATTTGGTTACTTAGAGGTGTTTATTATTTACAGCAGACTCTACAAGTTACTATATACAAGAACAGAAACAGATCTTAACTAGCTCTCTCATAACAAACTCCAAACGACTCTCAGAACACCACACTGATCAACAAACTATCCAGTCAGTAAGGTCATAAGTCATCATGCCTGTGTGAGACCTCAACCAATGGTAGAGCAGTATCCAAGGTCTCATATCTCCAGGCAGAATAACTCCTCTCTGCTCAGCCATCCTTGGCTTTCAGCCAACTCTTAATTGACTGTGTGAAGCTGCACAGAATGGCACGTAGTCAAAAAACCCAGTATGTCCTACTCTGCAGAGCCAAACCATATGCAATGATGCCTTTTTGCAACTCACTTTGGGGAAAGGGGAGAAAGATCAGGATTGGGATTCTGGGATTTAAAACAACCTATTTCCTAGAATTAAAACTCTGGTCTGTGCAAGGATACCCTACCCCAGGTAATTTTTGCTGGGAAAATGGCAGCAGGGGAAGATTAATACCAACACCCATTCTTGTTACATATCAGAAGTTTAAGAAGAGACTTCTTAAGATCATTGGAAGGCCCCTCCACAAGAGGTTCGGAGTGGCAACACGAGAATGGTCATTTGCTGCAATGGCTTCCCATTTGTGGAATGGTCCTCTTTAACCAGGCCTTTGGCCAACTGACATCTGGTGCCCTTTTAAAATGTGCTGTGGAAGGGGATATTATTGGGTTGTCTTTGATTTTATTTTTATTACATATTTTGTGTTTTGTACATTGTGATTTTATGTTGTGGACTGCCGAGATCTATGGGTGGTATACAAATTAAATAAATTGGAAGAGCACTGCTTGATCAGGCCATCAACCTGGTCCAACAACCTATTTTCAGAGTGGCCAATCCAATGCCTGCCAGAAGGCCCAAAGCAGACACATGAAGGCAACACACTTGTGCTGTCCACTAACCTACTTGGAGGCCTCTCAGCCTTCACTACTGGCAGCACTGTACACAGCTGCCCTGGCTAATATCTATTCTTCTTCTCCACGAATCCGCCTAAACAGATTTGTTTAAGCCCTCAGAGTTGTGGGCCTCGCAACACACTTTAATTAGGCGAGGAGGAAGTAGCAGCGAGTTGGTCGGGCCTGAATCTTGCAACATTCAGCTTCACTGGCGAGGGTCCAACGTTACGAGGGGGGGGGGACTTCTTTGCCCACTTTCTCCACCGCACCGCCGTGGTTTTAAGCACCTCTTTCACGTCCGCTCTCAGTTGCCCTTTTTATTTTCATGAAGGAAACAGACCCCAATGGCACGTGGTTTCTCCCACCCAGGATGCTGCTTCTCCAACACTTTGGTCCGCCTCAGACCCCCGTCTACTCCGGCCCCGCGGAGAAGCCCAATGGAAACGGCGTTCCGAAAGGAACCCCTCAAGCCAGGCGCGGGAGCGGCTCCGAAGGGAGGCTGCGAAGACCCGCTTAGCAGCTGCACAACCGCCTCAGGCGCACCCCCGCTCTCCGGGAAGCCCGTGCGCATGCGCTTCCTTCCAGGGTGGAGTGCTCGTCGACCTCCTAGCTGCCCCGTTACACTTCCCAAGGAATCGCGCCTCACGCCTGGCGCCTCGGCCACAGCAACCGCGCCCGACTGTTATTGGTCGTAGCTGACACGCTCCCTTCGTGGCGCCACGTTATGATTGGCCAAGCTGAGCTCAATATTGCCTTTAGCCAATCCTTGTCGGCCGATAGTTCTGCAGCGCCCCCTAGCTATCTCCTCCGCTTTGCGCCGCCTTCCAGCAACCACTTCCGAACACGGATTGGGTAACCTGGCCTTCGTCCCTACGCAGACGCAAAGGGGAAAAAATAATATCGCGCTGCCCCTCGAGGTGCGGATTGGACGAAAGCAGGGAGGCGGGTTCGAGCGCGGAGCTGGACACAGCCTGCGATTGGGCCAGGGCTTTCTCGCGCGGGCGAGCTAAGCGAGATCGAGGAGCCCCCGCCCCCTGGCCTTTCGTCCGTCGCAGGGGAAGACGGGAAGAGAAGGGCCGCGACGTGAGCGCGCGACTCCCGGCGCCATTTTGTTTGGGAACCAGCGGAGGAGGTAGCTAGAGAAGCGCGAGCGGCTCAGCCAGGCGCCCGCCCCGGCCCCGAGACCCTCGCCCCCGGCCCGCCCCAGGTGAGAACCGCGCCGTTCGCTCCAGGCGGCAAGGCCGGCGCTGGCGGAAGCCACCGGGAGGCCGAGCGGTATTGGCGGTAGCGGTGGGCGGCCTGCGTCCCGCGTTTCTCCCGGCGTAGCCGGCGCTGAAGCGCTAAGCAAAGGAGTGGTGAGCTGGGCCTGCCCGTAGCTCGCCTGTCCCTGCACGTGTTGTCCCCTGTGGTGGGGCGAGGAGGCCTCCCGGAAACCCCCTACCCCTCTCTCCCTCCTTCCCCTCTTGCGCCCCGAAGGCGAGTCCGGCCGCGGAATAAATAAAAGCCGAGGGTCGCTCGCGGCAACGGCGGGCTCCTGCCTGCCCCCAGGAGACCGTCCCAATTGGGCCGCCGAGAAATGGTGAGGGGCCCTGTCCGCTCCGTTGGCCTGCCCTGCCCGCCCTCCGAAGCCGGAAGTGACTTGGGCCATTACTTGTGGGAGCGAACGAGGCGGGTCGGGAAGCGTTGTTGCTTGTTCAGAGGCTTTAGTTAATCCATGTCGAGGCGCCTGCCAGCCCCAGGTGTGCGCCGCCCTCGGGCTTCCTCAGCCGCTCCCGAATCGTCTTGTAGGATACCCGTCAGAGGCTGCTACAATACAGGCGGAGAAAGAGCTTAATTCCCGTTTTTTCCTCCTATCTCTGATCCACGACGGACTTGAATCTGCTTATAGGAGCTATATCTGTTTCAAACGTCCTATAAACATCCTTACTTTACCGGGGATAGGCGGGGAGGTAGTGGGATCTTATTTCTGGCAAAAGTCTGTGGTCTGGTGCCAGTTTGGCCGGGCTTCTTTTGGCAGGTGAGACAGGCACTGGAATAATGCTTTCTGGTAACTTGAAGAATGATTTATTTGTCTTCATATTACAGAACTGAAACCATTATCTTTTCATGTGAACCGCATGGTTTCACCTATATGGGCTTGGACTTTTCTTGTCCCAAAAAAAAGTGATCTAAAGTGTTGTTAATAAGAAAATAACTAAGCATATGGGAGAACAAGACTTACTGAAGTAGAGCCTGCATAGCTTCTGCAAAGACAGCTCTTGTCTTATGAAGCTATTAAGAGTTCTTTGAGAATGTCAATAAACATAGTTAGAGGTGATCTTCTTACAGTACTTGCATTTCAAAAAGCTTATGACAAGTTGCCCCACCAAAGATTCCCAAGTAAGCTTAGCAGTTATGGTATAAGAGGAATTGGTTAATAGGAAGCAAACAGTAGGAATAAACGGAAGGTTGTCTGAATGGAGAGCTGTAGAAAGTGGAGTTTTCCAAGGATTGATACTGTGCCTTTTAACTTGTTCATAGAGGATCTAGAGATAGGGGTGAGCAATGAGGTGCCCAAAGGATTTTCAAGAGCTTCAAAAAATATTCTCTAAACTGAGTGAATGGACTGTAAAATGGCAAATGCAATTCAGTGTGTAGAAAGTGTGAGGAGATGCATGCAAAAAATAATAATGCATCTATGCTCATGGAGTCTGAACTGGCAGTGACTGACCAGGAATAAGCCATTGGGGTCATAGTAGGTAACTCAATGAGGATGTCTACCCCAGTGTGCAGCAGCTGTGGAAAAGGCATACTAGGGCAGAAAAAATAAAATAAAACTTTCAGTATCATAGCGCAATTATACAAATATATGGTATGATATGATGGAAGTTTATAAAATTATTCACAGCATGGATAAAGTGGGAAGAGAAAAGTTTTTCTCTCTGTGTCATAGCAGAGTTCACTCATGAACATGCAGTGAAGCTTAGTGTTGGAAGATTCAGGATTGGCAAAAGGAAGTACAGTCATACCTCATGTTACGTTTCATGTTATGTTTTTTCATGCTGCGTCCTGCGGCGAACCGGAAGTACCGGAAAGGGTTACTTCTGGGTTTCGCCGCTCGCGCATGTGCACAAGTGCCAAATCACACCGTGCACCTGCGCAGATACGGCACTTTCAGGTTGTGGGCTTTTCATGTTGCGAACAGGCCTCTGGAACAGATCCCGTTCACAGCCAGAGGTACCACTGTAATTCTTAACACAGTCCATAGTTAAACTGAAACCTGCTCCTACTGGAGACTAATGGCAACCCATTTGAATGGCTTTCAGTGGCTACTGGCCATGATAGCTGTGGTTTGGCTCAAGTTAGAGGCAATAATGGATCCAACAACTTAGGCCTAATTCTTGTGTAAAGGAGTGGATTTAGCAGACCGATGAATTAGGAAGTTGCTGGTTCAAATCTCACTTTACCATGAATTAGCTAGACCATCTTGAGGAACAGCTCTTTCAGCTTTAGGATCCCAATCAAATTCAGCAAAAGTATTGGCTTCCTTTCCAGCACAATTGTAGTTAGCTCTACCTTGTAATCCTTGGTAGGTGGCAAACTTTAGTGCTAAGTTATGTGATTTTCGAGCTGTATTCAGGATGTTCCATATTTAACTCATACAGGTTAAAGCATTTAACATCCGTCAACATTGTACGTAGTTCCATTTGTTCAACGTACACAACAGGTACTACTAACCTTTACCCTTGATACTGCGTGTGAGGCAATAAACTAATATGGGTGGGGCAGAAGCTGCTGCATGCTCATTTAGACATTTCGATCAGTTTATGTTGGCTACTCATGTTTTGTTTCCCACTTGTGTGCAATTCTCATCTTGCTCTCATTTTTCAAGAAGCTCTTCCTTTCACCCTTCCTCCCCCTCCCCCTTTTGAAACATTTAAATTTGTTTTATCTTACACATCATGATTTTTTATTTTAATATGCTGTTAGTTTTTGAGAATACTAAGCTACTCAATTCTGCCTTTTAGATAATTAGATTTATATATTTATTTAAGGTGGCTTTGTGCCCCTGTGTGTCACAGTGTGGTTTGAGTGGTAGTCCTACCAGTTGGTTAGTATCTGTGCAGAGTGGCTAATGCTTAAGTTGCTGAAAGCAGTTTTGTTGTAATCTAAATTGTAGTGTAGCTAGCCAACTCCTTTGTCTTAAACCTTGCTGCTTAAATGCCAAAAGTTCTCTAGCTGAATTTGGGCTAACCTTGATAGACTTTGACTACCCACTATGTATTTCACCAATATTGGCTACTCTCATGAAAATAAAATTAAAAAATCCCTTCCAGTAGCACCTTAGAGACCAACTAAGTTAGTTACTGGTATGAGCTTTTGTGTGCATGCACACTTCTTCAGAAAATAGTTTATTTCATGAAAATAATTTATTTGGCAAGTGGAAAGGTTTCTGTTCAGTTCTCATCTTCCTTGATCTCTCTGCCACCCCTTGATACAGCTGATCACAATTAAGTTGTGATTCCCTTTAAGCCCTAGGTCCTTGATTCTGTCCTCAGTTGATTCTCTTCCTAACTGGCTAATCATTATTTATTTAGAAAAGTATATATATGTTGCTCTCAGAAAACATTGGGGTTTTATACATCAACATTATAGCAATCCTTTAAAAGCAGTACAGAACAATCATTAAAATGACTGGCTGCTCAAGAAAATGCTAAGCAATTGCATAGGCATTAAAAAGTCTTTAAGAGATGCTTGACAGTCAAAAGTAAGGGTGCCTGCCAAATCACTGCTGCAAAAGTGTTCCACAGCATGGGACACCAGTGACACCAAATGACTGACTTCTAGTTGAGGCCAGTCAGACTTCTAACACACAAGAGGAATGTCTTCCTCTGCTTTCTCAGTTTGTAGGGTTCTGTTTTTGGCCCTCTGCTATTTCCCTTGGTACATTCTTTTTGGGTATCCTCATCACATACTGTGGCTTTGCTACCACTTGTATGCTAATGCTGTACAGCTGTACCCCCCAAAAATATTTATTTCCCTCCAATCCCACATCACTTCTCTGATATTTCCACTGGGATGTGTCATTGTTGCCAGTACAGTGGACCCTCAGGTTACGTTACCTTTGGGTAACATAACTTTCGGGTTGCGAATGCAGCAAACCCGCAAGTGTATACTTCCAGGTTTCACCGCATGCGCAGAAGTGTTTTGTCACACCGCGCGTGTGCACAGAAACTTTGTGTGTGCAGTGTGCACAGAAACTAGATACAGACTTTTCGGGGTACGTACGGACCCCTGGAATGAATTAAGTTCGTATCTGGAGGGACCACTGTACATCCACAGCCAAACGTCTCATCTTTCCTCCCGTCTACCAATCTCATTTACACTTCCTCTATTACCCACTTCATCAGGATGAAATCTTTGTTTCTCTTGACTTTTTTTTTTGCTTTTGTCCCATATTCAGTCCATCCACAAATCAATGCCACTTCTCTCCATATATTACAGAATGATCATCTTTCTTCAGCAGAATTTCAGGCCTTGCAATCTTTTCCGCATTGGTCTTGGAAGTGGCCTGTAAAATCTGAAAGCAAAACTTGTGAAGATTTCAAGATTGCCTTGTAAACATGAAGCAATTTTATCATTTCATAAGTTTGGAATCTATATTGGCAGAACAATAACCTATTAAGAAATCTACAATCCTAATGATAAGCTTCCGTCAAGAGAGGCAAATGCCAATGAACAGATCATTTAAAATTATTTTTAAAAATTGTATATTTGCTTAAAACAATAATTGGGATTTGGCACTTGGGTACACATCTTATACATGACACTTCATGCTGTTGAAAGTGTAAATAAACTCCTGTGTTCTCATTAACAAGTGAAGACTCTTCATAATTCTATAGATCTGAATAAAATAGTCTTTTGCTCCGATTGGACTCATTGACTGTATTTGGACAATACACTAAACAGGGATTTTAGTGTTCTTTGGCTTGTGCACTACTTCCCTCTTCCAGTGCAACCTAGAGGAGGAAGTCAAAAGCACTTGTTTTTTATTCCACCTTGGAGTGGCTTGTTATGCCCGAACTAGGGCCAAATGTGGTTAGTTTTAACTCTGGTTGGTTTGTCTGAATAGGGCAACTTCAGACTGTGGCTTATGATGCTGGCTTTGAATAACCACAAGCCTACCTGTAGCCCCAGATTGACTTTCAATACCATTTTCTCCCATGCCACACTCACCTATGACTTCAGGTGTGGGGCAGGTACAGCTGTGGCTCTAGAGCGGCCTTTCTCAACCTGTGCATCCCCAAATGTTGTTGAACTACAACTCCCATCACTCCTAGCTAGCAAGGCCAGAGCTTAGGGGTGATGGGAGTTGTAGTCCAACAACATCTGGAGACCCACAGGTTGAGAACCGCTGCTCTAGAGAAACAATTGGGAGCATTACCGTGATCTGCCACTTGTTCCTTTTAGCTCCCAAATGCAGATGATCCTTGACTCTCTTTCATTGCTGAATTGAAATTCAATGTCAAATACAAGCCCTCCTTTTGGAAGGGTAAGTGGCAGAATATTCTTCTGCGGAATAAACTTCCTCTGCAGTCCCAATTTTAATTAAATTTGGGGCTGGAAAGTATCCAGAGTGTACTTTGAGTGCTCTTTGATTCTTCAGTTGAAGGTGGTTCACAGATGGTGTTGCAGTTTTGGATTCAGCCCTCGGGGCCAGATCTAGTTCCTGACTCCTGAAATAAACTATAGTTCAAACTGCCTTTAACAGCCTTATCAAATCTGCAACCTTTTGCTTGCAAAGCAAGTGCTTTCCCATAAAACTCTGGCCTGTACCATCATTACATTTACGATTGTTTAGTTATACATGACCAGTCACTAGCAAATAGATTATGTATAATCATTGCTGTTTTGTCTTGCAGGTGCCATGGTTCAGAACAGAGTGAGAATACTGGGAAAGAAGAGCTGAACATACAGCATAAATTGATTATATAGGCTAACTGGAAAAAAATTAACCTGTCTCTGAGGTGACTAAAGGGGAATAATGGTGATTTTGCGCCGGGCTCGGCCGCCTGCTTCCGCCCCAACCAGCAATGAATCTTGACTCGCTCTCGCTGGCCTTGTCTCAAATCAGCTACCTGGTGGACAATTTAACCAAGAAAAACTACAGAGCCAGCCAGCAGGAAATACAGCATGTAAGTCAATAACTAATGCCATTAAAAAAAATAAATGAAAAGGGTATCCACAACTTAGTTTGTATTGTTTATATTCCTACTTCTCACTGCTTGATTGGTTTAGTTGCTAGAACAACCTTCCCCAATCTGGTAATCTCCAGATGTTGTGGATTACAGCTCTGACCACTGACCATGTTAACTGGTTGATGTGATTTGTAGTGCAAAACACCACAGGCCACTAAGATCTTACTATATTTTGCTTGCTGGGAGTTGACAATTGTTTCATATCTTATTTATCCTGTTATTTCATCTTTTTTTGTTTGTTTGTACCTGAATTGATTTACGACATTGGCTTTAATTACTCAGTGGTCCTGTAGAGTTATTGCTCATTTCCATGTTTATAACAGAGTTCTTTTGAGTATTTAAAATCACCCTGTTCTGACCTTCTTGCAATGCCTTATAGTAATTTAATGCAAAATTAAATCGGCAATACTTACTTCATTCTAGTGTGAATTTATTGCAAGTGTTATTACTGTCTGTTTTCCTTATTAAATGAAAATTGTTCATTCTGGCTTGTATTTTTCATAGTTACAAAAGTAGTTGCCTCTTTTTTTGCATTCCTTTTTTGAATGGTTAGATTTTTTTAAAAAGGGAAAAAAAGAATTGAGGCTGGTACTGGTGGTGGAAATGATGGTGAAAACAGTGAAGTGAACCTTCAGGTTTTCACTTCCCTGCCCTGTGTGGCTAGTAATGTCATTTAATTCTCAACCTGCATGAGATGTGAAAAAGTGAATGTGGAAGAAGTGTAGCATGAAATATAGTGACCTGAAGAACAGTTACTTCAGGGCAACATCTTTGTGGCACCATATGCCCACGTTGTTGCTGCCCTAGTTTTCCTGCAAACTTTTGAAGCTGGCAGAGGGTTTTTGGTTAACGGTGTGTTCTGGTCTTCACTTGAAAGGTCTTATACTCAGTACTACTTAGAAGTATACTGCTTTGATCCTTGTTTACATCCAACTTTCAAATACCTTTAAACTTTTGTGTTTAAGGTCTTTAAATAACTGATTCTTTTGTAAAGTTTTAAATTTTCATTTTATAGTGTATATAATATGGAGAACAATTATAAAAGACCAAAATTAAAACATGAAAAACAAAACTATAAAATATGCATGTAGAAGGGGAGAATAAGACTTTAATATTGCAAGCAGACAATAAGCAATGCAAAAAAAGAATTTGAGGATGACAGCTGCTAAAAACAAAAATCAACAACCACAAAATACTTCAGTAGTTAGAGACCATCTAGGGAGACAGCTGGACCTTTGAACAGTAAAGGAGTCAAAAGCTGTCTAAAGGAAGAAAAGGTGAATGCAGAGAAGCTGAATGAATTCACAGCAGAAGATATAAGGAAACCCCCTGTGCTTAAACTCACACTTGCTCTTTCTTCATTGACGAAATGAGCTGTTGCATCTTCTTTAAAAGAAGCTACGAGTCGGCCCAGCCTGGATCCAGATAATATTAACTATAGGCCAGTGGCTAATGTTTGCTTATCAGTTTATTGCAGTGCACTCTATGGGGTTCCCCTTGAAGATGGTTTGGAAGCTGCAACTGGTACATAATACAGCAGCTAGCTAGGTTACTGCTGGGTGTTTCTGTTAGAGCTCACCTTATGCTGGTCCTGAAAGATTTTGTGCTGGTTGCCAATTTGCTGCTGAGCCCAATCTAAGATGTTAATATAAAAAGCGCCAAACAACTGAATACTAGTGACAAATGAGAGGGCTGCCACCCAGAGTGGCTGGAGAAGCCCGGCCAGATGGGTGGGGTATAAGTAATAAATTATTATTATTATTATTATTATTTATTTCCCTTCTGGGGTGTGTCATTGTAACATTTTCAGTGTCAAGTTAAGACATGCTTCTTTACCAAGCCTTTCAGGCAAGTGGATGCTTTCCCTTCTGCTGTATTGCTGCACTCCTGTTTTGTTGCTCTTGTGATTTTGTTTAGTTTTCTGAATTTAGCTTAGGATTTTAATGAGCTATATATTGTTTTCAACTCATATTTTGTATAAAATTTCCATGTCCATTTGGTGATGTGTGGGGCTGTAAGTATTTTTTAAAATAGAAAATTGTAAATAAATCCTTCCTCACAAGGTGGTCAAGAGAGTAGGGATCTGCTCATTCTAATTATTCTTAGATGAATCTGATTATCTAGAACAGGGTCGGAAACCTCTGACCCTCCAGATGCTGCTGAACTACAACTCCCATCAGTCCCAGTAAGCATGGCTAGTGGCCAGGGTCAGGGATGATGGGAGTTGTAGTTCAGCAACATCTGGAGCGCCACAGTTCCCCGCACCTGCTCTGATACGAAGTAAACAAGCTGTGAGTTGTTTGCTTGTCTGCGAGGTGAGTCATGGTCTGTTAAATAACATTAACCACAGTTTATGTGCAAACACAGCCAATATGTGATTCATTGCACACACATTATCAAAAGACAGCACTGGCAAAAAGCTGCTTTCTCTTCTTCCGCTGCTCAGTAATAAGCTTCCAGTGTCCTTTACGAAGCTTTAGGCAGGGAAAAATTATTTGAGAAGTGCTTTATCAGATTGTAGGGACGCGGGTGGCGCTGTGGATTAAACCACAGAGCCTAGGACTTGCTGATCAGAAGGTCGGCGGTTCAAATCCCTGCAACGGGGTGAGCTCCCTTTGTTTGGTCCCTGCACCTGCTAACCTAGCAGTTCAAAAGCACGTAAAAGTGCAAGTAGATAAATAGGTACCGCTCTGGTGGGAAGGTAAACGGCGTTTCTGTGTGCTGCTCTAGTTCGCCAGAAGCGTCTTAGTCATGCTGGCCACATGACCCAGAAGCTGTATGCCGGCTCCTTCAGCCAATAAAGCGAGATGAGCGCTGCAACCCCAGAGTCTGCCACGACTGGACCTAATGGTCAGGGGTCCCTTTACCTTTACCTTATCAGATTAGTTTTGAATTGTCTGTCCCTCTTATGGTTCCACAGTATAATAGGAGTTGTGATTCAACAACATCAGGAAGGCCAAAGGTTCCCAACCCAGATCCATTTCTGTTAGGCTTCTAACCTGGTTTGGAGCCAAAAATTACTCTGGTCATCCTGTAGGCTTATCTTTGCTGGCAGATGGGAAATTGAACCTTGTTGATTCTCCTGGACCTCTCAGTAGTGTTCAGTGCCATTAATAATAATGTCCTTTCAGTTCAGCTGTCTGGTTTAAGTTTGGGAGGTACTGCTTGATGCTTGTTCTGCAGAGTTCTATTCATCTGCCCACACTGTTTAACTTCTTGATGAAACCATTGAGAAAGAGCATCTGAAGATTTGGTTGAAGGTGTCACCGGAATGAAGATGATACTCAGCTTTATATTTATTGCTCATCACATGCAAGTGAGGCTGTGCACACTGCTTGGGCATGGCAATGAACTGGCTGAACTCTGAAAAACAGAGGTTCAGGGTGGAATTGAACATCACACTATGATGAAAGTCCCTATTAGTACAAGCAGTGCAGCTTGCCAGATGGAATGATCCTCCCTCTTCTTCCTGTGCACTGTTTTGGGGATTCTTCTGACCTCCCCTTGCAGCCAATTTTGGGGGTAGTGGAAGGAGGAGAGCAAGGAAAGCCCTGCTGTGCAAGTGGAAACCCTCTTGCCCATAGTCACAGAAGATTAGAGGTATTGATTGGTTCACGGTGGTCCATTGCGTGACCTAAGGGCCACATGTGGCCCTTGAGGCTTTTTTTGGCAGCCTCTGCAACATTTGACACAGACCCACCCCATTCCTCACGCTGTCTTCCCGAAGCTGGTTAAGTGAGGAGCTGGGCTTTGGGAAGGAAGACTGAGGGCTGTAACCATGTCTTAAGAGTCCTCCCACCTCTTTCCCGAAGCTGGGAAAGAGCTAACAAGGCTTTGGGAAGGAGGTGGCAGAACTGTAGGACCCTAATAGAGCTTCATGCCTCCTTTCCAAAGCCTGGCACCTCACTTAGGCAGCTTTACAAAGGCAGTGTGAAGGTGGCAGGGTGGGGGGCAGCATCAAATTTTGGCCATGCTCCCATGTGTGCAACAAGGCAGTGTGCAGCCCATGGGCTCTGTGCCAAATTACTATTGCAGCCCACTTGGTATGAAAAGTTGGGCTGCCCTGTTTGCTTGGTTTATCTATCCAGGTGAATAGTATTCAGCCTGTTCTAGATGGTGTTCTTCTCTCCCTAAAGGATCAGGTGTCCAACTGGGGGTGCTTATTGATCCAGCACTGGAGGCTCAAATGATCTCACAACTCAAATTACCTATTCTCAGCTTTGGTGGATACACCAGCTTTGACCTTGCCTGAGCGGTGATACCTTGGCCACAATTGCCCATCCTCTGTTGACTTCCCGTTTAGACTATTGCACTGCATTGTATGTGGGACTGCCTATAAAAATGGTCCAATAACTGTGGTTGGTTCAGAACAGGAGTTCAAAGGTTTTAACTAAGACTGTGCAGTTTGATCATACTATGCCTGTGCTTTGTTCAGCTGCGCTGGTTCTCCATCTGTTTCCGGGGCTAATTTAAAAGTGCTGGTTTATAAATGGCAAGCTGTGTACCTACCTGAACCTTAAGATCTTTTGGAGGCCCTGCTCCTGGTACCCCCACCAAAATAAGTGAGGGCGGTAATCTTTCAGTTGTGATACCCAGATTATGAGACAGCCATCTCTGGGAGGCTTGTATTATCCCATTCATGTGGTCTTTTGGCCACCAGGTGAAATCTTTTGTTTCACTCAGGCCTTCTGAAAGAGTGGTGTGGTTTGGGCCTCTCAATTTTTAAAATATTTTTTAATTTTGGGATTGCTGTGCAGTTGCCTTCTTGTTATATTTATGCTGCTTTTGGTTGTAGAACTTACTTTGTATTAAAATAGCTTTTATATTTAATATAAGTAACCCAGATAAATTTGTTATCTAATAAATAAATGACAAATCTTCAATTCTGGACTCAACAGGAATTACCTCAATTATATGCATACTATGCAATATATTTAGGTTGCTTTTTTATTTTCTTTTGCTTAGTGCTAACATGCTCTACTTTAAAAGCAAGCAGATTTTCTGTTTATTAAAGAGTAATTTAAATTATATCCCTTTTCATTTTTACAAAGTGGTTCTCAGCCCTCCCTATTTTTCTGGGTCATTGGCCCATTTGAACCTCTGAAAGACTGCTAGGGTCACTTGCTGCTGTACTTGCTTCCCCCTTCAGTCTGGCTTGTCATGTTGCCTGACAAACCACGAGCATTAAACAAAGTTCATTTTTGGCTTGCCATTTTAGTTTTTTTTTTTGGGAAACCAACTAAGAGCCCAGGTTCGGGTGACATCAGAAGTCAGACACTGTGGCATTTGAGCAGTGTTTACCACCACACTGTTCAGTCATGTTAAACCAAAACTTGTTTAAACTGTAGTTTAATGTGACCTGGACACTCTGTGACTTTCCCTTATTTTCTCCTTTTTGCTACTAGCATGGACCCTGCCAGAAAGCTGTGTGGCTCCTGCTCCTTAAGAGTGCAGCTGAAGGTGGTAGAAACACTCAGTTAGAATATGGTGCTGATAAACACCAAGGTTGAAGGTCGATCCCCATAAGGAACAGCTGCATATTCCTGTGTTGCAGGGGGTTGGACTAGATGATCCTCAGGGTCCCTTCCAATTCTACAGTTCTGTGATTCTATGTAGTTACAAATGCTATGGTACCTCGCTTCAGCTCTTTTGTTTTTCTTGCAACTAGATTGTGAATCGGCACGGCCCTGAGGCAGACAGGCATTTACTACGCTGTCTATTCTCGCATGTGGATTTCAGTGGCGATGGTAAAAGTAGCGGTAAAGATTTCCATCAGGTAAATTTTGTCCTTAAAGAATTTCCAATTAGTTTCTTGATTTTTAATTTTTACACTTTTTTATTCTACAATGCTTCCATCTTGTAGTGACTTACAAAATCCATTATGAAAATACATACAGTAAAAGCAGCACTGAAACTACTACTAAAATATATGTATGGATACATTTCAAACAGGCAGCACATTTACAACAGAACACTACTTTTATAAGTCCCATAGCTAATTGATAGAGCACATGCTTTTCATATAAAATGCTCCAGAGGCATCTCCAGGCAGGTATGCCATGCACTCCTGCCTGAAACCCTACAAAGGTGCCTGCCAGTCAGTCTATAAAAATGAGTTAGATGCACCAGTGGCTTGACTCTGTATAAGACAGGTTCCTGTGTTCCTAAGTTTTAAAATATAGCTTGATTTTCTGTCCAGCAGTGAGTTCAAAAACTTCCTAAAGCATTGTTTTTGTTACCCTGTAGAAATCTGGAAGGGAGTCAGGTAAGCACATATTTCTGGGAGAGTTTAAAAGAGGCTCTACTCCAGAGAACACCTGTGCTTTTTTTCAGATTGGCTTAGCCCACTTATGAGTACAAAAGTTGCATAGAAGTGCCATATCTGAATGCCAAGTCTGTGGATGTGTTGTATTTGAACTGATTCATATACGTGTTAATTGTTGGTATTATTAATTGCTTCAGGAGGCTTCATAGGAAGCTATTCATAAATTGAAATAACTGTATCCCTGAGTACTTCTAAGGTGGCTTGTAAATGTAAATAATCCCATCACATTTTAGATTTGTGAACTTCAGGAAATGTTAAAATAGAAGAGTTGAGCTACTTTTGAATACTGCTGTTCCTAAGGTCTTGTGTGATGGAACTTCATTTTTCTCAAGCTTTGAATGACTTAGTAACTGAGTTCAATAACTTGAATTTTAGTCACAAGTTTAATCACAAGTCAAGTCAAGTTACTTGTTTGGCTTGTCTCTGTAAAATATTTCTTAATATTAGCTTCTATTTTGTTACTATGGATACAGTTTTCAGATGATGTTTGTTGTACTGGGCATACTCAATAATGACTAAGAATTGTGAATTGCGTTCATCTTCTTGAAAGAGTAACCAAAATAGTTTAATCTGCCATCTCATCTTTATGATTTCAAAATATTTGTCAAACGTATCCTATAGTAAGAAGACAGTTTGAAGTACTTTCATGGACATATATATTATGTTTACAGAAATAAAATCCTGGTAATATCTGGTAACTAGATAATAGGTGCCTCCCCCAAACCAAACCAAAACTTTTGCTACAGCTGTCTCCTTTCTTTTCAGACGCAGTTTCTGATCCAGGAGTGTGCATCATTGATTACAAAGCCAAATTTTATTTCGACGCTGTCCTATGCTATTGAAAATCCATTGCATTATCAAAAGGTTTGTATGCAGTTTTAAAGTGCTGTTAACAAAAATGTTAAAGAAAAACCTATTCAGGTGTCAGTGAGCTAATTTTACAAAATGTACACCTATGTTCATTATTACAAAGGTGTTTTTAATATTTACATCATGTAAATTCTGTACTCGTAAAATATCCTGGTAATTGACTTACTTTACATTTCTTTGCTCTGCAACACCCACTCCTCATTGGGGCTTCTGTAGCAATTTACAGAACTTTGTATGCTGGAATTGGAGAATACTGGTAGTTTGGCAACAAATGATATTATCTTCAGAGAAGTTGGGAAGTACCACTAATGAGCAGAAGTTGATTTTATTTTTTCTGTAGAGGAACTTATGACACAGAGAATCTTAGTCTTGGTACAGTATTCTGTTAAACTGTAAACATAAGCATCTCATATATAACTTTTTTCTTTCAGAGTCTTAAGCCATCACCCCATCTATTCACTCAGCTGAGCAAAGTTATCAAATTAAGCAAGGTTCAAGAGGTGGGTTAAGTCCATAGATTTATCTTCCATGAAGTAGTCTGATCCCATTTTAGTCTGACCATTAAAAATGTTGGCCATCGTTGCATGCTTTTTATGTGTGTTCTGTGAAGAAATGCCTCCTTTTGTCCAACCTGAATATCCCAACATTCAGCTTCATTGTCTGACTCTGAGTTCTGGTATTATGAATGAGAAGTGAATATTTGTCCAGTGACTTTTTCAACAGCATGCATAATTTTATAGACCTCTATCATGTCCTTACCACCACCTCACCCCCCCCAACTAGCCCCAGTCATTGAAACTCTTTCTCACTGGGGAGTTCCTTCAGTTGATCATGCTACTTGCCCTTTTCTGCACTTTTTGTAGCTCTACAATATGCTTTTTGAGGTGTGGTGAACAGAATTCTACGTGCTACTCTGAACACAGGCAAATCATAGATTTGTGTAAAGGCACTATGATAGTGACAGTTTTAATTTTTATTTCCTTTCTAATTGTACCAATGAAATCTGCTGTTTTCATTTTTTTGTAAATAATTTTTTATTAATTTTATAATTTGTAACTTCAACAATTATTATTCATAAAAAACAAACAAAAACAAGCAGAAACAATAACAGAAGATAAACAAAAGCATAAAACATTAACACTTTTATAATCTGCTGTTTTCAGAACAGCTGCACTCTACACCAGTATTTTCATGAAACTGTCCATCACAACTCCCAAGATCTTTTTCCTGGTCACTCTCTCAGTTCGGATCTCATCAGTGGTTTTTTAGGCTTTTGTTTATCACTTTTCACTTGTTTTATGCTGAACTGCATTTCCTTTTAAAATGTCCAGTCACCCAGTTTGGAGAAGACCTTTTGGAGCACCATTTTGTTTTAATGCCTTGAATAATTTGATGTTGGCTCTGAACTTGGCTTACCTAAATATACCGTAAAGGACGCACTTTTTCCCCTCCAAAAACGAAGGGGAAATGTGTGTGCGTCCTGTGGGGCGAATGCAGGCTTTCGCTGAAGCCTGGAGAGTGAAAGGGGTCGGTGCGCACCGACCCCTCTCGCTCTCCAGGCTTCAGGAAGCTATTTGCAAGCCTGGGGAGCCCAGCGGGAGTTTCCGCCTGGCTCCTAAGTCTTGTGGATAGCAGCCTGTTCTGGGGTCGGGGGAAGGTCGGGCTTCCCCTGCCGCAGCCCCACGGCTGGGGGGGGGAAATAATTTTTTTCCTTTACCCCCCCCCAAAAAAAAACCTAGGTGCGCCCTATAGGGCAAAAAATACGGTAGATCATTTATAAACAAATTAAAAGCACTGGCCCCAATAGGAATCCTATGGAGGGACTGACATCCTGACAGAATCTGAGGAAGGTTAACAGCTGGTAGTGCTCTTGGAAATGTTCCAACCATATTAAATAAGGTGGGGCATTAGTCACAATGATTTCCTGTCCATCTTGCTTTAGAGTAGCAGCACTGACAGCAACGTCACCCTCCAAATCCTAAACCACCTCATGGGCATCCTTGGTGGGGGTTTTTTTAACTCTCAGTGGGATGAGGAAAGTTGTGGGGAGGAAAGTAGAGTTCAGCCCTGGTGTTTGTCTTTGCCAGTCTAGTTGCCAGACAGCTGGACTATGTATGTGATAGGTGATAATGCAGTTCTTTCTTCTATTTGTAGGTTATTTTTGGCCTTGCTTTGCTAAACTCCTTCAACCCAGATCTACGAGGTTTTGGTAAGATAAATTTGTATAGTATTATAGACACACATACCAGATTTTACTTCATTTTTAGTATAATCTGTTTCCTGAGTTGTCTATAAGAGACTTTAGTTTTCATCCTTCTCCTGGATCTAGTTGCTTAAGTTGTAGAATCCAAGGGCCAGAAGGGACCACAGTGCAAGGTCCAGTTAACTCATTCAAGGATCATCCTTGTAGTTGCCTCCGCTGATGTTTGGAGGGAGGGGGGAAACACCCCAGATCTTGAAAATCTTGCCTGATCTTTGTGGCTAATAGAATGTTCTGAAGACATAAGATACAGCTCTCCTTGAGCCCTTCCAGAAAGGGAAGACAACATGGGAACCATATGTAAGCTGCTCTGAGCTCACAATATAAATCTAATACAACACACCCACCCAAAAAATCTTAAGAGGTAATTAAGAAATATGAAATCTGCTTCCTTATGTCAGTTCTATCGACCTGGACTCTGAAAGGAGTTGATCTGCGGGTCACTGATCCAAAATATTCCCTTCTTTCTTAATTAAATGAGGTAACTACAGGCAACAATTTTTCCATTAATCTGAGTTTCCTAGAACCACTTGTTAGCCCCGTTTGAAGTATATTTGGAAGTAAAAATTCTTAGGGTGTAATAGAAGTTATAGCTGGTCACCATTAGAATTTGAGTAGAGTCATGATAGGGCGGGCAGGTTTTAGGTGCAACCTAAGCAGGAAAAAGTGAAATTGGTGAAAAAGCCAAGCATGTATGCCCGGAGAAGTACCAGCTTCCGCTCCTGCTTTCTTGTGCTTGTACCAAACAGTGTAAGGAAATGCAAGGTGGCATCAAGTGAGGTTGCATTCCAAGGCAGGGTGGTGCTGAGTTATTCTGACTGGTTGTTCTAGTATGCAACTGTCTATATACTGTCACACTTATTGTGTGACGATCAGAGCAGTTGGCAAGTGCTGTTGATAAACCAGAAGAGCATATGCATAAACTTTTTAAAAAAGCAATTTAGTTAACTGCTTTCGGTTTCTCTCTCTCTCTCTCTTTAAAAGCTGCTCAGTTTATTAAACAGAAACTTCCTGATCTTCTGCGTTCATACATTGACGCAGACGTCAGTGGAAATCAAGAAGGTGGCTTCCAAGATATTGCAATAGAGGTCTTGCACCTCCTCCTATCCCATCTTCTTTTTGGACAGAAGGGAGCCTTTGGGGTTGGACAGGAACAGATTGACGCTTTTCTCAAAACATTACGTAGAGGCAAGTATTGTATTTGATACATCTATTTGAAACCCATTTCTAAAAGGAATAAATTTTTGTGGGGGGTAAACATTTGGGTGGTAATCTAGAAAAGAAATGAGGATCCTGAAACGATTATCTTAATGCAGATCCTTATAGGATTGTCTGCACAGTATGTCTTTCAGATACTATAATTGGTAGAAGTTTGGCTATCACAACTTTAGAACCACCAAGGGTATTATTGTTGGCACTCCATTTATTCTCCCTCCCTCCCATGGGATGGGGCTTGGATATAAAGTGATGCTTTCCACCCCTCTGAAATTTTGGCCTGGGCTTCTCTGGCCCTACTATCTTAGCCTTCCCCTTCCCTTTCCTATCTAAACTTGTGACAGTTTCAAGGTGCTTTGGAATGTTGCTGTGACAATCCAGAGGATGTAATGGAGGCAGTACTGTGAGGCCCAGTTTGCACAACATAGTAAACCGCAGTTTACTGTGCACACACCTTAATGGGCTATAATCATGACTTGTTGAGAGCAAAGTGAACCATAATTGCTGGTTTGGTCATAATATTAAGCCCTGGGATAATTGTTTGCTTCCTCCCAGCATGTGTGGGAAGGAGCAGAGGGGCCAAGCGAGACATGTTCATGGTAAAGCATTAAGTATGACTTACCATGGTATGCAACTAAGGTCATATAGTATCTAAATAGCTGTCATGTCAAAGTAAGACAGTAAGTAGGCCAAAAGTTGGGGTATAAAATAAATTGCTTTCTGTGTCTCTGAATTCCAAGACAGTGATCATAAACACCTTTTTATTCAAAACTTCTTTGGTCATAACATGATTTTCACAATATGAAACAAATGATTATTGGGGTTCTGTGTTGGTCATTGGTCCTTCTGAAATGCTAAAATACTCTGGGATCTCAGATTTTCCCCAGGAACGTTGCCCTGTGGTGCTTGCACCACTCCTATACCCTGAAAAACGGGACATTCTAATGGACAGGATCCTGCCTGATTCTGGAGGGATAGCAAAAACAATGATGGAGAGCTCTCTTGCAGACTTCATGCAGGAAGTTGGCTATGGCTTTTGTACAAGGTACGTAGATAAATTAACTGAAATTTGGAGTTGATGTCCTGACTCTTAAGTCATACTTTGAATAGCCCCATTGAAATGAAAGGGCAAGTTATGTCAGTTGAGAAGGCTGTTGGAGGTTGCAGGACAGCTATACAGCTGCAAGTAAAACGTTTAGTGTGTTTTAAGTGCAATATACAATGTCACACTAGGCGGCGATGGTGAGGCTTATGGAAAATTCTATGTATTTTTAAAAAAGCTTTTTTTAAAAGTATTTTCAGAATGGTTTTTATATGCACATAGATTCCACCCTAGTCCAGCTTAATGTACTGACTTGAGTATCAGTAATACTCCTTAAAATAGACATACTTGATAGAAAACAATTATATACTAAGTTTTGTGGAGGTCATTGTGACTTACCTTTTTAGTGTGGAGGAATGTCGCAACATCATCACACAGTTTGGTGTGGGAGAGGTCACTGCTGCCCAGGTTGCCAGGGTTTTGGGAATGATGGCTCGAACACACTCAGGATTGGCAGACGGCATTCCTTTGCAGGTGAGTGTCCTCTGTGTTGAGAGGTGTTGTAACTGAATATAACTTAAACAGAACTACTGAATGGTGTTTACACAGAAGATTTTGGAGCCGCTTAATTCCTATGATCTTGAGCAACAAGCATGACTGAAAGGTTAAATGACTTCCAGCACTTCAGCATTTTATGCCAAATGCTGTTTAACAGCTCTGTGTAACCTGCTGGTGGTGGAAGTGCTGTGTCATAATATCCAGCTCTGTTTCCCTGTACCATCTTAATTCAGTGTGGCTGTGCAAATGAACTGGTGCCTGGGTGCAGTGATGGGCTAGAGGGTGGCCAATAAACTGAGCTTGAAAGATGGAGGTTCTCCAGGTGGGCAGGAAATAGGTTAGTAGGGTGGGGCTGCACTAAATCCATTGTTACTCAAGGCTCAAGTGGCTTCAGTGGATAGGAGTGCCTTCTGCCAGCTTCTTTTGATATGACAGTTGTGGTCGTTCCTGGATTATGATAGATTGACTATGATAGTTCATACACCACCCAATTGGATTGCTGCAGTGTGCCCTGCTTGTGGCTTTTCTTAAGGCATGTCTGGAAGTTGCAGCTGGTGCAGAATGCTGCAACAAGGTTGCAGGAGGGAGAATAATTTTGACAACACCGTTGCTGAAAGGACTGCACTGGCTTCTGGTATACTACTGAGCCAAGTTTAAGGGATTGTGGAAGAACTTGGGTCAGATTATCTAAGTCTCCCTTAACATGTGCCCCTGCCTGGTTGCTCCGTTCCTCAGGAGAGACAATCATAATAGTACTCCATGCTCCTGCTTTTTGTCCAATGTTCACAAAAAAGGGGTTTTGTTTTTAATTCTGTTTATTACTGTTTGCTCATAAAGCCTTTCCCTCTATTTTATTGTTAAGGGACATGCTGACAGTGCATTATAGAAGACAGTTTAAGTATTGCTGATCTGCAGTAATAAATGTGTTGCAATCGTAAAATTCAAACTCCACTCTGTCACTTGATCTTATTTCTTGATCTACTAAATCCATCTACACAACCGACGTCACAGGAATTCTAAACCTACATGCTTAATTTACAGTCCATCTCTGCTCCTGGAAGTGGAATTTGGAGTGATGGAAGAGATAAAAATGATGGAACACAGTCCCATACCTGGAATGTGGAGGTTCTGATTGACGTGCTTAAAGAGCTGGTATGTTGATCACAATCTGACCTTTTGAGGAAAAACTGAATGCCAGAAACTTAAGGGCTGTTTCATGTATGATACATTTCCTGTAAGGATGTCACTTCTGTGAAAGAAACTGCATATGTTTGGTTATGTTTGAGCATGTGTATATTTTGCCATGTGTGTATAGCTGGAAATGCTGAATGGTGGGTTCTGCTGCATTTGGTTGTAAAACATGTAGGTTAAACTTAGAAAAACTGATCAACAGTATTAACAGGCAAGCTCTGTATACTGTATGTGTGGCTATTGGAGAAGACAAGCAAACATGATTTTAACCAGAGATGATTATAACCAGAGAGAGGTTCATTTGGTACTAGATTGTCATCACTGTAACTAGGTCCCTGATGAACTGGCAAGTCACTATTTTCTCAAAGGTCAACTGAGAATGACATAGCATGTGTATTCTGAACGGCTATTCCTATGCATGATTAGCATTAGTGCAGTGTCCCCTTGTTTGGCTCCATGCTTGCATTGCAAATGATGTAAGATTTATTCTGCTTTGATCAGGACTTTGCAAGTGGTGCTGATTAGAGATATGGTATCATTAAAGCACACCTTTATTTGTTCTTTACTGGTGACAAATCCTTAGCAAGTATTTAGCAGTGTTTTAGTTCATTTAAGGGACACTTATCCTCTGTTGTATTTAGTGTTTTTAAAATATATTTTCTATGTAGTACCCTGTTTTTAAAATGCTGTAAACTGCTCTGAGTGGTGCATAGGGACTAGAAAGATTGATAGACATTTCTGTGTGGGGGAAAATATAAACACCTCATTCTGCATAATGCGTACAAGGACTCTTGAATGCTTGTGGGACCAATTTTTACATGATTACTAATTTTTTTTAATGACTGACTTAAAATATATAATGACTATTCATCATTTTGACAACTCACATGAACCATATTAAAGGAAAAATTAACTGCAGAGTTATATTCACAGACTTACTATGGGGAATGTGCTAGAGTTCATGTTTTGCATGTTGGAAGCCTGAGATTCAATCATTGGCAACTTTGCTTTAAAAATGGGTAAAGGGAATCAGGAAAACCCCATTTCCCCTCTGTGGTTGAGCTGTTGTCAAAAGTAGCAGTCAATATATGAGCTAGAGTTAGATGAGCTAATGACCTGCTTCATATCTTACAAATTGTTTCTAAGTTGTATAAGGAGAAATGTGAAAGCATCCTCTTTATTTTTGCCTCCATAAGTTGCACCACTATTTGTTTTACTCTTTGCAGAACCCAAATTTGAACTTCAAGGAAGTAACCTATGAACTTGACCACCCTGGATTTCAAATTCGTGATAGCAAAGGCTTACAGATTGTGGTGTATGGTGTCCAGAGAGGGCTAGGGCTAGACGTCTTCCCAGTTGATCTCATATACAGACCTTGGAAACATGCAGAAGGACAGGTAAAAATCAAGGAGAAGTTTTTTTTCATGCTTTCTTTCTCACTCAGTACCGCCACATTGGTTAAAAAGGTAGAGGAACCCCTGACCATTAGGTCCAGTCGTGGACGACTCTGGGGTTGCGGTGCTCATCTCGCTTTGCTGGCCAAGGGCGCTGGCGTACAGCTTTCGGGTCATGTAGCCAGCATGACTAAGCCGCTTCTGGCGTACCAGAGCAGCACACAGAAACACCATTTACCTTCCCGCCAGAGTGTTACCTATTTATTTACTTGCACTTCGTGCTTTCAAACTGCTAGGTTCGCAGGAGCAGGGACCGAGCAACGGGAGCTCATAATTACCATAGAACTTTTAAAAATGTTCTTTCAGTTTTTTGTTGAATTTTGGCTTTGGGGCTCACTAAGACAACAGTTGTTATCAAGATGTGATACATCCTTTAATACACTGCGATTACTGTAACAGGTAGCGATCAGACTATAGAAGACTGAATCTTAGAACTTTCAGAAAGTTATTTGGAAAAGCAATCATAATAGCATAAGTGTGAGAGGGAGGGGTGGTGATTGCTTAGGAGGAAGTGCATCAAGACAGTGTCACATGAATGTAGATATGAAATGACTCTTACAGTGATGTAATTTTGTTGCAGCTCTCATTCATCCAGCATTCCCTCATTAATCCAGAGATCTTCTGTTTTGCTGACTACCCCTGTCATACTGTTGCCACGGATATTTTGAAAGCCCCTCCCGAGGATGACAATCGAGAAATTGCCACATGGTAAACAGTATTATTTTTCTTGGGAATACAGCTGCTTCAGCATTCTGAAATGATGAGCCAGAGTATTCATGGTTGATATCCCTTTCTTGCTTTTCTGACAGCCTTTTGGTAAGAAGGTTTTGAGTCACTAAGTGCTTCAATCTTGAGAGGATGTGTGTGCAACAGGGATGGCCCATTAGTTCAGCAGAGGGGTCTCCCCCAGACACTGGCTGCATTTGCTAGTCTGTAAATAGTTGCATAGATAATGAGAGCAACATGTTAAATTAACCATGTGTATTAAGCTGCTATGAACTAAACACTGATTATATTTTTGCTGTGGTCTGGTTTGTGAAGGTTGGATCTTGATTTCTAGGCAGGCCTTTGGACTGTTCTGACCACTCTGCATGCTACTTGATGGAAGTTGACTTTGATATCTATTTCCCCAAGTTTGGTTATTTCAAATATTGTCGAGCGTAACAGAATTTAGAATTACGTCATTTGATACCCATGTTAGCTTGGTGTAACAGACACCAAGCCAGAATCCTGTCAACTGATTCACAATATTGCATTTCCCCCCCTTATTTGTTAGGAAGAGCCTGGACTTGATTGAGTCCCTGTTGCGGTTGGCAGAGGTTGGCCAGTATGAGCAAGTTAAGCAGCTCTTCAGCTTCCCTATCAAGCACTGTCCAGATATGTTGGTATTGGCATTACTACAGATCAACACTTCCTGGCATACTTTGCGGCATGAACTCATCTCCACACTTATGCCCATTTTTCTTGGCAACCATCCCAACTCTGCCATCATCCTGCATTATGCATGGCATGGGCAGGTAAGGGCATTACAATGGTTTTGTTTTGACAACAGAGTTTAAACTTGCCACTGTGTTATGCTCCTGAAAGAAGGGTGGGATAGAAATTTGATTGTTCTTTGCTCCATGAGGGTTGTCCTGGGTGTGAGGTGATTTTTGTTATGTACCTGTACTATTTTTCCAACTGTGAAGCTATCCAGACAGCTTGACCTCAGTATGAATATACTTATGACTTCCAGATATCCCTCATTTTAATCTGCCCCAGGAACAGAGAGGGGTCAGTCCTATATTAGTGTTTGGGTGGCCTGTAACACAGCTGGATTGGAATAAACACACTGAGGTAGAGACTAGCAGTAGCAACCCCCTGTCCCTGTCCCTCTCCTTTCCCTAGTTAAAAGTTGCTTCATGCAGCAGTTGCATGTGCATTCTGTCTTGGAGAGACAGCACACATGTTCTATTGCCTTTTTCCCCCTGCCAAGTTTAATTGTTACAGACCCTGCATTTATATGCAATATGACCTGCTGCAGTTCTATAACCTCAGGAAATAATATACTTTGCCTACCTGACCATGGAAATAAATTGCTATGCTATTATGCATCAGCCACTTAATTGTTCTTTTGTGCCTTTATGGAGAGATGGAGCACAAATGTGTTAAAAGTGGAGCCAATCTTTGGCATCTCCGTTGCTATTCCTGAAAGTTAAGAAGTCAGTAAAGAGGAAAATGGCTTGGTGTTTTGATTTGTTATTGTAATAAGGCTCCATCAAATTTGCTGGTGGAGCAAAGCACAGGGGCCAATCTGGCTGTATGGTAGGGGCAAGTTGTGGAGGCTAAAGGGTTGGAGGAGCAAGGTACCTAGAAGGGGGGGGGAGAAATAAGCTGAAACCCTCTTCCACCTGCTACTTTTGTTTTCATTGAATTGGAACCTGTGATTTCAGTGTTCCAGAGCAGCAAGGGACTTGCCATGTGCCGGTTTAATTGCTCTTTAAGAGCTAGATAATTTATGTAGTAATCTGAAATTCAGCTGATGTTTCCTTAGGGCCAGTCTCCTTCAATTCGCCAGCTCATCATGCATGCTATGGCAGAATGGTACATGCGAGGGGAACAGTACGACCAAGCAAAATTATCACGTATTCTAGACGTGGCCCAAGACTTGAAGGTGAGTTTGATTCTATATTTTAATTCTGTGGAAAGTGCTTTGACTTTAGTGTTGGGGTTGTGTGAGATGCAGGGTTTGGGAGTGGAGGAAAATAAGTATCACATCAGAGGACATGTTTATCCTAAGGACAGGAAGAGGTTATGTGTAGGAAGAGAAACTCATCTCTTCACTTAATATGAAGCTGTGTTGCTAAATTTGTGACTTGCTAAAGTAATTTTTTCCATCTGCAGAGTTACTAAGATCCTGAGCTGTAGTTTTCTTTTTTGTTTTTACGATCTTGCATTAGAGCAACTCCAGAGACTCTTAAAAACTTGCAAAGTGTCACTGCTGTTGTATGTTTGTCTTTCCTCTTCATCAAGAAAGTATGCGAGATTTTGGTGGCATTGAATATCATAACTCTATAGCTTTTACTAGACACTACTGGGTCAGCATTCATGTTATAACTCTCCCAAAGGAGCCCAGGGTGGCAATCTGGTTAAGTTTGGTTCAGCACTACTGAAGGCCCATAATTACTTGCTTATTTCAAGCAAGGTGTATTGTCACCAGAAGGTATCAGTGTATTGCCTCAAGCTCCATGGGTATGCAACCTCTTTTTCCTTGGAGTTTGTACAAGAGCCCTTGCAATTGAAATGAATAGAAGTCATGTATAGTGTGATAGGAGCTCAAACCACCCATAAAAGCTGCTCCCCCAAGCAGCCAGGTGGTGAGGTAGAGGTTGGTTCTCCGGTCTTCCTCCAGTCTTGCACAGGCAGTTTCTAGGCCTGTTCCACCCAAACATAGAAAGAGCCATAACTGCTGAAGGAGGGAAGAGTGAGCAGTCCCACTTGTGGATAATGCGCACAGCCCACCCAGCTTTAATGGCCATGAGGGTGGTGAGGATTACTATCAACAGGGTGCCTGCCACCTATAGATCAGAAAATAGGGAGAGAAGAATTACTTATGTCACTTTGCTGTGAAGCCTTCCACCCTCAGTGGCTTTACCTTGCCTGTGGTCTTCCACATCCCCCCCCCCCTCAAATTCTTAGGTTGGAGGGAAAAGCAATGTGTCCAGTGTATTCTTCTCCCAGGAAGAGGAATTCCCACCCTGGAAGCTGCTTTGCTGGCTGCCGTCTCTGTCATGTTCTGTGTGACAGAAAAAAATGTTGGGAACTGAATAATATATAGATATGGTGGGGGAGGGTGTATGTGTGTAGGCTAATTCTGAGGGAAGCGTAGCCTGATACTTTGACTAGCAGTTTTCTAACTCTCTTTCTTTAGGCGTTGTCAATGCTGCTAAATGGTACTCCATTTGCCTTTGTTATTGACCTTGCTGCACTTGCCTCTCGACGGGAATACCTCAAACTAGACAAATGGCTCACAGATAAAATTCGGGAGCATGGGGTAAAGCAGGATTTTCTTAATTATTTTTGCAACTTTTTTGGTGGTAACAGTCATTTCTTTTTTTAAAAAATGTTTCCCTGCAGTTTATAAAAATTGCTTTCAGCATGCACTCTTGAGTGATAATGTTGAACTAATGCCCAGTATTTTCTATATCATAATTTTGTTAACATTCTTGAACTATTGTTAAGTGTGTGTGTCCCACTGAAATTTGCACTTTTCCTTCCCTAGGAGCCTTTCATCCAAGCCTGTATGACTTTCCTAAAGAGAAGGTGCCCCTCTATCTTAGGTGGCCTTGCCCCAGAGAAAGACCAGCCCAAAAGTGCTCAACTTCCTCCAGAGACACTGGCAACTATGCTGGCTTGCCTGCAGGCTTGTGCTGGGTAAGCATATAGTATCTTCTGGGATAGGGCGTCAGTCTCATAAATAGTGGTTAAGAAGGTGAATTTACAAACTGGGAACTTGGCTATGAGCTCACTAGGTGGCCTTTGTGAGCTGCCATTTCTCAGCCACCTTCTCATCCTCCAGATCCTCTGTAGCACTGGCCTATCTGGCAAGGTTGGTGTAAAGTTTGTGCTGTGTCTGTTTGGGAAGTGCTTTGAGCATTTTGGAAAAGTACTAAATAAATCCTGTGTAAGTCATTTTAGTTACATTGGGGCCATTATTAGGAAGTATAAAGTCAGGGCTTTGGCAAATGCAGCCTTTGGACAGAGAGTTTTGCCTTTGCCAAGGTGCAGTGCTGTGTAATGGGTAGGATTTTGTATGTTTAGGTTGTACTTAAAAGCATATGTAGAAGAGTTGGAGATAAGCCCGCAGGGCTATTTGTCACTTGTCTCTGGAGTTTGTAATACCTTGTTAGTTGGTTGGCAAGTTTGTCCTTCAGTTAAATAAGGGGTCAATATATATATTGCACCTAGATAAAAGGGGGAGTTTTATTGGCAAGTAAAAATCATTTCTTCTCCCATTAGAAGTGTGTCTCAAGAGCTGTCAGAAACTATTCTAACCATGGTAGCCAACTGCAGCAATGTCATGAACAAAGCCAGGCAGCCACCACCTGGAGTTATGCCCAAAGGACGTCCACCAAGTGCTAGTAGCCTAGATGCCATCTCTCCTGTACAGGTATGTGGATGCTGAAAGAAGCTAAAGTAGCATAATAATGGGAGGAGGTGCCTTTTTATATGTCTCTAAACTTAGTTTTTTATTCATAATCAAATGTAATTCAAACATATTAATTGAAACCTTGCAGTTTTAGCACCATCTTTGAACCTGACATGTCTTTTTCATGGCTTCTTGGGTCAAGCAATGGTGCTAGATTATAAGGACTTGTTATAACTGGGGCTCCTCAGTTCTCAGCTGAGCTGCTCTTTTAAAAACAAGGTACATATTAGTACATATTAGACACCACACACTGTCACTTCTGCTTCCAGATTTAATAGGGAGGAAGACCTGGTTCTAGTAACTATATTCAGTGGTAGATATAATAGCCTTTCATGATTTACTTTCTAAAGATTTAATTTGGCACCATTCTGCAGACTAAAGATTAATTGAGCAGCTTTTCATTAATGAAAAGAAATTGTGTGATACTAACAAGCAAACAGTGAGGATTCTAAGCTTTCTTCTATAAGTTTCACAGAGCTTTTTAAAAAGTTAGCTCTTAAAGCTAAGTGGTTGTTTGGGCTCCAGAACAAACTATTTATGTGCCGCCCAACCCCCAAAACCACAAGATGATGTTTAGTTTTAAAAGGTTATACAGAAATACCTTGCATTTCATGCGTTTTGAAGGTGGAGGATGCCTAACGGGTTTGTAAGAGTAAGGAGTTGATGTGTGGTCTTAACTGATTTTGGCAAGGCTGATCTGAATGAATATTGATTGATATAGAAAATAACCCCTTGTCTCTTTGAATATTGATTTTATCCTCAGATTGATCCACTTGCTGCTGGGATGGCATCTCTCAGCCTAGGTGGTTCAGCAGTTCCACACACACAGAGTATGCCAGGTTTTCCTCCAAACTTGAGTTCTGCTTTTAGTACTCCACAGTCACCAGCAAAAGCATTTCCACCGCTTTCCACACAAAACCAGAATACACCTTTTAGTGGGATTGGCGGACTCTCTTCACAGCTTCCAGGTACTTTTGTGTAAAGGGGCTGGTACTCATGGGAGGAATGTGGCTGCTTTTCCTATAATTCCAGCTGGGGGCAAGCACTTCAAATTGTATCCAACTTAGTATACTCAGTGTAAACCCATTGAAACCAGTGGACGTGATATTAGTTCTGTGAATTAATTTCAGTGGGCCAAATGGAAGTACCATGTTGACACTATTCAGGGTGGGAATAGCAAACAAGTTATAATGTCTGTCAGCATTTGTAAACATAACTGAAATGATAATTTTATTTTCCTCAGTAGGTGGTCTTACAACAGGTAGTCTGGGCATAGGAACTGGGGCCCTTGGCCTCCCTGCAGTGAATAATGACCCATTTGTGCCAAGAAAACTGAGTACATCAGGACTGAACCAGCCTACATTCCAGCAGAGTAAGATGAAACCTTGTAAGTGGTAATGTTGTCTGATTGTGAAGTGTGACTGTGAATGTGTGGTAAATGTGAGTTTTCCCTCTAGGGTGGGGGCTGGCAGCGGTCTCTTAGGATCCTTCTTTGCCCTCCCCAATATCTAGCCTTTCTCCCAGGAATCTTGGAGCAGCTTATGTTGGGCTTCCAGGCAGTCTCCCATTCTTGTGGTGACTAAATTATAACCTGCTTGGCTTTACCATGCTAATCGTGCTCCCAGCTACTGATGCCAAAAGCTTAACCTTGTACAGTTGTAGGTTCCAAGTAATTTCAGGTTTAAACCAACACAGATCAAGTGGTTTATCAGGCTGCATGAACGAACAGCTTTCATGTGAGTACTTCATAGAATTATTCACAATTGTCCTCAAGACCAAGCTTGTGATATTAGACTAGGAAAGTGTCCCTCAGTTTGATGGGAAAGTGGCATTGTGTACATAGTCTCTGCCACTTTTTAGTGACATTGAAATCTTGCCCAGAAATTGATTTTGTCCAGCTCATTGAGTCTATGCTACTTGTATTTGTCTGTTAGCCCTCGTTCACTCAAAGTGTACCTTTCGTGTCCTTTGGTGATTTTTTTCAGCTTATGGGTGTCTGGGTTGTGGGGGTTGGGAAACTACTTTGAATCATGAAGATGACACATGCAATAGGCAGCATCTTTCAAATCTTGCTGCTGAATATTTCTCAGTAAACCAAACTGAGGCAATGGCCAGAAAATAGGAGAAAGATGTAGAAATATACTAGCATTGGTATTAGGGTGGTGGTTTTTAGAGGGTCAACAAGGGGTTAGGTGGCCAGTTGAATGTGGAATGCTTGGTGTTTGGTGTCAGGAATAGATAAAAGGACTCTTCTGGGCAGGGAAGACTTAAGTAGCGAGAACGTACGTCTACAGTTTGCAAGGCCATTATGTTTTGATAATCATAGCTACCTGCAAACACCTTAATGTGAGCCTGTGGAACAGAGATGATCTCTAATCTCTTGCTTTGCCTGAAGAAGTTTGAAAGTGTACCTGCACATTAATGTTCAGCATGCTGTGAGTGCTTATTGCATCCTGTCCAATACGCTAATCTAGGGATGAATGATACTTTAATTCTGCAGTCATTCAGATTTGCTTTCCTGGCTTCCAGAATAATCGCTAATGAAGAACAAATGTGTTCTCATAACTAAACCAGCCCTTTCCAACTAAAATTCTTGGTCTATATGCAGTCCCACATATGTGTTACATGCCTGAGCTAAACACCATTCAGAACCCTTTAGAGCTGTGCCACATTTTGGTGACACAGACCTCGTTCTTTCCTGCTCAGTGCCTTTTTGACTGCTGCAGCAGCTTTTGGAGCTTGCTTCCTCCCATTTATACCACAACTTGGCCCTATTTTTCCTTGCTTTGCCAAGCTTCAGCTTTATTTTCTTCTTCTCTCCTAGTGTATCCTCTTTTTAAGTTGTCTCACAGTTTATTTTCCTCTCACACCTATAGCACAGCAAGCATTCTTCAAGAAATGCTGGGAAGATGGGTTTAATATTTTATCTATAGATGGAGGAAATGTCCCTGGGGGATCAACATGCTGTTGCCCAAGTTGTCATGAATTCATGGCAATAACCCTCTCTGCAATGCAGCAGTCTCCCATCGTGGAACTTCTTTCTTTCCTTATTGGGGTGGCTGTGCCCAACTTACTATGCTTTCTGCCTTGCTCTTGCCAATACTCCCCCCCCCCCCAAGTTCTTTCTCCAACTCCAGTCAGAGTGATCAAGATTATGTGCACTTGATCCTTTGTTGTGATACAGCTTGATCTGATCTGTCCTGCCTGCTGAAGGTGGTCTTGGTGTTTCATCTTAACTGGAACTTAGTTCTTTTTATATTGTACCCAAATCCCAACTCAACAACTTTCTTACTAGGTCTGCATGACTATCAGATTTTCCATAAAGTAGCTTGCTTGCTGTCCCTGTCAGTAATCTGTTCACATTTGACATGGGAAGTAACTACATTCACAGCCTTGCGACCTTGCTTTCTGTGAAATGATTACCCCTTTGATGTGCAAGTTTGAGTGGATGCTGTCATTGAAAGGACTGTACTTATAACATATTGTTTTCCTGACAGTACCTTTCCCACCCTGAGGTAAGACAGCTTGCTAGTCTCCATATGTGGGACCACACGCTGATCATGAAGAAGAAAGATGGGTTGCTTATCTGTAACTGTAGCTCTTTGAGTGGTCATCTGTGCAATCACACAGCTCACTTCTTTCTCCCTCTGCTGGTGTTGCTCTTCGTTGGTCTCCTTTGGGCAGCCACATCCTGCTGGCAAGCACCTTGGTAGCTGAGACAGGGCATCTTGCCAAAACCTTTCCGTGTCTTATCTCTACAAGTTTGGTTTGCAAAGGCACACAAATCCATACAAGTAACTGAAGGGAGGACCGCTCAAAGAACTACAGTGACAGAAAAGCAACCTCTTTGAGCTCATAATATGAGTGAGACTGCATCATCATGAAATACACTGAAATATTCCAAACTGCTTCTGTTCCCTTGGATCTGTGATTTTGAAATTAATATATTTCCCCTCCATTTTGTGTATTTATTTAATTAGTATCTACTTTTTTCAACAGCTGACTTATCTCAGGTATGGCCAGAGGCAAATCAGCACTTTAGCAAAGAGATTGATGATGAAGCCAACAGCTATTTTCAGCGTATTTATAATCACCCACCGCATCCAACTATGTCTGTAGACGAGGTGAGCTGTGGGTAGTAATGGCATCTCTCTCAACTTGCCCTTCTTCCTTACTGTAGACTTTCTTTTCAGTCTTATGGAAAATTTGAGAAAGTAGGTACTTGCAACATTGCTTTTTGTTTGGTTGCAGTTTAAGGGAAATTTAAATTGTAAAATTCCAAAATGTATGTCCATACAGTTGCAGACAACTTTTGTGCAAGTGAAATTGGATGTTTTAAGTTGGGTCCAGTGGAAAGATAACTATTCTGTAAGTTTTGTCTGCTTGTTATATGTCACAGTGGGGAAAAGTTATACTTCACTTTGATTTGTGCATCTGTTGGGTGAACACTTCTCCTGAGGGGGAGGGGGTTGTTCCTAAATCAACAAAGTGCTACTTAGCAAAGAAAGCTGCAGTTGCTGAGCCTTAAATGTCTGGGTGACCCAGCCCACTAAATTGGATTAAATTAGAGTCTCCCCTTTTAGAATGTGTTTCTGACCACATTTTAGGCAATATTAGGACACACTATTTAATGTTTTGTGCTTACGGTGTTACAGTCATCAGAATATAAACGTGCAAAACCCAGCATAATGACATAAACTTCAGTGAATGAGGCCAGCTGCATGTAGCAAGTATTATTTGTTCTTAGTGTTCTGATTCAAGCATGTTAACTGGAGAAACCCTTTTGGCAAGTAAGCAGAATAGAAATAAATAATACATGTGAGATTTTCCCTAGCAAAATTTTTACTGGTTTTCTCAGCGAACTTTACTTTGTGTAGGTGCTCCAAGGGCTAAGCATAATAAATTGAGTCTCTTCATAACATTCTGATTTCTTTACAGGTGTTAGAAATGCTACAGAGGTTTAAGGACTCCAACATTAAACGAGAACGCGAAGTATTTAACTGTATGCTGAGGAACTTGTTTGAGGAATATCGGTTTTTCCCCCAGTACCCCGATAAAGAGCTGCACATAACAGCCTGCCTCTTTGGTGGGATAATAGAGAAAGGACTGGTTACATATATGGCGCTGGGCCTGGCCTTGCGCTATGTTCTTGAAGCCTTACGAAAGCCTTTTACATCCAAAATGTACTATTTTGGTATTGCTGCACTAGATAGATTTAAAAATAGGTGAGTGTGTTTTTATAATATTTCCAAAATGCATGGGGGAATCTCATAACTATATGCCTACTTCAGCAATATATTTAGCTTTCCAATACAAGGTTGACAGTATATTGCAGTTATTGAACGTGTCTCACAGTAGAGGCATAAATTAAATAGAACCTTTGGCTAATAAAGGGAATGCAGATTTTAAAATAAATGAAAAGGAAGTAAATTACTTATAGTCTGAATCTGAATAGAAATTGCCTTAAAATGGCTTTGAAAGTATCAGATGGCATATATATTAATATTGCTATGGGGGGGGGGGAGAAAGCAAATCAGTGTTACTGGAAGTGAAGCTGCCTTGTAGACTTACAAAAACTAGGAGCAATCCAGCTAAAGTCGAGCCCATTTTTGTCTCATTGGTATTAATGGGAGGAGCCTCTTTCCCACTGAAATAACTTTGACTGGATTGTACTTTATACATCTGGGTCATGCAAGGTCACTCTCCCAAGATTTGTTACGATGGAAAGCTTAACTTTCATCCATTTTGCAAGGCAGTATTCATGGCCCTCTAGAAACAACTAGTGGGGGCCTCACTTACCAGATGCCAACATGTCAAAAGTGCTGGTAAGTAGCTACTTCTTTGTTGCACAGTAGAAACCAGTCTCAGTCCATTTCTCCTCCCCCCCACAGCAGTGTGACCATTCCACATCCCAGTAGTCAGTTTCCTCTCCTCTTCCTTTCACACTACCTCTGTGTACTCCTCCATGCCACCCCTGTGAATCCTGTGGCAAGCACTCTGTGATTCTGCACCCTTCTATCTGTTTCAGAGAGTTTGCATATTGTTCCTTATCTCCTGCATCTTTGGAGCAAGATACATAGCTTCATACCCCTTTGGGAAAACTTGTCATGTTCAGGATAATTTCTGAAACCATAACTACTACAAGTTTTTAATGAAAGCTTGAGATTCGCAGAACTTTAGTACATCTTTGGAACATCAGTGCAACTTGGGGTTTTGTTTAATATCCCTACTGAGAAACTTTGTAATTTTTATCCATTATTGCTCTGTACTGTTCTTCCTTTCAGTGCTGTATATTTGAATTGGTTTCTTGTTCAATAGAAATTTTCATTCAAAGAGCTGTCATAGTTTTACAGCTATCTAGCTGATAAAATGAGAGAGCATAAGGATTCCTATCTTTAAAGTACATTTAAGCAGGCAGGTGTTCTAACAAACATTTAGTTCTGAAATTGAAGTTAGCCTTCATGTATTTAACAAGCAAGACTGAGATTTCTTGACTTATTTAGTTATCAAATCATTTTTATGGCTGAATTTTGCAAATTGGATTCTGTACCTATATTAGCCTTAAATTGCAGAATGTTCTGCATTAAAAACTGTTTCTGCATTGAGAATGTTGTGGGGAGAGCTGCAGAAGAAAGAGGGCCAACAGGGTAGGGCATTCTAGAGGGGGTTAGAGGGGAGCAACAACAAGCTGTGTATGTAGTAAAGAGGCATATGTCTGCCATATGTCACTTGAGAAGACTGCTGTGGTTCTTCCAAAGATGTTATTGGGAACTATGAGAGCTATATTGACAAATTGATTGTGCTCTTAGCTACCCTTTTCTAAAAACCCAATCTGTGGGGGTGGCCCATAAATATGGATCTAAGTCTTACTGTTTGGTAGGTTGGCCCCTTTGCAATATGCAGTATTCTTGGAGGAGAAAGCCACCAATAGCTCCTAGGTACCACAATGGCTATGTTCTGCCTCCATTTTTGGAGACAGTGTGCCTCTGAATACAAGTTGCTGGGAACTGCATGTGGAGTGAGTGCTGTTGTTCTCAGGTATTGCTTGTGGGCTTCCCATGGGCATCTAGATGGTCACTACGAAAACAAGAGTTCTTGACTAGATGGGCCTTTGTCCTAATTCAGCAGGTTCTTCTTGTGTCCTTGTGCTTATGCCTTGGCAGCATATAATTGGAATCACTGGCTGCATCAATAGCATTCATACTTTTGCTAACTAGTTTGCAACTGGTAGAACCAGAAATCTTCACTGCAGATCCAGTATCAGTTAAGCCAAAGATTTAACCATTAATGTATTGATCAGGCCGTTTGTTTTCTCCTACTAATGGATAGTTTTACTGTTGACAGATTGAAGGACTATCCCCAGTATTGTCAGCACTTGGCTTCTATTAGTCACTTTATACAGTTCCCTCATCACCTGCAGGAGGTGAGTGTTAAAGGCATGGACAGTGACGGGTGGGGGAGGACATCTGAATTGAGTTAGGTGTATTTGCATATTGAAAAACCTCAGCGTTCCATTAGTTTCATGCTTCAGGGTCCATTCAGTAAAAGGTACAAAAGGATCTGGAAAACTTGAGTGTGAGTAGCCCATGCATCTGAGAGGAGAGAAACAGGTTAATCTTAATGCAGGTCCGCTTTTTTGTAAACCTCCCTTCAAGGAGATCTGTAGCCCTTTGCCACTGGAAGTGTTCATTTGACAATTACTTTAATCCTTGCCAAGCAGCTTCTTATATGGTTGGGTTGTGCATGGTCTTTCCTAGCAAATAAATCCATACCGCTAGGCACAGCAGTCTGTCTGCCCAGACCTTCTGAAAGCAAACAAAACCAGGGACAGTGGAATTAGGATTCTGAAGGTCTGATCCAAAGGCTGTAGTCCAAACACTAAAAGCAATGTTGGTTTAGGATCTCTACGTTAGTAACACACCAATCAGTGGGGATTTCTATATTTTATATGCAGTATTGAATATTTACATGTGATTAATAACACTGAAAGTCTTACCAATTGTAGTTCTTACACCTTTGCTTCAGAAAAGACAGCATTAGTCTCTTAGTTGTAACATCGTGTGTCATCTGTGGAAATGGGCTTCATCAGTGGTTGCAGGAAATTTGTTGCCCTTATCTAGACTATAGGATTTGGAATATTTCTACCCCTGGATTACTTCACTGTTTACTACTTTTTGCTCTCATTGAAGTCTGCAAGGAAGGCTTACCCTCCCTTGCAGAATCAGGGCACATCTTGGATCTAGTTCCTGCTACTTCTGCTCCCACAGAATAGGAGAAATAGGATGGAGTGGAAAATCCAGGGTTAACATTGGAATTGCTAATTGATCCAAGACAAAAAGGAAACTTCTAAAATATGTAAAACGTCTTTTGTTGCTGATTTCAGGCCATTTATGGAGTTTCATTTGTGCCACAAACTTCAAGGCCAAGAGTTTGGGGAGTAGTTCTAGAAGGCAGTTGTAAGATTTGTTACATACCTGTGGTTGTATGTGAGTTTTAAGAGCTATATACTTCTTGTCTGTTATAGTACATTGAATATGGACAGCAGTCTAGAGATCCTCCGGTGAAGATGCAGGGGTCAATCACCACCCCTGGAAGTATTGCACTTGCCCAGGCCCAGGCCCAGGCTCAGGTTCCGGCAAAAACTCCTCTTGCTGGTCAAGTTAGCACTATAGTCACCACCTCTACTACCACTACTACTGTGGCAAAGACTACAATCACTCCAGTGGGTCGAGTCAGCTTCAAGAAGGATGTGCCAGTAAGTACACGAGCCATTTTACAGGAAGTAGACTGAGATTACGCATGCATCAGTTCTTAGGAGTAAAACAAAGAAGATAAACCCCATCTAATGTTCATAGCATACACATATCACATGCAAAACCTCTGATACTTTAACCACAGTTACACTCTAATAAAAAGGATTTGTTTTTCTTGTATGCCTAGTCTGGATAATTACCTAGCCATTTTTGTTTTTACTGTTGTTTTGCTATTAAATATCAAGCAGTTGTTTCCTTCCCTGTGTTGGTGTTAGCTGCTTCTCCTGCTTTCTGTTCTCACTTTTAGTTCTTCCAAACTGTTCTCAATGGGCCAGTTTCAACTAAGGAATCCTTTTGGGTTTCCGTTTCTGGCTGTTGTTTCTTGTACCATGAATTTCCACTCTGTTTAATGAAGTCATTTTTTTCTTTCACTATTCTGTTGCCCATGTGAGCAAAAATCTTACTCCTCGTGTCTTATAGATTCCCAAGCTTAAGTTAACTCCTATCATTCACTAACACATAAACTAAATGTACACTCCTTTTTGCATGTATAACTGTTGTCTCCCTTTTGTAACTGTATTGTGAAATATTGTTTATGCTATAGCATAACTCCATGATGGTCTGTTGTATCATTAAATTAATCAACTCACTTCCTCAAATCATTTTTCTTGTTCTGCAGCCTTCTATTAATACAACCAACATTGACACCCTGTTAGTAGCCACAGATCAAACAGAGAGAATTGTTGAACCCCCTGAAAACGTGCAGGAAAAGATTGCTTTTATCTTCAACAACCTGTCGCAATCCAACATGACTCAGAAGGCAAGTGTCGCACAACATTTTAGTCCTGATAATTTATGTTCCTTGAGTGATTCTTGTACATGTAGAGAACTAACTAGAATTATGCCTATGTATGCATGCCAAAGGTTCTTTTATTTAGCAGCCTTCCAAAATTTTAGAATTGTAAACATAAAATAAATATAATGCATTAACATATAATAAGTAAAATCTAAAACTATTTTGGGATAGTCTTTTGTGCCTTTGGTAGTCCTTTAGCTGCTCATATATTGGGAAAATGTGATCAGATTTGTCTACCAAAAGGTCAAAAACTTTAAACCTTATCTGCTGCCAGATTTCTGCATGGACATTTTATCATCTGCAACTGATACTACTTAACGGGAAAGAGGCATTGTACACACATTTATTCTATCAGGTCTCTGTATTGCATAATTGGCTCTCCATACTCCTAACTGAACATAAAAAGTGATGTTGGGTGCCAGACTCTGCTTACCTTAATCATTTTTTACTTGATGTAAGTTTCTTTTCATTTATGGCTTCCAACCGTGGAAGAAGCCTAGCAAAATAACGCTTTGGCACTCCTTACAATATTTTAATATATGCTGTAAGCCGCCCAGAGTAGCTGGGGAAACCCAACCAGATGGGTGGGATATAAATAATAAAATCATTATTATTTATCAAGAGAAGTATTATGCAAATTATTTTATTTGCATGATTTCTAGAGATCTCTGAATTCTGATTTTCTTGGCTTATGATATTTCTAGCTCAGAGTCCACATAGCATTGTTCATGATGAGTTAGCAGGAGAGGAAGAAATAAATGGCTTTACAGTAGGAAATAAATGGTTAATTGAAGTAAGCGAATCAATTAGTGATGTGGTGCTAGTTAGTTTCCAAGTCTTGGTAACTGAACGTTTTCACTGGAACGAATGCCTGTAAGTATCACAAACATTATGTTTCATTGATCCATTTCCCTTTAACGTGTTTATGGAGCCAGGTTGAGGAACTGAAAGAAACGGTGAAAGAGGAGTTCATGCCTTGGGTTTCACAGTACCTTGTGATGAAGAGAGTTAGTATTGAGCCAAACTTCCACAGCCTTTATTCAAATTTCCTTGACACACTTAAGAATCCAGAATTCAACAAAATGGTTCTCAATGAAACCTACAGAAATATCAAGGTGAGTGTTCCTAGTTGCTCTTTTTTGTGACGTGAACGTTAACTGAAAAATATTTGCTTTCAGGGAGGCACCGCAAAGCAAAAAAACAAAAAAAAAACAACTTTCTCCCATGTATACCACCACCTTCATAAGGTTATGCTGCTGCAATAAAACAATGAACAGAGCTAGATGCTGCTATTTTGAAAATTAATTGAACTTGATCATCAAAGTAATGTGTTGGTGGACTACCTTGATTGCTGTTTCTGTGCTACAGATGGGCCCTGGAGCATTGTTTCCAGTTGTCCTTCAGGGACCCAAACAATTAGCTCCCAAATAAGTAGATTGCCTTTCTAGGAGAAGTGATCTCCTGAGCAAGATCACAGAGAGGAAAGTACTCCACATCATTTTGCTGTTTTCAGTTGGTTAAATTGATTTTTCTGCTTTTAGAATTCATGTTTTGTTTTATTCTGTTTTTACCTTGTGTACTGCTTTGATGACTTTATGCCTTGAAGCAGTCTATAAACTAATTTAATAATAACATATACATGCTATATTATAAGCATTTTATCACATATGTTTTAATATATTTCTGAGATTGTTTATTTACTTCTTTCCTTCTCTTTTCCTGCTTTATAGCTATAGGCTGTATTTGGTTGACCATTTAAAATTTGTTGTTTGAAATAACATTAGTCTAATTCTATAAGAAGATGGTTAATGCACTTTCATGGATTTACCATGGTTTCCTGTTAACTATGATTTCATCTCTCTGGAATAAAAATCCTTCAGGTGCTACTCACATCAGATAAAGCTGCTGCCAACTTTTCAGACCGGTCCTTGCTGAAGAACCTGGGTCACTGGCTGGGGATGATCACACTGGCTAAAAACAAACCCATCTTGCACACGGTGAGACTGGGTGGAGGAGAAAAACATAAACTGGCTTTAAGGCTAGAAACTTTAGTGCATGCTTATATCAGCTCAATTTTTGGTGCCTTTTTATAATTAGGGGGGAAAGCTATGTAGAAAATTTACGAAAGAAAGGAATCTGATTTGTGGGTGTGACACTGCCCACTGCTGGGTTTAATTTATACTCCTTTTATTTTAGGACTTGGATGTGAAATCCTTACTGCTGGAGGCTTATGTTAAGGGACAGCAAGAACTTCTGTATGTCGTGCCATTTGTTGCCAAAGTTTTGGAATCCAGTGTGAGAAGTGTGGTAAGTATGATGTACAGTGTCCTATGACAAACAAGTAGATGGGATTAGTCCAAGACCCTTGGCAGCCTAAGCCAAAGCACAGGACAGTGCTCCTCCCTTTGAACAGAGAGAATACAACTGGACTTTCAGATGAATCTTAGTTTAGTACTGGGGACAGGGGTTTTTGTTTTTGCTACTTCTTGACTGGCAGGCATGGGCAGGGAAGTAGGTGGACAGAGGTGATGACACTTCCAGACTCTTGCATATATTTTGTGTCATGTGTGTTAGTTCAAAGCAGAGGTGGGACCCTGTGGTTAGTGTTGATGATAGCTGGCAGCCATCGGCATCTGGGGGGCACTGGGTTCTCCTCCTTGGCTTAAAGTTTACAGCCTCTTGTTTCCATTGTTTTGCTAACACCATTTAAATGATGTTCTAGCCCCCTTTTTGAAACAGGACTGTTAACTTTATCATTCCACTCTTTTTGTAGGTTTTCCGGCCTCCAAATCCTTGGACCATGGCTATTATGAATGTACTAGCAGAGCTGCACCAGGAACATGACTTAAAAGTAAGTTTCAGTTTGCTGCTTTGAGCTCCTCAGCATTGCTTTGTTTTTGAACAACTTGTTACAATGCATCTGTTTGAAGATTTGAGCTTAGCTAGTGAGCTGTAGCCAGTTTAATGAGAATAGACTTTTTCCAGAAAATTACACATGTTCCAATGGTTTTCACCTCATTCAAAATATTTGCCTTGAAGCATGTAGCTCTTCAGAACTTCTTAAGATTTATATAGCAGGTATACATAACTAATAATTACATTATTAAACCTGAAATCATTAAATATTGTACAGCTGAATCTGAAGTTTGAAATTGAAGTGCTCTGCAAGAACCTTGCCCTTGACATCAGTGAACTGAAACCTGGGAACCTCCTAAAAGACAAAGATCGATTGAAAAGTTTGGATGAACAGCTGTCTGCTCCAAAGAAAGATGTAAAACAACCAGAAGAGCTTCCACCAATTACGACCACTAGTAAGTGTCAAGGATGATTCATACAGTCATCCTTGTATCATACAAATATAGCCTGCACCTCACAGGGCAGTTAGTAAGGAATCTTCTTTCTATTATCTGTTCTCTCTTACTCTTAATATTATTACCACTACAACTGTTTTAGCAAACCTGGAGACAGGGAATTCAGTTTAGGCCTGGGTAGAGTAACCTTTCACAAGATACCCTCCCACGTCCTGGTAATAGGAATACTACAGTAAATTCTAGTACTCATTCTACCTGAGCAGTTCACCTAATTCCAGATTGCTTTTCAAGTGACATCTCTGATATCAAAAATAGCGTTGTCGGACTTATCAGCATGACTTTATACCTGAGCAAACACTGTCATATTGGTTGCCAAAATTCTTTTGTTTCCTATAAAACAAGTTTGTAGTATTGAATCTATGTTAGGACATACTCTGAAAACTTTTCTCTTTTTTGCTCTTGTATTTTCTCAGCTGCTTCTACAACACCAGCTACCAGCACCACTTGCACAGCTACTGTTCCCCCACAACCACAGTACAGTTACCATGACATCAATGTTTACTCCCTGGGAGGGCTAGCTCCACATATTACGCTCAATCCAACGGTAAGTTCTTAGACCTGGTCACTTTCCACCTTTAGGTTGGAAGGGATAATTTTATGCTTTCTTTCAATGGTGTATAAAAAGTTGACATTGACTCTTGGTTGCTTTGCCTTCTCAGATTCCATTGTTCCAGGCCCATCCACAGTTGAAGCAGTGTGTGCGCCAAGCCATAGAGCGTGCAGTCCAAGAACTTGTACATCCTGTGGTGGATCGGTCCATTAAAATTGCCATGACTACGTGTGAGCAGATAGTGAGGAAGGATTTTGCACTAGATTCAGAAGAGTCACGCATGCGTGTAGCGGCACATCACATGATGAGGAATTTGACTGCTGGTATGGCTATGATCACCTGTAGGGAGCCTTTGTTGATGAGCATAGCTACCAACCTGAAGAACAGCTTTGCCACTGCATTGCGGGTATGTTTGCAGTTTATAAGAAACTTTTTTTTGAAGCAGAATAAGTTAAACCCATGTTTTGTGGCATTGCATTCTAACAAGATTTGTCAGTACTCTGTTTCTCTGCAGGTAGGAGTTAGTTTCATGATGTATCTTAATGCCCTGCTCAGATTCAATAGTATAGAAAGGTGATGAGAATGCCGACCAAACTAGATTTGAAGTGAGATGTGTCTGCATTTAACCTACATGTTTTTAAAAATGCAAATAGGATTAAAAGAGAATTTTTTTGTCAGCTGGGAAGGAAAGGATTCACGCACGCACCTTCTGCCTTCTGCAGTCCTGATAATTATTGCCTCCCCTCAGCATCTGTTGTTTGCATCCTGAGCTATGAATTGTGCGTTGAAGATTTCTGAAGACCACGTCTCATCCATTACCATTTCCCATTGATTGAAATTAATAACCCATTGTTAAATCCAGTCTCAAGTTGTCTTCTTTGTTGTTCTTTACCTTTGCTTTTTCAGTGACGTGCTGTGGAGAACTTCTGCTGTATTTTTCCCACGCGGGGGGGCGGGGATCCATTGTTCTATAAAATAACAGTGGATAGGGATATTGTCAGTGGATATTGTTTTTGCAGCTGGCTTGTTATTAAACTAACCATCGTTAGTGTTAAACCACAATTCCAGGTTCAGATGAAACAGGAACCTGTGATCAACTAAAAAAGGAAGTGAAAACTTTTGCACTTCTTTTCAGCCATGCAAGAGGAGGGGAGGAGTGATGGGACAAGGGCACGGCTAGCAGGCTCATTCACATTTTGTTAAACTGTAGTTTAGACTTGTGGCCAATAAGTAGACTTTAGCATTTGCTTTAGTTCATCTGTGAAACAATTCTGCTTGACTTCCTGAACACTTGCTATGTGGCCCATGGTTGATGCAGCAACAACTTGCAAATAAAGGCTATGGAAGCAAGTGAAGTTTACAACAAACACACACAGCCTTGCAGCTGTAACTGCGCTAGTTCTTCATGGAGTGAATCTTCTTGTGTTCACTTTTCTTGGCATTATAACAGCATGAGAATGCCCGTTTTGATATTGAGGCTGAATAAAACCTTGCAGCACTAAGGAATGGTATGAGTAATGGCTTTACGAGAGTCTTGCCATTAGCAGATAAGAATTCTGTTGATTTGTCAGACAGCATTAATCAAGATAATTTTTCCTGATTTGTAGAAGAAACGAGAAGAAATAAGAGCAGCCAGTTACTGAAGGATCTTTTACTAAAGATCTTTTGCTGTGGTTTAGTAAAGCCATTAGTTCCAGTACATTGGTTTTTGCATTTGTGTATACTAATGAGGGAAAATATCCCATTACTGCATTTAGAGGGCACCTATTGATAAGTGAGTTCAGTCCTATGCCTGGAACTTATTTCAGAAAAAAGCACATAAATAGAATTGCACTAGAAGTATGTAATGTGGGGCACATGCTAATTATTTGGCAGATTTTCCCCCTTTTGTTTATATGTAGATTTTGAATGAAGCATGTAATTTGCTTGATAGTTTACTTTATGCTAACTCCATGCAAAGCGATGCCATATTTATGAACATCTGTAACTGACATTATGAGTATTTGCCCATTGTGGGCATAGTCCTTTTTTAATGGCTTGCTTTTTAAAATAGGCAGCCTCACCACAGCAGAGGGAGATGATGGAGCAGGCAGCAGCACAGTTAGCCCAAGATAACTGTGAGTTGGCATGCTGCTTCATTCAGAAGACAGCTGTAGAAAAAGCAGGCCCTGAAATGGACAAGAGGCTGGCCACTGTAAGTATGTTGCAGAGTTTCAGTTAAAAGTTAAATCATGTGATTACCAAGTCATTCATCTTTTCTTCTTCTTTTTTTCCAGGAATTTGAGCTCAGAAAACATGCCAGGCAAGAGGGTCGTAGGTACTGTGATCCTGTAGTATTGACTTATCAGGCTGAACGGATGCCAGAACAGATCAGGTTGAAGGTGCGAAATTAAGAGAATTAAAGTTATGATCAATGCCACAATATCAGTTGGGAGGCCTTGTTGGAGTCTTCTACTTATCCAAATTTTCCTACTTTCTTTTAAGGTTGGTGGAGTGGACCCAAAGCAGCTAGCTGTTTATGAAGAATTTGCACGCAATGTTCCTGGTTTCTTACCAACCAATGACTCAACCCAACCCACAGGAATCCTAGCTCAGCCTATGAAGGTAGAAATCCAGTTCAGATGGTTGAATTGATTCTGAGGTTAAAGTAAACTACACTGTGACCATTTATTTTACAAGTTATTGGAGGCTTCCAGAAAATAGTGAGGTTGCTTATTGTTTGGGCTTCTCTTCAAAGCTATACAGTCTAATAGTATTATTTGAAAGTCAGAATGAAATCCCACACAAAGAAATTTAGATTATGAACTCTGTGGGAGCTAATTACGTAAACCAGTTGACTGATCCCCCCCCTTTTAATCCATGACGATTTATCAAACACTTAATACTTTGTTTCATTATAAACTGTTCACAATAAAATCTGCAGATGATTTGCTGTTTTAGCTAAATGTTAAGTGTAAAAAGTACCAGCCAATATCGCTGGTGAAAGCAGTAATGGAATGAAAAAGTTATTAAGAAATCTGTCATGATAAATGGTCAGAATTCTCATTCATTTAACTAATAAAGTATTCTTGATTTCTTTTAAATCAGCAAGCCTGGGCAACAGATGATGTAGCACAGATCTATGATAAATGTATGGCAGAACTGGAGCAGCACCTTCAGTCCATTCCTCACACCCTGTCTATGAATCCACAGACTCAAGCCTTACGAAGCCTCTTGGAGGCTGTTGTTGTGGCTCGTAATTCTCGTGATGCTATTGCAGCCCTTGGACTGCTACAGAAGGTTTGTGTATGAACTTGCTTCATTATATATCTGTGACTCCTGGGCCATGGAGAGAGGCTCACTTTATCCAAGGCTTTCTACCCTAGAAACATGCACACAGTTACAACATTAAACTACTTGAACTCAGCACAGGATCAGAACAGTCAGGATTGAATACAGATTATTCTGGGAAAATACGTACTGTTTAAGAAAAGCTGCCTTCGAAGTGGTGAGGAAGGATCCTTCTTTAGTGGATATAGTGGTTCCTCCTGCCATCTGCTGTTTTTTGCTGTGTTTTCTGGGCTGTTGTGTAGGAGGCTTTAAAACGGTTGCTTGGGAATGTCTGTCATTAGAAGCCCTTTTACAGCCCAATTGCCGCATTCCCTTGTGGGCTACTCTTCCAGAGCTTCAGTGCTGGTGGTGAGCATTGTTGGAGGCAAAAGCACAAGGAGCAACTGCGATGATGATGATGATAATGGGCTGCATGCATACTATGCAAAAGCCACAATGCATTGTCTCTCGAGAGCAAAACAGTGCGATTCCTCTCCAAATGACTCAGTAAGATGTTGCTTTTAAGTGTTTGCTACTCTTCCTACAGGCAGTTGAAGGTTTGTTAGATGCCACCAGTGGTGCAGATGCTGACCTCCTCCTCCGCTACCGGGAATGTCACTTGCTTGTTTTAAAAGCACTGCAGGATGGCCGTGCTTATGGGTCTCCGTGGTGCAACAAGCAGATTACAAGGTCAGTGATGAAAGAATAAAGCTTTGAAGGCTGTAGAAGCTCTATTTAAATACAATTATTTAAATATATTCTGATTTTGGCCAACATAAGGATTTCACCTAGTAAGTTACTTCCCTGTATCCCACTAAGTTACATAATGAGTTGCATGATAAGTGCCATATGGATTCAGTAGTCAAGGGTTTGGGGCTTTCTCCTGAAATAGGATATTGGTGTGAGAATTAAGCTGGGTGATAAAAGAGGCAAACTAAATACCATTCATGCAACTTAAACAAAACTGACCCCTGGTCTGGATTGAGAGTCTGGTGTGGCGGCGGGGCTTAAAACATTTGTGTCCCGTCCCCCCATTGCAGTTTCTATTTGAATTGGAGAGCCTGCACCTGCTACCTTCATTCAGAGATCAACTTTCATTCATGCAGTGGAAGTTTCATTAAACTGTGGCAGGTGCAGGGGATATGAGCCGTACTAGGGCCCCAATTCAGATCCCTACCCTATTTGCTTAAAAAAAAAAAAAAGCCATTCACACAACTGCTAGTTTCATCTGGTTTGGATCTAAAACTTGCAGTATGAATATTTTTAGATTCCTAAAATAGTTATTCTATGACTTTGTGGTTTTACATTGTTATAAGCTTTTGTGAATGGGGCAGCTGGACTTTAATCTGCTCCTTCATCTTCAGCTACAAAGTCTGTTGGCTTTCTTAACATGAGGCAGTTACAGTCAGCTGGTGTTTCTGAAATGAATGTGTGGAATAATTGGAGAGGAAGCTACCTCTCTGTGTGTTTTGAAACTTGAGACTGAGGAGAAAACAAAGTTAACACAAGAAAACATCTAATTTTTCCAGGTGCCTGATAGAATGTCGAGATGAATATAAATACAATGTAGAAGCAGTGGAGCTACTGATCCGTAACCACCTAGTTAACATGCAGCAGTATGACCTCCACCTGGCTCAGGTGAGATACTGCCGCCAAGTTAGTTATTAAATCTCTGCTTATGCTTTAGAAGGAAAACTGTTCACATTCTTGCCTCCTTTTTCTTGACAGTCAATGGAGAATGGCTTGAACTACATGGCAGTGGCATTTGCAATGCAGCTGGTGAAAATCCTCTTGGTGGATGAAAGAAGTGTTGCTCACATAACAGAAGCAGATCTGTTTCACACCATTGAAACTTTGATGAGAATTAATGCTCACTCCAGAGGGAATGCACCAGAAGGGTAATGCTAAGAGTGTTGAGTACCAGTGAAGGAATGTTTCCTGCTAGTGCAAGTTTGGCAGTGGTGATGATGATGATGATGATGATGAAGTGAGGCTCTGCCATTCCTGTCCACTCCTTTTACCTTGTGGGATCACTGTGTAATATCTACTGTGCTTCAGAGTGCCATCCTCCACCCAGTCCTGAATCTCCATTTTTAACGAACTATGTAGAGTATAATCTACAAAATACAAGCTTGCTTAAACCATTGTTTAGTTTTCTGTTTAGTCCAGGCACAACTTTGATTTATTATGGGCCATCGCACATTTACTTCCAATTAAGGATCATACTACATATTTGGAAGTACCATGTGATATGTCTTTTGAGACTGTTGCCACTTTAGCAACAGTAGTCAGGGAAGATTTGAATGCTCTTCCACATCAGAAACTTGGTGAACATATAAAAAAATTGCCACCTTGGGGAAAAGACTGGAATCCCTTTCTCTGGTTTGCAGTTTTCCAGTGTTTAGGGAGTTGCACGTATTGAGGAACATTCAGACATGGATTCTCCCACCTACTTTCTGAAATTGCCATCTGGTAGATTAGAATATGTAATTCAGACCTCAAGTTTGCTGCAGGCAGGACTGACATGCCTTTTTAGGCCTGCGGTATTAGGCATGGTTTTGTGAAAGTAAGCCCTAGTGTGACACCTTCAAATCTTCATTCTGGAAGGTAGTGATGAATACACTGAGGGTGTAGTAATAAGTGACAGATCAAAGGTTTTGAAAAGCAATATACCCACCATCTCTGAAGCACTTGTATTCCACTCTCCTAGGTGTCTTGGACTGAAGGACAGAGGCCATTCTTTTCTGTTCTTGCCCAACTACAGCAGATCCATTCCCTAATGCCAGGCACTAGACTAGGTCACCTCACTTTTTATCTCCAAATTTATCTGGCAGTAATAGGGCACATTTCATTCAGATTCTTGCTGTGTTTCTTTGAAGCTTATGTCATGGAGCCATTGTGGGTTAGTGGATGGCATGTTGGACTTAAATCTAGGTGACTTTGGTTCAAAGGTCTGCTGAACCAAAATGCCAACTGGGCTCCCAACTCTTGCCCCTAAACCACGTCATAGTTTTGGTTGCAATAATATAATAACATCTTGTATGCTATCTCTGTGGGACAAAGGATGTGATGCAAATGTTTGAAATACAATGCTGTTGATTGTGGGGTATTTTTAAAAAATTATGCACATAGCATAAGTAATCTAAACCCAAGCATGTTCATTCTGGATCTCTCATAGGTTGCCCCAGCTGATGGAAGTGGTACGGTCCAACTATGAAGCCATGATTGACCGTGCTCATGGAGGGCCAAATTTCATGATGCATTCTGGTATCTCTCAGGCCTCTGAGTATGATGATCCCCCTGGCCTGAGGGAGAAGGCAGAATATCTCCTGAGGGAGTGGGTGAATCTCTACCACTCTGCAGCAGCTGGGCGTGACAGCACCAAAGCATTCTCTGCATTTGTTGGACAGGTAGAGCTTGGGGAAAGAAAGGTGCTTTTTATTCAACATAAGTAGGTTATGATGCCCTTGGATCAAGTAGAGTACTATGTAATATCGATTTCCCCTTTTTAAAAATTCCACTTTGCATGATGGTAGTACGTGCAACATGTCATATCAGTGTAGTGAAACGTGTTAGTAAATACTTGTTTGTTTATGCTAGCCAGTATCATGATGCTGGGGGCTCTCCACTGCATCCACTAGAAGGTTGTGTTCTTTAAATGAAGAAAGACCTGGCTGAGAGGGACTGCATGCCATGGGGCAGTGATCAGCAAGGAAAAGATTCCCAGTGCCCCACAGACTCTTTGGGTTTCTCAGGGTGGAGGATGTGTCCTTGCTCCAAGGAGAGAAACCTAAGAAGCTAGGGCAGAGCACGTACCTGAGCAGCAGCTGCCACCGCCAGTGGGCACTTCGTGCAGCTCTTGACAGTCCCGAGCGTCTTCCACTCATTTATTTTGTGCCCAAAGGAAGCAGCTGCTCTTCTGAATTCAGATGTAGAGGTCATGTGGGATATGCTCCAAGAAGAATCCCTGTGCCCTAAGGGTGTGGCCTTGGGTCAACCACCCTGAAGGGGAGGGTGACTGCCACCAGCCAGGTATGGCCACTGCTTGTACACTAATGCAGTTTCCTTAACTCAGTTTCTCCCCCCGCCCCCGGAGACTCTATGTTACAGATGTTAGAGAGGTGTTTGCAAAAGCTAGAATCTCTTTACATATGTAGGCATGGAATATGGCAAGTAGTTTGCCAGTTTTTTACTCCGCTACCACAGTCATCCTTCAGAGGTGCCAAAACTTCTTTGCTGCCTTATTTTAGTTGCATTTCAAGTAGCCACTCCACTGCCTGCTTGCATATGTGAATAAAGTAAATTGCAGGTCCTCCTTCCAGATAGAAATGTATTTATTAAGACTGCAGAAACAGTGGTACTTGCCATTAAAGTTTTGCCTTATTGGTGTATGGAGCACTTTGAAAACAGTGGCTATGAAAACTATTCAGTACTATTGAGGACAGCAAAATTTCACATGTCTTTGCCCCCAGATCCCTAGACATCTACCCGAAAAAGTTGCAGTGTCTCTGAAATGCAACATAATTTGCCTAAATAATACACAAGTAAAACCAATAAAGATGTGTAGGGAATAAACTGAAAATCAGGTCTGCCTTCAGTGTTACGCTGACCCCTGCAAAATGCCAAAGTAAATGGATCACTGATGAATGGAGCCCTGTTGTTCAGTAGCAGAATTTTCTGTTCATATTTGCCACTTTAGTTGCTCTGCATTCTAGAGATTATTGCTTATGAAAAGCGTTTTGAATGCTTTCATAATGAGAATTTCATCCTGAATAACCATTGCTTTAAAAATTGTGATATCAGATCTTGTAAGTGACTGAAATATCTATCGACAATTTACTTATGAAACCGACAGGAGTAGCAATCCATTCTCATGGGCCTACGTTCCTAAGAGGGTAGTCTTAACCCTCCTACACCATGTAGCTTCCCTGCTTAGAATTTCACTTCACTACTTATCCTGAGCACTTTCCTCCTCCCTCATGTGGAAGGGACCATTCACTTCTGCATCCTAGTCTAGCAATGTGTCCCTGGAGGAGAAGCATGACTAGTTGGACCTCTCAACACTGCAGAATTGATGTGTGGTATTCTGCATAAAGTACAGCTTCCATAGTTCCAGTCTACTCTGGAATGGTATTGCTCCTTCATATTCCAGTGTTTTGGAATGTACTATAGAAACCTTGAGAGAAGGAGATTGTCTATTGCACTTAATTCCTGTTTTCAGTGTCATCCAGAGGGTATTCCACCTGCCATTGTTTCCTGTGGGCCAAGCTTTGCTCTGAGGCTTCTGCCTCACTGCACAGATGGGAAGCTGCTCCTCATGTTTTTGCTGCATGTGTGCTTGGGTTATTGTGTGCACTTTGTTGGTTCTTTTAAGGCATTTAGAGTTTATTTTTGCTCTGCCAGTCCAGTCTAGGAAGATCAAGATGATGGCCCTGTCTGTTGCTCCAGGTGGAGGTGCTATCCCACTGGTTGGGAATGCCCTCCAGGAGAAGCAGAACAGGAATTCACAGTAAGAAATGTCCCTTTCTGCATATAGCATACAGCATCAGTAATGCCTACATACAGAGGCAACATGGGTGTTGTGTTTACTTCCTTGCCAGCATAGTTTCCTTTTCCACCTGGTTCCTGGATGTAGGTGTTACCAGTGTGGTGTAGGACCTGATTACATAGAAATGATCTTATGCTACTATGGTTGGTAATGTAGGAATTGACCCTAAGAAGCATCACCAGCCTTTTCTGTGCCAAACTGCAGTGTTACAGTCTAGCCCACTTGCTTTCCATCATGTCTAGATAGAACATTACTAGCTTGATTTTAGAAAAAAGAGGAGTTCTTTAGGTCTGAGTCTACCTTTTCCCCCATTACAGATGCATCAGCAAGGAATCCTGAAAACCGATGATTTGATCACACGATTCTTCCGTCTTTGCACTGAAATGTGTGTTGAGATCAGCTATCGTGCTCAAGCTGAGCAGCAGCACAACCCCGCTGCCAATCCCACCATGATCCGTGCCAAGTGTTACCACAACCTGGATGCCTTTGTGCGCCTCATTGCACTGCTGGTGAAGCACTCTGGGGAGGCCACCAACACAGTCACCAAGATCAACTTGCTCAACAAGGTTGGGAGCACCCTTCCCTGCCCCCGTTACCCATCTATCTTGAGTTTAGCTGGTTGTGAGAATGGGTAGTATATTTTAGAATTGTGATGACTGAGGCTGGTGGGAGTTGTAGTCCATGGGGCCAGGTTGGCAAAGATTTCCTTATTAAATGAATAGGAACTGGTGCAGCATGTTTTTTTATGAACACAGACTAGGAGTTCCATGTTTTAAAATCGTGATCCGTCTGTGGATGGTGTTTGGCAGGCAATTGCCTTCTCTGTAAAAGGGATCCTTAGCTGCATTGTAAAGAATTTCAGTGTACTATGCAGGATGTACTTGGAGCACTTAGGAGAAGCATTACACAAATTCTGAATAAGGGTTTGAGATGTGCATATCTCTCATTCACTTACATGTGAAAGGGCAGAAAACATTATTGTAAAGTTGCAGTCAAGATCGCCAGTTTGTTGTATTGTCTTCAAAAAATACTGAGTATGTGCATGAATTCCAGTTGGCATTGCAGTAATTATAAGCATACATAAAAGTTGCATTCTGAGCACATTGCCTTTTTTACCTCTAGGTTCTTGGGATAGTTGTGGGAGTCCTTTTGCAGGATCATGATGTTCGTCAAAGTGAATTCCAGCAGCTTCCCTACCACCGCATTTTCATCATGTTGCTGTTAGAATTAAATGCTCCTGAACATGTCCTGGAAACCATAAACTTTCAGACACTCACAGCCTTCTGGTAGGTATCATTTAATTGGACACTTTGGGTCTTTTCAAACTCTAGAGTTCTATGATTTGCATTGAGTCTACACCAGTTCACTTTAGTTAACACTAATCTTGTGTAATTTTAAATACGTTGATACACTTGGAGTCTATTTTGGTTACTGGAATAATTGCACATTAAGAAAACTTGTGGGCATATGTGGGATTCTTTCCCTACGTGGACTGTTCTCTAGTCTATGGAACCGATGCTTCTCAGCCTCTTGGTGTGAGGGAAGGGTTTTTATACTGTTCTGTCTTAATCTCTGTGCAGTCCCACATTGGGATCTGCAGCTGTGGAGCTGGATTTAGAACATTCTAGAGCTTTAGCCAGACTCAATCCGTGGTCAAGTTGGGACATTGATCCTGTGTTCCACTCAGGAGATGGTGCTATTCTAGTTGTACAGACTGCCATCTGGACACCTATGGGAATTTATGGCAACTAAAACGCTCCTTTACTTTAGTGGATCTGTTTATTAAAACTATGATTCCTATATGATACATTATTGTCTTGGATCTTAATTATGCATCTTTTACTACATTGGATGGTTTGGGGCCACCATCATTCCTTGGAGAAATATTTGATGCACTTTTAAAATAAATGGCAAACTTGTAACCCTGGGGGTGGGCAGGGAGATTTAAATTTCCTAGTATAGTGCCATAGAACAAATCACATCCTCCCCGATCATCAGCTTGAACATTTGATGTGCAGGAAGGAGCTGATAACCTGCCCTTTTCATCTGATCTGCATGAGTCAGCTGGAGGTTCACAAATGCCCACTGCTGCTGGCATTTGGCCCTGTAGGGTTGGCCAAGAGTGAATGCTGGTTCTTGGTCCTTAAAATGTTTAACCACCTCTGCCTGATTTAGACTTCAAAGATGGTCTCAGTTCAATGCAGATTCTTGGCAGTGCTTTAAACAAATCTTGACACAAAGCTTGTGTTGTATGTTTTTATTTCAGTAACACATTTCACATCCTGAGACCTACAAAAGCTCCAGGTTTTGTTTATGCTTGGCTAGAATTGATCTCCCATCGGATATTTATTGCAAGAATGCTGGCACATACACCACAGCAGAAGGTGTGGCTGCAGTTTATCTTCTGTAACTTACGAAGCTTCCAAAGGGAATAAGGATGCATCTTGGTTTGCAGGTTTTGTTTAACTAGAATGACTTTATGCCATTTAAATTTCTGATGTCTGCTTTTAAGGTCTTTACCATATTCCCACAACGTAGCTGCTAAGAGCTGATTACCTGAAGAGGTCCAGAAACCTCAGCAGGACGGATTAAAAATGGGATTTTAATCCTCATCCCTTAAAAAACCCAGCCTGGTAAAATTCAGTCTGAATACAAGAATGTTAAACCTTCACTTTTAACCCTTAAAACTGAATCATCCTTCAGTCAAATACACTGGCTGCCTTTGCATGGAACACTAGATTCAGGAGTGTGCTTTAAAGCAAACCATGGTTAATTAAACAGGCCAACTTTATAACCTGTGGCTTGAAGTTGATTTGTTTTGAAACTTAGCAGTGTTTTAAACTTAGATTCCTATTTCACACATAACTCTTAAGTTTTGTAAAAGTAAAAACTATACCCTGCCAGCCTCCCAGCTGCATGGGAGAAGGAAGTAGGAGAAATATGGTTATATGCTACAATTGTTATGAGCTTGATAGTGTGGTTGCAGTGGTGGTGGTGAGTGAGGCTCGATATATCATGGCATGTACTGGGATCCAGTGCTTGTCTCTCTAGGATGTGATCCAGTATTATTGCTAAGAGGGCCTTCCTTCCACTAGTTCTACCTGTGTGATCTTGACTAAAGTGCATATTTTATGTACTTTTTATCTGAGTTGTGGGATTATCTCAGTTCTCAATTTAAGAATACTTTTTAATCTTCTGAAAATAAACTGTTCTGCCTATTAATTACCAGCCTTTGCTTCTGAAAATGCTTGGCCCTTTAGTTGTCTCTGAGCAGACAAAGACAATTGTGCAAAGTTACATGAGCTGCAATGGACAAGTTCCTTATTTTGTTTCTAGGCAGGGGCAAGGGAGGAGGATTGTGCAGTGTAAGAGAAAGAGAGGTTAAAAATATTTTCTATTTAAAATGAATATTTAAATCAGTTTACTCCAGCAGCCATAGATGTTAAACAGAAGTTTGAAATAACTTGCAGGGAACCATTTGCAGCCTTGTAGGTTGTATCAAACTTCTGAGAGTCCACAGCTGCACTGCATTGGGGCAGATGTGACCAAGTCTTTCCAGTAAATCTCACTCATTCTTCCATTTCCCTTAAGTCCAGAATTCAACCCCTACAGTGCCCCTTATTATACATAATTGGCTGGTTTCACTATGGATTTCATATTTCAGGTAGCCCTGACAGATTAAAGAATAATGTATTATACTGCTTTGTAATATGCAAGTTGTTAGTTCTACCAACAATGTTAAGTGGGATCCAGTTCAGACATTATAGTAAATATATTAGCAAATATCATATAACTCTTATCATGTAAATTCTCTTTCCAGGGGTGGCCTATGTATGCTCAGCTGTTGATAGATCTGTTTAAATATTTGGCTCCTTTCCTGAGGAATGTGGAACTTGCCAAACCTATGCAAATTCTGTACAAGGTAAGTAGAATTTAGAATAGAGCAGAAGAGAATTTGTTACAATTCAGTGATGGTCTGGATTATTTTCCCAGCACAATTGTAGCTTCACAGTAAAGTTCAAATCATACAGCCCTTTTCCATGGGATTGTGGATGAGGAAATTGACCTGCGTGTGTAAAAAGTGTGTCACCAACATGAAACATTTGGAAAGCTCTGATAAAAGTGTTGGCTGAGATGTTTTGCATAGATTTAGCATAGATACTTAGTTCTCTTTCCCCCCGTTTTTTTGTAGGGTACTCTGCGTGTGTTGTTGGTCCTGTTACATGACTTCCCAGAATTCCTCTGTGACTACCACTATGGTTTCTGCGATGTGATTCCTCCAAACTGTATTCAGCTAAGGAATCTGATACTGAGTGCCTTCCCACGTAATATGAGGCTTCCAGATCCCTTCACTCCCAACCTTAAGGTAATGTACAAGGCCTGATTTGTATGGGACCTCATCTGTTGAAGCACCTGAGATTGTGCAATGGTGTTAATGCTTTTGCATAAACAACTATGTCAGTAAGACCCTAGTGGGTCAGCTTGACCTGCTTTGATGAAACAGGGTAGCCAATATAATGCCCTCCTGATGTTGGACCCCAACTCCTGTTGGCCCCAACTAGAAGGCTAGTGCTTAAAGATGACAGGAGTTGTAGTCCATCAACATCTGAAGGGCACCCCATTAGCTACCCCCAGCCTTCGGGAAGCTGTTTATAACACTGAACCACCCCAGGTGGGGAATGTCATTGTGAACTCCTGGTCTTGAAAAGAGCATTCTGTCCTGGAACATACACGGCAGTCATTGCTTAGTAGTAAAGATGCACTTGAACTCTGACATCTGTTCCAGCATATCAGTTTGCTTATGCTACATCTATACCTGAGGCCCTCCTTTGAGTGCCACCACCATGAGAGATCCAGAGGGTGTTAACAGGAGAAAGGGCCTTTTCTGTGGTGCCTTTCTGCTTGTGGGATGGTCTCCCCAGGGAAGCTCGCCTGGCACCATCATAACATATATTTAAACACCAAGCAAAACCTTTCCTCTGTAACCAGCCTTTTGGCCCTTAACTGTCAGTGGACTTTTAGAATTGGGCAGGATGTTTTCCATGTCTGTCCTCCCCACTGGTTTTAATATATTTAATATATTGATGTGGGGTGGTTTTTTTTTGGTTGGTTGGTTGTAAGTCGCTTTGGTTTGCATTGGGCAAGATAAAGCAACTGTCACATTTAAGATCATGATGGTGGTGGTGGTGGTGGTGATGGTGGTGATGATGATGATGATGATGATGATACAAGAGTGATACTTAGCCTTCCCTGTGGACTTCAGATGGGTAACAGCTGAATGGTAGAAAATAACATTAGGATGCTTCTGTGTGCTCAACAGGTGGACATGTTGAGTGAGATTAATATTGCTCCACGGATACTCACCAATTTCACTGGAGTGATGCCACCTCAGTTCAAGAAGGATTTGGATTCCTACCTCAAAACCCGTTCTCCAGTCACGTTCCTGTCCGACTTGCGCAGCAACTTGCAGGTGAGGGTCTTACTCAAAAATCAGATTGAGGAAGAGGTCTGGGAGTGGAGGTTAGCATGCAGTCCTTTGTCTGCTGTGTCTTTTGCTCCAAAACAGGCTTTTAGGTCCTATGTCTAAAGCAGGGCTCATCAACCTTATTTGGGGCTGTGGGCAGTTTTGGAATTGTGAGAGTCTCATTCTTTTACTCCTCCCCAAACAGAGATTTTCTTTGCTTTTCTGGGGGGGGGGGTATTTGGGTAAAAATGAGATCCAATAGACTTAAAACGGATCTTCTTGAATTTGCACGGTTTTACATGGAGTCCCTTAAAAACAACTATCAGATTGAGGCTTACAGTGGTGGACCCACAGTAAAAATCGTAGATCTGGTGCTTGCCAGATGCATAGTTTAGTCATCAAAGAGAGGAAAGATCCCAGTTCAGCCCTGATCCCACTGCAGAATGTGTCATACATTAAAGAGACATAAATTAGGAAAAGATCAGTTTTACCTGGCCCAGATAATGCATCCTGATGGAGCTGTGGGTCTCTGTTTAGCAATTTTTTACTATATTGTAATGCATGTATCTTTTAAAAACTAGTACCTAGTTTGGGATGGATTGTGCAGCAGCAGTGATAGAGGAGATAAGAGAAGCCTGCCTGCTGTTAAAGCTAATGGCTTTGGCAGAACCTTTTAGTGAGGTATACTCTGCAGTTTAAACATTCGTAATCACATAATATATTTTCTTCACGGCTCTTTGTCTCGGAGGTCCAAGGCAGTGATTTTGCCTCTTTTATGTTCACCCCACTAGGTATCAAATGAGCCTGGCAATCGCTACAATATCCAGCTGATAAATGCCCTGGTGCTGTATGTAGGTACTCAAGCTATTGCACATATTCACAACAAAGGCAGCACTCCTTCCATGAGCACCATCACCCACTCGGCTCACATGGATATCTTCCAGAATCTTGCTGTTGACCTGGACACAGAAGGTAAAAAAGGAAGCTTGATAGTACTTCAAATCAGCTAGCCTAATGTTAAATCAAATGCAAGAGGTTTATCTCTAGGTCTTTGGCGATGGGGAAAAAAGAGCCTGGGAAATCAACCTGGTGAGGTCAGACATAAATACTGTATAATTGATAATGTGCTAGCCTTACAATTGATACTGGGCTTCAGAGGCTAGCTGATAATTGCAGGTATTGGTGTTCTATGACAGAATCAATCCTGTATCTCACCATTTAGCCCACATGGATAATACTTTGCTTTAATTTGGCCAGATTGTACCCTAAAATATTGTTAGATTTTAGAAATTATGTTTAAAATATTCCACAACTAATATTTGGAAAGGGTTTATTTAGTTCCATCTAAGTGGTGGGGAACTTCTAGCCCAAGGGCCAAATGTGGTCCTCCAGACCTCATCACTCCCCACCCCCCAGCCTAGGCCATGACCCACTCTCCTTGGTTGAGTTTGCCAGCTTGGAATGTGTCCTTGAACTGTGATGATGCCTCTCGCTTGGCTGTATGGAGAACAGAGTTAATTGTATGTATCTGTAGAAACCGGTTACTTTTACATAGCTGGAATGCAGCTTAATGTCAAATCAGTTGCTTTTGCTTTTGATCCCACCCCTGGCATGTGGCCTCCAGGCTGCAAAATGTTGCCCCTGCCCCTTGTGTAAGCCAACAGGTTTATGAAAATGAATTACAAACTAGGAAACTTTGAGAAATGAGCCTGGGAAATTCATGTCAACTGGTGGCAGCACCCATTTAATTAACCTTCCCGGCTTTCGGACATAACTCTTGGAACTAACAAATTAGCCAGGCAAGGACTGTTGGATTTCCTTTGTGTTTAAGAGAATCGAACTATTTACCTTTTTTGTGTTCCAGGTCGGTACCTCTTCCTAAATGCAATTGCCAATCAGTTACGGTACCCAAACAGTCATACTCACTATTTCAGCTGCACCATGCTTTACCTATTTGCAGAGGCCAACACTGAAGCTATTCAAGAACAAATCACCAGGTAAGAGATCTAAGGAGTCTAAAACAATCCCTACATTGCCTAGTTCTCACAAAAGAGCCAATGAGGAACTGGGGAGAAGCTTCAGGAGCTAACACTTAGTTGGTCCACTGCTATCTGAAGCTGTCCTGCCCAGCAACCAGGAAGAAAGTGTCTTGTCCCCGTTGCAGCAGTAGCAAGTCACTGCTGGCAATGTAACAAACACTCTAAGCTTTGCCCCTCTTATCCACATGTAGAGTAGGACTTCCAGTGTTGATTAGAGGGTTCACATGGTTTGAAAGGCAGCTGTTGAGGTGGTTGCAGATTCCATACAAGGATCCTTTTCTGGATGGAGGAGCATTCATCCCCACAAATCTGCAGCCTAGAATCAGGTTTCCCACTCTCACATTATATTGAGAAGCAAAGTCTTCCACATTCTGAAAGCATCATAGTGCTAATTAATGTTGCCAGACACAATCCCATGAGGGTACCTATTCTCAGCGGGACCTTGATATTCCTGCATCATGTCTTTCATACTGGCACGCGGTGTGACTTTCCCCATGCCTTAATCTGTTTCTCTTTTACAGAGTTCTGCTAGAACGACTGATTGTAAATAGGCCTCACCCATGGGGTCTCCTTATTACCTTCATCGAGCTGATTAAAAACCCAGCATTTAAGTTCTGGAATCACGAGTTTGTCCATTGTGCTCCAGAAATTGAAAAGTGAGTAATTTTAAACAGTTAGATGTTCAGTGTATTTGGGGGACTCAGTCCTAGGAACTCTGGTACTTGCAGAGGAGAGGAAGTTGTGTCTTGAAATAAAGTTTATTCTCCTTGTTGTAGGTTGTTCCAGTCTGTTGCGCAATGTTGTATGGGGCAAAAACAGGCACAACAAGTAATGGAAGGAACTGGAGCTAGTTAGAGAAAGCAACCACCCTGGAAATTGTGCCAGCCTGGAGATCTCCATCCCATCAAGCTGACAGAATAATGTGTGTGGGTCTAGCCAGACCTTGGAGGCTGCCTCTCCCTCCCCCATGTTGGGCTTACATCACAGATCTTTGTGTGAGAAATCTCCTCCTCTGTGGGCATGTTCCAAAGTTTTAAAAACAAAAGTTTTGACTCTTGGCCAAAATTCAGAAGATGCTGTGAATATAATTTCAAACTATTGTAAATACACAGAACAGAAATATTTGTCTGAACTTTGGGTTTGTGCGAATTGTGTTTCAAGAGAGGCACATACTGTGTGCCTGACCAGCCTGTAATAGAAGTGGTGGCTGCTGATGCCAAGTGTTTTGTCTGGGGCAGATCTGCTCTCCTGACATTCCCAGACTCCCAAAGAATATGGAAAAGCCAGTTTAAATATTATGTAACTTATTTTTCTTGTGGGTGGGAGACCTGTAAATCACAAAGTTGTCAAAGAGGGGGGAAATGGATGCATTGGAGCACAGGATCCTACAGTATATGGGGGACTGGGTGGGGGAAAGTTAGGATTAGGGTCCAGTATATTGCTTTTCCCAGTATCAAATGCTGCCAGCAAGAGGCACGAACGTTGGAGCGGAGGACGTCCTTTGTTTTTATTGGCAAAGATATACTTTGGGCCCTTTGGGAGAGGGCTAGTGGGTTTAGCAAAGGAAACAAGAGACCAGGCCTGTAGATTTTCTTTCTTGACACTTGTAAATTTTGGGATGGGGAGGATGTGAATCTGTTAACTGCTCCCCTGTGGCCACAAAGTTTGAGTTTGTAAAAAGAACAAAAAGGACCAATACAGCCCATTTTGTAAGGATTTTGAATGTTTTGTAAATGTATTGGTCCACGTGTTGTATTTTGTAGCCTTTCTAGTTCTCTTGGGCTTTAGTTCTCCCACTTCTTGTATGTATGCATTCTGTAGTTAAACATTAAAGTCATGAAAAGCAGCACATGTCCATGTTTTCTCATCATCTATGACGAATGTTGTTAATGTTCTTCACTGCTTATATTTTCAACATAAATCTAATTCCTTTTTATACGATCAAGGTGCAGTACATCAATCTAATATATTGCTACTTTAATTAACAATGTTTAACTGCTATCTTAAGAGGATAAAATTGAGGCATCAGTAAAATGTAAGCAAGAATCCTATTCTTGCTGATTCCCTGGGCAGTTAAGTGGGCTTCCAATAAGGGGAGTTAAAAAAAACAACCTAGGAGCTTTCACTTAGTGCACATGTTCAGGCCTAGAGATGGTACCTCCAGGTGAGCAACCAAAGGGCCAGAGCAGGATGTACACTAGGAGGTGGCCCTTCTACCTTCAGATGGCATGAACTAGGGTTCAAAAATGAATAGTCCTAGTGCTGCAGTCACCATCGAGGATTTACTCGGTAAATAGAACTGTCCAGTACACGATTTGACCCCACTCATCCTTAACTCCTCAAAGTGTCCATTAAAGTGGCAATAACACAGGTTTCTCACTTATCAATACAAATACATTTTATTGTTTAAAAACTCCAAGCCTAGTCTTAAACTATACATCTGTGCAGCTCATCTGGCCAGAGGTGGGATGGGAAGAAGGTTGGAAAAAGTAAAAGATGCTACAAAGGCATTCAAAATGTAAAATATAGTAATAATGGACTTAACAATGAAAATGTTTTTAGGAACATTTTGTCAACGTCAAAGAAGCATGAACATTCCCAGGGATGAGGAAGAGCATCTAGACAGTAAGCAAGTGAAACATGTTAATCTTTGTTCAGCAGCGCAAACATCTGCACCTAGAGTGCTAGATCTGATCACAGTCCTTCGGGAGAGGGGGACATCCCATATGACTAATGCCATATTTACTGGGTCTCACAGGTGTTGTAAACTTGGCCATCTTACCAGCTGATTTAATGTACAGGGGGACCTAAGAGGTGGGGAAACCTCAGCTGGCATGGCCTGGCCCATAATGGTCAGGGATGATTGGAGTTGTCCAAACGCATCTACAGAAACACAGATTCCCCAGCTGTGTCAATTCTGTGCTGTGTAAATTGGTAGCTTTGCTACCTGTGGATGTAATTTATACTCACAGAAACATATTTTTGTATAAAAATAAATGCCTCTGCCTTTATAGAAACCTTTAGCTAAGCCTCCCAGGCCAACAGCACTTGCCTTCCTCAGCTGCAGCTAGCTTGCTAGCTCCAGCAACTGGTGCAAAATCATCTTCTGGCCATAACGCACTTGCAGGGCAAACTTCTCCCGGCAGCTTAGTTTTGAATAAGCTTGAGGGTCTCTGAGCATTTCTTCCTCTGCTTTTAAGTCTGAGCTGTATGACTTCAGGGTTAGCAGTGTAGCATCAAAGAGCAACTTCTTCCAGGAGGCTTCAAGCCTTGGTATTGTAGTATTTGAGAGCATCAGGAACATAGCCCCATCCTCGCCTGCTTTGGGTTCCTGGGTCTCTTGCTCCTTAAACTCCTTGAACTCATCTGCAGACATAGTCAGCACCTACAGCCACAAAGAACTGGGATTATTGAGAGCTACCTTCTTGGTCTCTTAAGTAACTTCAAGGCATCAACAGCCCCACACATGTTGGTAAACATTCTCCAAAAGGGATCCTGCTGTTGCTTCTCAGGATTTAAAACTATGGACCTTCCCCTCTCCCAAGTTAAGTTACATTCTGGAAGAGAGTCATAATATAATGAAGTAAATTTGTGAGAGCATCTTGCAAAACATTAAAATTAGATGGATACGATGTTTACATAATTGGGGGGAGGGGACACTTGCTAGTTTCCATAGGCAGAATTTGGAGGAACAGCAGACACACGTCATTCAAAATGTTTGAAATTAAATTTCCATCGAGACAACTGGAACAGGCAGCAAGAAATATAAATGTGTATAAAGGCACACAGCATTTAATCCATGTATGTAACTTGGTTAGTGATTATGTTCAAAGCAAAATAAACTACGTGGTACCTTGGTATTTGAACGGGTTGGCTCCCGAACAAATCGGCTCCCGAACGCCGCAAACCCGGAAGTAAGTGTTCCGGTTTGCAAACATTTTTCGGAAGCCAAACGTCCGACTCAGCTTCCGCTTGAGTGCAGGAAGCTCCTGCAGCCAATCAGAAGCCGTGCCTTTGTTTTCGAACAGTTTCAGGAGTGGAACTGACTCCTGGAATGGATTAAGTTTGAGAACCAAGGCACCACTGTATATATTAGTACTAAAACTGTCCTTTGACAAGCACCTGCAGGAAATTTGGCAGACTACTTAGAGCTCAAGGTCAGTGAGGCTGTTGGCCTCCAAAAGCCACAGAGAAAGAAGTCCCAAGGGATGGAAGCAGAATCTCTCTAGTCACATTTCTCCCTTTCCTGGGAACAATGACAGCACCACAGAAGATACGTCATTGCCACACAGCACAAAAAGTTCAGACCTGCCCCATTCATTCCAGTACGGAATATACTGCTGATTACGTGGGGAAGGGGTGGTTGCATAAAGAGAGAACGTGGTGGAAGCTGCCTGGGACTTCAGCAGAAAGCAACAACTTAAAGAGTCTCAGTGGAAGAATTTGCATGCCATGTAGCAGAACTCATGAGAAGTGGAATGAAGGCTGCTTCCTACATTTTCTAAATCCCGTCCATTAAAATAGACAGCAGTAGCAGGCCAAGAGTACATGTGCATATCTTCACCCCGGTCCAGCAAGTGAGCCAGCCGCTGGAGGAAAAAGCACACTTGCCCAACTAATAGCTTCTCCATTGCTTGCTGTGCCCTTCCTTAGGAGGCGTCTCAGAACCCAGGGATAGGGAGGGCTTGCACAAAAACACCAAAGCACACAGACAGCCCCCAGAGCGACATCTGTAATGGGCAATGCCTCCAGTGGAGACAAGCCCTGGAAAGACGTCAAAATGACCAGTGCATTGTGCTGCCCCCAGCAAAAAACAAAGCACAGCTGCGCACCCCCCTGCAATCTGCAGACTGACAGAGGAATTTGCTCCTTACCCAAACAGCTAAGACTGAAGCACTCTTCTCCTATTCTGGGGCTGCAATGCCCAGGTGCCAAAGTGGCATAAGCAAGCCCCCAAGCAACCTCAAGCCTCCCTGCCTGCCATGGGAAGAAGCCTTCACAAGTCACACCTCCACTGACCAACAGAAATAAGTTGTCCTTCCTCCATCTAAACTGAAAGAATCTTCAGATTAAGTCCAACATGCCACCCCTGTAAAGTAAAACTCTGTCGTCAACTGCTTAAGTAATCACAGCAAGCATGTACGGGAGTAAAATGGCCTCCCAGGAGTCTAATGGCGCAGCAACCAGCCAGAGCCCTCACCTTCAATGCCATGGCCAGCTCTTCTTCAGTTAAGACTCTCTCCCAGCCGATCACAAAAGCCCCTTCCTCACCCACCATCTCCATCTGGCAGAGGAAGTCCCACTGCTCCAAGACCAGCTGCCGTTGAGCTTCTGTCTTTGTAGCTGGTGGAGGGAGAGGGAGAGAAAAGCAGGTGCAGGTTCAACAGGCAGCAGAGGGAGCATTGGCTGCAGTCAAAAGCAGAAGTGCATCATTTCGTCTAATCCAGTGTAGTGCTGCAGCTAACAGTGCCTGGCAGGGGCCAGAGAGGCCCAGCTTCGAGTCCTCACTCAGTCCCAACAAGACTTTGGATTGCATACTCAGCCTAACTTGTCCCACAGAGTTGTGAAGGGGGGAGAGAGGGTGAGACTGAAAACCTTGAATGCCATCCAGAGCATCATGGAGGAAAGTTCCATGCCTTCAGATTATTTTGTTTTAAATTGGCATTATGACCCAGGAGGTGTTATGCAAGATTGGGAAGCAAAGTAATCAAGCTGTTCTGCTCTGGATGCCACCAGCAACTGCAGAAGTCACATATAAACACCTGTATTTAAATGCAGCCTCCGCCTATTAAAAACACAGCTGGAAAAAGCAACACAAGGTGACAGACAGATGGATTTTCAGATATCCTCTTACTCTGCTGATTTATGTTTCTTTTTTAAAAAAGTGTCTCCTGGCCAGCCTCTTGCCTTGCAGTGCTGCTTTGCATAGTGTCAGCATCTGGATGTCAGCAGCATCGTTTGTGTTGCCAGGATACGGTTCAGCAAAGCCATACATGTGGAGGAGCTGCCAGTTTGCCATCTCCCCGTAAGTGTTGAAGATCTCTTGGCCTTTGCAGATGGACTGAGTCGCAACCATTTTCAATACCTCCTGCAGACAAAAGAGGGAAGTAAAACTTGACAGATCCTGTCCAGTCCTGAGACTCTCCCAAGAAAAAGTTTTCCTCTGCCCCACTCATCTCCTGCAGTTTTCTCCACTCCTGCAATGTGTGCAACAGATGAGCAATAACAAAATGGTTGCAGTTGGAGGAGGAAGACAGAAGGTAGAGTAGCAGACGTCTTCCCCGTTTTTCACTCTTAGGAAGCATTGCCTTACACTCTGAAGCATTCCCCTGAAATACACCAAATTTGCTGTGAATGCTCTTCAGAGACAGGAGAAAATTCTGGAGAGGGATGGAAGAAAGCAGAGCCTCCCACCCATCTGCTGCCGAGAAAGTACACTCTGTGGAAAGGCTGCATGAGGGATGGGGGAGCTTTTTAGCTCAATGGGCCAAACTGTTCTCTCTCCAACCCCTTTTGGGCCTGGCAACCCCATAGCATCACAGGGGTCTTCAGAAGTCCTTCTCAAAGCTCTATTTCATGCAGCACTTTGAAATAGGCTTTGTAGGCCCTGTCAGCCTGCTGATCAGTAGTGCCTGCAAAGTCCCTTTTGGCTGAACCAGGCCTTTACCTGCCCCCTATATGCTCCCCAGAGGAGAAGCAATACCCTAAGGAACCACTGCAGGTGATGGGCCTGATAGGTGAGACCCATGCACACCCAAATACAGCTGCTTCCAAAGTGATGAAAACAGAATCCAAGCACCAAAAAGCAAGGGTGTGCCTGAGATCTGAATCAAGGGTGTGCCTTTTTGCCCAACAACAGACCTGTAAATTTTTTCATTAAGATTTTTTACAGGTTTGATTTCAGGGACTGTGATGAGGGGAACAAGAAACAACAGCTTCTTACTCAAGCAGTTCCTCTCACTCAGCAATCTAGGAAGGCATTTTCTCAAGTCCAGGAAAAACAATTGCATGACCTGGTGTCAGTCATGTTGCTGCCGCCCAAGGATTCCTACTGGTACCTGGGAGCTAGAGAAAATGTACTTGGTTTAATTTCCTGCATTTCAGCAAAGATCAGCTCCCCAAACAGCTTCAATTTAAATTCCACAAGGTACAATGTAAGCCATGCTCTAGGTTCTTCTCCCCAGAGGGAGGAGAAGAGAACAAAGTTCCAAAGGGGGCAGAGATTCTGTCTACACAACTCCTACTCTTTCTCCTTTCCTTTCATCCTTGGCTCTCCACAATGACATATTTCACTGATTAACCAAACAGGAGAAGCAGCTAAGTTACAATTAGCTGAAGCTATGAGCTAAGCATCCCCATTATGCCGAAGGACACAGAGAGGGCATGTGAAAAGGATCTAGGAGTCTTGGTTGACCACAAACTTGACATGAGCCAACAGTGTGACATGGCAGCTAAAAAAGCCAATGCAATTCTGGGCTGCATCAATAGGAGTATAGCATCTAGATCAAGGGAAGTAATAGTGCCACTGTATTCTGCTCTGGTCAGACCTCACCTGGAGTACTGTGTCCAGTTCTGGGCACCACAGTTCAAGAAGGACACTGACAAACTGGAACGTGTCCAGAGGAGGGCAACCAAAATGGTCAAAGGCCTGGAAACGATGCCTTATGAGGAACGGCTAAGGGAGCTGGGCATGTTTAGCCTGGAGAAGAGGAGGTTAAGGGGAGATATGATAGCCATGTTCAAATATATAAAAGGATGTCACATAGAGGAGGGAGAAAGGTTGTTTTCTGCTGCTCCAGAGAAGCGGACACGGAGCAATGGATCCAAACTACAAGAAAGAAGATTCCACCTAAACATTAGGAAGAACTTCCTGACAGTAAGAGCTGTTCGACAGTGGAATTTGCTGCCAAGGAGTGTGGTGGAGTCTCCTTCTTTGGAGGTCTTTAAGCAGAGGCTTGACAACCATATGTCAGGAGTGCTCTGATGGTGTTTCCTGCTTGGCAGGGGGTTGGACTCGATGGCCCTTGTGGTCTCTTCCAACTCTATGATTCTATGATTCTATGATTCTATGATTCTACGTGGCTTCTTATGAATTTCTGAAGTTTTCCCACTCAGCCAGTACATAGATACAAATAGTGAATTGCTATTTTCCTTTGTTGGAGACCTGGGGTTCAGTGGGGAGTCACACTCTTGCAGATGCAATGCCTTTGCAGATATGTTGCTGTTATTTTCTCGTTTCGGGTGGGGGGGTGAGAGACCTCTCTCACCCCCCCCTTCCAATTTGCTGGTAACACAAGCCAGGTGACTAAAGAGTGATACAACCATTTTCTAACTATTTCAGCTGCCCCAGAGTGGCAATATTAACCCACCATTAGCAGCTGTTAGAATGGAAGCAGGAAAAGGAGCAAGACTAGACTAATGCAGAGTAAAATGGTGCTTATTGATGCATGTGAAGCAACAAGATTAAAGTTACTACAAGTCTTGAAACGCCACATTTTCATTATCTTATTCATGCCGGTTTCTGTTGTTTGCTGCTGCCGGGTTCCTTCGGATGGATGTTTTTGTTTTAAAGCATTTTATTATTAGGCCGGGTGCATATTTACTGCTACAAGTTTCATTTCGGCTTGAATTTTCCGGGTGGTTCTGCACTGCCTTCCGCTCCTTTACTGCTGGGAACCGCACCTCCTCCCCCTGTGTTGTAGGAGTCACCCGCAAAGGCAGGTGAAATTCAAAGGGAATTTGAATGAATGAAGAGCGGCCTCCCCTTAACACCTGGCCACGGGGCCTCGGCAAGGAAGCCTCTTGCTTTTCCCTGGGCGGGGGGGATGGAGGGGCCTTTCCCCCTCGGCCAGTCTCTCCCCGCCGGCAGGGAGCGGCTGGTCCAATCCCTTCCGGCCCGCGGAAGCCCCTGGCGGGCCGTACCTTAGCGCTCAGCTCCAGGCCCGCGTCGGCGCACCAGCCCAGGAAGGCGGAGAGGGCGCCCGAGTCACTCGCCGCCGCCGCCGCCTCCTCCTCCTCCACCTGCGGAGCACAGAGAAAAAGGGAGAGCGGGGTGCTGAGGCCTCCCCGTCGCCCCCCCACTAGCCGCCCCTCGGCCGCCAAACCCACCTTGGCGTACTTGGCCGCTTTCGCCATGCCGGACGCACCCGGAACTACGAATGGCCAGAGGTGCCTGCGCGCGGGGAAAAGGCTCGTCTGACGCTACGGGGCGGAGCCGCAAAACCCCGCCCAGGAGGGAGGGGCTATTTCGCGGTACCCGGCGAACGTCCCTGAAGCTGCCTGGCAGCTAGGCAGCCGCTCACTCTCCTCCGTGCCCTCGTAGCAGGGAGTTCCGCTGGCCGCCCCGTTAGTTTTTAAGATATCGTTACAAAGCAGCTTTAAGCAACCACAGGCAGTGCGCCAAAGAGCCCTGGGGAGCTTCGTTCCGTCTTCTGCCCCAGCCGGGCTGCTGCTGCTCCTCTTCCTCAGGGGCTCCGACGGTGCTCTCTCGGTTCTTTCCAAAAGTTAAGCACTTGTGCAATACTCTTTCGATACATGCGGGAACCAACTCTAGTAATATGTGCAAGGCGGACTGGAGTCAAATATGCTTTTTTTCAAAGTTCCCGCATGCAGAGTTGATACACTTCCCTTAGGTCTCCCTTAAACCATTCCCGTTCTGCTCACTGGTCCAGCTCCACAGCAACTGTTTCTCCTTGGCTAAAATATATTCTTGAATGGTGAGAAGGCCTCTCACTTGCCTGGATGGAGAGACACCTACACGTTTGTGTAGGTGTAACAATCTGGGTTTTGCACGACTGCAAGGGAGCCTACTGCACAAAGGTCAAGGGTCAAATGTCTTGCTCCTCCCACTTTTGCCTCTGGTCCTGCCCATCATTCACATCTGGCCCCTGAAAGGTTCCCCACAAGGGGATCTGGCCCTTGGGATGAAGAGTGTTTCCTACCCCTGAGATATGGCAAAGGGAACAGAGGAAGCAATTGTGCTTTGCCAGGGGGCTGCCCATTCTACCCTCACCTTTCTTTGTGGGCTATTCTCCTCCTCTCACCCCTGTTTGTTAGAGGAGAGCAGGAGTTGCTGTTGGATGTGTTCACCTGGAGCGTCAAGGCAAGAAGCAGCAAGTCAGAGCCTTGTGGCACTTCAGAGACCAACACATTTATTATAATGGCTTAAGCTTTCAACAGATGCATGAGCTCATTACATCCTGAGTTGTAGGTCTACATGGTTGAGGAAGAGAATTGTAAACACTGAGAGGAAATGCAGAAGAGCACTGAGGGTATTCTGCTATTAACAGTTGTAATAATTACATTATCTACAGGTTGCAGTCTCCCTTTGAAATTCATTTGTTCCAGTATGTCCATCTTAATGTCAATTATAGCGGGTTCCAGGAAGTGAAAATGTTTCCCCACGTGTTTCTTGATATTGTCATTTCTGATGTCCATTTGTGTCCATTTATTCTTTTGTATAGAGGCTGCATGAGGACATTATTGGCAGATGGTGGCATAAATCACATTGGAAAATATAATCGCTTATGGCAAATGTTTTCAAGCTTTATGGGTCCACGGCTCCCTTGACCAACTACATTCTTTCTGCGACACCCATATGGGGCTGAGGAGCCCAATTATTTCACCCCTTGCCTGCAGAGCTGGCAGCCCCTCACCCCTTTTTCAAACACCCTCCCTTGTGGAGTGTTCCCTCAGCCTCCTCTCTTCTCCCCTCTCCTTGGGAGTTCTCTGGGCAGCCACAGCTGCTGCTCCTGGTCTGAGCTGCTCCTCATCCCACCCCAAAAAGAGGTGCCTCCTCACACTGCCCCACAGGGGACTGGGGAGCACCCCCTGACCAGTCCCAGAGGCACCTTTCATTCACCTAGGGAGCATGCAGCCAGGACTGCTGCAACAGACAGCTGTGCAAGCCTTTGGGAGGCAAAGACACAAGAGAGCATCAGGGGTGGGAGGGAAGGAAAGAAAGAGGGACAGAGACGAGTGTTGCCTGTGGCACCCCAAACATCATTCAAGGCACTCCAGGGTGCCACGGCACACTGGCTGAAAACCACTGGCTTATGGACTGCATCAACGCAAAGGAGTTTTATCACATGGCATGTGTCAACACAACTTTTTTGGAGGGGAGGTGCATGTAAAAAATATTCAGAATGCTCTGAATGGGATTTCTTCAGAAGCCCCATTCAAAGTGCTGTGGAAAATAGTCAGAAAAAGGTCACCTGATCTCATTATGACATCAGGTGATTGACAGGTAGGCAGCTCCACCCACCTACAAGTTGCCTCACGGGAGGTCACGATCTGGTCCCTGGGCTTGGAAGGTTCCCCAGCCCTGATATATTGGATTCTGCTAACAGTAAATAAATAAATGTGGCACTCATGAATAAGCTGCTGCTTTGACTGCAAAGTGAGTCTGCTTGATCTTAATATCTTTATTAGTTTTCAACACAATAATCCTCTCTACATCAATGGGTTTGTTTGTTTGCCTTGTTTTACATTTTGTAGATATTGTGGCATCAATGCAACCAGAGAGCATCAACAACCATCATGCACAAAAATATTACATTTCACCTCATACAGAAAAAAGAAATCCAATAAATTCCACCTTAATCAGGAAAATGTTTCTTTAAAAAAATCCAATTCCCCCCACCCCCACCCCACAGTAATAGCTTGATCACCTTCAAATGAAAAGCTGCACATTGGTTGCCAATTGCTACAAGTAAATGGCAGGGGTGGAATCCAAGATAAATATTATATATAGGAATTTATAGATCTATCTCATCTGAAAGAACACATCAAGAAAAAAGGCAACAATATCTACAGCAGCCTCCTCCAACCAGGTGCCCTCCAGGAGGTGTTCTCTCCTGCAACTTCCTTCAGCTCCAGCCAACTTGGCTGTGTGATGCTGAGGAGCTGATGGGAGCTGTAATCCAACAACCTCTGGAGGGTCCCAGGTTGGCAAAAGCTGATCTACAGTAAAAGAGGGTCCTAGTAGCCTTCAGTCATTCATATTTAAAGTTTAGAAGGAAGCACACAAAATAAAAGAGTCTGAGATTAGAGGATTACATCAAACAGAGAGTGTGTCTGGACTGGTTGTGGCAACATCAAACCATTTAAATGCAAAGATGCCTGGCTACGCACACATATATTACCCCTTGACGTGCGCACTGTCAGGAGCGAGAAAGTCAGGTGCAAAGCCTGCCGAGTAGCAGAGAGGCGAGACAGAACTCCTCGCAAGCTGCTTGTTGCTCTTTGGGCCAAACCCCACTTCAAGCTCTTTGCTTGCGTGGAAACGCAGCGATGTGCAAGATTGGTGATGTGGGTGGGGTGTTTCATCAGAAAAAAGAACTGAGTGTCTGACATGAGATCAGGACGCGGTAAGGATGCATTTGGGATTCAGCAAGAACGATGGGCTGGGTGGTCCAGCAGCAGTTTGGGGAAAGGGGAAGGAGAAGGAGAAGGGTATATTGGCTCATTTGGAGCCCAGAGTGGCATGCACAAGAGCCTTTCTGGTTTCACGTCAATAGCAGGCTTACAGTAATGCAGAGCGAGTAGGGAGAATCGTCTCTTCAAAGGCATGAATGTGCGGAACTTGAGAAGAAATGCGAAGGCAAATTCTTCCTAACTGTTCCTCCTCAAAACTCAGAAAGGGGTTCTGAGATGAATTGAAATGGAAAGACCGCAATAAATTAACAGCTCCAGAGCCACGGGGTGGGGTGGGGTGGGGTGGGGTGGGGGGCTGCCTGAGACCTATCCTAGAGGACACACACGTTTGCTTCCCTCTGGTTTTGTGGTGCTGCCAGTAAGCCAGAACGGAAATGAGGCACTGTCCCATAGAGTGCTCAGGTGGTTGCGGGGGGATCCTTCAGAAAGTCAGGCAGGACAAAGCACAAGATGACCGGGTGGCATGCTAGTACGAAGCATAACCACATTGCGAGGGGACAAAGTGAAGGGGCTGGATGCTAGGCAAACAGGGCATCTTTAGAAGTGAGGATCCCGCAAGCCTCTTTACTGGAATTGGGGGAACATATCCTGTAATGTTAATTAATGCGTATAGAATTGCCCCCCTGAGAACCTCCATCTAATGAAAGGACCAACGGAACTTATGGGTGGCTTCTTGAATATAAGAGTAATTATCATTTAATGCTTATTAAAGAGTCTATTTTTTTCTAAGTGCCATACAGATATTAAAACACAAGAAGACCCCTGCTCACAGGCTCACAATCTACTCAACAGGAAAAGAGTGGGGAGGAAATTCAAATGAACATTGCCTTTTTCTCCCCCCCCCCTTAACTGTGATGACATTACAGTGAGTAAATAAATACTAGATGAAATATTTCATAAGGGAAACCACAGAGGCTGCTGTCGTGAGGGTGAGAGACTGGGTGCTCCTGTGGGTCAATTGGAACAATGGCCTCTATCCAATGCTAGTTCTACTCAGAGTAGAACTTAAGTGGATACAGCATCTAATGTGGACAGGCACAGTCTGGGGGCAGATATCCCAGCACCTTCACATGATCCATCACATCCCTGAGGTGCAGAGGGGGCCACAGACAAAACTTCGGGATCAGGGCCTTCCATGAGGCTACCTGTTTTTTCATACAGGCGGTACCATGGAGGAGATGTGATCAGTCCCCTATGGGGCTGTTTTTGGGGAGGAATCTCTTTATCCCCATCAACACAAGCCTTTCTCCTCAAAACAGGCAAATGCAATGAGGAGCTGATCCTGCACAGTAGGGGCTGGAGTATGACACCCCAAGGGTGCCTGCCTAGTTGGGAATATTTTTTATGTTTTTATTTTCTGTGTTGTGTTTTAAAATAGTTCATGTACCCTGCTCTGGGACTGTTGATCAAGAACAGGAAACAAATATTTTAAATAATTAAATAAATGCCCTCATGTTCCTGGGCCCCATTTTCCATCCCTTGGGGCTGGATAAGCTTCTGCTATTTATTCCTGCTGAGCCTAAAAGCATATGCACAACTGAGCACTGCTTTCTAGGGGGGTTTCCTTCAAGGGAAGGATCCTGGGAACAGTTATTGTGCAAGAGTATCAAGAATCTACTATTCCTGAGGGGAAAGCCACAAGGGTTAGCATGCTCTAAACATGCATAAATGTGCCCTTGTGTTTTTGATTCCTGCCACTGATTGTCCTTTTAAAAAAATTAATAAGCGATGGTAGTGGGGGCAGCTTATATTGCAACAAGTTTTACCCAATGGCCATTTATAGCACTGGTTAAAAGGCTTGAGGAAACCCCAAACAAATCCTAAAACCAACTATGACCTTTCCCTACCCCTTATGCTTGGAAAGTCTTGCTGCTCTTTCCTAGTATTGCGGGGGGGGGGGCATAACTTCCCACTTTCTGCTTTTGACTGAATTTACATGTAGGGGAAGGAAATGATGTAATAGGACCCCATGGATGGTTTTCTACAGCAGTTGGAGAAACGGCTCGACTCTATGTGCATGTTCCTACCCAGTTAAGCTCCAATTTCCATTGTCTTTCCAACAAAACCTGCCGGCACAGAGTCAGCCACCAAAAAGGCTTTCCCAAGCTGTGGAACTAAAAAGCTTGTGCTCCAAAGCCAAAGAGAAGGGTAGAAACTAAGAGGCATTTGCCTTCAAGGTTGCAATTTCCCTCCTTCCTGAACCAGTGCTGTAAAGTGGTTGGAGTGTCAGACGAGGACCTTGGGCCAGTCACTGCCTCTTTCAACTAGCCTACTACACAGGGTTTTTGTGGGGATTAAATGAGGAGGGGGTGAACCATGTATGCCACCTTGAGCTCCTTGGAGGAAAAGGAGGGATATAAGTGTCTGAAGATAAATAAAGTAAGTAAACCACTGCACGGGTACACTGTGGATTAATTGTTAGGCATCTAAGCTGAAGGGCCCACGGGAACACTCTCCCCCTTCTGACTCACTGGGTGAGTGCCTTTTCTGAAGGAGAGGCACCCTGGCTAGGCAGGTGTAAAACATCCCTCCTGCTCGCCTTGCCTCAAGCTGTGCAGAGGGACATGCCTGCCGCTTCCAAGCCAGCTAGAAACCAACCCAATCCCTGGTTCAAAATGGCACCTGGGCCTATGGGTGGAGGTGGCCATTGACATCAAGCTGCTGCTGCTGCTTCCCACTCTCCCTGTGCCCCCCTCCCAACTTTGTATTCCATAATGTGAAAGGAAAAGAAAGACGGCAAAAGAAATTAAAGCCACAGGAAGCCGCAGGGGATGGAGCCAGCTGGAGAGTGACTGGATGAGTGGGCCCTCGAGGCCACCCGTGAAGAAGAGGGCGAGGAGGAGTAAGGTGGAGGCCCTCAGCAGGATACCTCCATGGTGTGGTTGATCTGCCCCATGGCCTCGCTGCTCTCCGAGTGGGTGCAGGCTCTTGGGCGGTTGCCCCCGCCCTCCACAGAGCTGGCGCTGGTGAGGGAAGCCGTGCGGGAGCGGGCCAGGCGCGTCATACTGGCAGAGGGCACTACGGGGAAAGAAAGAGAGAGCATCAAAAAGCGGACCAGGGAGGGTCCAGGCGGAGCGAGCGCCACAAAGACGAGCAAAGCTGCCACAGGAGAGGGAAGAAGCAACATCAAGCCCCTGGCCTCAGAGGGCGCCTAAAGCCCAGCAGCCTTCAGCCACTCAAGCCCTAGCCATGCACCAACTCTTGAGGCGGAAGAACACAAGGGCACAAAAAGAGCTTGCTGGATCACGTCAATGGCCCATCTAGTCCAGCATTCTGTTCTCATAGATGCCTGTGGGAAACTGGAAACTGAATACCAGAACACTCTCCCCTCCTGTGATTTCCAGCAACTGGTATTCCAGCATTACTGCTTCCGACTGTGGAAGCAAAGCAGAGCCACCATGGCTAGTAGCCATTGATCACCCTCTCCTCCATGAATTCATAGTCCAAAACATCTGGAAGGCAGACAAACCAGCCCAGCAATCACACCCCAAAGACATGACCAAGCTGACTGCGTGGGAGACAGTGGGTGGCTTGTGTGAAGAATTTCAGAATGATGTGCTCTAAGTACAGGAGCCCGCCATCTGCCCTCTCAGTCAACCTGGCCAAAGGCTAGGGATGATGGAGGTCAGGGTCCAGCAACAGCTGGAGGGCTGCAGGGGAAGCCAACCCTGGCCTAAGCAAACAGCCACAACAAGCAGAATGTGACCCAGTTGCTCCCAGTTGCAGAGTGCCAAAACACACATGGGGCATGTCAAGCTGCAAAATAAATTCTTCTACCACTGTTCTGAGGCTCCATCACTGTTTTTTTTGCTCCCATCACCGCTGCAAGAGGCACAGGTGACCAGCAAAATTAGGTAGCAGGTAGGGCTGTGGTGGGACAGGGTGGGAAGCAAAGTGACTCTCTGCACCTGGATGCACCTCCTGTGTGCCCTGCTCTGCCACTGACACACAATCCCCAACATCTGAGCAGCCAAGCAGATGCTTGCAGGAAACCAGCAAGCGGGACCCAAGCACAACAGCACTCTCTCCTCCTCTGGTTTTCACCAACAGGTATTCAGAAGTATTGCTACCTCTGGTTGTGGAGGCAGAACAGCCCATCGTGGCTAGTAGTTAATGATAGCCCTCTCTCTTAAATCCCATGCTGGTCAAGAGCCATGCTGACTCTGCTCTTGTGCATCTGCCCATGAACACGGCCCCCAACTCTAAAGTTCAGCTGAGCACAATTCCCTTTCTGTGCCAAGATGCACAAAATCCAAGAAGTCATGGGTGCACTTGTAATTGCAAGACATGTGAAAATGCCACAGCTGGTCATTAACCTTCTTTTTAAAAAAAATCTTCCAAGAGGGACACCCTAGGATTTGTAAGTGCACATGCATGGCTGTTGAGGAGAAATTGCAAACCCCCAGGAACAGCGTGTTTTGGGATTCAGCCAGGTGTGACGCTGCTGCCAAACAACCTGGCTGCTGCATCTCTCTGTGGGAAGATGTGACTATCAGCAGGAAGGTATCACACCAACAACACACTCAGGATGCTTTTGGCCAGCCTCTTGCAAGCTGGTATCTCCCAGATGTTTCAGACTACAGCTCCCATTAGCCTCAGTCAGTGTGGCCATAGGAGACTGGGATTGATGGAAGTTGCAGTCTGAAACACCTGCAGAGCACCAGAATGAGGAAGGCTGCCTTGGAAAGCACAGCGGCAAATCTTTTTTTGGGAAAACTCATCTGTTTCAACAAACGCCATTGGAATGACATAGCTGTGTGCTTCCCATAGTGTGTGAGTCATGCTACAGATGCAGCAGGGGGAGGGCAGATGCTTCTTTTTCTGTCAGCCTCAGTCACCTGTTTACTTGCCTGTCTCTTTACTGCAGGACCAACTATGGAAGCTGCAGCAGAAAAGCACACTCTGTTACAGCAGCAATGCACGATAAGGAGAGGGCGGGGGCAAGGGGTACATGCAGCATGTGGATGTGACAGTGAGCAGACATTGGGGGAGGGGATACCTGATCCTCCACTCAGCCTTCGGTCCTTCAGGTACGCAACTAAGAGAGATATGGAGGGGAGGTTGAGTAGGAGGTGGAAGCAAAGAGAGTGGTTGAGGGTTGGGAGGGCAAGAGAGGCTTTTATTTTGGAACATCACACATTCAAGGCTTGTCTGATCAACAGCAGAAAAACAAGACAAGAACATCACAACCGATAACCAGAGAGAGAAAGAGAAAAAGAGAAAGAGACAGAGAAGGCAGGAAGGATTTCACACATACAAATTATTCCTGCATTGGAGAGATTGAACTAGATGACCCTTTGGGACTCCTTCCAACTCCATGCTTCTATGATTTTTGTTTATCATTTATTTCTGAGATACCTAATGTCGCTAGGCCAAGCTCTCTCTGACCAGGGTGATTAGGACTGGGAGAAGAGAGGAACAGATCTGAAATGTTTGGCAGATAACGGGTCTTTAAATCCACACTGAAATAAGTGCAAAATGCCCTTTGGGTTCTGACATCTCTCTGATGCAAAGCCCTGGCCACGCTCCATGTGCTAATTCCCAAAACCATTTATCCTGGAGCTGACCGTGAGTTGTTCTCATGGTGTCACAGACATGCACAGAACTGGGAAGTATCAGACAAAGAACACCCAAACACACTCATTTCCTTGATCATAAACACACTAACGGCTCACTGCTTCTGTATGGCACATCTAGCAGGCCACGGCCCTTGATGGAGGAACCTTGCCCAGGAGCAGGCTCTCAACAACAGGGCTAGTAATCTGTTTGGAGCTGAAGTGGGGACACATGGGAGCACATTAAATGTGTAGAGACCACACCTACACTATTTAAAGCAGTAGCATTCCAATTGAACAGTCATGGCTTCCCCCAAAGAATTCTGGGAGCTGTATTTTGTTAAGGGTGCTGCTGAGAGTTATTAGGAAACCTATAGTCCCCTCACAGAGCTGCAATTCCCGGAGTTCCCAAGGAAGAAAGAATGATTGTTAAACTACTCTGGAAATTATAGCTTGGAGGGAGGTGGGAGGATAGAAGTCTTCTAATAACTCTCACCATCTTAAGAACCTATGACTGTTTATAATGGAACAATACAGCTTTAAATGTGGTCACAGTCTGAGCTGAGAAGGGCTGGGTGGATCATATCTAGTATGTGCCAGTTTTGCCAATGTTTGCTCACGTCCATTCTGCCCATACAAAAACCCATATTTAAATACATATTTGACTCTGAATTTATCACAAAATAAAAATTTAAACCCATATGAGTCTTATGTATGCATTTTAAAACATGCTTTATCCTAAAATACATGTTTTGGTACACTCTTTGAGCTGACAACTGCATCATAAAATTCAGATACTGACCAAGTGTGAAATCCAAAGAATTATACTCTCATCCGAATATTATTCTGGGAGGTACAAATTAGACCAGTTCATTACAAATGTAGACCAAAGGAAATTATCCTCTGCTGAGTCACCTGCTTCTACACTCTCCAATTACAAACACATGAACATCTCTTACAATCCCTCAGTTACACAAACACAGTTTTTGAGCACACTGATCCCTCAAACTAGACAAATACTTACTGTAGCCCATCCCTTGAAGGAAGTACTTGAATGCTTCCGTCAGTTTTCCAGGCTGTTCAAGAAATCAGAGGGATGCGGATGAAAAACAGAAAGAAAAGCACCTACAACCAGACATTGCAAAAATAGCGGGTGTGGGTGTGTGCATCAAGCTCAGGACATGGATATTAGACGCATGTGGATGAGCCCAGTATCTTCTGAATCTGAGCTTTTAAAATTCAGATTCTGTATTTTAAATCCAGTTTGTGAATCTAAATTCTGATCTTATTTTTATTTCTCCTCCTCCTCCCCCTGCCCTGCCCAGTTGCACAAACTCCCTATCACCAAGCAAAAGTGGGGAAAGATATTTGGGTTTTGCTTTGCTTTAAACTGCTTGGAACCAAAATGTGGATTTTCTTCAAAACAACATCCCTGCAACAACTAATCCTAGAGCAGGACGCAACTCAGAGAGTTTTGGGTGAAATGAAGAGAGGTGGGAGAATCCCACGCAGCCTAAGTGCCCAGGCACACCCAGGCGGAGGTTTCTGAGCTCCACAGAAGGTATTCTAATAACCAAGAGCAGGGAGGAAAAGGAAGAACTCACCTGTGTGACTTGAGGGAGCCCACCAGAATCAGCCATCTGGGTGGAAAACAAGAGTTTTGAGTCAGACAAGCTTCACCTTCCTTTCCAGGTGACCAGCCCCCTCCCCTCAATTGCATCCATCGCCCAGTCATTAGATGGGGCTGATGAGAGTTGTAGTCCAAAACATCAGGAAGGCAGCAGGTTGGGTTAGGCTTTGAGTACAGTCTTAAGGAGCCCCTGAATCACTGCTGGGCCTGGCAAATCCCAGCTTCCATTTGCTTCAGTCAATGCCACTCTGTACCAATCAACCAACCAGAGATGCCCACCATCTTTTCAAGATGGCCGACATCCTCAACTAGTGAAGGGAAAGGTAGACATTAGGAGGCTCAGGTGCCAAATCCCTATCTGGTGGGGGGCGGGGAGGCAAGCAAAAGGGCTGCCTCCCCCAGACTCAGAACCCCATTTGGAGGAAGAGAGCTGGAAGCAGCAGCAGCTTTTGCAAGCACAAAGATTAAGGGAAGGGCTGACACGCTGTGCTTCAAGTCCTGTCCCTTTTTAGAAAGGCTAGGCTGCCATGATGTCTAATGAAGGGCTGTGGCTTCTGAAACAGCCTCCCCGCTGCCCTTCCCAAAGGGCAGGAAGGGCCCAGCCCAAGTTGCACCAATCACAAAGTCAGTAGGGGTCTTGTGGGCCAACCTCCCCATTCGCCTTAAATACAAGATATCCAGAACTAGAGTGCCCCCTGCTGGTGGCCTTCCACCCTGTGCTATAAGACCTCTGTGCAATGCCTGTAACTCCTATTATACATCATCTCCAGAACTGTGGCTTAAAAGTAAATGGGGGTAAGCACCACCATCCCCACTGGGTGTCTCAAAGGCTCCTATTTTCAATTGGGTTTGGGGGTATAGATACATAAGACATTGCACCCTTGTCCTTAGCCCTCCAGTGGGAGGAAGAAGGGGAGAGGAAATTTTGATGGAATCAAAATCACTTACACAGAATGAGATCTAGGGGTGGGGGAGAGTGGACTAGGGATTAGGGCTTGTCCTGAAGACTTGCCCTTCCTCTATCTCACCTTCAGGAAAGTGGTGGTGGTTGGATCCAGTTTGGAGTTGCATTCAACCTAACAAACAGCAAAGTCAGAGTTTCAAAATAGCATCAAGTCCAGAAGCACAAGCATCACCTGCCCTGCACGTGGTGTGACCCAGCAGCCAACACAAGCAGCCTCCGAGGTTCAGTACACCATGGACGAAACTAGGCTTTATTTTACTTAGGTCAAAGACCCAGTTTGGAACCCCTTCGCACATTTGTGCACGCATACACACAGGCTGGGAGCCTCAATGGCACCCCTCTGGAAGCTTCACTTGGGGCAAAAAACCTGGCTAGCCTCCCCGTAGCTTCGGCGCTGCAGTAAACCCCCAAAAACAGGGAAACAGAAGAAAAATGGGAGTGGTGTACAGCTTTGGCAACGACAATTAAAATAAATAAAAGGAATGTGACAGTCCAGTTTTTAACGATGACTCAAACAATAAAGATAGGGGGTGTGGTATAGGGGTTACAGTGCTGGACTACGACCTGAGAGACCAGGGATTCAAATCCCCATTTGGCCATGAAGCTCACAGGGTGACCTTGAGCCAATCACTGCATCTCTCAGCCTAACCTACCTCACAGGGTTGTTGTGAGGATTAGATCAGGAGCAGGTAGAACCATATATGCCACCTTGAGCTCCTTGGAGACAAAGGTAGGATATAAATGCAATGAAATAAAAATAATTTTTAAAAAGTGGGAAGTAAATGCAATAAATAATAAATAAATAAATTTCCTTAGGACCCAGGGGGGTTGCAGCGCTCTCTCTCTCTCTCTCTCTCTCTCTCCCAAAGCTTCGGGGGCGGGGGGGAGAGAGCAGGCAATGGGGTAACAGGAAGTGCTTCATGCTGATGGCTCTTTTTTGGGGTGCTTATCCACCACTGCATTTCACAAACCAATTTGAACAAAGTGGCCAAATCAGTCACAGCAAACAAAGCAGAATGCCAGGCTCAGCGGGGTGGGAAAGGCTAGTCTGAAGTCTGCAAAGGCATCCTCAGGAGGCCTCTAGTTGTTCTTAAATACAGTACCTGCCACCCGCCTCCCCCCAGCCTTCAGACAAAAGACGAGCTTGCAGACTAGGGGAAGGACAAACCCATGCTATGAGCTTGATCCCCAGACAACATTCATGCAGGGTAGATTAACTCTTTGGGGATTAGCTCCTTACTCACCACGCCATCTTCGGCCGGTGCGTTATCGCCCACCACCAGCATCACTGGGCAGCTGCAAACCCGAAGGGGAGAAACGTGATTAGCAGGAGAGACCTGCTCTGCTCGGGGCCCCTCCTCATCCTCCCTGGAGCAAATCAGTGGCTTACCGGAGTGTCTTGGCGTTCGGGATGCTCCCAGGTCGGTTAATGTCCAGGTCCCTGCGACTGAGAAAAAAAATGAGGAATTTTAATTGAAGCAGACAAACATGCAGGGGCTCTGCCACTGTGCTATGTCTGAGTTCAGCAGGACTACAATATTTGCATCATACCCAGAGGTGGAGCAAGGTGGGTGTGGTCTGCCCCAGGTGTCATCCCTGAGGGGGGGGTGACATCGCCTCCCCGGGATGTTCACTGTGGGTGGTGCACCCACAGGGTGGGGCGCTTGCCCTGCCTCCTGGGTAGCTAGCCCCACCCCTGGGCGCATGCCACTCCGGGTGCCAGAGGAGCTAGCTCCGCCTCTGATCACACTGTGGCGTTTCCCCTTTTATTTACAACATATTTGTAAAATTGTGCAAGAAACTCTCAATCAAGCACAGGAAATTTGCTTGGTTTTAGGGGATGTTTTTACAATCAAGTAGTATATACATTTTAAGAAATAAAAACAATAATAAATAGTTTTTTGAAGGTATTATTAAAAACAAGCTTCATCATAACTGGATGTGAGCTATAGTGCTTGCAAGCAAATTTTTAAAGGGGGGAATTGGGGAGAGTATGGTGGTAGCTGTCTGTTGGGAGGAAAGCATGGTCCAAGATGCATGCAGTTCCTTCAGCCCCTGCCCCTACCTGTTGTACATGTTCCAGAAGAGCTGGAGGTTGTACTGGTTCACCATGCTGCTGATCTGCTGTCGATAGCTTTGCACCAGCTCTGTGTTCCCCACCAGCTCTTCCTGCGGGTGTGGAAAAAGGGCAGACAGAAAGGAGGCCAAGTCAGAGCACCATCGAGGACCAGAGCAACCATTCTGGGCTGGAGGAGGCATCAACTGGAAAAGCACCTCTGTGAGCCCAAGGACTCTGCTGGATCCAGCTGTTTGCAGGGCACAGCTCACCGCTTATGAGCCAGGCTAAAATTGCAGACTCAGCCGTACTTAACTTTTGCCCCACATTTTCCAGAGACAGTTCTGCACTTTAAAGCACCTTGTCTGAGCACTTTTCTTTGCCCCTGACACTTTCCCTGCAGAAACCCACCCTTTGATGCTGAATCAGAACAAACAGCAGTTCGGGTTTTCCACAGATTGCTATTTGCTTGGATTCAGCAGTAATGAGCAGGTTTTTGCAGGGAAAGTGTGTGTGGGGGAACAAAGCACTAGGATACGGTGCTTTAAAGAGCAGACCTGTGCCTAGAAACACAGCACAAATAAGTCCAGTCACCCCTGCAATTTTGAGTTTGCAGAGCAGGCTGGCTGGCTGCCAACCCTGATCCTGGGTAAGGAAAGGTATTTGATACCCTGCCAGAAGGAGTGTGTGCGCTGCCGACAGGTGGCTTTTCACTTGGTTTCATATTCTCTCTCACACACACACCTCCCAGCATGGTCTCTTTGGATTCATCCTTGGGAAGAGAACTGCATGAAGTTTTAAAGGAGCCCTGCTCCGGTTAAGGCCTGGCTCAGGGCTTTTGTCCCAGCCCTGAAAACATGTCGTTTTTGTGGGGCAGAACTCTGGATCTCTTTTACAGAGTCTCTGGTATTCTGTTGCTATTGACTGCTGAAACTAAACAGGGACTTCCTCTCTGCCCCAGGCCCTCCACACCTGTAAGTGTCTGCTTAAAATGCAGCCACCTGGAGATCTCTGTGCATCACAGGGTCACATTTGAGATTTTTTACTGTGAGAAAGCCAAGCCCTCTTTTGGTGGCTTGCACTAAAATATTGCCAGAACTAGGTGGGAAGCTGCATCACAAGAACCAACACCTTGTCAGGATGTGACAACCTCCACCTGGCTGCCTCTCAAGCTCCTTGCATGGGAGACTCAGGCTGCAATGTCCTTTTAAAGAGGTTCCCCCAGTCATTCTTGGACAGGGCCAGCTGGAGGCTTTCAAGAAGTGTCTCAGTCTTGCCCTTTGACAGCCCCAAAAGCAGAAAGGGGGGAGATTAACAGAGAAGCACCCCCCACCGCTCCCAGCTCCTTCCATAGCTGTTGCATGCTTCTTACCTGGCTGAACAGGTGAGTCAGAACTGTGTCAGGCAATGTGCTGGTCAGGCCAGAGAGCTGAAAGTTGAAAGCAGAGCATAAGAGTAAAGAATTAATTGCCTTGCAATATCAGACTAACAGTCCACTCCGATGCCCTCTGAACCTGAAGTAAGTGTGACTTTCTTCTAAGGCCAATTGACGTTCCACACCTAATAGCTGTTGACAATCCTCTCCTGTTCCAGGAATTTGTCTAATTCAGCCTTCCTCAATCAGACTACAACTCCCATCAGCCCCAGCCAGCACAACACAGCTGTCTGGTGCAGGGGATGATGCACATAGTCCAAAACATTTGGAAGACCGTTGATTGGGGAAGGCCGGTCTAATTCCCTTTTAAGTCATCTGAGCTTTTGAGCCCATCAATGTTATTTTGTGGTCACTATGAAGCCCCAAATTAGATGTGAACTCAGGGGGGCAGGGAACAAACTGAAGGCAGGCCTCTCCCTCTGCAGTTCAGGGATATTAAGATAGGGCAGTCCACTGTGATGGGCTAAGGATGACTGAGACTTTATGTGCTTGAACTATCCTACAGGTGAATCAAAAATTTCAGTTAGCACATTCCAGGCAATGGGCTGTCAGGAGTGGACATAGAACCCAGTCACTTAGACCCAAGCCAAGTGGGGAGCAGAACTCTTGGGAGGAGCTGTCTTGTCAGATGGGATGGCCCACTATTGCCCACCTGCCCTCTGTCTCCTGAGATAACCCATCATCACACACCCAACCAAGTATGTGCCAAGCTGTGACACCCACAGAAAGGAATGGCAGTGTGCTCTGGTGCAGGGCTCCAGGTTGGAGAAGCCTCCATCACAAGACTGGAAAATAGGAGCAAAGGACTATGGTAACTACTATACAGATCCAGCACTGCACTGAGCCACAGGCAGCTTTATTTTGGGAGGTGTGGGGGTTTTAATTGCCCCAAGAATGGTTGCATGTGAACACGCTGCATACCCCAGTAGCCCACTGAAAAAGATCTAGCTTGTCACATTAAATGTGTGAGCAGCTTCCAGGTCTGGCCCTCTAATTAGGCAGAGTGAGGCAGCTACCTCAGGTGGCAGATGCTGAAGAGTGGCAGCAGCAAGCTTTTGGGGGGCTAGGCTGTGTGTATCATTTGCACACTCTACACATCCCACTCTCAACCCTTCTGTGCTAAGTCACTCATTGCCTTCATTGCTGAAGGTTGAACTGCTTTTCTTCTCAAGTTGTGCAAACGGTGAGGGGTGGGGGGAGGTCACAGGGTTTAAGCAAACAGATGCAAAATTGATTTTTTTTGCACAGGTTATTGCAGTCTGGGATATTTTGAGCAAGAATTCAAGGCCCTAGATGGAGATTAGTAAACAGCTGCTCAATTTGTGATAGCACAAAAATGAAAACCCCTTCATGCCTGGGTTGGGTTAAGAAAACCCTGGGATTTCTTAATTATGGATCAATTAGCACAGCAATTTAGAAGCCAAGAAAGGAGACAGAAACCATTTTATGAAAGACTGGCAGGCAGTAATAACATACCTGGAAACAGAACCAGTGAATTAGGACAAGCCACATGAGGGCAAATGTACTCATCGTTTGTACTAATTACCTCAGAATATATTGCTTTCTGTTTGTTTGTTTGTTTGTTTGTTTGTTTGTTTGTTTGTTTGTTTGCTAAGCAAACCAAACTAAAAGTGAGCAATCAGGGAGGCCATTGTAATTAGTTTTTTTTATTGATAGGAAAGGAGGGGAAAATTTGTTTCACATTTTATGTATTATTGGCAGTTAGAAATGGATAAAACAGTAAGCTACCAACACCTGCCGCCCAAACATGCCCTGTGGCCCCACTCTGTATGGGCTGCTCGGTATGGGCTGTCAGAGGGAGATGCATGAACTTTGCTTTTTGCAGATGTCCATGGATCCAAAGAGACCTCACTCAGCTGTCCATCCCCAGCAATGAGTATACTTGAGCAGCGGCATCAGAAACCTCAATTGGCCTGCAAGACTTGGCTCTGGCACACACCCAGTAGCAACAGGGAGGGGAGGCTGTCTCACCTTGGTGGCTGCCCAGTCGATCCAACCTTTGCCATTGGGGTCCACATTGACCAGAACAAGGCCTTCAACCAGATCTGGGAAGATCAGCTAAATCAAAACAGATAGACAGGCAGATGGAGTTTATTCTGGCTCACAGACGTATCCACTGGGACAGAGAGGCAATTAGTAAGCATAAAAGTGAGCATCATAAAGCAAGCGCTACATCTTTAGAATCTAAAAATACAAATACACTGATTGGTTAACCTTCTCTAGCCTTCCCCAACCTGGTGCCCTCCAGATGCTTTTAGACTACAGCTGCCATCAGCCCCAGCCAGCAGAGCAGTGCTTTTCTGGAACTTATGGGAGTTGTAGTCTAAAACATTTGGAGGGCACCAAGTCAAGGACGGCTGCTCTGCCCAGTAACAAGGCACAGTCAGTCCAATTCAGAGCCACAACTTGAGACTTCCCTGGGGAGTTAAGAAATCAAAGAGGGGGGTGGAGATAGCGCTTTCTCTCCAAAGCCCTGAGCTGCAAGTCCCAGGTCACTTCAAATAGGAATTGCTGGTACTCAATGAAGCTGATTGCCCGGCAATCAGCTTCATTGAGTAAGCATGCCAAGGATCAGACTGGAGGTCCCTGCCCTGGAAAACACCAAAAATGGTGCTGGGCCTTGATAGTTTAAAAAAAACCCCCAAAACCCTTGTCTGGCTAGGATGCAGGACATACCCACCCACCATCTGATCACTTACAGCAAACTTGGCAAGGACATAGGCACCTGCTCCCACACCAATCCCGATCACATACTTGAACCTGCGGAAAGAAAAGTGATCAGTGGTCCCCTAGGTAGCCACTTCCTTTCCTTCCTCCCACTGGTGGACTTTTGTGGCTGTCCTTCAAGCCTCCTTCACTCAACTAAAGTTTGATGCTTCGTGTTTGATGCCAAATATCTTAATCATAGAATCATAGAATCTGATAATACTATCAGATTATTTATTTCCTTCCAAGCAACTCATTAACCAGATCTAAAATATTCCTCAGCCTTATCAGTGGCAATTTATCTAATTACTTCATCCACCGTTCACTCATGCCATCATTTTCTCCATCCTGCCGCCTTCCAGATGGGTTGGACTACATTAGCTCCAGCTAGAAGGACCATATGGTGATGGGGAAGATGGGAACCAGAGTCCAAAACATCTATAGGTCAAGAGGCTGGCAAAGGTATGATGCTTTTGCTCCCAGCTAAATTAAAAACCATCCTCCTCCTTCCACTGCCTCTCTGGGAGTCCTGCCCCATCATGGGATTTCACATCACAGCAAGGAAAAGTAGGTCACCCAAGGCTCACCCAAAGTGCTGGACGACACTGGGCAGCATGGCAGCTAACTGGTCCATGGAAGGATACTGGTACCTGTGAAGACAAAGCAGGAGAGCCAGGACACAATGTTGACGTCTTCTCCTAGCATGATGGAGGAGATCTGAGGGAAAGACCGATCGGGGACTAGGGAAGCACCCCTCTTTTTGCTCTTCTCCTTTGGAGAAGTCCCCATCCTCTGAGCCAGTCCTGAACCTCTCCTTCCTCCCCCAATCAGTGGGGGTGTGGGGCTGGCCTGCTTCAGCATCTAAGCTACTGGTTGCCCATGTCATTTACCCTTAGAGAAGGTCCAGCCATGTTTGCCTTGAACCAGGGCCAGCTCACATGACCAACATGACTGATACCCAGACCCATGACAGTTATTCCTTCCAGGAAGAGTTGATATCAGCATGCAATGAGAAGGTCGTCATCCATCACAAGTTTCACATCCTCACTAGGTTGCCAAGTTACAACCATCACCATAGCATGACCCACAAGGGAGTGTTTGAGGGACTCCGTTTAAGGCAGGGATGGAGAACCCTGTGCCCTTCCAGATGGGGTCCAAGTGCAATTCTCATCGGCTCCAGCCCACCTGGCTACCGGCTGGCGATGATGGAAGCTGAGGTCTGACAACACCTAGAGGGCCACACGTTCCTCATCCCTGATGGGAAACCTGGCCAGGTGTGGCCAGCTGTGCTGGAATACAGGTGTAGCAATGATGATCAAGCAATCCCATAACACAGCAAGAACAGAGTGTGTCCTAGACGTTTCAGACTACAACTCCTATCAGCCCCAGCCAGCTCGGCTGTATGATGCTGGTGGATAATGGGAATTGTAGCTGTAATCCAAAATGCCTGGAGGGGTGCCAGTTTGGGAGAGGCTGCTCCATGGGAGGCACCTACCCCTGAGGGAACTGTGAGGCCCCCGCCTGCTGCCCAGGAGCATCCACATGGCAGACCACAAAGTGCTTGGTGATCTCTTGCATATCCTCAAAGTTGAAGAAAGTGTTGAAGCAAAGCTTGTCTGCAAGGGAACAAAGTGGGGGCGGGAAGAGAGACAGAGTCAAAGTCAACAGGACTCAGGACAAAAAAAGGGTTGCAAAGCTTGAGGAACAAAGAAGCATGTCCTTGGAAATAAATTCTGAGCGCTGGTTGCCCTGCCCTTTATTTTATTTTATTATTGTATTTATAGCATTTATAAACCATTGTTTCCTCCAAGGAGCTCAAGGTGGTGTGCGTGGTTCTCACCTTCCCATTCTACCCTCACAACAACCCTGTGAGGTAGGCTAAGCTGAGAGGCAGTGACTGGCCCAAGGTCACCCAGTGGGCTTCAGGGCTGAGTGTGGATTCGAACTCCAGTCTGCCAGGTCACAGTCTAACACTCTAACCATGAACACCACACTGGCTCTCCTGTGTGACCCGCTTGTGCCCTAATGTCAGCCAGGTGTGGGGAGGAAGAAATATTCCTTTCAATCAGTTTCTGCACCAGTGTAACTGCCTAGTGTTGGGAAACCATCATCCCTGGCCTTCAGGGGCCCAATTGTCCAAGTAACAAGGAACCTTTGAAATTACTAGGTGCTTAAAGGGGTCGGAGCATGACACAAATTTGCATTTGTTCATTGTTATGTATAAATGTAGATTGAATTGGTGGGTGGTTAACTGCACTGGAACCAGAGCCCTCTGAAGAGACACCTCTGCCACCAGACACAGGTGGCTTTGAGAGGTCAGGTGAACCCCGAGGAGACTAAAAGGCAGTCCCCAGAGCCTGAAACAGTGGTTCCCGAACTTTTCTGGCCACTGTCTCATTGGTTCCATAAACTGCTCCCCCCCCCCCACTACTCTCCACTTTGGGAACCACTGATAATGCCTCACAGCCTAGAAAAAGGCACTGGCCTTTTATTTAGCCAGATGGCACACCCAGAGGGTGGTGCTTCCATCTTGACTACCACAGCCACACACTGAAGCTCTTGTCAGCATATCCAAGACTCTGTGTTGCCAGCCTCCACCATAGCCAGCAGCACTAGCAATGGGCCTGCTTTCCCCAGCTGCTCTGTGGGACCAGGCCTACTGATCTTCCCCTTTCTCGTGCCAACTCCTTGCCTTGCTGGTGGAGAACACCATTGTGCCAGTCCTTGCTGCTGAGTGTGCTAACCTTTGGAGTTTCCCACAGAACAGACTTCAACCTCCAGATGTTGGTGGACTCCAACTCCCATCAGCCCCAGCCAGCACAAGCATATGATGCTGGGGTTGGCGGGAGCAAGCCATGCTGGCACGCACACACTTTAGGGCAGCCTTTGCCAACCTGGCGCTGTCCAGATGTTGGACTACAACTCCCATCAGCCCCAGCCAGCACAGGCTCATCTAGTGCAATTCCCTGCAACACAGAAACACATACTGGACTGCAATGGTTTGCCACTGGCATTGTCCAGATTCTCAGGGACAGAAAGGGGTTTCATGGAAACAAGGTCCCTGGATCAGCTCTGCTCCCAGCGCAGCCTAGAACATGCCTGCAAGGAATCAGCCTGCAGCTTTCCATTCTGTTCTCTTGACAGCTTTTTTCCTGCCTCTCTCCTTTTTCAGGCTGTGGCAGATCAGCCTCCCAGCCACCTTCCCTGCAGCCCCCCTCTCCCTCTGCAGCATTCCAAGGTGACCTTTTTGGACAAGCAGCAGCAGTTTCATGCCGAACAGTCACATGACCGCCGCCTCCTCCCTGCCCAGCCACATCTCTTCTCCCCCCCCCCAGCAGCAGCTGCAACAACAGCAGCCTCTGCCACCAGCCAGCCTCTGCTAAAGGCACAGGGCAGCAGAGTAGGCCTGATTTTTCCTGGTCAGTTAGTAGCCCCTGTGACTAGTTTGGAATGTCAACACTTGCTATCTGCACTGTCAGACTCTTGGGTTGAAGCTCAGTGGAAAAGCAACTGCTTTGCCTGCAGAATTCAATCACCAGCATCTCCAGGAAGGGCTGGGAGATATCCCTGCTTGAAATCCTGGAGAGCTGCTGCCCATCAGTGCAGACAATTCTGAGCTAGATGGATCAAGTGGTCTGACTCAAAATCATATTCCTATGTTCCTTATTGTTATGACTAGGGAGGCAATCTCTACAGTCAGTGAAGGTTAGAGTTTGAGAAGACTCCAACTAATGGATTCCTGAATCCTGGCTGGAAGAGGCTGCGCTCAGAGATCAGGGGCCATAGCTGGCTGCTGCTTTGGAGCCAAGTTTGCTGAAGCTATGAGAGAAGCCTTGAGGGACACTCTTTGGGTGTAATGTTCTGCACCCCCTCTGTTGAAGGCTCCAGCTGTAAATATGTGTAAACAAATCATATTTTTAAGACATGGAAGACTCCGCAGTGCTTGGATTTTGCAAGGGAAATTTGCAACCACCATACTCAAATTGTTCAAGACATAATTGGGCACACAGGTGACAGCGGGCATAAGGAACAGGACTCAACAATAGGGCCTCCAGCTTTAATTATTCATTTAACAAAATTTATACACTTCTTGATTGAAGTAAAATCTCTAAACAGTTTACAAAAAACATTAAAATTATCGAGAAAGAAAAACAGTTTAAAATAATTAAAACAGCCAAAAAAGATTAAAGGGTGTCAACATCTACATGTCTGGATAGGCCTGCCTTAAATAAGAGTTATACCCAGGGCCTGAAAAGAGTACAGCGAAGGGCCTGCTTGATGTCAATAGGCAGGGAGTTTAAAATTTATTTATTTATTCATAAGGAACCTCAAATAAATCTTCTTGGTTTCGATTTTCATCTGCCTCTTGATCTGCTGGACCAGCCTAGTCTAAGAATAAATGCAAGAATTTATACCCTTTTTAAAAATACTCATTTTATCTGAGGAAGCGTTTGGTGTAGCTCGGAAGCTTATGTTGTCTTCAGACTTTTAGCTGGCCTAATCATAGTTCTCTACCCAACTCTGTGTCTCTGTTTCTTGGTGACCAACTAAAATTGGGCCCCTCTCTTCTGCCTCAAAAGATCTTGGGACTCTCAGCCCCAAAATTGCAAATCAGCCAAGGAAGCCTCAGGCACTGAAGTTGTGGCCTGCTGCCCCCATCCTGCTCCTTTCTGGTGCCCAAACCTTGAAGCACAGTTGGTCCAATCAACAGCAACTGAGAACCTCCCACCATTTGGTGGAGTTACTCCTCTCCTACCTTGGTCAGAAGGAAAGTGCTACACTTACGATTGAGTCCCACATCATGGTACGTCAGGAGAGCCGGGCGATTTCCCTTCGGGGACCCCCGAATGATGACATGCAGCAGCCCATATGGAGTCTCAATATCGTGCTCCTGGAGGAAAGATGGAAGAGAAAGAGTTGTATCAGTCCTCCCCTGGCAGGAAGAAGGGTCCAGGTGCACATTGCTTGATCCACTTCAGAATGGAGAAAGAGGCACCCCCATCTTCTCTCTCCGATTCCCACTTTCCAGTTTTCCTTGTGGAAGGCACTGCTGTTTGTACGGTCAGCCTGTTTGTATGGTTAGAAGAAGCCAGTCCCCATTTTCCCATAAGACCTCAGAAGTGTGGAAGCCTGGCTCCCCTGCCATCCTCTTTGTGTGTTTCCAGGGCCACCACAAAAGTCATCAGTAAGTATGGTGGAGCAGTTAAGAGTGCCAAACTAAGACCTGGGTTCAAACCCTGCCACTCTCTGCCAAGAAGCTCACCAGGTGATCTTGGGCCAGTCACTGCCTCTCAACCTATCCTACCTCGCAGGGTTGTTGTGTGGCTTAAATGAGGAGGAGGACTGTGTACGGCACCTTGAGGACCTTGGAGAAAAAGGTGGGATATAAATTCAATGAAATAATAAATATATATATATATAATAAGTGGGCAGACGGATGAACATCCATATCCTGCATAGGATAAGTGGGGTTCCCTTCTCGTAAAACACACATAGTAGCAATCTACCTCATGGAGCTGCTGTGAGAACAACCTAAAACACCCACTTTTTAAAAGGACTCCCTGAATGATTATAAAAATGATGCAAATAGACTGCAATTTGTTAAGTTGAAGTGATACATTTCTAGGATGATGGCCAAGGTTAGTCAATTCCAATAACGATGTGTGAGCCAGTGGATCAGGGACCAGTTCATCTGTTCTCACACACCATGGACCCACAAGAAAGAGAGAGGCAGAAAATGGGGGTCAAACAGCAGCAAAAAGGAGGCCAGCTTCCTGCCAGGATAGATCAAATGTATCTGAACATAGCTGATGGTGGGGCATCTGACTATGGGTCCCTAGTGACCCTGGCCTAGTGAAATTATTCAAAACAGAAGGTTGTGATCTGTCCCTGTCCTGAGAGGCTGGGCACCAATGCTCCAGATGCCAACGCATGAGTATAAAAGGGCCACAGTTGCCAACAATATTCAGAAATATTCTAGTGGCCCATAGGACTCAAGGAAGGGATTGGGGCCCTGCTGCTCACTTGGAAGAAGGCAATCCAGATCTATTATTAGCTATTATTAATAATAAAAATGTATATCCTGCTTATATGCCAAAATGGCTTCTAAGGTATATACAACTGTAAGATCAAACCATAATTAAAATATGGAATAATATTATAACATCTTTAATTAAAATACACAATAAAGCCAAGCAATGGGAAAACATAACCATTTAAAACAATTTTAAACAGAAACCTGGGAAGCTGTTCTAGGCTCCTGCTCATGGCAGCTCCCCTGTTCTGTTCAGTTCTACAGTATCCCAAATTACACACACACATTCCAAATGCAGTTGCAAATTAAATTGGTATAGTTTTCCCCAAGCTGGTGTCCTCCAGATGTTTTGAACTACAACTCCCATCAGCCCCAGCATCATTTGGCCATGCTGGCTGATGCTGATGGGAGTTGTCTGGGGCAGGAAGGCTAGCATGAAGGCATTATCATTCTGCCTTTCCTGATAATCCCTAATATGCTATTCAACTTTTTCACAGCAGCCACCATCCTGGTCAACATTTTCATTGATAAAATGGATAAAAATACTTTTAAGGCATACATGAATCTATCTCTGTAAGCTGCTTAGAGGATTTGCTTACAACTAAAGGATATGCAAATTTTGTCAAATAAAATTAAAATGAGACAATTCGACTAGTATCGAGGTAATGTTTTTGAAACCCGCTAAAAACCCGAAAGTGCTGCAGAATAGCTTAGTATTGTTATTCTTTATTCTTCTGCTAGCTCCTAGCCATGGTGGTTCCACAGTTGAAGGCAGTAATGCTCCTGAATAACAGATGCTGGAAGTCACAGGAAGGGAGACGGCTCTTGTGCTCTGAGACTGCTTTCTCATGGACACTGGTTGGCCACTGTGAGAACAGAATTCTGGACTGGATGGGCCTTTGGCCTGATTCAGCAGGCTCTTTCTATGTTCTTCCTATTATCTGGAGCCAAGTTTTGGCAGTGGAGCCCCTTCTCAGGGCCAGGTCTCTGTTCTGGAACATCTTCCTGTTACATGGGATAAGCTTTGGTATGGTTTGGCCTCACACCACGCCAGTTAAGCTCTAGGGACAGCGAAACAATGTGGCTCCTTCTCACGTCAGTATCTCACAAGCATGACCAGCATCACTTGCGACCAGACAGTGTTGGCAGAGGTTCTCATGCTGTGGTGGGAATATTTCCTTTGGACTTCAGAACATGTGCAGGCTGCCATTGCAGCATGAATGAGTAGCTCCAAATAGCTTGTACATACCTGGGATTGGGGGCGGGGGGGGGGGGTCACTAGGGTGGAAGGTGTCAATTCCAGAAGCTCCACCACCTCTCATTTTTGATGTTGTACATCTATTGCATCTCTGTTTTGATATAGTCTTGTTATTGCATTTTATTGCTCATTATTGCAAGCTGCCTTGAATGCTCTTGCAGAAAAATGCAGAATATAAATTAGATAGATGGAACATTAAAAATGAGGCCATAGATGGGGCATTTGAGATGGGAGAGGCCAGCAGCTCTGCAACACACAGAATCCTCCTCTGGGTAACAAATGCCCAGTTTGCCCTTCCCACTCCAGAATGGGAAGGGGAAGGGAAGAGGGCCCCTGAAACAAATGCACAGAGTGCCCCAGGGTCCTATACTTACTCTCATGTAGTACCCTACTCAAGACATCCTCACGGCCTGTCAGATTGGGCTACGCGGCCCAGCGGTCTGACTCAGTACTAGGCGACTCACAGCTCTTCTGAAAGACCAGCTTCATCAGGCCCCTCCCTTAGCTGACCTCTACAGCAGCCATTTCAACTGGCAATAGCAGATGGGGAGAGATGGAAGCAAGGAAGGGCAAAGAGAGACCAAAGTGGCGGCGGCGGCAGAGGCAGCCATGCCAGAAAGGAGGGCAAGAGGGGGAGAAGGAGGTTGGCCCTCATGATCCAGCAGAACTCATGGTTCCCATTCCACCCCAGCAAAATCTCCCCACTGAGCCCCACAGAGGAAGCTGCATATTTTAGAAGCAAACACCTTTGGGAACCCTGTAGATTAGAGGCAACAACACCTACACAGTCTATACCCCCCCCATTCCACCCTGTAGCAGGGGAGCAGCCAAAAAGCTGCTATAAAGCTGCTATATTCCAGTCCCACCACCATCCTTGAGGAGGATCAGGCTGCAGTTATGGGAAACTCCTCCTTTCTTCCCTTCATCCTGGCAGGTTTAGCCAAGATTATCCCCACATCTTGGAAGTGGAGTGAGATGCCTATCAAGAGCATCAGCAATGGGGGGGGGGGGAGAGAGAGAGAGAGAGAGAGATCCCTGTCAAGGGCAAGCTTTGCTCAAGGTCAAACAGCAGGGCAGAGCTGAAAGGCAAGGCAGCCCTCCAGATGGACAGCCCTGGCTCAGCTCTGCCTCCAGGCTCCACCTGCTCTGTCCTTGATGGGGAAAGCTCTGTGGGGCTCTGGGGAAGAAGAGTTTGCCAGGGGCGGTCTCAGCAAGGACAGAGAGACGTTTTGCCTCAGCTTCATGGTGCCAAAGATATTCTCCTCCTGCTTTGCAAATGAATCCCAACACCCAGCGCAAAGCCACAAATGAGGTTCTCTCCCTCCACCCAGCTCTGCAAGCCAGGCAGAGAGGCTCTAAGAGGACAGCCAGTAGGAATGGGAACAGCGAGGGAAGGAGCTGTGTACGTGCCAAAAGGGATGCTGGGTGTGCAGAGAAAATGGTGCACTTTCTCTCCCCAGATGCCACACATGCCCTTTGCACATCAGAGAGGTGACACCAGGCAGCAGCATGTGCCTCGGCGGAACCTCTCGCCCATCTGCTTGCTGGGTGCTTCAGGCACAACAGCAAGGAGGGAAACTGCAGGAACCAGCCATGGATTATCCCCCTCCTCCTCCCCTCCCCCAAAATGCCTGCAGCCTCAGCCCTTGTCACTGCAAAATGAGGAGATGCTTCCCCTGCCAGCCCACTCCGCTGGTTGCACCCAGGGAATCCACAAAGGTTTCCCATGCCCTGTCTCCATAGTGCTCCATCCAAGTCTGTGATTGTCCTGAAGGGAAGCAGGAACAAGAGGCTTGGTCCCTCCTGTGGACCCCTTTCCCCTCAATGCCAGGTTGAAGCAATCGCAGAGTGTGCTGGAGCCAGGGCAGAATGCCTCTCTGCTTTGCCACAAAATGCCTACACACATCTCCTGGCATTTAAATGAGAGGGCAGGACCTCCAGGCCAAGCTGGTCTTTGGCACTCGGAATGCATCGTGCCTTGATTTCTCCTTCCGTGGGTGCAAAGGGAAAAGCACCACCCGCCTTCTAAGAGAGGATGGCCCAGGCTGTCCTTCAAGGCTCCTACCTGCCACACGTGCTCAAGGACTAGTGCAGATCCATCCCCCTCATATTGGACTGTGTTAAGCTGGGGCAGAAAACATCGAGATTAAGGAGCAGGCTGGGGTCTCCAGTAACGTTGGGGGGGGTGCCCCCTCCCCTTGCCCAGCAGTGGCATGCAGCAGCCCCACCACCTGCACATGCACACACACACACACCTTGCCTGGTTGAGCTGTACCTACCCCATCCCAGCACTCTGGCATGGTGAGCTGCCTTTCTTCTTCTGAAGGAGAAGGAGCAAGAGCAGCAGCAGCAGCAGCAGCAGCAGCAGCAGCAGCAGCAGCGTCCTCCTCTGCCTCTCTGGCCACTTCCAGCTCTAGACAGGCTCTCCTCTCTCTCTTTCAGCTGGGAAGATGCACAGCTCTGCAGTGGGCTGGCCTCTTTCCACCGGCCTTGATAAAGGAGACCCACCCCCCTGGCTTAACTCCTCCTCCTCCTCCCCAGCTCACCAGGGAAAGATTGGTTTGAAGCATTCTACTGCTCAAATGGAGCCCAGTGATAGGCAAGGGCGGGGAGGTGGGGGGGATGAGTCATGCTCCCGCTGGATGGAAATGCACCTGTTTGTTTTTATTTATTTATTTATTTCCCAACAACATTACTACACAGCCAGCCAGTCTCCATTTTACCCTCATGAATAAAGATGGGAGCGCGCAGGCAGAAGGGCAGAGTGCTGACATTCACTTTCTATGGCTGCACCCCCAGGAAGAGGAAGCAGATCTGCAGGCTCACAAAGGGCCCAGAATTGCATGCCTGCATGCCGCACCCCACTAGCATGTTCTCTGAAAGGTGGGACGGAGAAAGCAAAACAGCCCAGAGGTGCCCCAGCTAGAGGAGGAGGAAGATCTCTCTCTCTCTCTCTCTCTCTCTCTCTCTCTCTCCCTCTCTGGTGCACTGCAGTCATGCTCTGCCTTCCCACCTGCCTTCTCCATAGGAAGGGTTAGAGAACATCAAAGCACGTCAGAGAAAGGACAGAGCCTTCCTGCTGCATTCCCAAGTTTCTCTTCCTCTAAACCAACTCTCCAAATGCAGATGCAAACACACACACAGTCTTCAGGTTGCAGAAATGGAAAGTCTATTCCAAGGACAGAGACACTCAAGGCTTGGTGGGGAGAGACAAGCAGGGAGGGTATCAAGCAAACTCCTGACCTCTCACTAAAAAGCTGTGAATGGATACGAGCTTAAGGGTTGTGCGTTCATGCACCGAGAGAGCAGCGGAGGGAGGAGACCTGGGGTGGGTAGGCAGCAACCAGCCCACGGCCCCCTTCCTTGCTCCAGCACCCCATCACTTCAGGGAGTGCATCAGATTTTGGGGGTATGCCCAAGGACAGGTTGTTTCAAGTCTGAGAGGTGACAGATCTGTATCTGCAGCATCTTTGACATTGCCCACCTTCTGCTGCAAACACCAGCCCTCCTGAGGACATTTGCTCTGCAAGAGGGGAGTAATACACATCAACAACCTCTTTGCCTGGGGAGCAGCAGCTCTTCCCCATAGGTGGGGTTTGTCAAGCACAAATCTAGTCCCTTTCTCCAGTATACTTCAATCCTCCAAATAAATATATTTGTGTTCTCTGTGTCACAAAGAGTGCTGGGTTCAGAACAGATGAGAATATATAGCCCTATCTCAGGGCACCGTTCATGCTAGGCATCAAAGTTGGAATTCCCAAGTTTCATTCACTCACTTCTTATGGGACATGTTCCACATGATGACACCATACAGTCACTGCCACCCTGTATTTTCCTTGTGGTTCTTCCACCATCTCTCAGACCACACTGAGTGGAATTTTCTAGAAGGATGGAAGAGTACCACAATCTCCACATGTGTAAATATGGTTTTAAAGGAGAGGGGTTCAACATGGGCAGCGCCATGTCTGGAAAGTTAACTTATCACAGCTCAGCACACATTGATCGTGACATTTGTGGTGGGTGCTGTTTTGTGACCCTGTTTTTATTTTTTTAATCAACTTTTTAAAGTGTCACTAACATGCTTCTCTAGCTACATTTTAAAAGCAACAATGAAAGAGAGGTATGGTGCTATAACACCATCATGATGTACCATAATTCTAACATAGTGTTACAACACCATGCCTTGGTTTCACTAAAAAAAAAAAAAGCCAGAAGAGCATTTAGCAATAGATAAATAATGATTTTTAAAAACTAAAGCGGGGTCATAAAATGGCACCCACAATAAGGGCTTTAGTTACTGTGTGCTGAGCTGGAAATGGACACCCACCCACAGCAGCTATGTCATGCCCACTGGTTCAGAGAGAACCAGACAGTTGCATAACATTTTTTAAAAATGTGACACTCCCAGTTTTGTGAAAAGTCAACTTGCAGCTAGTGCCAGACTCATTTTATCCTTCAAGCAAGCCACCAAGATTGTGTCGGGAGGGCCCCTAAATGGCATCAGCGGAGCCAGCATCCAATATCAGTGACCCACCTCCTGTGGAGCTGTGGGCACGCTATGCATCAGCAGAGTAACAGCAAGAAGTGAGGCTGTGGAGGCATTGGCATTGCGAAAGCTTCCTTTATTTACAAATCAAAACAACAAACGTGGCTAGCGTGAACAGCAGCCTCACACACGTCTGCTCTGTCTGAAAGCAATGAACAAAGAGAGAAAATACAAAAGCACACAGGACGGAAGTTCAGTGTCTGAGTTTCATTCCCACACTCCTATCAAAAAGGAATGTAAATAGTGGATCACAAGATCTGTATGTAAATAGGCTGCAAATGTGCTAAAATCTGCAGCAATGATGTCATGAAAAGGGGGAGGATGTTAGTATTTTCATACTAACAGATTGCTTAGACTAGCGTTTGCCAATCTGTTTGCCATCTGTTTTCCAGATGTTCTGGACTACAACTTTCATTGCTATGCTGGAAAGTACCAGGTGTGCAAAAGCTGGCTAAGATTGACCAGCCCAAACAAATGTAGCCCTGCCCATTGCACCGAAGTGCAGATAGCTGTCAAGTGCACAGGTTGAGGTCCAGGTAAAGAGGGACCTGACCTCACCTAGGTGGCCGGGAGTTTCACAAGGTGCAGAATTTGCCCTGGATCAGTCCATGTCTGTTTAACAGAAGAGTAAGAGCCTCAGAGGTGGGGTTGTATTGCATTTGCTGCCTTAGCTACCGGCTAATCGCCTACCATGAAGGTGCTTCTCTTGCATTTCACCACTGACCTCCCTCCCTCCCTCCCCCCCTCCTCAGCAGCCTCATTACCTGAAACTGCAGAGTGTCTGTGTGGAAGGCCAAAGAAGGGCAGCAGTATCCCATGCAACTGTCAAGAGGGAAAGAAGTGCGGAAAGGCCCAGAAGCAGATTTAAAAGCAGGAGTCCTCAGAACCCCAAAGAAACAGTTGCAGGAGGAGGGTGGAAACATTCCAATGGTCATCAGAAGAAAGAGAAAGAAACAGAGGGCAAGAAACCAAGGAAAGAAAGTAAAACAAGGCACGACAAGCTGCAAGGATGTACAGTAGACTCTTCTGGACTCAAAGCCTGGAATGGGAGAAAAGCTCTGAAAAACTGCTCTCTCCCTCTCCACTCCACTGATTAAAAGTGACTGCTGCCTGGCTTGGCTCCCACAGAAAGAGGGAGCAAAGTGTTACGATATAGAAGCAATGCAGCCGCGAGCTGCTAGCTTGAAAACATCACATGATGGAATGTTAGGACTGTTCCGTGGGAAACAGAGGGACAGTCAATTCATAGGGCAATGCACCGGAATTAGCTCAGAGTGTAATATGAGCTCTTCCTTTTGCTCTTGTACAGGAAGTACAGGAAGTGTTTTGTCTCTCGACTGCTGGAGCTTGAAGAGAGCAGTCATGCTTTTGTAATACTGCAAAGACAGAAATAAAGGAATATGAATACGTTTCTGTCTATCTCTTTCCCCTGCCGGGGGGGCAGGAAAGAGGGGGGGTGTTCTTCTCACGCCGAGAAGAATCGCCTATTGCGACCTAGCCTGTATCCTGCTGGGGAATGCAGACAGGGAGGTCATCAGGAGATCAAGCCGGGTGCCTGGAGAGTTGCCAGTTTCTCCTGATAAAGGCTTGATTTCCGACACAAAGACAGGCTGACATCAGATTTCCTCAATCTGACACTCTTCAGACAGTTTTGAAATGCAGGATTATTTTTTCCTGTCTTTTTGGAACATACAATACAATGGCAGTACCTAGTTAGGTACTATTTCAGTAGTCTAATTTGGTTCATTATCTCAAGCAATTTCAGCTCCAGACAAAATTTGGGGGAAATGAAAGTAGCATTACTTGCCCCATTTTAATTCTGCCTTTCCTCTGAGGAGCCAATCCCCAACCCTTATCCTTGCAACATCACTGTGAGGTGCGACTGGTGAAGCTTTAGGCCACCTCATGAAGTTTGTGCCTGATTGGAGATTTGAATCCAGCCCTCCCTGTTCTACGTCTGACACTTTATCCACAATGAGATCCTCAGTTTTATTATGAACACAGACAGACAGTCAGACAGTCAGACAGACAGGCACACACACACACACACACACACACACACACTCCACACCCCCATAAGTTGCTGTACACATGAAATGAGACCAAGAAGCTGGCGTGTTTCATATTGTCTCCTCAATGGGATTCTTTATTAACTTGAATACCATTCTTAACAGTCTGAAATCTGGCATAGTGTGAGTTGGACTCTGCAGTTGGTTATAAATATTGTCAGGTTTTCAACATTGTGGTTTCTTAGATGACAACTTAATTCCGCTCTATCTAAAATCAAATCTGGCAGGCCTGACAGATTCATCAGAATCTGGTCCAGAAACCAGATCTTTTGGTTTGCAGAACAATTGCAGTCTGCAGAAAGCTCCAGGTCCCAGATCACAGCCTGGGACAGCCGAGGTAATTCAGGCTGAGCTTGCTCATTTGAGACAGAATCCAATCTGTTGCCAAGCTCTGCTCAGGGCTCAGCAAAGTATGCAAATGAAACCACTGTCCGTGGTGCTGAAATAGACAGAGCTGTCCCCTGGCATACTTCAACTGGATCCCAAGGCTAGAAATAGGATCCTGGCTTACTTGGTTGTGTGTGGTTCACCCACATTTCCACTTGCCCTGCTGCTTTCCCCTACAAAAACACGTTTTAGTGCTGAATCAGAACAAACAGCATTCAGGATTTCCAGAGATTGTCATTTGCTGAGATTTAGCACTAAAGAGCAGGTTTTCAGGGGGAAAGACATGGGGGAAAGGCCAAACCGATTGGACCCATGCTTTCTAGGCAAAGCGTGGATGAGCCCATTGTCTATGCAGTCAACAGCAGCAAGCCCTTGGGGGTGAGACTTGCAAGGATGCCAGATGTCTCTGTATGATGTACAAGCTGGCAAATGTGTATGCTGCAATCACACCTTAAGGTGTACACATATGTAGACTCCAGAGTGTCCATATGCATGTGGGTGTCACAGATCAGATTTTTCCATATGTGCTTTTGTACACCTTCATCCACACATGAGCACTTTCAGTTGAACTCTGTCTCATTGCTTCCCATCCACACTAGTGGGAGGTGCTTGATGAGATGTCTTGTTGTCCCCTCCCCTCAATTAGTACTTCCTCATCCTCCATGAGTTCTGGAAACCTGAGGTCTATTGTGGGCATGCCTGCAGCTTTTGGTTTACCTGGGTGCGCTGCCATTTTTAAAAAATATGTTTCTGATATACCAGAAAACAAACACATTTTTAAAAGTGTGTGTCACGCCATTCTCAGCAGCAGCCCACCAGTGGAAGCTGGGGGTCTTGTGAAAGATGGCATCCAGAAAAATGTCACTACACATACACACACACAAAAATAGCCCACACAATACATTTCAATATGTCCACAGTTGGGTATCATGGGCTATTATGTTGGATCCCCCCCCCCTTACCACTTTTATCTGTAGATCAGGAAAGACAAATTAAATGGGGGGGTGTGAGAGTGTGGGCTGCCAACTTGGATGAGAACAATGTCATGTGGATGGAACAAAAAACATGCACACATGAGATGCATTGGATGCCCTGTGAACTGCTGCTTTTACACAGTTCCACTGCCTTTTGAAATCAAATTCCTTTGCTTCTTAGCCTGGAATCATTCTATGGATATATTTCACTCTTGTGCTCCCAAAGTAGCATCTGTCTGTCTGTCACATAATTTCTAATCGAAACAAGGTGTGAAAATACAGCACCAAAAAGATCATTCATAAAAAAAGTGAAAAACACACTTGTCTGTCTGTCTGTCTCATAATGTTGTGGTGTTTTTAGGCTGTGTTTGTGTGTGTGTGTGTGTGTGTGTGTGTGTGTGTGTGTGTATGTGCATGCATGGAAATGAGTGTTTGCAGAAGCAGACTGAGTGTGGAGAAGCTGCCCTAATTAGCCTCCAACAAGTGAAAGAGGAGAAAGAGGAACATAACGCTAAGGCAGCTGCTCCATGACTGGACTATAGGGAAATGTGATGAGAGAGGGTGGAGACTTGGCTGTTGCTGCACAGATGACAGCAAAGTTTGACAGGTTCAAACCCAGAAAGGAGTTTCAGGGGTTCCATGAAGCTTGTCTCAAAGAAAGGCGAGAAACAGAAGCCAGAAAGGAGTTCCTGGTGGATGTTCTGGTTTTTATAAGGCCAAAGACCCTGGGAGGCCAAGGACCCTCTTGGCTCAATGTTGCCACTGTTTTGCATAGGGGTCACTTTAAAGGGCCACCCCTGGGAGAAGTTAGCAAATTTGGAATGCAGGGAGTTTCCATACACTGAGTCAGAACATTGGTTCAACCTGCTCATTATTGTCTGTCTGACTGGTAGCAGTTCTTCAGAATTCAGAAGTCTTTCCCAGGTCTACCTGCAGATGGCGTGTATTGAACCTGGGACCTTCTGCATGTAGAACCTATGCTGCAACACTGAGCTACGGCCCTTACCCAAAACAATCTAGATTTATTTAGAAATTAACGGCACTGTTTCCAAATTTGCGTGTCTGAAGAACCAACCAATAAAGGTGGAGCATGTAAATAAAGCATGTAACTCTCACTGGTAGGACCACAGGAGAAATCCTAAACCAATCAAAACTGCTGATATTGAAATGATTCAGAATTATTTGGGGCTAGCCAGCATGTGACCAGAGAACCGGAATGAGGTAAGAAATTGGTTGTGATTATCCAAGAGAGAGATCTTAGGTAGGGTCCACACGGTGGACTGTTGCAATGAGAGAGAAGCAAAATCAGTTCCAAGAGGTTATTAAGAAAGCCAAACATTTAATAATATTTCATAAACCAACGGTGTGGCCACACCTGGAATAGGACTCACAGTTCAAGTCAACCCGTCTCAAAAATAATATTGTGGCACAGAAAACAAAAAGGGGAAATTATCCTGGGGCTAAAATGCCCTCCACACATGTAAAGGTTGAAGCACTGTAGCTATGTTTTTCTCAGCTGGAAAGCCCCACTTTGTGGAGGTCAGAGAGATATTTAGAAAATTATGAGCAACATGAAGAGGGGAAGGTTTCCTCCCCCAGTTATAATATGAGAGTGCAGCATTGCCTCTGTGGTGTAGCCCAGAGGAGGAATTGCCATGGGGAGAAGGTGACCAGACTCCTGCAGGGGTGAGATCCTTGACAGCGGGGCATAATGGCATCCTTTCTCACCACTGACAGACATTGCTAGCTTCTGCTTAGCAGCCAACAGAGCCCTGAACTGTTTGGGAACAGGCTCACCTTTGGCCCATATGAGCCTGCTCTTCATTGGAAGACCTCTTTAGCATCTCATTCTACATGCACCGACACAGTATTCAAAATTAGGTGGGTGGCATCTGAGGACAGAACTTTTTGGCGTGCAGTGCTCTGTATTGAATATACTAATTTTACTGACCCTTGGAAACTGCTGCTGGTGCCATTTGTGTGGCTTCTATATGGTGCTTTCCCTGCTTTCATGAGATGCCGCCCTGGGCATCTTGCACTGAAAGGTGGTCTACAAATCCTATAAATGAATAAACAAAAGATGGATCACTGGAGTTTAGCTTCAGTGAACCTCATCCTGCAATGACTTGCAATAGGAGCACAAAGTAGCTCACAGACCAGAAATAGTTGATTTTAACCTCTTCAGCATGCTGGAGACATGAATTGATCTGATTATTATTTTTTTTAATCGATGACCAGAAGCGCTCCTTCTTAGAGCTGGGGCAGCAGAAAGAAGAAAGAAAGCTGTCACTTGTGCCAGGAAACAGCAGGAGTGATTTCACGGGCTGTGTTGGGGCAGCATTTGCAGTTCCTAATGGGAAGAACAGCTCATTCCCATCATTCACAGGCCACAGAACATTGTCTACCTGGAATTGAAACGAAATAAAACCCGGCTCTTGCAGTTATTTCATTCATCTATTAATTCATTCTCTCTCTGTATCTTTTATGAGGATAAGTGCAAACAGATGTTCAATGGTCTGTGTTCCTGTGCCAGCTCCTACAAAAACCGTCCAGATTTCTGGTGACAAAGCAGGAAAACTCTCTGAAGATGCAAAAACCCAGAGCCCTCCAAGGAAACTGACAGCCAGGATAGTTTAAAGCCCAATGTAGTCATGCTACACAAGAGCTTCAAAAAGGACCTGGACTTACATTATCAGGAAGAGCAGGAAAAGCAGATTATGTGAAATTGAAGGCAAAGAATTCAACTTTCTGAGAATTTCATGGTTCTTTAATTTTTAAAAAGCAAGATCCTTTACAGCTATAAAGTGTCTGGGCACTGATGGTTGAAGTTTCAGAAGTCAGAGCAGCTGCTGAACCAGATTTTCAGCAGTCCCTTCTCATGGTGAGCAAAACTAGAATGTATAATACAAAACAGCAAATTTGAACAATTTCATATTGGTCACACAATCCAGCTATGATGGGCACAGAATTTTAATACAGCGGTACCTCGGGTTAAGTACTTAATTCGTTCTGGAGGTCTGTTCTTAACCTGAAACTGTTCTTAACCTGAAGCACCACTTTAGCTAATGGGGCCTCCTCCTGCTGCTGCACCACCGCTGCACGATTTCTGTTCTCATCCTGAAGCAAAGTTCTTAACCCGAGGTAATATTTCTAGGTTAGCGGAATCTGTAACCTGAAGTGTATGTAACCCGAGGTACCACTGTACTTCTAGCAAGGAGTACACACTTGAAAGCAAGCAGACAGAGGCTTTGCGAAATGTTAGAAGAAAATGACTGAGATGTTTGTTAGCCCCTGAACAGCAAGAAATGTGGCTGTGGCCACACTGAATGAGATCGCAGTAAGTGAAAGGAGAGGTCTCCTCCTATCAGGTTGTGGTAGAGGTCCGTGGTGTGGTAGCTGTGGAGGGTGGAGCAGGGAAGAATGTGCACAGTTAGGAGGTGTGGTTAGGAGGAGGAGAAGGAGCACTCCTGCCCTGCTTTTGAAAGTCCATCCAGTTCTCTAAGAGGTATAGGCAAACACAATGAATCCAGCACCAAACCACACTGAGAGTCAAAGCGAGACCTGGTCTGTGCAGTTCCAAAAAGACCAGCTCTGGAGTGGCTGGAATAATCATAAATGCATACTGAGCAAGAACCTGCAATCTAACCTGCAGTTAACACTGCTTGGAGATCCTCCTATCAGCAAATCAAAGGGATGCAAGAAGCAGGAAGCCCAGGCCCTACCATTGCGAGGACTGAGGCAAAACAAGTTTGTTTGCCTCTGTGTGGCTAGTCTCCCATGTTTTATTCAACTTCCATGATTCAGGTTCTTCCTTACATCGGCATCTGGGGAAAAGGGATCCAACCACAGAAAGGCATGGAAAGAAGGAGGGAGGGAGTGGAGACAGTGCCTAGTTGTCTGGGGATTCTCCTTTGTGGTCAAAACTAGGACATTATGCTGAGGATGCTCAGAGTATGCATTGGAGGAAAACTGTGGATATGCCAAATATTTATTTTTAACACTATATTAAAATGATTTGTGTTTTGCTTTGCTATTCAAACACCAAGGCTACTTACAGAACAACAGCAACATATAACAAATGTCTTAGTCTAAAGGACAAGAGGAAGCTCCTGCCAGGCTTGTAAAGCATACAGGTGAAGAGGAGTTGAGCAATTTCCCAAGCAGCCCACCCTTGCCTAGCTTTGCTTGTTGGGGAGGCCAGCCGTTAGCATGGTCTCCATCCTTCCCCACATGACAGTTCATAGTCTAAGCAATGAGGGCTCAGAAGCTGCAGACTTTTGTCTCTTTGGGCATGAAAACGAAAGAAAAGTCAGTGGCACGCAAAAGAGCTGCTGAAGCTTTGACATGAGAGTACTCAAAGAACTGTTGCTCAAGCAACCACTACCATGGAAACAAGAGCAATTCCTCCCAGCCAAATGAGCTTGGATTTCAGGCACTCAACACCCCTCCACGCAGCTTCTGCAACAGACAAGAGGCCACCTTCTTTTCCACAACAGCTCTACCCAACTTGATGCCATCCACATGTTATTGGACTAAAACATCTGGAGGGCACCAGGTTGGGAGAAAGCCATTCCACAGCAAGTTCCTGCTGTCAGCAGAGCTAAACTTCCAGAGCTAGACTGGAAAGGGCAGATGTGGCCCTCACCTGGCTTCTAGCTCTCAGGTCTGCATTGCCAGATGTGTCTGCTATCTAGTCAGGCTCATGCCAGATGTCTAAGCCCATTTTCCAATCTTCTGAACCACCATTCCACAAAGTTGGGGTCTTCCTCTGACGAGCAGTCCGCTCACCCATCCATTCAATATGCACATCTGCCCATCTGCTTTGACCCAGAAGAAACTGACTGTCAAGCTGCCCTGATAATGATGATTACAGTTTAAATTGTTAAATTAAACAATAAAAGAATCAATAACAACCACACTCTTCAAGTCTGCAGTTATTTCAATCAAGAGTCTTGGTAGCCTCCACAGATTAGGGTTTCTGGGTAAATGTCATTTTGATGTCTCACTGTGATCTTCCAACCTAGAGCCCCAGATTGATTGCAAATTCAGGGAACAGAGGCAACTTTGGTGACTGGGAAACAGAGACACCACCACAATATTTGAAAATCCCCCTCCGGAGCAAAAGGTGAGGTTCTTGAGGCAAGGGAGAGAAAAAATATTTGGACTGGGTAGGTAATGGACTTCCCTTCTTTAGCCACTTGGCCAGTCAAATCAGCAGGCTCACCCAATGGGGGGGACGGCCTTTGGGGTGGCATCTCATGTGCAACAGAGGGTTCAGCCTGAGGCCTGTCAGGGCATACCCCTTGCAGGTGCCTGAAGGTTTTATCCTGTTACTCCCTGTGCAGTAGGAGTCAGTCCTTCTGCTGTGCAAAGGTTGTGTCTCAACCCCCACAATAAAACACCTTCACGCACCAGTGCTGCCCTCTCCCAGAGGCAAAGACAGTTGTGGGAGAAGGAACCAAAGCATTGCTTCCTCTACCTAGTCCCAGGGAAAGGTAGGCACAGGGTTGGTGAAGGCTACATAAAGAAAGCTAATGTGACAAGAAGCCCTATGTAGTGATGAGTAGCCTAAAATATAACTTGGGAGATGCAGTGAGAAAATTATTGATAAGTACACTGACAGATGGTCTAAGGTGTAAAGGCAGTAAAAGTATGAATAGATGTTATTCTTATTAATTTATTATTTATTAAATTTGTAGAGCACCCTTAATCCGTAGATCTCAGGGCGGTTCACAACATAGACATACAATATAAAAACACAAAATACAAGAGAAAAATAAGAACAAAACACACACACACACAAACTAATAACCCCCCCTCCTGTTTTAACAGAGTCAATATGTCTCTGAAGACATGCAAAGGAATTTGCTGCCACAGATGGATAAACCTATGGCCTTGTTCTTCAGTTCTTGCCTGTGATGTTGGTTTTGCTCTGTCCGATAAGGCCATTGCCTAGTTACCCAATTGCAACTCTGCTTGTTATCTGACTTTAAATAAACAAAAGTTGTCTTAAACATCACAACTCATGTGGTTAATTGCATAAAAATCACTAGAGACACCTGCCAGATTGACTTTGCTAAACCACGCATTTGGCTCCCACATTAGCTAAAAGAAACTGACCAATGGAAGCCCAGCCTGGCAGGTGACAACACCTTGAACAGCATACCTTTATTCAGAGTTAATACGTGCCTTTCCTTGTAGCCCCAAAATGCCATTTCTGACATTTTTTTTTTCTTACGCCATGTAAAAGACATTGTATTAGAAAGGAGCAGATTTTCCAATGTAAGGCTTTCCATATTATTCATGCTATCAGCAGCTATGTGGTGTTAGTGTAAAATATCCTCCAATCCGTTCCTCCTCTCATAAATTTTAGAATATTAATGCAAAAATCATGACATAAAAATTATTCCAATCTCTTGAAACAGTGTGTAGATAAGTTTAAGCCCCGGCCTGCATGTATTGAACCATGCTGAGCATGGCAGGTGCACAAAGGCAAGGAGAAGACATTGCAACTTACCTTCCAGTCTGTGTTTACTGCAGAGAGGAAAGTATCTGAATTCTCCTGGGAAGGAAACAGACAGAATCAAACCATTACTTCTCATACAGGTTATTATAGCTCATGACTTTCTTTCAAGACTACTGAGTGCACTCCCCAAACCTGGGACGTCATCACCATACGTCCCATATGTTTGGGATCTATCCTCTCTACAAATCGGGATGGAGAACCCGAGAAACTCCAGATTGTCACTGGCAAACCTTGGCAATGTCACAGCCATACAACCGCCAGCCTCTCCCTCAAATTTGCAGTTTAAGAGTAGGTGCAACTGCCTAGGAGAATCTCTGCCCATCTCTAGAGCACAGATTTTGGGAGGAAGACTGGTTGGTCAACATGCTGGCCAGAGGCCGTGGCGTAGATGCCAAGTGGAAATTGGGGAGTTGGCTGTGTGCTGGTGTGAAGTACCAAGTAGGCTGACCTCTCTCTCCTCAAGCCAGGAGAAAATGATAGTCAGCCAGAGTTTGGAATTTCACTTGCACACACCTGTTTGGAGCTGGATTTAAATCAAGATATAAATATTTGCATATCTATCATGGCAGAAGACAGCTTCCAAACTTCTTTGTTACTGACATGGCTCACCAGGCTTGTATCTTAAGTTCCTTATTGGTGGCACCCACATCAGCATCCCACCAGAGGCCCACCTGCCAACATATCCTGGAGGGTTTTGGCTTTTCCATCAGGCTCTGCTCATCCTCTTGTTTACTGGGGATCCATACTGAAGAAGGAATGGAGGGTGGTAGGCAGGGTCCTGCTTCCTGCTTGTGGCCCAATGGCCGTCTCTACACCCACATACATCCCTCTTGCCTCTGAGTGAGCAACTGGCAGTCTATGCAGTATAAAGGGTCTGAATTTGGTCCTGAGGCCACAGACCACAGATCTCCAGTGGAAGAGGTCTCTGGAATGAAAGTGATGGGTGTGTGACCAGCTCAAAGTCACACTGGCACAAGTTTCAGGACAAGTATCTTAAGAACCTTGCTAGATGAGACCAAAGACCTACCTAGTGCATCAGCCTCGTTTCCCCACTAGTCGATTAGATGCCTTTGAGAAGCCCAAAACTAGGGCTTTAAAGGAAGAGTCCTTCCCAACTGTTGCTGACTTTCTGAGTAATTTCTCACTCAGGTATCTTTTGAATCTGAGACCATCATGGACACCGTTCCCAAAGCAGTTTGACAATGGCTGAACCTTGCACCAGTCCTGGGAAAAGCTTAGATTTAAGTCCAGGGGTTGCTTGCTCTCTTGTCAATTCCATACACTTATCAGCTACCACTTGGTTTGTCCACTTGTTAAATTATTTTTGCTAAGTGATGCCAAATCCAGCAGGACTCACCAGCTCAGTGTCCTGCCCCCGAAGCAGTGGCTTCTCTTCTGTAAATCGCTGCTCATGCAGGCCGGCCATGGTCACTTCCTGCAGCAAAAGTCCTGCACAAGAGGAAAATGCAAGCACAGCAGTCAGCACAGCCCCAGGGGTGCCCAAATCCTGACCCAGGCAGGAACCAGGCAAAACTTCCCTGGACCTCCTTACACTTCAGGTGGCAGAGTTTCCTGTTCAGGAGCAGGAAGTAAAGTTGGATTTGTCACCGTGCTTGGTATTCATAGAGCACTTGGCCCACATTAGCTCAGTCATGCTTCCAACAGCCCTGTAAGTCAGGCCAGTGTTATCATGCCTGTAAGACAGATTTGAGGGTGGATGGGGGAACACTGAGGCCAGGAGAATCACGGCTTGCCCAAGACTATTTGTGTTGCTGGTCCACCCATGGCTGCATCTGCAGTTTCCCAGGTGGGAAGAGGCTCGCTAGAACGGGGATGCTGTTTCTCAGCTGGAGCAAAGAGGCCCCTCACACTCCATCCCATATCACTGTCCTTGTCTGCCCTGCTCACCATTTTCTTCAAGTTTGTGCCTCTGGCTCCCACAGATTAGCTGCTCAAAGCCACCACCTCATCTGACTTCAGAAGAAAACCTCTTATTCAGGCCAACAGAGGTCCCAGCCTTACACAAGTTTTGTAGGAGGGCAAATGGCAGTGGCTGGACAAGGACACAGCAACACCCCATCCACAGAGATAATGTGAGCCTCTGCCCCACATGTCCTGTTCCCACTGCTGTCCCTGGAGACCTTGCAGGTGTCTCCACAGGCAACCAGGTGACTTCCTGCACATGCTGCCAGAGCCAGATGCAAAAGGCCCAAGCCGAAAACAGAGACCACCTCATGTGAGCCTTGGCTTGGCTTTTTGCAGATTGCAGCAGCAGTGACTTGGAGAAGTTGAAAGAGAGAAAGAGAGCTGCTTCTTTAAGCCAGAAACAGGATACATGGGGACCTTTGCTGCCAGTTTGCAGTTAACTGGCAAGAAGTCACATTCCCTGGGGAGGAAGGAGAATGTCTCATTTGGGGCCGTTGCCAGTATCTCCTGCATTGCAATTCATAATACCACCAGCAGCTTTGCCTGTTGCAAAATCTTCTGGCTTTCTGAGGAGCAGCTGGGGGTCGTAACCTGAACATGGGGAAAGAAACATGCTCTGCGTCCTTTTGTTCATTAACGCATTGCAATTTTGCTGTACTTGCATTTTCTTTATTTGGGAGGATGGTTTTATGGATGCCCATGGTTTTTTTGTATGGGTTTTTTTAAAAAATTATGGTATGAGTCACTTTGAGTGCCTTTTGGGGAAGACATGGCAGGATAAATAAATAAGATTTAAATTTAAAAAACATAAACTGCACTCTATCCCTCCCTGCTCCAGTTGAGGAGCCCAGTTCTCCTCGGGGGAAACAAACTACACAGAACATTCTGGCAAGGCTAAGAACCCAGCCCTGTGGCTGCTTGTGCCAGTCAAGAGGCACATGCAAGTGGGATAATGCCACAGGGCAGCATGGGCAGTGCCACCTATGGCTGAGACAGAGCACAGCCCTGGGAGGACATTGCCAGCAGCAGCCACTGCACATGGAGGCAGAAGGGGCACATCAGGGGCAGCAGGAGGATTTGCCCACAAGCCATCCTGGGCCTCAAAGATGTTACCCACTCACTGCAATGGGGTCTTGATCCATTTGCACCCACTAGGCAGTCACCTGGTGGAGACAGACTCTGGGACTCCCCCCTGCAGACCCTTGGTCTGCACATGCTGTGCATAATCCTTCACACAACTCCTCTTCATCCACCCTGACGGAGCGAAACCCAGAGCACAAACTGTGGGGAGCATTTAGCGCATGAAGCAAATGGGCAGAAGAAGGTGGTACCATGTGGCGATTGCACAGCTTTTGCTCTCCAGAGAAGAGGAGGAAGTAGTGCAGGGGTGTGTGTGTTAATTTTATTTTTATTGTTTATTACCTTTATGTAAGCCACCGTTTAGGGCACAGCCCACTCAAAGCACACCGAGGTTTGAGGAGGAACCATCTAAAACAGCAGCAGTACAACATGCCTCCTTCATGGAGCCTAGAGCTCTGCACATTTCCGGGGGCCCCAATGAGGCAACAATCTGGGCTGCAAACACCCACTCTCTGTCTTGCTGCATTGGGAAGCCCCAGCCAAGTAACACACACTAGAGTGCCGATTTCACTGCACACCAGAGAGGGTTTAGCACAGTAAAGCAGAGGACAGATGGAGGCAGGAAGCCTTCAGAACAGTCTCCCTCTGCAGCAGTTTACTAGGAATGGCCTCCGCATACCCTACAAAGCAGGCTCCATGATTGCCTGGTTCCTTTGGCTTTCCAGCAGTGGCCCTGTGTCGCTTGGGGGGCTACCAAGTCATGGGTAGAGTTGTTTGCCATCAATGATTCTGTTGCACTAAATCAGGAATTGGCATTGGCTTCTTATTTCAATGTGCTGAGAATCTCAACTTTTTTCCTTTTTTTGAAAAAGCAAGTTTCTAGTCCTGAGGGAACAAAAGTTGGTAAACTCTCACAGACTGGGCAGGGGCTGGGAAATGTTTCCAGTGGCATCGTTGATGCTCACCAAGCTGCCTTGTCATGGGGCTAGCTCTCCTGACTCCCAAGGGCAGGGAAGCTTGGGTCAGAAGGAGCTGAATCTGTCTGCCTGGTGATGCATGGAGACAGGAACTGGGCTGGAGCCAGAGGGCCTCTGCACCTGGGTAGAAACTCATGAAGCTGTCTGCAAAAGAAGGGAAGCCAGGTGATGCCAGGGAGGCCAGAGGGCAACTGATTCTGCAGGGAGTGGGAGCCAAGGGGAAAGGAGAAGAGATGACCAGCTAGCTCAGGGCTTAGGGGGTGGAGTGGGGGCTCAAGTCACAGGACAGAAGCCTGGGGGAAGGGTCTGCCAGGAAAAGGAAACTTGCTGGGGAGGGAGGGATGAAGAGGAAGACCAGATGGGATCACAAAGGTTGTTGGGGTTTTTTTTTGCCTTGTGATCAGAAGCTAGGAGAAGAAGCCACCACTGCTTTTCCATAGCCAGGTCCTGCATTGATACCTTCTCTCACTCTTGCCTTCACACACTAGCAAGGTTATGCTTAAAATTCTACAAGGAAGACTCAAGCAGTATGTGGACCGAGAACTCCCAGAAGTGCAAGCTGGATTTAGAAGAGGCAGAGGAACCAGAGACCAAATTGCAAACATGCACTGGATTATGGAGAAAGCTAGAGAGTTCCAGAAAGACATCTACTTTTGCTTCATTGACTATGCAAAAGCCTTTGACTGTGTCGACCACAGCAAACTATGGCAAGTTCTTAAAGAAATGGGAGTGCCTGATCACCTCATCTGTCTCCTGAGAAATCTCTATGTGGGACAAGAAGCTACAGTTAGAACTGGATATGGAACAACTGATTGGTTCAAAATTGGGAAAGGAGTACGACAAGGCTGTATATTGTCTCCCTGCTTATTTAACTTATATGCAGAATTCATCATGCGAAAGGCTGGGCTGGATGATTCCCAAGCCGGAATTAAGATTGCCAGAAGAAATATCAACAACCTCAGATATGCAGATGACACAACCTTGATGGCAGAAAGTGGGGAGGAATTAAAGAACCTTTTAATGAGGGTGAAAGAGGAGAGCGCAAAATATGGTCTGAAGCTCAACATCAAAAAAAACGAAGATCATGGCCACTGGGCCCATCACCTCCTGGCAAATAGAAGGGGAAGAAATGGAGGCAGTGAGAGATTTTACTTTCTTGGGCTCCATGATCACTGCAGATGGTGACAGCAGTCACGAAATTAAAAGACGCCTGCTCCTTGGGAGAAAGGCGATGGCAAACCTAGACAACATCTTAAAAGCAGAGACATCACCTTGCCAACAAAGGTCCGTATAGTAAAAGCCATGGTTTTCCCAGTAGTGATGTATGGAAGTGAGAGCTGGACCATAAAGAAGGCTGATCGCCGAAGAATTGATGCTTTTGAACTGTGGTGCTGGAGGAGACTCTTGAGAGTCCCATGGACTGCAAGAAGATCAAACGCACCCATTCTTAAGGAAATTAGCCCTGAGTGCTCATTGGAAGGACAGATCGTGAAGCTGAGGCTCCAATACTTTGGCCACCTCATGAGAAGAGAAGACTCCCTGGAAAAGACCCTGATGTTGGGAAAGATTGAAGGCACAAGGAGAAGGGGACGACAGAGGATGAGATGGTTGGACAGTGTTCTCGAAGCTACAAACATGGGTCTGACCAAACTGCGGGAGACAGTGGAAGACAGAAGTGCCTGGCGTGCTCTGGTCCATGGGGTCACGAAGAGTGGGACATGACTAAACGACTAAACAACAACAACAACTCACTCTTGCCTGCCTGCTGGCTTCTTTCAGCAGAACACCCTTCACAGATGATGATGATGATGATGATGATGATGATGATGATTTATTTATACCCCGCCCATCTGGCTGGGTTTACCCAGCCACTCTGGGTGGCTCCCAATCGAATATTAAAAACACAATACAGCATTAAACATTAAAAACTTCCCTAAACAGGGCTGCCTTCAGATGTCTTTTAAAAGTAGGATAGTTGCTTATTTCCTTGACATCTGATGGGAGGGCATTCCACAGGGCAGGCGCCACTACTGAGAAGGCCCTCTGCCTGGTTCTACCTATGATGTGGCATTGCAGCTCACGCATATCCATCTTTGCCTCATGGTGACAGTGCTGCAGCTTTACAATGTCAAGTAGGGTGTGGGGCAGACCCCTCAGACCTGCGAGGTTTGCCAGGCATTCTGACGGACGCTTGGGGCAGCAAGAGGTCCTACCCTGATGGGAGTCACTTCACATGTCATTGCAAACCGAGCTGGACTCCTCTGTTAAGGGTGAGCAGAGTCTGCATCCTATTCCCTGCTGCATCCAGGTCCTAGTATTGCTCTGAGGGTGGTCTCTGAGTCATTCCATACGGGAGGGATGAGCCCCCAGTCCCCTCTCCTTTCCATACTGCCCCTGCCTAAGAATGCAGCTGTCCCATTTCTCTCAGACTTGAAGGAGGGGGGCTTGTATATGTTGATATAAACAAAGGGCAGCAAGATTGGATGGACAGAGTGGCTGAAGAAGGAGAGTTTGAGCAAGGACAAAAGTCCAAGGACAGAAAGAAGAGGTGGGACAAAGCAACCAGAGTATTAAAGGTTAGAACATGGAGTCAGCCCAGGTACAGAAGAGGAGAGGAAGCCTTGATAGCATTGCTAAGAATAGCACCAGGAGGAAATGTCCCCAAATGCTGATATTAAACTGGTAAATTTCAAGGCCAACTCTACAGCTGCACTTAAGCAAAAGCTTGTCTAGGAATGAGGAAGTACTCCAGTCCATTCATTTCTTGAGCCTTCCTTTATTGCTTTAGGCACACCTTTACAAGAACTGATTTGTTGGAAGGAACACATTTGATAGCACATCTGCAATTACTGCATTAGAAGCTATCTGATACTGGGCCAAATTAGCTAGTGCTAGGTCCATCTAGCAGCTAGTACAGTCGTACCTTGGAAGTCGAACAGAATCCATTCCAGAAGTCCGTTTGACTTCCAAAACGTTCAAAAACCAAAGTGCAGCTTCTGATTGGCTGCAGCAAATCGGAAGCCCCAGAAGCCCCGTCGAACGTTCGTCTTCCAAAAATAGTTCACAAAACAGAACAGAACAGTCTGCGGGATTCGGGAGCCAAAACGTTCAGGAACTAAGCTGTTCCTAAACCAAGGTATGACTGTACTGCCAACCAGCGACTCTCCAGGGTTTCAGGCAGGGAACCATTCCCAGCCCTACCTGGAGATGCTGCCAAGATTGTAAATGGGACCTTCTAGATAGAAAGCAGATGCTCTACACTAAACTGCAGAACTTTCTCATACTTTAAAGAATGCATAATACATGCAAGAAAATGTCTGAAAAGCCATTTGATCTGTCATTGCTCTGGACATTTCACATCCAGTCCTGGTAAAGCTTATAACAACAAGGGTATAATTTTGTCATCTAAAGACAGTGCTTGGTGGTTTTCAACATTAAATATCAGAAATGATTAAGTCCCAAGGTTTGCTTTGAACATTTACACCAGGGCCTCAATAAAGGTCATCCTTTCCTAGTGAAAAATGGAGTTGAAGATGAAATGTAGCCACTTACTGAAGGCTCTCCATTGGCCTTGCCATGATTTGCTCCCCTTTTCTCTTGTTTTCCACATTACTTGTAGGCCCACCCCTCTGCAACTTTCTCTAGGGTCCCTACCTGTGACTTCATCTCTCCTAAATTTGTTTCTGTCAGTCACCCAAAGTTCTCCTACTCAACATCTCTCTCTTCATTCAGTCCCCAGCAAGAAATCCTTCCCTTCTGCAAAGCATCATATTCTCTGATCCAAAGTTCTCTTGTGTATAGGAGCAATACAAGCAAAGCACCCTTCCTGCCACTTCACAAATCTTGATTCTGTAATTCAGAAGCATTAACAGATTTGATATGCCCCTCTTTGCCTCAAACAGGAATGGAGGCAGGCAAAAGGAACATCAGAGCCTGAAGCTACAGGGCCAGTGGAGCACATTGTGGCAGTCAAGCCTGGAGGTTGAGTGTTAGAGGATCCTCTCTGTCAGAAAGGCATGGAGCCCATGCAATAGATGGAGCCAATAAAAGTGTAGATGCTCCCTCTAGATGTCGTTAGTCTCTGAATTACCAGCTTCTGGGGAACAACAGAAGGAGTGGGACTATTGTGTGCAGGCCTTCCCAGAGACATCTGGTTGGCTCCTATGTAATAGAAGGTGGTAAACAAGATAGGCCCCCTTTGATTCACCCTACCAAAGCTCTTCTTTTGTACTTTAAGCAAATTTAGCCAATGTAGCAAGATGCCTATGCAAAAGCAGAGCTGGTTCACACCTCTCTCCTGATGAGGAATTCACAGCGCCATCAAATAGGGGCAGTCCCACGCCTTCAAAATGGGATCCCACAAACATTACTGTGCCTGGATTAAACTTAAATTTACTACGCTCGTCTCAGAAGAGCACTCCAGCCACCAAGGACCCATGACCTGAGGCTACACTTGGTGGAAGATGACTGGCGCAACCCACTGGACCCACATAAGGCAAGTCCAGCTTTGCCCTGATCTCCCTTTCTCAATATTAATTAATCAGGCTTTGACCTGCCACCAACCTTCCCAAGAAAGGTTGTGCATGCCTTGTTAGATGCTGTTTCCTACTATTACTTGCTTAAACAACTTCTACATGCACTCCATTTCCACAGGGATGATATATACTGCTTCCCTGCCTGTACCTTGACTTGTAATCCAACACGCTCTTTACAAAGAAAAAAATATTATTCTCTATATGAATGCCACTTTCAGAAACTGGAATGTTTAGAACTGGATGTGTTCATCACACTAATGGCACTTCAGTCCCAAAGTACAGAATGAGTGCTACGGAAAATCCTAGCAGAACACCATAGTCCAGTCCCCAAGGAGCAGAGTCAGCATCCCCAATTATACACCCTGCGTCCATCCAGACAAGGAGGAATGGAGCCAAAGGAGAGTCATCCTCCAAACTCCAAACGAGATCTGGAGGTGCTGTGAAAGAATGGTATGATCCACATTATCAAAAGCCACTGGGAGGTTTTAGAAGATCAACGTTGTCTGTATTATGGCTGTCAAGCTCAAGACCAGACTTTGCCAAACTTCTGCCTTTCAGATGTTGGGAACTGCACCTCCATCAGCCTCAGCCACATGCAAGACGAAGGTAAACCACCAGGACTATCATGTGTCCTGTTTTAGGGTCTGGGGAGGATGCAGATGACACACCAGTTGACTTTCTTGAGGGGGAACCCTCAGCACCCCTTCTACACTCTCCCGTTTGAGCACATGGCTCTTCCATCATCCTCACAATGACTCTACAGCAGTGGTTCTCAACCTGTGGGTCCCCAGATGTTGTTGGACTACAACTCCCATCATCCCTGACCACTGGTCATGCTGGCTAGGAATGATGGGAGTTGTAGTCCAACAACATCTCAGGGCCCACAGGTTGAGAAACATTGCTCTACAGCTTTCTCCAGTTTCTCCTGCTCCCTAGGCATGAAGGAGCAGACACTTGAAGAATCATAGGCCTTTGCTTACACTGGCGGCAGAGAGCGGGTCATGGGAAGAGAAGGCCCCGCCTACCTTTAGATGACTGCTGAGGCAAGCCGCCTGGTCTCACTGGGAGCTGTCCAAGGTTGTGAACCACCTTGTCTTGGAAGAAGCTCCAGAAATCAGTAATTCTTGCAGGCCTCAAGCCTCAGCAAAACAGGGCAAAGACAACAATTTCTGTCTCTGTTGCACACTTACAAGCCAGACTCAAGTGGGACAACATAAGAAATGCCTTATTTTGAGATTTCAACACGGACTAGAACCTCCGGACACTTTTTATATAATTTGGCATTATGTAAAATGCATATATGGAGGAGCCACCATTTTCAAGACAAACCTCGTCACCAGCCTAGTAAATCTGGAACTAGACTTGATAATGTGGTAACACTGATAGTCTTTACTTGCACTTGGCTATTTTAACCCAGTGTGCTACATGCCTACTTTATAGTTTTGTTTTTCATCTTTTAATTTTCATCTGTTGTCATATTCTCTTTTTTATATACACTATATAATGAAATAATAATAGAAGTAATAAAAAGAGAGAGAGAGAAGAAATGAATGGTTCTGCTACCACAGGTCTAAAGCTGGCCAAGCCCCCTTTACTGATAGAGTTGGTTTTTGGAGACAAGAACAAATCACTCCTTCCTTACGAGAATGCAGGACACAGACACACACTTTGTTTGCTTTGACCTGTAGCACTAGAGGCTGCCTATTGCTGTCTTTCACCAACCGCAAGGGACAGAAATCTACACTACATGTTGCAGCCTACACAGCACCAAGCAACCAGTCAATGTCACTGAGGGGAGCCAGAGTGTTACAACCCAAGCAACAGGGACCTGCCAGCATTTCTAAGCCCTCTGCAGCAGGCTCCGTTTGAGCTGGAGCATCAAAGCTGGAGCTGAGCCAAGTGGTTTTATTTTATCAGCAAAAAAGCCAAGTAAAAAGGGTCACAGTGGAGCTAATGATGTTTCACCTTCTTGGGACACAAATTTGGAGGTTGAAATGCCCCTTGGCACCAGGAAGAGATCTGCTGGACATGATGCAGCTGATTCGATGCTGGTGGAGAAAAAAAAGTACTTCCTCACTGACATCACCAGCAGCAGCATCTCAAAGGCCTTGCAAGAGGGCTCTGGGGCACACTTGACCAAATGCAGTCCAAGTCTTCCACCACTATTTCATGAGCCGCAGGCAAACTGCTCATGGCCAGTTTGGCCACCGCTGCTAAAGTGTAGGAGAGTGACAACAGAGCAATGGGTTTGAACAGTCCAGGAGGTACCAAACTTATTTTAAAAAACAAAAAATAAGAATCTTGAGTCCACCCATTAGCTCCTATTTTAAAACTTGCTAAGGTGCTTCCAAGCAATAAAAACTGTAAAATGCTTTCTGTAGGAATCTTTTCACTAGCCTATATTTACATGGCTTTAAAATACTAACAGGGATGCGGGTGGCGCTGTGGGTTAAACCACAGAGCCTAGGACTTGCCGATCGGAAGGTCAGTGGTTTTAAACTACAGAGCCTAGGACTTGCCGATCAGAAGGTCAGTGGTTTGAATCCCCGCGACGGGGTGAGCTCCCGTTGCTCGGTCCCTGCTCCTGCCAAACTAGCAGTTCGAAAGCACGTCAAAGTGCAAGTAGATAAATAGGTACCGCTCTGGTGGGAAGGTAAACGGCGTTTCCGTGCGCTGCTCTGGTTTGCCAGAAGCGGCTTAGTCATGCTGGCCACATGACCCGGAAGCTGTACGCCGGCTCCCTCGGCCAATAAAGCGAAATGAGCACCGCAACCCCAGAGTCGGCCACGATTGGACCTAATGGTCAGGGGTCCCTTTACCTTTTTAAAATACTAATGGCATGTAATTTTTAAACCCCCTTTCACATGCCCTGCCTTTTTAAAAAAAAAATACATGACTTGGGGAGTGGTAAATCCCTGCTCTGACTCTTCCATCCTAACCCAGATCAATGCAATATGAGTTGTGCTCTTGAAGGTGTCGGCTGCAAAGGAATTGTCTCCAGTGACTTTGCACCTCCTTTACAGAAAGGGTTGCACATTTGGAAGCAGAGGACTTGATGACAATTGGTGGTGTGTAACCATAGCAATCTTCTGACACCAACCAATGTTCCCCAACCAATGCCCTCCAGATGGCTTTGACCGCCCCCGCCAGAAAATCTTGGGAATGGTAGTTCACCCCTTGTCAAGCTACAGTTCCCAGCACCCTTAAGAAACTGAAGTTCCCAGGATCTTTATGGGGAGAAACAATTTGCTTTGGACATATGGTGAGTAGGCAGCCTCAGCCTATAAGGAGCGCCGAGTGTGGAGGTTGAGTTGTGCTTTGAAGCAGGTCTCTGCTCCAAAACCAATTCTCAGCGCGAGGGCTTACCCTGATCACATGTGAAATAATAAAACCACACCTCTGAGCATGTGCAGAGTATGCACCCACCTCATCAACAGGTATGACAGTGTTCAAGGGCCATAGCTCAATGGTTAGAGCATCCTCTTTACATTCAGAAGGTCCCAGGTTCAGTTCCCAGCATCTCCAGGAGAGAACCCTGGTCAAAACCTGCCAGTTGGATGCACAATGTGAAGCTAGATGAACCCAAGGCCTGACTCAGAATAAGGCAGCTTGATTTCTATGACCACAACTCCAACTAGTCCCAGCCAGCAGGATCTGCTAGGAGTTGTAGTAAAAAAACATCTGGAGAGTCATAGGTTGGAGAACGCAGAGCATGCCATGGACCAAACTTGGACCCCCGCCAGGGCATCTGCCGCTGTACCACTGAGTCACAGCCCTCCCATGGGAAATTATGGAGGCTGCCTTGAGCAGAGGCTCCCTCCAGGGCTGCCTGCAAACCCTTTTAACCCTTTCACACCCTCACCGTTTGCCAAGTAAGGTGGGGGGAAGGAATGCCACTCTCAGGGTCCTTTGGCACAACAAACCCCCCCCCCCAAATGCCAGCATTAGCTATTTAGGAAATGAGGTACAGGGGGAGGCATTAGGGAGCACCCCCCTTTCCAAATTACCCCACCCTGACACTCTGGAGCTGGGGAGAGGGCGTTGGATCTGCAGCCCCTGCTGCCTCCTCGTCTCCCCTGGGGGGGGTGGGAGTGTCCACCGCAGTTGTGCCAGCCTGGCTCCCCAGCGCAGCTGCATCAAATCCAGAAGAGGCACGGTGGGGGGGGTGGGAGCCTCCGAAGCTGGAGCAACCGCCCCCACCCCACGACCTCCGAGAGCCTGCAGGGAACAGAGGGGCGTCGGATTACCTGTCAGCAATTCTATCTTATGTCCCCAGACCTTCATAGTGGCGGCGGCGGCGGCGGCGGCGGCGAGAGAGCGAGCGCTTGCGAGGCAGGCGGCGAGAGACAAAGGCGGCTCCCGAGCTAGCCAGACTGCTCACTGCGGCTGGGCAGGCTGCGAGCAAGCGGGCATCGCTCCAGCGGGGAAGGCGAGGAAGAGGGCGGGGGAGGGAAGGAAGGATGGATGAATGGATGGGGGGAGCTGCCAAGCCCGTCGGTTAGCCGAGCAACGTCAGCGGGGGGGGGGGTGAAGAGAACCGTGGGCGGGGGGGACAACCCCCCCCCCGCATTCCCGTTGCCAAGTCGTGCTGCGGGAGGCGGCGGCATCCTCGACACCCCACCCCGCCGTCGGTCAAGCCCCATCTGGGTCTCCAAGACGCTGGGGAGGCGGGTCTACTTACAGCCCAGAGCAGCTGGTCCCCTCCCTCGGTGCCGAGCCAGGCCGGGGTCTCCTCCGTCTGCTACGGAGGGGCCGTCCCGGCGCGGCCTCCCGCGTTGCAGGCGCCTGGGAGCGGGGCGTCGGTGGCTGGCAGGAGGACAGAGCCGCGGCTGCGCTCGGACGGGAGGCCGCCCGGTTTAAATGGGGGAGGAGGCGCCGCCGCTGCGTCAGGAGGGGGAGGGGGAGAGCCAGGCGGGCGGGCGGGGGAGGGTCTCGCGGCCTCGGCCTGCAGCCCGCCTTCCCGCTCTCCCTCGCAGCGGCGGCGGTTGCTAGGGACGCGCCGTCGGGGCTCCCCCCTCCCCCTCCCCCAGCGACAGAGGGAGCTGCCTTCCCCCGAGTCCGCGGCTCGTCTAGCTCAACATTGTCTACCCTGACTGGCAGCAAGGGCTCTCTCCCAGCCCTCTCCGGAGATGCCGTCGGGCATTGAGCCTCCTGAGAGCAAGGCTGGCGCTCTGCCGCTGAGCCTGGCTGGGTGCTTGGACCTTCGACGGACAGAGGCGCTTGGGAAGGCAAGCCAGTCCGAGCGCGGCCAGGCACTCCATCCCTCTCTCCGAGCTGTAGAAGCAGCCGTCGGGGGAGTTATCTTTCCGGTCCGGAGTGCCGCCCCCGGGAAAGAGCTAGCAAGGCGGCCTGAGAAACCGGGTCCCCGGGCTTGGCCCGGGGAGGAATCGTCAGCTGCAGGCCGAACGCCCGCAGCAATGATTCCCAGCCCGTCCCCAGACCCTCTTCCCCCCACGACGTGTCTGGCCCTGTCGACGCAGTGCTAGGTCCCACTGCAAGGCCGGGTGGGGGGCACAAGGCGTCCCGTCTGCCGCCAAGAGGTGTCCTGGCTAAGAAGGCTTGGTCCCCTGAAGTTCACCTCTCACCCCGGATTGGGTGAAGGGCCTTTTTGCCTTCCCATCTTTCACCTTTGGGGTCCATTTTCCCAGAAATGCAAGTGCCCACGTTTGCTTTTACCAAAGTTGTCTCCTATATCTTCCCAGTCGTGTTAAGCCTGCTACTGATAGTCTGATAGTTCTTATTTGCAACCTTTTGACCTACCTCATCAAATATGGATAATGATGACATACTGGGATCTGAGTCTAGTATCTGAGGCATGATAAGTTTCATTTCCTATTTCTCCACCTCCCACTCCCAGAATTCCTGTATCTTCTCACATGATCACCACTTATGGAAAAACAGTAGGGACCTGACTCTTCACAGCCACTCCAGCATAGTGGACTGTTAGCACTTGAAATTCTAACAAGAGTGAGATGAAGCAAGGTACTGAGTTCTCTCTCATCCAGGATGATGCTGACCAGAACAGAAATGGGTCACAGATTTGCTTCCACTTTATCAGCTCAATTTTGAAGTCCTGCTCCCACAGCTTCCTTAAAGGTAAAGGTACCCCTGCCCGTACGGGCCAGTCGTGTCCGCCTCTGGGGTTGCGTGCTCATCTCGCTCTAGAGGCCGTGAGCTGGCGCTGTCCGAAGACACTTCCGGGTCACGTGGCCAGCGTGACGAAGCTGCAGCTGGCGAGCCAGCACCAGTGCAGCACACGGAAACGTCGTTTACCTTCCCGCTATAAAGCGGTCCCTATTTATCTACTTGCACTTAAGGGTGCTTTCGAATTGCTAGGTGGGCAGGAGCTGGGACCAAACGACGGGAGCTTACCCCGCCGCGGGGATTCGAACCGCCGACCATACGATCGGCAAGTCCTAGGCACTGAGGTTTTACCCACAGCGCCACCCGATCCCCCCACAGCTGCCTTGGGGAGTGTCTAATACCCCTGTGGCAACTCGCAATAAAATCTTTAAAACTTCCAAAAAAATAAAATAAGAATACAACAGTTAAACCACACATATAAAAAGCATTTGGAAACTTTTAAAATACTCATAAATTACAAAAATTCATATTCAAGGGAAACTAACAGTAAGAAACCCATGTTAACTAGAATCAGCCATATCTTATAACCCATACAAACATACTCATTGTGTGGTTTAGCAACTGCATTATTTTTTACCTTGATAAGCCTTTGATAAAGGCAATTGTGCCCAAATGTGATGGGCATATTTAACAATGAAGCATTCCCATTGTTTGGGCGTCTTTGAGAGACATTTCTCTCCCCCCCCACACCCCTTTTAGGTTAGCGAAAAATGCTCAGGTGGGTTGTGGCATTCAATTCTGGGCATCCCTGGATGCAGCAGATTATCTGGAATCCATTTTAATCTGGTTCCCAAATCCCATGTCACTTTTTTTTTGGACTGAAGCGGCATTGGTCTCCCTAGTGGACGACCTTCGCAAGGAGAGGGACATAGAGAGTGTGACTCTATTGATTACCCTGGACCTCTCAGTGTGGCTTTCGATACCATCGACCATTATATCCTAATGGACCAGCTGGCTGGGAGGGAACTGGGGGCACTGGAGTCCAGTGGTTCCAGTCAAACCTGACATGCTGGTTGCAGAGGGAGATGCAAGGAGGCTGGTGTTGCTGCTACTAAGGGTTATACAGAGTGTTTCCTGTGCTGTATGAAACTACTAGAGGAAGTTGTCTAGGAATTTACAGAGAGGTGCTGGTAGTAAGCTTATAGCAGTTCATTTCCCCTTTCATCAAATTTAGGTGAGGCCAGGGGTAGCCTGAAAAGGGGTCTGGAGCTAATGCATTGGGAGATGGAGACCAATAAATTGCAACTTTATACAACTTTATTAAGGCAGCCTTTGTCAACCTAGTGGCTTACAGATATTGTTGGAGTCCAACTCCTATCAGCCCCAGTGCACATGGTCAACGGTCAAGGTTGATGGGAAACGGAGTCTAGCAATATCTGAAAGGACATGGGTTCCCCTTCCCTGCCACAGAACCATAGAGTGGGAAGGGACCTTGGAGGTCACCTGAATGCAAAATCTGCAATACATGATTTGCAATTATAATATCTCTGGCAAACAGGCTGGGCTTCAAGCCTTTGCTTCAATGACTAGTAGCCATTGATGCTCCTCATCGTCTATGAATTTGTCTAATCCTCTTTTAAAGCCATTTGTGTTGGTGGCCATCACTGACTCCTTGTGGTCAGGTCTTGCAAAGCTCTATGCACCTGGGTTTGAAAGCTCAGGTGATCTGATGTTTCATCTTGCAAGACCTGGTAATCAACTGATGCCCAGGGTTTGGGTCAGCTGCAAACCTGCCAACCCTCTTTCAGCTGAGCCAGGTCCTTACCCGCCCCACCCCTGACATCATATACAACATAATGTATAGGACAGGTGGGTGTGGCTTAGCCAGATGGGGAGCCTTAGTGGGCCTCATTAACCCCTGAGGCTGGAGGTTGCCCACCACTGCTATAACTCAATAAACAGTCATGCAGTTAAAATATGGATAGCATTAGGACATCACATTGCAAGCATGTCACCTTTGGGCTAGCGTAAACCTGAGGCTTTGAATCAAAGTTTGCACTGGAGGCTTCCTAGATTGTTACACAGGTGCTGGGCTTCTGCAAGATATCAGCTCTCTCCTCTATGAATCTGTTGGAAATCAAAATAGAAGTTAGTGCAGTGCTAGTTAAATGTCATAAAGACTTGTGCTTTCTTCAGGCAATGTGGAAGTATGTAATAATGACTTGACTGAAAGTTATGAGGAGAGCTCAGGCAAAAAAGGAAGCACCTGTAAAAGGACATCGTGACCTGGCCATTGTGCTCTGGTATGGATTTATCCACTTTTCAGCATGCTTTTTAAAATCCCAATAAGTGGATGTTTTTCCCCACATTGCTTTTAGCTCAGCCAAGCAAAGATAAACTAATTAGGGTTATAATTACATAAGCAGTTTTATGTTGTTTCTTTCACCACATGGAGAGGTCCATGTGGTTACACGGATTGAGTAGCAGCAGGCAGCTGGACTGTCCAGCTGAGGAATGTCAGGCTTAAGGTTGATTCATAATTGAAATGTATGGCCCAAGTGCCACATAGCGGAGATGCACCACTTGGCTGGAAGAGAAATAACGCCCCCCTCAACTGCCCATGATTGAAAGATTGCCAAGCGAATGCCTCTGAAATGCTTTTGGCTTCAAACTTGGGTTGTCCTGTTGGCTAATCATCAGCACTTGCATTCCCTCTTGTGACCACAATTGGCTAAAAACCTCTGAATAGCAATGTTCCATCAATGAGCAGCTCACTAACTTTACAACACCTCGGAAGCTGTCAAAAGAAGATGCAATCGATAAAGATGAGAATTAAGGTGTTGTTATTGTGGACACCCATTTGCCACTTTTGGTGAGCCAAATAGACCCTCCAAGTGGTTCACAGTTAAAACCTATTATTTTTGGTGTGTCACTTTTTTTAAAAAAAAATATTTTTTTCTATTGTATGCAGCAATGCAAACAATATAACACCTGAGAACAATAATGAAAGGGGCATCTGAAATTAAAGATCTCAAGTTTGTTTGCCATACAGTGAAGACAAGGGAGAGATGAGATCACCAATGAGCCTGTCACTGAAATGTCCACAGCTGTCCATGCATACATGGTAGATGGTTCTCTTGTCTGATTCTCTGTATGCACTGAATAAAATGAAACTAAAGAATAGGAGAAACTGTCCATTTTTGGGCATCCTTATGCTTTTTAAATCTGACTTGTGAGCTTCTCAGCCAAAGCCATGTTGCCGACACGACTATACCAAGTGCCCAAGGAAACACCCTCAAGGGTCTGGCACTTATGCACTATTGCCGCCACCAAGAGGATCTCCAAATCGTTATATCCTGGTTAGTGTGCGATACAACCAACATCCTTCAGTCTAATTAATGTATGAAGACCATAGAGTAAGCTGTCCCTCAGGCTTAACTATGTTCACTTCCTTCACCTTGGGAGGAAATAGGTAATCAAGGTTTTGTTCTCCTTCAATCTACCTGAGAAGCTCAGCATGTAAAGAGGTCTGAGCTGATTCTCCAAGCTCAGACCACATGGCTCCAACAAGCCATTCTTACATTCCTATATTTTAGGAAATTTCACCACTTTGTAATAGCTAAACTTCTCTGTCTGTGCAACCTATTCTGAAGCACATGAGTCTGACCTTTGGGGAGTTGGTAAATAAATTTTTTTTTTAACTTACCAAATGTGTGGACTTTTCAATGCTAGAGGAGGAAGTTTTGGAACTCACAAGGTCATGTTTTAGAGGTCTAGCAGGCTATATTTCTACACTTTACTTTGCTGCATATTTTGTGATTTTAAATTTCTGCTGTGGTTCCCTCACCAAAGAGTACTTGCCCCAAACTTGGATCTTGGCATCCAGGAATCCTACATTTATACCTATTGTAATCAACAGTTAGAACCCTCAGCAAGGCTGAACCAGGCATTGTGAAGGTTTGACCTATAATGAGTGGTTTCTGAAACTGCAAATAAGCTTAATCATAATCATGACCATTGTTACTATAAATAACTGCTTATTGAATCATTTTGTCTTTACATTGTTTACCATCTAGCCAGATGAAGAGTCCTGAAGAACTTGAAAAGCTTGTGCAGTGTTTTGTGATACTTTGGTTGGTCTATTATAGGTTAAGCTAAGCGGTTTTTTTTATGGACCAAGATGGTTCCCCTTACTTTTTGTGTGCTTGGAAAATACCAAATTTAACTGTTCAACAGTCAGGTCCTAAAATGAGAATAGTATACCACTTAAAGATGGAACTTGATTCTCTTAGGGAACATGCCCTCCAACTGATACATAAACTACTGGTTTCTTCTGGCTTTTATTTCTCTAGTTCCACTTTTGATAATATGCCTACTTTTTCTTTATTCCTGCTTTCCATCTATCTGAGACAGACCTGGGTAACAGCTGATTTTAGTGCACAGCTGTGCTGGCTAGACCTGATAGAAATTTTAAGGACAGTCCAGCCCAAACTTGCTGGAATATGTTACGTCAGCTTTCCCCTGGTGACTTCCAAATGTTTCAGACTACAATTCCCATGAACCCAAGCCAGCAAACATCTATGATGTTGGGGCTGATGGGGATTGTAGTCCAAAACATCTGGAGGGCACCGGTTTGACGAAAGCTGGCTTAGACATTAGTGGGGACAATCACAATATAGGGATAATTTTACAGAACTGATGCAAGTATTACTGAGATACTGTATATAAAGCTTTTTGAACACTTGAGATGTGCTATATAGGAACTTATTTTTATTTTTTGCTGAGGACAATTGCATTGCCCACTGCAAACTCACATCTGGGTTTCAAAAGAGGCAGACATTCATAGCCTATAACCAGTGGTAGCAGCAACAGCAACTGCTGTCACTAGTGAGAACCAGGGCAAAATAATTACTGAGAAAATCTCATCCCTCCCCAGAGCAAATGGGATCAATCCACTGTTGTTCAAGGGGAAGGTCAATGGCATGGGAATTGGGGGAGGGATGTATTTATGAAAGGAAGCGCTTCTCACTTACAGAGTCAGCTTCCAAAAGTCTGTCTTTATAGGGGGCGGGGAAGCCTCAGGTTTCTTATCTCTCACTTGATTAATCCAGTAAAAAAAAAAGGGGGTTGTAGCTGCTTCAGAAAGTTTTATTTATCCACCCATCCCAATTCTTCCTAGGTTTACATGATGTGGTGTTTGGGTCCACAGACACAATGGCAAGCAATAAGATTCAAACTACCTGTGAAAAACACAAAACGGAAAAGCATGATAGAAGTGTATAAAAGGATGCATGGCATGGAGAAAGTGGATAGGTAAGTCCCCCCTTCCCGCTGCTCTTATAACACTAGAATTCATTGACACCCAAGGAAGGAGAATGTTAAAAGATTCAGGACAGATAAAGGGAAGTATTTGTTTATGCAGCACATAGTTAAAACTATGGAGCTCCCTCCCGCAAGAGGCACTGATAGCCACCAACTTGGGTCATGGGGGGAAAAGGGCTATCTATGGCTACTAGCTATGCTCTGCCTCCACAGTCAGAAGTTGCAATGCTTTTGCATACCAGTTGCCTGAAGCCACAGGAGAGGACAGATTGGCCACTGTCCAGACAGGAAGTTGGACAATGGTCCATTGACCTCATCCAGCAGGCTCTTCTTATGTTCTTAAGCTGAACACTGGAAGATTCAAAATAGACCAAAATAAAGTACTTCTTCACACAGCACATCGCTAAACTGTGGAATTTACTTCCACGAATTGGCCGCCAACTTGGATGGACTGGATTAGAGTCATAGAATCATAGAGTTGGAAGAGACCACAAGGGCCATCGAGTCCAACCCCCTGCCAAGCAGGAAACACCATCAGAGCACTCCTGACATATGGTTGTCAAGTCTCTGCTTAAAGACCTCCAAAGAAGGAGACTCCACCACACTCCTTGGCAGCAAATTCCACTGTCGAACAGCTCTTACTGTCAGGAAGTTCTTCCTAATGTTTAGGTGGAATCTTCTTTCTTGTAGTTTGGATCCATTGCTCCGTGTCCGCTTCTCTGGAGCAGCAGAAAACAACCTTTCTCCCTCCTCTATGTGACATCCTTTTATATATTTGAACATGGCTATCATATCACCCCTTAACCTCCTCTTCTCCAGGCTAAACATGCCCAGCTCCCTTAGCCGTTCCTCATAAGGCATCGTTTCCAGGCCTTTGACCATTTTGGTTGCCCTCCTCTGGACACGTTCCAGTTTGTCAGTGTCCTTCTTGAACTGTGGTGCCCAGAACTGGACACAGTACTCCAGGTGAGGTCTGACCAGAGCAGAATACAGTGGCACTATTACTTCCCTTGATCTAGATGCTATACTCCTATTGATGCAGCCCAGAATTGCATTGGCTTTTTTAGCTGCCGCGTCACACTGTTGGCTCATGTCAACCAAGACTCCTAGATCCTTTTCACATGTACTGCTCTCAAGCCAGGTGTCACCCATCTTGTATTTGTGCCTCTCATTTTTTTTGCCCAAGTGCAATACTTTACATTTCTCCCTGTTAAAATTCATCTTGTTTGTTTTGGCCCAGTTCTCTAATCTGTCAAGGTCGTTTTGAAGTGTGATCCTGTCCTCTGGGGTGTTAGCCACCCTCCCAATTTGGTGTCATCTGCAAATTTGATCAGGATGCCCTTGAGTCCATCATCCAAGTCGTTGATAAAGATGTTGAATAAGACCGGGCCCAAGACAGAACCCTGTGGCACCCCACTAGTCACTCTTCTCCAGGATGAAGACGAACCTTTGGGTTCGGTCAGTCAGCCAGTTACAAATCCACTGAGTGGTAGCATAGTCAAGACCGCATTTTACCAGCTTCTTTACAAGAATATCATGGGGCACCTTGTCAAATGCCTTGCTGAAATCAAGGTAGGCTACATCCACTGCGTTCCCTTCATCTACCAGGCTTGTCCCAGGGGTCAGCAAACTTTTTCAGCATGGGGCCAGTCCACCGTCCCTCAGACCTTGTGGGGGGCTGGACTATATTTTGAAAAAAAATATGAACAGATTCCTATGCCCCACAAATAACCCAGAGATGCATTTTAAATAGAAGAACACATTTTACTCATGTAAAAACACCAGGCAGGCCTCACAAATAACCCAGAGGTGCATTTTAAATAAAAGGACACATTCTACTTATGTAAAAACACGCTGATTCCTGGACCGTCCGTGGGCCGGATTGAGACAGTGATTGGGCTGCATCCAGCCCACGGGCCTTAGGTTGCCTACCCCTGGACTAGACTTTCATGGAGAATAAGACTGTTAATAGCTACTACCACAATGGATATGTATGCCTCTGAATTACAGTTGCTGGGAATCACAAGCAAGGAGAGCTTTGTTGCACCCCAGCCATCTGGTTGGCCACTGAGAGAACAAGATGCTAGACTACAGAGGGCATTTGACCTGATCTAGCTGCAAGGCTGTTTGATTGTTCTTATGAACTACGAGGTCCTGACCCACCTTCTCAGTACAAGTCTTGGTTTAGTGCATCCTTTTTAGTTGGGCTGGCCCCTACCAAGGGTGCAGGGCCAGGTGCGTCTGCAAAGATCACATCTCTCCATTCTGTCTCAGAGTAGCTAGGCTCCTGCCTGTCCTCACACTCCTTGGGGCACTCCTCCTTTGCTCTGGGCAGCCAGGCAAGGGACGCAGGCTCCTCTACCAAGCATGCAAAGAATGGGGGGCAACAATACATTTCCTGGCCAAGGTAGCAAGGTTGGGGGGGGGGCACCAATATAGCTCCTTGCCAAGGATGCAAGGGAGCCTAGGTTTGCTTCTGGGTATCCCCTAGGAGCCTGTGGAAGAAACAGCCTTGGGCTGAAGCCTCTGGGCTTGGCTGAAGAACATTCTCAAGCAGAAGCTGCTGGCGCAGGGATGGGGCAGGAGGACGACAGCCCTCCTTGTCTGGAGGCTTCCCTGAGCTTGGTTCGACCTTCACTTTGCCTCAGGTCACATGCACACACCACGTCAATAATGACATGTGAGATAACAAATGAGCTGTCGCTGCCAATTAGCACGCTGGGCTAAATCTGCTCCTGGGGCTTTCAGTGCCACACAGAGGTGCTGGGCCAGCTCCCAATCAGCTCACTTCTCTGGCTCCAGCCCTCTGGCTCTCCTTGGGACACAAGGGCCAAAGTCAAACAACGGAGGGATGGAGCCAGCACAAAGCGTACTGGGGAAAAGCAGGGCCGAGCCTCCAAGGGAATATTAGCGATGACCCGGAGGGCAGGGAGGTCTGTAGCAAGGGCTCTTTTGGCACTGCTGGCTTAGTATGCTGGATGCAGCTCCTTCAAGCAAAGCAGCAGCTTAACCCACAGGCTGCACAGCAGCGAATGACCTGAGCCTTCCCCAACCGAGTGCAATGAGGAGGTGAAGAACCCCTCACTTTGAACTTAGGCTGGTAGGCATGTTGGCAGGGCCACAGCACACCCTACAGCAGCCTTTGCCAATCAACATCATCTGTTGCCCTCCACATTTTGGAGCACAGCTCCCATCAGCTCCAGCCAGCATTGCACTGTAGTCCAAGACAGCTGGAGAGCACCATGTTCATGAAGACTACTCCACACTGCAGCCCAGAAACACTATTGTGATCCTGTGCAAAAGAGCATGCCCTCTTGATACCCAGCAAGAGCACTAACCCCTCCTGCTTAAGGCAGAAACCGAAATGGGGTGGGAAGTGTCCCCAAGGAATTTATCCATCCCACCATGCAAGCAACAGCTGCATCTTCCAAGACAGTCCCAACTCAAGCCCCTAAGAGCCTGGCTGTTGTATCAGGTCCAAGGCTACCAAGACCTGTTTCCAGCTTGCCACACCAGCCAACCAGATGCCTCCACAGGGCATGAGTGCAACCACCATCTCTCCGCTCCTGTTTCCCAGCAACTGGTTTTCAGTGACATGCTGCCTGACATACTGGAGGGAATATGTAGCCATCACGACTAGCAGCTATTGATAGCCTTATCCTCCTTGGCTCTGGACGTTGCTTAGTAGCAGAGCAAATGCCTTCTGTGCAAAAAGCTGGATGTTCATTCCCTGGCATTTCTGGGCAAAAAGATCTCTGCTGGGATGGCTGAGGACGCCTGAATCCAGCCTTTGCCAACCTGGTGCACTTCAGATGTTTTGGTCTGCAATTCCCACCTGCCTCAGCCAGTGGAGGTATAGCCTAAAAGTTCTGGAGGTAGTTGCCCAGAAAGGAAATTTCAGCTGAGGAGGTCACTAACTGCTTCTTTTACAAGGCTCTTTCAGTTCCGGTGTGTTACTATAAGGGAAAATGAAAAACAAAACATAAACAACTTTTTTCTTCCAATAGTAGATTTTTGTTATTAAAAAACAAAAATATACCTTTCTTCAGTATCTCAAAAAAGCACCCATGCTAACATTTAAGTTCATCCAAATTCAATTAACAAATCAATAGATTCTTTTGAAAGGCAAAAGCATTCTTAGTCTTAAAACATTTAGGCATGTATGGAGCCTACCTGAAATTCTGTGTGTCCAGCAAGGAGGGTGCTTTGCTTATATTCTTTGCGTCTTTCCTCCTGCTAAGAGGAACAGAGCTGTTCATGTGCCAGTGCTGAAATGAAATTATTTATTCAAAGTAATTGCTTTGGAGCTATCTTTTCTAACCTGGAACACTCCATCATGGCCTAACTGTGGCTAATGGGAGTTGTGTACAAATTCCCGCTCACCCCCTCCCAACAGGTGGGCGGAGTTTGCGACCCTGTGCGGGGCTTACCTGGCCGGGTGCCACCCACCTGGTAACAAAGTGAACCATGAGGACCGGGACATTCGCAGGGAAACCAAATGGACCACTTATAAACGCCATCTCCAACTCCTCGAAAGATTCCATCAACAGTGTCTCCAAAAAATTTTACACATCACTTGGGAAGACAGGTAAACTAATATCAGTGTACCGGAAGAAGCAAAGATCACCAGTGTTGAAGCAATGATTCTTCAACATCAACTTCTTTGGACTGGTCATGTTGTGCGGATGCCTGATGATCGTCTTCCAAAGCAACTTCTCTATTCCGAACTTAAAAATGGAAAGCGTAATGCTGGTGGTCAACAAAATAGGTTTAAAGACTGTCTCAAGGCAAATCTAAATAAAAAGTAGTATAAACACTGACAACTGGGAAACACTGGCCTGCGAGCACTCCAGTTGGAGAACAGCCTTTACCAAAGGTGTCATGGGCTTTGAAGACACTTGAACTCAGGACGCAAGGGAGAAAGGTGGTAAGAGGAAGGCACGCTTGGCAAATCCACATTGTGATCAACTCCTGCCTAGAAACCAATGTCCTCACTGTGGAAGGACATGTGGATCCCGAATTGGCCTCCACAATCACTTACAGACTCATTGTTAAAACCGTGTTTATGGAAGACAATCTTACTCAGCTACAAGTGATCTCCAAAGAAGAAGAACTGGTAACAGGGTGTCTTCGGCACACCCCTGCCTGGCAGGCCAATGGGCTGCTGGCGGGGGTGTGGCCTGGGACAGGTATAGGGGCCATTCGATCCATCGCCAATGCTCATGCGAGTCCTGTACAAAACAGCTGGAGGGCAGGTTAGGGAAGGGTGCTTTTGAGTGTAACAACAAACACCTTCAAAGGCCAGTTCTGGTAGTAAAAACCAGGAGGTGTGTGCAAAATCAAGAGGTGGCATTTTGAAACTGTCTCCCCAGGAAGCCCACAATGTATGCTGAACCTTTAATGCAGAGGTTCTGGCATTCAGCGTTTTAATTTCTAGATGACTTTTCAACATTAATTAATTTCTGGCCCTGCACACAGGTGCAAACATAATGTTCTCCCAATTTCCATCTTCATGTGTTGCCTCCTCTGAGAAAAATGAGTCGCAGATGGCCTGGTCGGACTCCAAATGCCTGATCAAACACAGGGGACAGACTGAGCAAAATGTAGAGCAAGTAACAGATCAAAGGACAGACACAAAAGGCTGAGTTCAGCCTAGAAGAACTAACTGAGAAATATCAACATCAAACCTTTTCTCATTGTGTACTTCTAAAAATACAAGAAGGGGTTGAGAAATGCTAGAAGGAAGGATGTGGCAAGCACTGGCCATATGGCAAGAGATGAAAAATATACTCCTGTTGTCCCCCATCAGCAGAACAAGAGGCCAATCAGTTGTGGGGAAGAAGGCAGGAATCCAACCAAAATCTGCCTCTACTCCATCATAATGTATGAGGAGTGCAACTTAAACAAGTGCTTATGCCCACAACAAGGAAGAGTTACATCAGCATTTCAATATGTTTTCCTCCTGCCAGGGGCAGTTCTGATAGGGCCACTCTGGACTTGTGCAACTATGAAGCCATACTAACAGATCTGAATAATTCAGCCTCAATAAACAGGTATAGACAGGCTTGCTTTTGCTAAAACCAGTTTTATTTATAATGCAATGCTAAACAAATTGTAAAAGGGAAACTGTAAAAGGGATTACTAATTTTCACCTACACTGAAATTATGCTGTTAAGGATGGAACAGAACCCAGAATGCAAAATCTGGAACCTGGAGATTCCCAAGACAGAGGATGTTGAAGAGAGCATATACTTTCCTGGAACATAGGGAAATCCATGCCAGGGGATGGTACAGAGGGGCTCATGGGTTGTCAAGCTGAGTCTGCAGCAAAGGCAGAGAAATAGCGGGCGGGAGTGGGACATTTATCCCTCCCTCCGCCAAAATAAGCAATACACAATGGAAGCAGGATAAAATGTCATTTAGATTAAAAGCCTAAGCTATTTAAGTGCAACAGCTTCCTCCAATAAATTGTGGGAGAAGCAGTTTTGCGAGTGCTGAGAATTCTCAGTTAAAAGATCCCAACTCCATTCAGAAAACTGCATTTCAAAGGACTGGGAAAGCTGCCCACTAAATTAAGATTAAGTAGAGTAGCTAAGCCCCTTGGACAGGAAGCTTCCAATGGGCAGGCACCAAGAGGCACATTAAAATATATTGGAGCTGCCTTTTCTCCCTAAGAAAGATCACTTTTCTAGCAAATAAAAGCAAAGGCAATAACCTGGTAGACTATGTACAAATACTCCAGTGATGATTTCTGAGGGCAAACTCATTTGCCTGAGAATTGTTCATCCTTTTGCCCTGCATTTCTAGAGTCATCACTTGAAAGATTAAAACATAGCTGCATTAGATTGAATAAAATGTTAATTATTGCCCAATAAGATTTGTTCCAATTGATTGTATCCATTCAGACACAAACCCAGAATAATCTTGTACGTCCTTAGAAGAGTGAGTGGACGGGTGCAGGCCACACAGTGTTAGCCAACATTCCTCAGAAATATGCTCTAGTTCAATCTCAAGATGTTACCAGGGAGATTTTCAATTCATAAAATGAACATCATTTCCTCTTTTGTCTCTTGCCATGGAAGTGTCAACTGTGCCCTTCATGCACTCAGCTGTCCAAGTCAGAAAATTTTCTCTTCTTGTAATTCTGGATTAGGCTGGATGCTGTGATCTGGGAGGCCTGACCCTTTTCCCAGCACTGGAAGTCATTAAGTCCTTTCTGGCCTGCTTGAAATAAGGCTCGTTCCAACTCATCCAGACGGGCTACCAGCACAGACGTGTCCTCATTGAATGCATTCTGGGAAGAGTCCATGATGCGACGGAATCGGCCAATAAATGTCTGAAGAGGGAAGCAGAGTTACTTAGAATGGAAGGAAGTCCTGAGTAGGCTCAAGTAGCCAAAGGGAGCGCCAGGCTACACACAGGACCAGGTTAACAAACTATAGCAGCAGTCGGCGGGTGGGTGACTTTTTCCAGCCCAAGGTCACAGTCCATCATGGCCAACCTTCTTGGGGCTGCATGTTAGCGAGGTCAGAGGCAAAAGCGGGAAGAATAATGGATGCAAGCCTAACCTTTGTACAATGGGCTACATTTCAGCCACACAAACGTCAGAGATTTCTACACACACACACACCTCCACCTCCACCCAGGGAAGCAAAAGGTATTATCACAGATCAAGGACACATTCCAGGCAGGCAAAAGCACTCAAGGAAGGCATGGAACAGGGCTGGTGTGGGTCCTGGCCTGGGAAGAGACAGAAAGATCTGGGTCAAGTTAGCTTCTCCTTTGACTGAGGCTTGCTGTGGCTGAATTATGAGTATAATGATTTGGGACCATGGTAGCATCTAGGCCATAGAAGGCCATTTACTTAATGACAATCCAATGGATTTGGTTTAGTTTTTGCAATGGATCAATGCCGCTACCTCCAATTTTCTGTGCTTGGATAATACCATGTTTAGCTGTCTAAGAATAGGATTTTAAAACAGGAAAGAAATGATATTCTAGCAAACGAAGGTGGGACTTAAAACTTTTGGAGATAACATGCCCTCCAAAACACTAGGAAAAACTATCCAAATTGGCCTTTAGTGTACCATGCAAAGCATGCTCCATTTGAAACAGGAGAGGCAATTCAGGTGCTTGACCACTGCCTGGAGCTGGTAATGTGGACCCATACATTAAACTGAATCTGGACAGGAGAGGTACTGTGTGCTGCAGGTACTCAAGTCCAGGTGGTAGGGAGATGGGTTGGTACTCCCCTGGAAGCATCTAAGTTACCTGAGGACCAGGTGGCCTTGGTGGCTAGGAGAGCCTATGTCCAGCTCTGGTTGGTATGGCCCTTCCTGGTCAGGGATAGTTTGGCCACAATGATCCAAGCCCAGGTGACTTCCAGACTGTACTACTGCAATGCACTTGAAGATGGTTTGGAAGCTGCAACTTGTGCAGAATGCAGCAGTCACACTGCTAGTGAGTGCCAGACACACATTACAACAGTCTTGAAAGATCTGCAGTAGTTGCCTAGCCCAATTTGGCACTGACATACAGGGCCTGAAATGACTTCAGCCCAAAATATATGAAGATACACCTCCTCCCACATCAACCTGCCTGTGTGTGCCAATGGACAGTGGCCAGTGAGAGGGCCTTCTCTGTGGTGGCTCCCAGGTTATGGAATGACCTCCCCTCCCAAGTTTTATCTTGTGCCACTACTGTGTGCTTTTAACTAGGATATTTCTGTAACCCACCCCAGGGTCATTTAGGCTATTACTACAAATAATAAACAAACAAAATAATTATAAGTAAATCTAGATAAAGTCTAGCACTGGATACTGACATGAATAAATGCTACACACTTTATTTTCCAAAAATGAGGACGCAGCCACTGTCACCTCTTTGTCACAGCAGCCCTGGGCACATCCTGCCATGTCTGACACCTGGTGAGGCTTATCTATTTATGTCTGCATAGCCTCTCCTGCACTCCCATTTTAAGATAGTTGTGAACTGTAGATTTGGAGTGACAAGATCCTGCTCAACTCTTTCTACCCTCCCCTCCCCCTCCCTCCTGTTTTGTTGAACATTCATTCAGATGAAGAGAGTTGAAGAACTTGAAAGCTTGCTCAAAATTTAGCGGCACTTTGGTTGATTCTAATGAAGGTCTTTGCCATTTGGCACTGAAGCAAGTGTTGTACTTGCCATGATAAGTCAAAAAAGCACAGGGGAAAATTGGGTGGGAAGGTTGCTATGAACGTTTAAACAGCTCTCAAAGAGCAACACTTCACTACCAAAAGAAGCCATAGCACAGAGAGCTCAGAAGCATTAAGGGGAAGAAGCCTTCTGTCAAATTCGGTGTTTTACCTGCAATATAGTCTGAGCTAGTTCAGTATTTTCAGGACTGTCAAAATTCAGCAGCTGGGAGCCAAATCCATAGTAGTATGGCCCCAATTTATGCAGGTCAACCACATTGGCATCTGCATTTAACACCGTCCGCCAGCTCTCCTTGTAAATCTTTGGCAATTCCACAGAAAGGATCCTCCGTTTGTTGTCATATAAGCCTTTGGCCAGCCAGAGGGGGATTTCCAGCTTTGAGCCCTGTATAAATCAAAATACAAACAAGGTGAAAACCAACAATAAGCAGTATACATAAAACTGTAGCAGACTTGCAGCCGTGTTATGTACTCCAAGAAACTTGCATTGGCTGCCATAGTAACTTGGAAGCAAATTTGTTTGCAGCCTAAAGAGAAACTTGCACAAACAGAAACTGCACTGAAATTGCGGGGTTGAAGCACATTCTGCCTCACATTTGGGATGTGGTGTAGGACAGGGAAGCAATATAAAGTGATTCTAACATTTTGGGAGGGGGAGTTGGGAGGATAACAGTTTCAGACATTTGAACAAAATTGTACTGGCAGTGTCTCCCAGATGAACAGGTAAAATTAAGGAATAGACAATAGCAGACTTTCCATACATTTTAGACTACCAGAACAGTAACGAAAATATGTGTTTTTACACTATAATCTTAAGTGGTTTGACGCTATTGGGATGCTTGATTTGGGTAACCCTAATAAAATTTTGTTATATTTTTTTATTGTGTCAGGTTATATTTCTACACAAAATAGCACAGGGAAGTGTAGAGATGTATATAAAAAAGGGTAGGAATGAAATAAAGAGACTGGAAAATTACAAAATTAGAATCATTCCAAATGGAGATAGCAAACTTTAAAAAACAATACTGTGAATAGAATGTTTTTACATTTTAACTGTAATAATATCTGAGAATTTGATTAAAGTTACTTCAGAAAGACAAAAGAAAAGGATTAACTGTTGTCAATCTATAATGAAATGGTTTCAGGCTTTTAAAAATGGATTTGAAAGATAAAGGTCAAACAAAGCAATAATATTTTTATTGCTCTAGAATTTTTTTTAAAAATGGTTCCAAAGTAAGGTGCACCACAAATTTATGCGTGTGGTAAAAAGTACAGAAAATGTAAATTAAGACATTTGCTCTAACTTTCATGCCATATAAAGAGAGCCAGTGTGGTGTAGTGGTTAGAATGTCAGACCAGGACTCAAATTCCCGCTCAGCCATGAAGCCCACTGAGTGATCTTGGGCCAGTCACTGTCCTCTCAGCTAAACCTAGCTCACAGGAATGTTGTGGGGATTAAATGAACAGGGAGCTACCTTGAGCTCCTTGGAGAAGAGGATATATATGCAACAAATGATAAATAACCTCATATTGCAGTGGGAAGGTGAATGTGGCTGAAACTGTTAGCTACAATAGCTTTACAGCTGTAGTTCCCAAGGAAGTTGCAGTTCAAAAGAACTGGAGAACAGCAGGTTGGGGACAGCCCTGTAGCTACAGAGGAGAGGAACACAGGAAGCTGCCTGATACCATGTCACACCATTGGTCCATCTAGCTCAGTACAGTCTATACTGACTGGCAGCAGCCCACTGGGGTTTCACGAAGGCTTCTTCCCCAGCCCTACCTGGAGATGCCAGGGATTGAACCAGGGGCCTTCTGCATGCGAAGCAGATGCTCCACCGCTGAGCTGTGGACCCTCCCTCAAGATGGACCCCCTCCCCCTCCTCAGGTGCCAAAGTTTGGGTGAAGTCTAAAAAGGTTTGGGCTCTACTCTCTTGAGCCAGAGCAAGCCTTAGCCTCTCCTTCCCAGGAGCTCCAAGCCGGCTTGGAGCACCAGCCACGAAGAAGCATGATCTACAGTGGTACCTCGGGTTACAAATGCTTCAGGTTACAGACTCCACTAAGCCAGAAATAGTGCTTCAGGTTAAGAACTTTGCTTCAGGATGAGAACAGAAATCATGCTCCGGCGGCACGGCAGCAGCAGGAGGCCCCATTAGCTAAAGTGGTGCTTCAGGTTAAGAACAGTTTCAGGTTAAGTACGGACTTCCGGAACGAATTAAGTACTTAACCTGAGGTACCACTGTACTTGGGTTGCCCATCCAGAGCCCAAAGGCATGCAGAAGCCTCATGCTCTGCTGACCTGCATTCAGATGCATTGCACTTTTAAATTATTTAGGACCTCATTAAGGGAAAAGATTAAAAAGAGAAGGCTTGAGTTACAAGAACATGAACAGCTGCCCTTGCTGCTACCTTCTGCATTCATACAATCATAGAAAGGGACCCCCAGGGTCATCTAGTCCAACCCCCTGCAGTGCAGGAATCCTGTCCGCAGCCGTCTCTGGTTGAGCTCTACCAACCAACCTTCTGGTTAACAGCCAGATGCACCGACCCATTGTGCCATTTCAGTCATACAACTATCTTGGATTCCCCCACTGAAATCCCGGGATTTCTCATTGTCCTCCGAGACACTTCAAACTCAACCCGGAAACTCGCCGTGGTAACGAAGTCGCCTTATAGATCTATGGGCAAAGCCGATTTGAACGGAAGTCTGAACCTCCCGTTCTGTATCGTCACTTCCGACCTGAAGCTGTCGGGAGTTGTAGTCATTCCGTCCAGGAGGGTGGCGGGATGTTAGCTCACCTCAGGGAGCGCGTTGTCTGAGGAGGCGGCGGCGGCACTGGCCGCTTTACCCAAGACGGTGGCGAGGCGAGGTAGTTTGATCTCAGCGCGGCACGGCAGCCTCTCTTGCGACATGAGGATGTCTGCCAGAGAGAGGAAGCTCTCCTCGGTCCCCAGCGCAGCCTCCACCGGCGTGTAGGCCTCGCCCATAGCGCCGCTACAGAAAAGCCCGCGCTTCGTTCGCGCACGCGCACGCCGCCCTTCTCAATGGCCCCTCCTGCGGGGGGCGGGGCGGGGCAGGTCGTGCGCCTGCGCTGTGAGCTCGCTGCTGCAAAGCTCTTGGCTTGTGCCTTTTGCTTGTTCGGGGTTCACTCGCCCTCTTCAAGGCTGCAGGCCTTTTTGGGGGTATCTCCGCTCCGCAAAGAACGGCTGATTTATAAATTTTCATTTTCAATCGTTCTTGACACAGATATTACAGTATAATAGTGCCTAAACCTTGGTGGAAATCTGGCCATGAAACTTAAATTAATTTACAACTAAATAGTAAAGAAGAGTTATCTTGTACGATTTTTTAATGTGGCAGCACCTATACTTTGGGACTCTGCCTGCTTATACCAGGCAGGCGCCTTCACTGCACTTTTTCCATGTCTGCTTAAAACATTTTTGTTTAGGCAAGCCTATTGTATGTATAGAATGTGGACATGTGTTTTAATCTGGTTTTTAGTTTATTGCTGGTTTTAATTATTCAAAGGTTTTAAATAGTTGTCAACAGTTTTTACTGACAATTTTATTGTTTCATTCTTGTTTCATTGCTTTCATTTTTATTATTTCATTCAATTTTATTGTTTCAGTTTTTACGAACATTTTTTTTTATTTCATTCTTTTTTCATTCAATTTTCATTGCTGCATTCTCATGAGGGAAAGTGGAGGACACACACATAGGATGGTAAGGTCAAAAAAGAGCTAGGACTCCCATTTCTCCACCAGAGTGTAGCAACTGAGCCAAGATCGAGTCCTATTTGCATGAATGGGACCTTTCCACCCCCATAGCCTATCATGGGAGGGAGGGCAGCATGCAGGGAGGGTAGGGTTAACCTTTCCCAATTCTGGTGGTGAAGTCAAACCACTGCATTAACCAAAGTTACCTTCTTTGGGTGCAAGCCTAGGCAGTGTATGGAGGTCCTGGGTCACCCAGACGTCAAGCCCCTCCTCCCCTTGGCCTCGCTAAAGTGGTCCAAAGGAAAGCAGAGCAATACATTTGGCACCAGTTTAGTTGCAGCAGTTGCTGGAAGGAGGTGTACAAGGCATCATCCAACCATCTTAGGGGACTCCACTCTGGATTTTTGTAGGGTTAAAAAAAGCTCAACAACTTTGGGGTAAAATCATAAAAAAAGCTCAACAACAACTCCAACCCTAAAAATCTGGCCCTCTTTGGAAAAAGTTTGGACACCACTGCTAGTTTTTTCTTATCTCAAAGATGTTCCACAAGGCAGCAGAGATTTAGGATCAGGGTTTTCCTTCTAGATGAGCTACCTTCCTAGGTTGACAAGCCCCATCTGCTCCTACACCATGTGCAGAAACCGCCTTCTTGAGCCTGTATTCGCATGCAGGGGAAGTCCCTAATTCACTGAGAGTTTGAGACCCATTGGCTACCCTCACCAGGTCTTTTCTTCTAGAAAAAAGAGGTGCAGGAACTTGCTGACCTTTTGTTTTTTTAGGGGGTGCGCCTAGCCAAAGTTGTTGAGTTTTTTTAGGGGAGGTCATCCCTAGAAAAGCTTCTCTTCTTAGGATTCAGAAATGACCCTGGGGTCAGATTTGCCTTAAGTTTAGGGAATGCAGTCATGGATTTGGAACGAGAAGGGGAATTGCAAGCAGGTCTAGTCCCAGAAAGGTTATTGGTCATGAGGCCAGCAAGAAGGAACTCCAGCACCATGGCAACCACGACCTAACAATAGTTGAGTCTGCAGTGCCAAATTCTGGCAAAGGGCATGGTCGCTCCTGGGCTCTACCAGATGGCAGGAAATCAGAGGTCAGGAAATGGCAGGAAATCAGACCAAGCCAAGACCTCTTTGGTAAAAGAAGGCAGAAAAATATATGGTTGCTCTTGACAGAATAACTTGGGAGATGGAATAGGAAAAGGCTCACAGAAAAGAGATGTGTTTTAGAAAGAGCAAGACAAGAACCACATAATGGAGTTTCTAGGAAGGTCAGACAAAGGAGAACAAGAGACAGTGTGGTGTAATGGTTAGAGCAAAGCTTTCCAAACTGTATGTCATGACATGTTAGTGTGTCAGCTGCAGTGTGTAGGTATGTTGCAGGAACGCTCCCTGCACTCCTCCCAGTGTTGGAAAGGGGTTAGTTTAACCTCCAGTTTGCTGGTAAAACTGAATTACTGTGTCGTGAAATGATGCATGTCTAAAGTGTGTCATCAACATGAAAAGTTTGGAAAGTTCTGGGCAGAGCGCTGGAATAGGACCTGGGAGACAAGGGTTAAAATCTCCACTTGGCCATGAAATTCACTGGGTCACCTTGGGCTAGTCACTGCCTCTCACCCTAACCTACCTCACAGGGTTGTTATGAGGGTTAAATGAGGAAGGTGAGGATCATGTACATCACCTTGAGCTTCTTGAAGAAAAAGGTGGGATATAAATGCAATAAATAAAGAATAAACGCAGGACAAGGTTTCAAGAGAACTGGCCATGGATCTTCATCCATCTGTTATACCGGTTGATTTGAGTACAGTATCTTACTTTTCAATCCACTGTGGTAGGAGGGACACCTCTTGTTCTCAAGCCGCACCACAACTCTCTAGTTCAGTCTTTTAAAATGCAATGGCCTCCAAATGTTTTGGACTACAACTCCCATCAGCCCCAACCAGCATAGTTATCATTGCCATATTTCAAAAAGTGAATATCCAGACAAATAGGCACACATGCACCTGGCGAGGTCTTTGTGGTTTCCACAGGATCTCCTCCCTGTGCAGAAATTAATCTTGAAAACAGCATTCTGTTGTAGTCAATAGAATAAGCTGCAGTGCCCATGACAGCTCCTTTGGTTTGCAAATGGTCCATGGGTCCCAAAAGGTTGGGGGTCCCCTGCTTTAAAGCAGTGGCTTTCCAATTTCCTACTTCCAGGCAACCCTGCACCACAATGATGGGCCTTCCAATAAATTCCCACACTTCTGATAAGGAATTCCAACACCATTTTGTGGAGAATTCTGGATCACCCAGTTCATTTTCAGCAGTAAATAAAACTGTGGGAACATCATTGTTGGCCCATTTCTACTGTGTGACCAAGAACACACCCAACCCTCTAGCAACTATACATTGCAAGGGAAGAGGGACAAGAAAAGCTGAATCAGACCAATGGCTTATCTAGTCCAGCATCATCTTCTCACAGTGGCCGACCAGATGCCTGTGGGAAACTTTCAAGCAGCACATGAGCACAACAGCACTCTACCCACCTGTGCTTCCCAGCAACTGGTATGTGGACATGAGACCTCTGACAGTGGAGGTAAACACAGCCATTGTGGCTAGTAGCCGTTAATTGGAGAAGCTTGCCTGCCATTCCTGTGCCTTTCCTTGAGGAATCCCTGAAAGGCCTTCCCTGAAGACATTTTGAAAAACCATTGTACTAAAGAAGATGACAAGTGGTGTCTGTATGTATTGCCTAAGAGAAACAGTTTCAAGGTAAAACTGATCACTGTAACACTAGCAGCGCCTTGCTAGACATGCTGCATTTGCTTCTCCAGTGGCTATGGGATTGATCTGGGCTTCGGAACAGAAAGACTGACTTCTGCTGAAGATGAGAGACGAGGAAAGGTCCTGGGAAATGCCTGTGCCGAGCTTAAGGTCTGCTTTCTTTTTTTCTAACAGGGACATTGCATAGGAAGCCTGTTTTTGTGCTGCTCCATCTTGCCCTCTTCAGCGGCTGGTGAGTGAAACATTTGGGTCTGACCTTGCAGCAGAACATTGGCCGTGGGCGGTAGAGCTAAGAGACCTTTCTGGGCCCAAAGATGCCAGAGGGCACAGAAATGGGGTGGGGACGCAATGCAACGAAGGTGGACATTGTGTGTGTAATAGTAATAGTGTAGTAGTAATAATAATGGTAGTATCTGCTAGCACTGCCACATTAGATGACCCAAAATCCAAACAGTGCATAATACCATAATAAACCAGACTTTTGCCGACCTGATGCCTGCCAGACTTGGACTACAACTCCCATCAGCCTCAGCCAATGGTAAGGCATTATGGGAGCTGTAGTTCAAAACATTTGGAGGCTGCCAGGTTGACAAAGGCTAACACAAACAATGCAAACTAGGCAAACTGGTACACTTGCCATAGGTCACATCTTTAACTGCTGAAGCAGTTTTCAGAGTAGATGACACAAGTTCTCCCCTTCAGGCAGAATTTGGCCAAGGTTGTACACTATTTCAAATGCTCTGCATTCTTTTCCAACTTTTGGATTTTCTCGTGAAAACAGGGCTGATGAGACATAACTGAGAAACAAACGTATCACAGGGAAGGATGGGATTCCTGTGGCCTTCCAAATGTTGGACTCTGGCTTCTACCAGCTCCAGCTATAATAGAGGGCCTGACTCTTGTTTGCCTGGATGGAGGATGGAGAGGTCAAATGTACTTCCATTTCTCTGCCCACTTTTCCCTCTGGCTTCACCCTCCGCTGGCACGTGGCCTTCCCCCCCAGAAGGGAATGCAGCCCTTGGGCTGGAAAAGGCTCCCCATCCACTGGAGGACATGTTCTGCTTCCTGCAGCACAATGGGGTAATGAACCTCCTGGATATTAGCAGGACAAAGGAGAAAATACAGTGGCTGAGGCTGAATTCTGACAGGCCTTGATGACTGACTTGCCCCTCCTCTTTCTCACTGGCACAGATTGCGGCATGCAGATCAGCTTAGATCCCAGAAGACCCATGCAAGAGTTTGCAGCTGTAGATGAACTCCCTTGGATGGTATCTTTGCAGGATGTCTATGGCAACCACTTGGCTTTGGGCTGCATCCTGGATAAACATTGGATAGTAAGTGCAGCCTCTACTTTCCTGAACAGGTGGGTGCTAAAGTGGAGGTTTTTACACACATGGAGCAGGAACAGTTATAGCTGCAAATCATCAAACACTGTATAGGAACTTCCTTCAAGGGCCAGAAAAAACTTTGCAACAATTAATAATAGTTCTTGCAGCACAATCCTATCCTTGGGTCATTCTAGCTAGACAAGTAGGTCAACTTGGAGATGTAGCAGGGTTGCAGTGGAGCCCGGGCAGAGGGCTCTGCTCAGTGGTCTGCCCCTGTCCCTTGCAGCAGCTGCAAAAGAGGTGGTGTTTCAGGAAAAGTGCTCCCAGGTGAGTCCATGAAAAGCCTCAGATGAAGACCTCTGTTCCCAGCCACACTGGAAAACTGGCTGCTCAGTTAATCAGAATCCTACCACAATAGGCTGCCAGAAGTACATAGCCCCCAGCAAAGAAACACAATGAAGTTTGGGGGTATATCTGGTTGGCCACTTTGAGAACAGGCTACTGGACTAGATGGGCAACTGGCCTGATCCAGCAGGGGCCAGTCAAAACACTGGCAAGCCTAGCAGGCAGGAATTAGGGTCCCTTTTGCCACGTGCAAAAGCAGCAGCAGGAGACTTGTGCAGCCTATCTGCTTCTCCCTGTTAAGGCCTCCCCATGGTAACAATGAAGAATTGATTGGTTGTGTGCATTTGGCAACCAATAGGGGTTGTTTTTTTTATAAAAAAAAAGCCAATAGCCACAGTCAGGAGGGTGGGCCAGAATTGTGGCCAACAAGGAAACAGTTAAACCTCCCTTCCCCATTTCCTGCATCCTGATGAAAACCTAACCCCTCTCCTGTTGTTGTTGTTTAGTCGTTTAGTCGTGTCTGACTCTTCGTGACCCCATGGACCAGAGCACGCCAGACACTTCTGTCTTCCACAACCCCTCTCCTGCCTTCTATTTATTATTATTAGTAGTAGTATGTAAATACATGTTTAGCATGATGTCAGGATTCCTGTTTTTTTAACTGGTACTTGAAAGTCAGGCATTCATTAACTGATTCTTTTCCTTTATCGCTGCACCTCCTTTTCAATTTCTGTGCCTCAAGCCCAGAAGCTTCCCCCAGGAATGGAGAGGCCTGAAGCAAGGGCCCATGTCTGTGTTCACTCAAGTGCCTTTTCTTTGCTTACGCTTTCCATGGCCAGGACCCAGGTGTTGGCCCTGGTTGGTATCACAGGCCTGAAAGACAGAAGTTTCTTGATCCCCATCAGTGCCATCATCCCGCATGAAGCCTTTGATGAACTCACTCTTCACAATGATATTGCCCTCCTGAAGATAGGCGCCCGGCTCTATTTCAGCAAGGCTTTGCAGCCCATCTGCTTCCCACCTGAAAACTTCCCTGTGACAGCTCTAAGGAACTGCTTGGTTGTGGGCTGGCTGCATCCTCACACAGGTGAGCTACTTGTGTACCATGGCGCTCACAATGGCAGTCTTCACAAATGCTGTGCAAGATCAATTGCTCCATTATTTTTGGATTGCATTTACACCCTGCTCTTCCTACAAGAACATGTTTGGTGTTATGCCTATTTTCAGTTTTTCTCCCATGAGAACATCCATCCCTCTCATGGATACACATCTATTGGCCATCTGCATGTGGAAGACTTCCCATAGTTCCCAGGGATCAGATCTATGTCTTCCTTGCATGTGGTTATTGCATGTGGCTTCCAAGATTTCTCCTGGCTGGACACTTAAGAGACAAGGTGCTATTCAAACCTTTTTTAGAACACAGAATTCTTTTGAACCAATAGAGTCACTAATCTAATTTCAATTTGTAGACATTTTGCCAGAACCAAATTCTGGAAGCTAGTGAGATCTTTCTTCTTTTCTTTACCTTGCCCCTCACTGTTGGGTACTAAGGAGAGCTACTTCCTCTGTGCCCTGGACAGAAGACAGGAAATATAGCTTTTAGCACAGGAGGGTGGGCTTTGAAGGGAAGATGGGCAGCCCAATGTGTGTTGTGTTCAGTTGCCAACTTAGCCCTGTAAAGACCTAGAAAGGCCAGGCTTTGCTCATGCCTTTGTATCTCAGTCCAGACAGGGAGCGTCTCTCTACGGAAGCTCTCGGTGGTGGATGTTGACCCCTGTCCCCTGCACAGAATCATGACCACAGAGTGCTGCAGCCACAGGAAAGCTGACAATGTGTCTGGATGCCTGGTGAGAAAGTCATGTTCATAGGCTCATCTGCTGCTACCTCTACACAATTCATAAACACAACAAGAAGTTCTCTTCTAGTGACTGTGCAAACACTTCAGCAAGGCATAGTGAAAGTACAGAAAATATTTCCCCCTTTTAACACAAGAGAATTGCTGCAGCCGTTTACTGGGCAGGGTGGTGCTTTAACATTAGCACTTGTGTTTTCTATTATTAAATTATAATTTTTAGATATTGTTATAAATATATATATATTTGTGAGCCCCTTCTAAGAATTTTTTTCTAAAAGTTGGGGTATAAATCTATTGAAGAACTTTTGAGATAGGGGCAGATCTACTCATTCCTAGGCAGCATTTGATAAAAAAAAGAAGAAACACCCATCAAGAGACCAGTTAAGAGCTGGTAGGTGAACCATAGCCCATAAGTAATCTCAGAACTGTAGCCTCAGAAATGTCTTGGAATGTCTAATTTTCATGTTATTCTGATGGCTGAAAACAGGGCCGGGCATGATGAATCTGGATTTAATCCAGTTTATTCAAGATCCACAGGTAAATGTTAAATGCACTCTTAATTCACATTTCTGCTCAGCTGTGAAGCTGAGTGATCTTAGGTCAGAGATGGTGACAGGCCCATCTTCACAGGGTTATTGTGAGAATAAAACAGAGAGGAGGAGGAGAACCCTGTATGCCACTATGACACCCTTAGCCAGCCAGCTCACAGTGCCCAATTTCAAACGCTAATGATTCCTGCCTGCTGCTGGCAATCCCTGTTTGTGGAAGTGAGTTGTTAGGGGGACCATTTTGCTTGATCTGCTATTTGGAAGGAATCTGCAGCAGAGAGTAAAACAGCAGTTTCTGCTCCTGATGGAACCTTTTCATTGGACCAGGGGGCCCACCAAAAAGCTCCACAAACTCCTCCTTGTTCCTAAAATTCTGACTTTGTGCACCTATCATGAGGTCATGAGCTCCATATTCTTTTTCTTATTTTGCCTTGCCTTTTATTGTATTTTATGATTTCTCTGTCAGTTGTCTTGAACTGCATGTGGAGAGGTGGGGGAGAGGTATTTGAAATGAATAAATAAAGGCACCTTTGCTTTTTTCCTCTTCCAAAGGGATACCCAGGCAACCCGGTCATGTGCCAGGCAGATGGAACAAGGCAGTGGGTGCTGAAGGGAGTGATGACCAAGGGCGGTATGAGATGCTATGGGCCGTTTCTCTACACCAGAGTGTCTTCCTATGGCGACTGGATTGTGACCACCACAGCAAAGTGGGGAGCTCCGGCCTCTCCCATCCCTGACTCAAGACACAGCCCCTTCAGACCTCCCATGGAGGAGGGCGAAGGGATATTTGAACCCATTGGGGAGGAGAGAGCCATTGACTTCTCAGACCACACCAGCCTTAATCATACAGAGCACCTCACAGAAGACAGCCAGGAGCTCCCAGAAGGGCCAGCTGAGTCACGGGCCAAGCAGTCTGATCCCATCTATTATGACTACTACAGTGGGGAGCTTCTTCCCGTTTCTACAGCCAAGTTAGGCCAGCCTGAAGGCCTCCTCTCTAAAAGCCTCATGCCCTGTCTTCTGACATGCTGGATGGTGGCAGGTTAAGCAGCAGACATTTCTGAGAAATGCACAGCTGAGATATGGTGAGTGCTGTTATGCTCATCTGTCATTTCCCCAGAAGTCCCATTTGGACAATTAAACTTCAAACCCTCCTTATTCAATCTCCTTAGAACCATGTGGTATGAAATGACTCCAAAGTGGTAAATATAGCCAGATATATTGATGACTTATAAAGTAACTCATCACAGGGGAGCAGAAAGGGAAAGGGGACAACAACTGCAGGGGTCCTGAGACCCTGGTGCAAATACCTTGTCAGGAAGAGAGAGCCAAAGAAGACAGAGGAAGCAGGAGGCATGTGCTACAGGGACTACTGTTCTCTTCCAAGGCTAGGCAACTGTGCCCTTGGTAAAGTGCCTTTGTCCAGCTCTCTCCTTCTCAGTTGCTCCCTTGCTCTGGGAGAAGAGCCTGCAGCTGTTGACTTGCCAGCTTTGCCTTGTGCCAAGTACTCTGGTAGCCCCGCAAGGCCATCTGTGAGACGGAAGAGGGGAAAAGAGGAAAGCAGTAAGAAACTGAGCTGGGAGTGAGGGACAGAGAGAGAGACTGAGAAAGAAAACCCAGACCAAGGGGGAGGGGGACAACTATTGCATGCCTTCTATTTACCCTAAATGACAAATGCTCTCTAAGTTCCTGCCCCTAAGGTGGGTGGATCAGCTGTTCCTGGCCCTCTCTTGCTTGCTCATCCTCATTCTGCTCCTCTTTTAAACTCCAAGCAAGGAGAAAAAACCACACATATACAGAGAGGCCGCTTCTCCTCCTGTATCTGCACCGTGGAGTAATATCATTTCAGAGTGCTCCAGAAACAGCATCCACTATCTGCAGGCTTATCTACTTCCTGATGCTCTACTGCCACCTTCACAATCCTAGAAAGCTTAAATAAAACCCTGCTCTGCAAACCAGCAAGGGAGAGAACAAGGACAAGAAAGGATATGCCAAAGGCAACAGGTTGAAAGTGGAGTTTTTGTCCATAGCCACATCTCTTCAAGTTCAGGGCTATCCCTACACTGATCCCCAACTCCACTTCCTGCACACAATCTGAACACCCTTTTCCAATAGGGAATTTTACCTCTCTTTAACCTGGTGTTGAGTATAACAATGAGGCACTTGGCCACATATTGCCCACATCAGTGCCAAGTTTGTGTTCAGAGGCAGAACAGAGGTTTAACACAGACCTCGCTGTGGTCACCCCTGTGGCACAGGTGCCCAGATGTAAGACCAGCATGCTCATACCTCTGCAATTTCCACCTTCCTCTCCCAGATCTTGATGATGTTCTCCAGTTCATGTACTGCCATCTTCTCATGGACATAGTCGAGGACAGGGGGCACTTTGTACTCTGCCAGTTGTTTCCGTAGCTTTTTGTTCAGGACCTCGGCTTTGAACCGTTCCTATAAAAAAAAGGAAAAAAGAAAAGTATTTTGATGAGAGACTCTCTTTAGTTTTATTTCATTGCATTGTATGGGGTGGGGTGGGGACAGGAATTTAGATCAGGGAAATGGCAGGGGGAGAAAGGGCTAAACACCTCTTCATCCAACATCAATACACCAATCACATTCAGAACCCCCAGTGACTTCTTTAAAGTAAAAATAAAAATGTTTGGAGAGCTGATCACAGATCTTCACTGTAATATGTAGTTGGACCCTGCACCGGTCCTTTACTCTGGGGGAAGCACCTGCACCTGATGACTGGCCGTTTTCATCTGAAGCCAGACACTGCAGGGCTCCTGCTGGTAACCCACCCTATTTTCTGAGTAAGGGAAATAGCTGTTTATCCTGAACGTACAACCCACGGAAGATAAAGAGGCACTGAGCCTTTCCTGACATTCTTTCCTTAGTCAGAGGACTCCCCCTCTTGATCCACGCAAATAAACCATCTTCAGTTTGCAACCATTCACACTTTTCTTCCTGAAAATGTGAAAGTCCCTGTCCAGGCTTTTCAGCATCACTTATAGCAAGCAAATTAGTTCCCAGATAATACAAAGTCCTCCCTTAGTGTACTGATTTTTCTCCTGGGATCATTTTTGCTCTACTTTGACTCACAAGCCTGAAAAATCACATGCATTAACAATAAAAAATAATAAAAATACATTAGGAGCCAGTAAACTGGACATTGTTCCTGGCGGCAACACCATCATTCACAAATAATCCCAGTAAGTTGATCCTGTCACTGTTACTTTAAAACCTTTGCTTGCAGTTAAATAGCTCCTGTCCCTCCCTTCAGTCCTACCTCCTCAACGAGGATGGCCTCATGTTCAATTTTTTCCAGAGACTCCTTTCTCTGGGCAATATCTTTCACCAGGTTGGTGGCCAGGGTCATTGCGGTATACAGTTTCTTCTGAAATAAAACAAGTTGATCCAGACTGAGAGTGAAAAGAAGGTTGGATGGCCTGTGTCTACCTAAGCAGAAGGAACTTTCAGAAGGCAGCATCCAGATTTACTTTGCATGTCTGAATGCTACCTGGCCACACACGGAACAGCTGTAACTGGAAAATGAGGTTTCAGTAGCCAGCACAGACACTAAATCCAGAATGGAAGTATAAAGTATGTTCACAAAATTATGTTCGCCTTTACAAAGTTCCATCCTTATTTCAGATATTGTGATATATTGATATATTGCAATGTTTAGCTGGTGATATATCAGGATTATTCCCTGGGAATAATGCCCAAGTGAAAATGAAGACAGTAGTGCAAAGAAGAGATTTGAAGAGATGCAGAAAAAGAGACTCCTGCTGAAATCCCTTCTTCTGGACAGTGAAATATGCTCCAGAAGCTTTTGGGAAAGGGCCAAAGCTAAGAGGTTAAGAGCATCTGCTTGGAATGCAGAAGGTTCGTGGTTCAACTCTCGATGGATTCTCCAGGAAGGGCTAGGAATGGCCCCTGAGTCTGAAGTCCTGGAGAACAGCTGTCAGTTGGTGCAGACATTATTGAGCCAAATGGACCAAGAGTCCTGTGTCCCTAGGCTCATCCTCCTCTAAGTTTGGCCCAGGATGATACAACCTCCTGGACCAAGTCCCACCGTTTTGATTCTTATAGGCTCATTTGCACACAGTGGGATCTTCCTTTGGGGTGGGGGAAGCTTCCCATGGTAAGCATAAGGTTTCAGGGACAGTTGTCCCTCCAATTTTGCATTATGCCAAGCCCCCCCCATGGTAGCCATTTTGTGCCTGGAGCCCCTAAATTCAAAATTCAAAAGGTACCCACTAGTCCAAAATGGTGCCTCTTTCAGGATGTGTGTGTGTGAGAGAGAGACAGAGAGACTCAGACCTTCTTTTAGCTTGCTTCCACACTAGACATTTACTGCAGAATAGCCAAGCTTTACCAGGGGTACCAACTTGAATAAAATATGGGGGAGGGGGCAGGTAAGCTCTGACCCGCATAATTGATCCCAAGACATGGCTCATGCACACCATTTGAATGGCAATGCCCATCAACTTGGGGAGGGGGCACAGCCCCCTCAAATATTTTAGTGGGAGGGACCAAAGGGAGATCGGCCCCTAGACGTTGGGTCCTATGCTTTACACACTCATTTTCTACAGGTTATTTGCATGACATCATGAACAAACATCATGTTCCCCATACTCAGTTCCCCCTCTTTTTCTTTTCAGAGCCCAGAATATTCAACTTTAAAAAACCCCAATTCAATAGCACACAATTACCCAAGTGAATATACCCCCTTCCTCCACTTCTATTCTCGCTGATTAAATTGTTCTGGCCATTTTCTGGACTGTTGCCATTTCCTTTCCTATTCTCTGTCCCTCTTCTCTAGGAATCAACTTGATCAATTTAACTCTCCCTGTCCAAAAAGCATTGCTTTTATATCAGCACCCCTACCCCCATTGCAGAGGGCATGGGCAGGTGGGGGAGAATCATGAATGAGAATGCAGTTTGGAGAAGGGAGCATTTAACCCTCTTGCACAATGTTTCTGACCATTGGAACTCTGCTCTGCAACGGAAGAGATGGAGGAAAAGCTGTGTTTACTCCTTAGCAGAATAATTGCTGGTTACAGAGCAGAGCTTTGGTCTACAGCAGCACTGTCCCCCTCAGTAGGGAAGTGCAGGCAGTTGGATCCCAGGTCTCTTCCAGCAGCCATCTTAAGCCATGTATGGGGAACCAAAGAGCAGGGGAGAGAGAGAGTACTGTGGGACTGCTCTACTTACTCTGTAGAAATTGAGGACCTGGATAGCGTTGCCCACAGTCAGCTTCAGTTGCAGCAGCTCCTGGTTCCGCTCATCAATCTTCTCCAGGAACTGAGCATTCTCGATTTTCAGCTGCTGGAAATCGACCTCGTGTAGTGCCTCCCCGAGTTCCTCCTTCTGCAGACCAACCGAGAACAGTGTGGGTCACTGACCAGGGAGCCCAAGTACATAGCAGGTTTCTCTGTGTACAGTTCTAGTTGCCTCACCTCAGAAAGGATATTGTAGAGTTGGAAAAGGTTCAGAAAACAGCAACCAAGATGATCAAGGGGATGGAGTGACTCCTCCATGAAAGGTTGCAGTGTTTGGGACCTTTTAGTTTAGGGAAAAGGCATTTAAGAGGTGAAAGGATATAAGTTTATAAAGTTATGCATGGCATGGAGAAAGCAGGTAAAAGTTTTGTTCCCTCTCTCATAATACTAGAACATCCAATGAAGCTGAAAGTTGGAAGATTCAGGACATTTAAAAGAAAGCATTTCTTCACATACAGTAGTGCACAGTTAACCTGTGGAACTTGCTCCCAAAGGAGGCAGTGATAGTCAAATTTGGATGGTTTTAAAAGAGGACATGTTCCAAATGTTGGGTGCTCTTTCTGAATTGATGATTCTGGTGTTCTACTTATGGAGATACTCCTGATCAATGAGCAACAACATGGAATGCATGGGACACCAAGCAATGGAACACCTGAGGCGAGACTGGCCTGTTGAGATGCAGCTTCACAAACTTGCAGTTTACGCACCTGCTTGAGCTGCATTTGCATCTTCTTCTTCTGGACTTTCAGGGAATCATTTTTCAAACGAATTTTCTCTTTCAGTACATCCTGAAAAAGAAAGTCACCTAATTTCTTTCTCAGGCTTGCTGCTAAAGTTTGCCTGCATTTACATGTACTTTATGTGTGGCTGGGAGATGAGCACTTACCCTGCAGGCTGTGACCAATCACTCCTGGCGGCAAAGCTCTCCAGAGGAAACTCCCAGGTAATAACAGGAATGCTGCTTTGCCTTGGACCTTACATGTATCCAAATGGAATTGCCTCTCAACTCTAACATGTGTGAAGACTTTTGAGTTGCACAGAACTCTATTTTAGGCCAAAGAGTTAGGTGCATCTCATAAGTATTTTGAGCAATTATACAATTGTGTATAATTGTGTATAAACAGCTCTCAACCCTGATGCAGTTAAACTAGAAGGAATGGCAGCTGCTCATTATTATTGCTATTGCCTTGCACAGGCAATAGCCATTCTCTGAAAGACTGAATAGAGGAAAAGTTGATGAAGATCAGAACTGGGACTTCATAGATACAGTTGCCATCTTTTTCATTGGCCCCACTCCTATGTATTTACCAGGCTGAAATGTAATATAACATGTAGAAATGTGGTGAAGCTGGCATGGAGATAGGAGGATGAGCTTTACCTGTTTTATTTCTGCATGTTAAGGCTACAGGTACAGGGTTAGGTATGGTTCTTTAATGATAAATATCCATCCTATCTACTGATTCAGCTTTATAATGTCAAGATATGTATTCTATGGAATAAGAATGCTCTGAAATAGACACATTTCTCAGGAAGTCCTCCTCTGAATGACAAAGATTGCTTAAGGCGTCTGAATGTATGCCACTGTTTGGTGGGATCCACCATGATGTCTACAGGCTACTGCACTCAGTTGCTGGTATCTAACAAAACAAGAACATATGCAGGACGATTAGAGACACTGACGGTCCCACTATCAGGCTGTTTTACCAAGGTTCTCAGTCGGCTAACAGAGCAAAATGAGAGCAGCTGGTGGGACTCCTCAATGTTCTCTCCACTTACCCTGTAGCGTATCCTATCTTCCATGTATCTTAGCACTTTTTCAGAGGCGATGACACTCCCTTTCTTCTTGGTGATGGTTTTGACTATATCTTTGTCAAAGTCCTGCACAGCTTTCTTAATGTCAACTAGGCGGATGTCTGCTTCCTCCAGGACAGCCTGCCAAATTCAGATTGCACCGTCAGTAAAGGAAGGCTGCATGTCATTGATTTGTTCTCATGGAAAACCATGCTGACCAGCTGCTGCCCGGGGACAAAGCATTGTGTTCTGTAAACTCTTGAGTTAAAAAGGTGGAGACCAGCAGCAAGCAGTAGGTGGCAAACATGAATGGCTTGGCTGTGGTACTCCAGCTGAACTCCTTGCCCAAGACCATTAATTGTTATGACTGTTAATGAGCAATGCCTAACTGATGGTAAGATGTCCAGCAATTATTTATTTACTACATTTATATGCTGCCTTTCTGCCAAGGCACCCAGGGTTCTTTTAGTATTTTAAAATTGCAATCCAACACATGATATAAAATGTAAAGTTGCCTATGAGTGGGTGAGTCCAACGGAGCAGGCACTGATGTTTCCTGCCTCTCTTGCTTCCCCCCTTTCCTTCCCACAGGGCAGATGGTGCAGGCCCAAATAATGTTTTTGTTTATCTCCCTTGCTCAGTTCCCACCTTGAAAGTCACATTCCATTGGAAAAGCTTTCCAAACCTGACCATGTTATTGCAACTGATAATCTTGGAACTAACCCTAACTGGGCTCCCCAAACTCCATGCATAAGAGCCTGTGTGAGCAAATGGCACTGCCAAGCACTTCAGCTGTATTTCTCATGCCATAGCTCCTGCTGTGTTTATAATACTGAAATACTGAATGAGGAAAAGAGTGGTTTCATTGGCAGACAAAATAAACAGCCACCCACTCTGGCCAGCTATGCACTCCAGGTTTAAGTATCCAGAAAAGAGACATTTAACCCAAGTTTTAGCTCTTCAGCATCTATTGTAAAATACACAAAAGAGGAATATTCTGACATTCTGCAAGAGGCAGCCTGGCATGTATCTTCCCAATCAACAGCAAAACTGACAGTCTTTTAAAAGGCAGTTCCTCCCCTTAACTATGGCTTTTATAAGCCCACAGCTCCTTGGAGTGTCCATAAATTGGTGTTTTTAAGCCTTTCCCAAAGTACTACTGCACAGAAATGTATAACAAGATCAGCGCTAAAGCCCAGAAAATACAGGGGATCTTGAAGCCCAGTGTTTTAATGTTATCAAGTGCCATCATTTCCTGCCTTCCGCTTCTCAAGAAGACCAGTTGTCTACAGCCTTGACTAAATGAACTGCCTTTGGATTATAAGTTTGATTGGTAGAAAAGTGCCTCTTCATCTGAATCACCAGATACTACTGAGTGGGCCAAAAATGGCATACCACTGCTCACTTACTAAATTTGACCTGGCATGAACAGGTGCCTCAATGAGGAGAGAACACACACTTCAGTACAGCGATACAACACATGCCTCTTCCTGTCCCAGAGCAACTATACCAGGTAGTTCTGCAACAGCCTTTCTGAATTTTCCTTTAACCTCTGAACGTCTTCCTTCGTCTCCTCCAGCTCCCGTTGTGCTATGTCACATTTCTGTTCCACCGTCAGACCCACCAGACGATCTGCTGTTAACCGGGATTTAGATTTGCGCCTGCCTCGTGCCTGGAAACCAAATGATTGCAAGATAGAAGCACACAGCTCTGAATAAGAAGCCACAAAAGGTGCAACTGAACTCTAGAAATTACCATCACTATATTTGTTTCTTCTTTTCCCCCTTTATGAATATTAATAAGTAACATGCTTTGTTAGGTGTCTTAGATGAAATTTGTGGTGAACTGGATACACAATGGATTGGCAGCCTGATATTAACAATAACAATAATATATGGTTAGTATTATATTTATTTGTTGCTTGTTACAAAAAATGTCTCAAAGCAACTTACAATTATAAAAGCATACATGATACAAAATTCAAAATAAATAAAAAAGATAAAAGAACATTAATTGACTAAAATTACTCATCCTGTAATAATATAAAAAGGGCAAATCATCCCTAATCTACTAAAAGATGAACATCAATTAAGAGCAAAATGCCTGGATGAAAAGGAATGTGGTCTAAATATAGGTAGTGATGGAACGTGGTACATCTCTCTGGGGAGAGCATTCCACACTTGCAAGCCACCTCTGAGAAGGCCCAATCTCGTGCTGGCACCCTCTGCCCCTCCCTTGGAGGAGGGCTTCAGATGACAAGTGCAGGGTCTGAGTAGGTCTAGGCAGGAAGAAGCAGTTCCTAAGGTACTGAGGTCCTGAGCCACCTAAGGCTTTATAGGACAAAAACAACACTTTAAATTTAGAGTCTGCTTCTCATCTGCACTCTGGCCAGTTAAGCTTCAGCAAAGGACAAGGGAGCAGACTCTTTGCACCATCAAAACCACAAATACTGCCATAACAGCTATACCAGTATCTGTAAAATAATCCCATAACTTACAAGTTGTGCTTGTCCCATGTCCATCAAAGAGCCAAACTTTTCCAGCACCAAGTCCCTTGGCTCAAGCCGATTGAAAGTCTTCTCAAACATTGTTGTCTCGAGTTTGAGCATGGCATTGTCATGGCTGAAGGTAGATGATAGATTAGGTGAGCAAACCCAGTGGTTCATGTGAGCAATGCATGTCACAAACCAAAAGGGATGACAGCAGTATCCATTAAGGCAAAGTCTGAGGAAGACAAAATCCTCAAGCTGCAATCTATGGTAACCTACTCCTTAGAGAGAGGAAACATAATTTTTGCACCACTCTGAGGGTTGCATTTGAGGTAAAGCAGCAATAAATTCTGGAACAATAACTACCTAAGAAAAGTTTTGAAGTTTACTCTTTAAAACAGGGGTCAGCAAACTTTTTCAGCAGGGAGCCAGTCCACTGTCCCTCAGACCTTGCCAGACTATATTTGGGGGGAGGGAGAAGAACGAATTCCTATGCCCCACAAATACCCCTGAGATGCATTTTAAATAAAAGTATACATTCTACTCATATAAAAACACACAGATTCCTGGACCGTCTGTTGGCCTGGTTTAGAAGGCGATTGGGTCGAATCTGGCCCCCGGGCCTTAGTTTTGCCTACCCATGCTTTAAAATGTCCCACATAAACTCTAAATATATATATATATATATATATATATATATATTTACAAATATCAACAAAATTCCTCTTCTTGGAACTGCCATTTCATCCATTTCTTGAGAAAATTATTTCCATCTTCTGTGGGACAATCTTTATTGAAGATTACTTGGTTTAATCTTCTGTCTAAGCCACTGTTTCTCAGTTATGATCCTAGGGTCTAGTACCAATATTTTTTCCGTACCAGTCCCTCTTAGGCAATGGAAATGCCGTTCACTTCCCCTTCTGGCTTACCTATTTATTAAGGTGTTACATTCAACACCTTAACTAATGAAATTAAGTTTAAAATATATCCTGGGGTATAATATTCTTGCTTGAAATTCTCAACATCTTAGTGCATATGAGAAAAGTGTGTGTATACCATTTAAGTTTACCACAGGTAGCAGTCATACAGGGTGACTGCCACAGGTCTGCACACAGCATCACTGTTTCCTGTAACTTTTCCATTTACAGCACACATCCTGAACTTTTTCTTGAGCTTGTTTTCTGAATTTAGTATAGTTTGGTGACATGTTTCCTTACAGGTCGGGGAACAACATTGTAGGGCTAGAGAGGGTAAAGCACACATATTCATAGCATTGGCGGGGAGGGGGTTAATAAAACTGAAAAGCCCCATATCTTGGGTTACATCCACACCATACCTTTAAAGCACATTTAAAGTGCATTTCTTCACTCAAAGAATCCTGGGAACTTTAGCTTGTTAAGTGTGCTGGTAATGACAGCTCTGTGATGTGCAAACTACAAAATTCCCAGGAGACTTAGTGGCAAGCCATGACAGTCCAGGTGGTATATGTGTGCTATAAATGTATGGTACGGATGTAACCTTGGCTATTATTTGGATTTAGTTAGTGAAACCCATCCTTAGTAAGGCTGATGGCTAGAATGCGATTTACAGCCAAACCTGCCCCCTAGCTATGCTCCTCCGCTTTCTGCCATAGAAGTGAACGGGAGACCCGCGCCGCCCCAGGGTAGGTCGTTCCCTTTGCCCACAGGGATGGCTGCCAGCCAGTCGGGGGGAAGGAAAGGGGGTGTCTTTGAGGGGCCCCAAGTGGGTGTGCGTCGGAGGAAGAGCCGGAGCCGCCGCGCGGGTTCTTCTCGCCGCACCTGGCTTCCTCCACCAAGGAGTGCAGCTGGGAAATGGAGAACTGGGCCAGGTCCTGGTGCAGCTCCTCGCTCAGCTCCCGCGACTCGCCCGTGTGGACGCTGTCGCGCTCCGACTCCTCGTCCGCCATGGCCGTGGGCTGCGAGATCGCCATAGCAACGCGGCACAGGCCCTGCAGGCCGCCCGACCGCGCCTCCTCGTCTTCCAGGCCCGGCCTTCCAGGAGGGGCCTCGTCATCGCGGGCGGCCAGCCGCTGCGCCTCGCGACCGAGACGAGGAGGCTGCTGGGTGGCGGCTTCTCCGCTCCAAGCGGGGAATAACCCTCGGCAAGCGGAGCTTCACCTAATCCCCGGACTATGGCACGGCCGGCAGGAGAGTTCGATGCTGACTCGCGGGCAGCTTGTTCCCTCGCTCCGGCGGCGGCTTCATGCCTAACCCGCGGGCGAGAGCACAGTGGCTGCTTCCTGCGCGCTCGGCCAGAAGCAGCAGCTCCTGGCAGGCAGCTGCGGCCGGACTCGATTTCCGGGCATGCGAAGCCGGCCTTTGCGGTGCTGAAGGTGTTGTCCAGCTATGCTTATTCTGTTTATGCCTCGCTTCCCAAACCGAAAAGCCCTGCAGTAAGCATAGATCCGGAGTGTCGTCGCTCTCGCACCGGCAGCCTAGCAATAAAAGTCTCTGACCTACATTGCAAGACGGTCGGGAAAAGATTCCGTCTCCTCCGCCCCGCCTGCTCTGGGAATCATGCCAGTGGGCAACATTGGAAGGATAGTCAGTGGCAAGCACACATTAGCATGTTCTTCTTTATACTGCCTTTCATCAAAATATGTTCCAAGGCAATTTACAACGCCGGAACAGGGGGGAAAGCTAAAAAAGAAATACAGTACACACAGTACGCCTTCCCAACCTACTGCTCCTCCAGATGTTTTGGACCGCAATTTCCATCACGGCCGGACGCTAGCCTAGGATTAATGAGAGTTGTAGTTCAAAACATCTGGAAGACCTCCTTCAGCATCAATATCATCATTATGAATATAATAATAATTCAATTTATATCTCACCGTTCCTCCCCAAGCAGCACAGGGCAGCAATGATAACCAGGACTTTGACTGATTAAACATTCTTTGGCCTTTGAAATGCGTTGTTGGAGCGTTGTTTGAAATGCGTTGTTGGAGCGTTGTTATTGGTTTGCTTTTATTTTATTATGTATTTTGTGTTCTCATTTTGTATTTTTATGTTGTGAACCGCCCTGTGATCTTCGGATGAAGAGCGGTATACAAATTTCATAATAAGAAAATAAGAAAATAGATATTAAAATTTAAAAACAAAAACATTCTAAAAGCAATTACGGTTAAAAGCATACTACTATCCAATGCGTTTGCCAGGAGGAATGGGTGAACAGCGCTGTTCTCAAAGTTCTCTAACTTTCAGGAGATCACCTCGCTAATCCCTATCAGCTCTCCCAAAAAGGGTTAATAACAATTTAAAGCATTTTGTATTATGTTACATGGCTATTTCAAAATGAGGGGGGTGAAAGAAAAATCTCTACAGTTTTAATAAAGAGAAAAGCCTCCATGTTATCAAAAGAGCACTCGAGCTCCTTTCCTGCCACATTTTCTTTAAAAACAAAAAGCCACGTGCTCCGCTCCTCTTTTGTACGAGCAGGTGCTCTTCTCAACGCCCCGCTCGGAAACAAAGTGTCAATGGAACCCGGAAGTCTTGCGCAATGGTTTGTCTAACCGCGTAAATCTGCGGACCAGAGGCACGCACGTGCTCGCGGCGCTTCACGTCACAGCCCGTCCCTCTCACAGCGAGCAGGAGGCGGAGTCACAGCCGACGCGACGGCGGCTCGGCTTCCCTTTGGCAGCGTCAGCTCCTCCTCCTCCTCGCCGCAGGGGGCCGCTGTTGCGCCGGACGCGAGCCGGCCCGTGCAAGGGACTCTCTCCGCGCGCGGAGCCGGGCTGGTGGGCGCGTCGCCGGCGCCGCCGAGGAGGCCAAGGCCGCCGCCGCCGCCGCCGCCCTTTCCGGGTCCGCTGCGGCGGCGCTCCGAAGGAAGCCAGGGAGTGCCGCCCGCGTACCAGCCGGCCTGGCGCCGCTCTTCCCCGTGACCGCCCCGCTGGTGCTGCTGCTGCTGGGCCGCCGCCAGCACCGCCGGTGTTGGGGCTACCGCTACTACTCCGCCCCGCCGCAGCCGCCGCCTTGCCTCGTCTCCCGGCCCCTCCTCGCCGCCGCCGCCGCCGCCCGCTGCCGGTCGCCGCCCGCCCCCGCCATGCCCGGCCCGGCCGCCGGGAGCCGGTCCCGCGTCTACGCCGAAGTCAACAGCTTGAGGAGTCGCGAGTACTGGGACTACGAGGCGCACGTCCCCACCTGGGGGTAAGGCCGGAGGCGGCGGGAAAGAGACCGGCGGGCGGGCTCGGGGTCTCTCGCTCGCTATGGAGCTATTCGGCGCCGAGGCCTCGCCAGCCAGCCATGGCCTCCCAGCTTCCTGCCTGCTTGAGGCGCAGCTAGGCAGTCTGTGGCCCCGCGCAAGGGCCGCCCTTTCCCACATGGTCCTCGGGGCGCCTCGACGTCCGCCTGGTGGGCAGAGCCGGAGGGCCCGTCTCGAAGGCGAGTCTGCGTGTCCAGGGCGCCTTGGGAGGCAGAGGAAAGCGCAGCTGGAAGTGGGCTCGGCCGCCTGGCGTCCCTTTAAAGGCCCTGCTTTGCTTCTTCCCGGGCCTGCTTTCCGCGTACTGCGCTCTGTCGCTCCCCATGTGCAGGGTTTAGCGCACCCGCCCGACAGCCCATCATTTGCAGCCTTGCTTTGCGTACCGTCCCTCGTGCCGAAGAAGGGGTTGGGAAAGATGGGATCAGAAAGTGGCTGGGATCTGGAACGGTGTTGATTAAGAGGGATTAAAGAATGATAAAATATGAAATCAGCAATGGAGATCTTGCAGTGTAGATCCAGGTTGTTCTTGGACTCCAAATCTCAGCAGCCTGCATGGCCAGTAGTCAGTAATGACAGACAATAATTGGCCACAGGTTTCCCGCCCCTGGGTTCAAGTAGCCTTCCGCGAATTAGTGTCCTCCAGACATTTTGCATTACAGCTCCCACCAGCCCTGGTTAGTAGTATGACTAGCAGCGATGATAGAAGTTGCTGGTCTGGTCTAGGTTGTTGCTGCTGGGATTCACTCTTAATACTTCAAACTTGGATTGTGCAATGAGAGTGAGCTAGTGCTCTTGGGCTCTTCTCCCCCCCTCCCTACAGAAGCCCCACATTTTGTGGTAGGGTAGGGGTAGTGATGGGAAATTCCCTGGAAAGTGTAGGATAACAGTTGCTTACTGTGGCATCATATAAGTGTCCTACAAACAGATCAGAATGAGTGCTCAATAAATAACAGACATGATATAACCATCCCATAAACTTTTTGTAAGGAAATCAGGATGTGAAAGCTCAGTAAGCAGGTTGCCTTGAAGTGACAGTACTTCAAAATGTCTAGAAAGCTACATAGTTGGGAAAGGCTAGTCTAGGCCCTCACAGGCTTGAGATGCACACACAAGTTCCAACTCAGTTACTCTGAACACCCTTCTGTACTAAGAGTAAGGTGATTGTTTCCCATCTTCATTGCATTTTTATGGGTGAAAATGAGATTCTAACAAGTGTAATCATGATTCAGAAGTAGGGCTTAGGAGTTGCTAGTTATTCCTGATTAACAGGCACAAAGCTGTGCTCTTACGTAGTGGTGTTAGGCGTGTGTGCATGTGCACATGTGCTGTGCTGGTTCCTCTGTCCTTTCAAAAATGAATAAGCAAAAGTAGGGTTGGGCATTTGGTTAATCGGTTACTTTGTAAAGTTTTATGAGCATAATATAATTAACAATTTTGATACTTAATACTAATCACAAAAACCAATTTGGATAACATTTATTGTGAAACAATAATAAATTTATTAAATGAATTATTTTATTACATATTAATTTCACTCTTCACCCTAATGAGATCAGGAACAGCTTACATGGTTTTCCCCTGCCCCCGATCTTCTCAACAATTGTAAGAATGTAAGAAGAGCTCAAAGACCCATCTAGTCAAGCATTCTCTTCTCACAGTGGTCAATTTGATGCTTGTGGAAACCAGAGCGCAACAGCACTTTCCCCACTTGAGTTTCCCAGCAAGTGGTATTCAGATGCATTGAAAGCCTTATCCTCCATGAATTTAAAGCCATCCAAGTTGGTGGCCATTGCTATATTTTTGGGAGCAAATTTCTTAGTTCTATGTGTTGTATGAAGTACCACCTTTTGGCTGTCTTGAGTCTACCAATATTTAGCTTCATTGGATGACCTCTGTTTATTTAGTATGATGAGAGAAGGGAAAAAGTCTTCACCCTATCCACTTTCTCTAGTCTAGACCATGTATGATTCATTACGCCTCTTTTTGCCTTTTTTTCTGAACTAAGGCGCCTCATAGGGGAGTAATACTTGCTTTTTCTGAAGTTTTTCCAGTTCTACAATATCCTTTTTTTGGGGTAAGGTGACCAGAACTGTAATGTTCTACAGATGGTGGCACCAAAGATTTGTATAATGACATTATGATATTATTGACTGTTTTGCTTTAAATCCCATTCATAATTATCTCTCATATGAAGTTCACTTTTTTCACAGCTTCTGTGGGCTAGGAACACACTGAGGTGTCCAATGCTATACCATGATCTCACTCCTGGTCATCCAGCACCAGTTCAGACCCCATTAGTATTTGTTATGGGGTCAGGTTTTTGTTTTTTGTTTTTTACTATATTATTTATTTTTGTGTTTTTTATATTGTAAACCATTCTGTGATCCTCAGATGAAGGATGGCATAGGCATGATGATGATAATAATGCTAAATATGGAAACTTTCCAGAAATTGTGAATCCATAGAAAAAACAATGTTGGGGTATGGGGGGATTTGGGGTGAAATATGCAATCCATTTTAAAAGCATCCTTTACAGTTCAAAAGTCATTTTGTTACTTTTGTAACATAAACTATATTATATATAACCTTGCTTACTATAAAATTGCCATGTTTTTGTATATTAAAATGCACTTTATTCAGACAATAATTATAGGTTCTATTTACTTTTTAAAATCTTAGTTACAAATGGAGCTACAAGGTGCTGAACTGTAAGAATTTTTTTGGGCATCTCTTTGCTTTTACCAGTTTATGAGGAGCCAGCAAAAAATAATAAAAACAGAAGAAACAGCCAACATCTCTGTCTGGAGAGACAATGGAGTGCTCCTCCAGGGGTGAAGTCAAACCCCTGAAGTGACCTTCCCGGGACACAAGCCTGAGCAATGTGTATGGGGGTCCCATGCTGCCCAGATGACAAGACACGTGCCCCCTCCCCTTGGCCTCACTGAAGTGGTCCAAAGGAAAGCTGAGCAATACATTTGGCACCAGTTTGACTGCAGAAGTTCCCAGAAGGAAACTTAGAAGGTGCCATCCAGCTGTCTTAGGGACTCCACTCCTGATTCGTGTAGGCTTTACTAAAAAAAATTTCTCCCGAAAATATCAGGCAAGGCAGCAGAGGTTTAGGATCAGAGTTTTCTTTCTCCTAGATGAGCTACCTTCTCAGGTTGATGAGCCTCATCTGCCGTTTACTTCCCTCTACACAGCATGTGCAGGAACTACCTTCTTGACTGTTGGACCCACCATTGGTCTCATTCTTTCAATCAACTGGAGCCTGTCTTTACAGGCAGGGAAGTCCTTAACTCACCAAGGGTTTGTGACCCATCGGCTACCCTCACCTGGTTTAGCTGGCCAGTCAATTCTACATGAAATTTAATCAGTCTTTATTTCTGAGCTATCACTACCAAGTTCTGGGTCTTCATATTTGTTACTTTCTTTCTCCTTCTTTCGCCAAACCTTTGTTAGGCATTATAGACATATTTGTTACATTTATCATGGACTGCTCAAGTTTTGCCCAGATTGAAACAAGCTGATCTATTTGATATATCAGTTTATTTCTTGATTTGGTGTAAGTATTTCCAAACAGATCCGTTTCTTTCATACACTGTAGAAGTTGAAGGAATCTGAAGTAGGTAAGAAGCACGAGGGGTCAGAGGCTTGCCACCATGCTGCAAGAGGGATTAGTTTGGCAGAATCACAGACTGCATTTGAGGACTGAACGCCTGAATATGTTCTGTATTCTGCAACATTTAAAGGTGCATTTCCAACATCAAGTCCCAAGTTTGTTGCTTGTTTGTAATCTAGTCAAATGCAGAAGCAGTGCTATCATTACTTACTTTTCTGACTTTAAATCATGAATCCAACAGATTTTCACTAGAATCAATTGGGTGGCAACAAAATTCCCAAAACCTTTGCAAAAGAGGAGCAATGGCTCTGACAGTGTCCTAGAACCCTTCTGCTTTACTAGACTTTGGGAAGGACACAAGAGGACTCTAGGACCCTATCAGAGCCCTCCCGCCTCCTTCCCAAAGCTGGGCAAACACTCACTGGGCTTTGGGAAGGCAGCACTCTGAGATGCTGCCAGACCCCTCACACGCCCTTCCCAAAGCTGGGTGTTCCCGGCTTTAAATGATGCATGGATAGACAAACCCTCACATGTAAGTTACCTGTACATACAAATTACAATGATCTCATACAGTACATGGTATTACATACAGGTCTTTCTGTTACATAGTTTTTAGAAACCATTTTAAGGGAGTAGATATATGAAGACTTTGCCTTAAACATTTTATTCAGCATTGTAAAGGAAAATATTTCATAATCTTTTTTTATTTTATTTTTTATGGGGGCGGGTTGGGAGAAAAAATAAAATGGTGTTGGAAAACCCTGCACTTTTTCTGAATTTTCTCAGTCCCTCCACCAGGCCTTCACATCTCTGCTGCTCAGTAAACTTGGCTGCTGCACAGTTCACCCCTAGCTCCACGTCATGTATAATAAACAAGTTAAAAAGTTTCGCCTAGGTCCTAGTACCGATCCTTGGAGGACTCCACTTTCTACCTCTCTATTGGGAGAACTATCCCTTTATTCTTTCTCTTGGCTTGCTGTCCCTTAACCAGTTACCTGTTCTTTTATCACATAACTTGGTGAGGAACACAGTGTTGACTGGCTCACTCATATCTATATGGCAGGTGATTCTCTCAAATAACTCTAAAATGTTAATGAGATAGGACCAAACCTTGCAGAAACCACGCTGATTCAACTTTAGCAATACTTAATTTTTCTAGATGCTTGGCCATGTTTCTCGCCAGTTTTCCTGGAATAGACACCAAGCAAGTCAGCCTATAATTTCCCTGATGTCACCTGGATCCTTTTCTTTTTCTTTTTCTTAAAAAAGTGGTGTTACATTGGCCACCTTCCAGTCCTCTGGTATGAAGGCTGATGTTAGAGACAAGTTAAATATTTTTGTTGGAAGGTCAGTGCTTTCGTACCACCTTGGGTGGCTGTTATCTGGATTGATTGATTTGTCCATTTTTTGTTAATATTTATTCATATAACATGTACAGTGCATATTAAAAGGACATTAGGAGAAAAGAAAACACCCTGAAAATAACTATACAAAAAATAGAACACAAAAAGCTACTTTAAAGATATCAACAACTAATACCAGTGGGACAGCAAAAAAGAAAAAAAGTTTAAAGGGCGTAAGAGACAAAAAAGCCAAGTATGTTCAGTGATTCTTCTAAATAAACTCATACTTGGCTGAACAAGGCGACCTACCTGAAACTTGTCAACAAAGCCAAGAACTCTTGTCATCACTATTTGCCTCAGTTCCTCAAACTCCTTGAGTAAGTTTCTCTAGGCACAGGATTTGCCCCATGTATTCCACTGCAGAGACAGATGCAAAGAACCCATACAACTTCTCTGCCATCTCCTTTTCCTCCTTTTCCACACCTTTGAGTCCCTTGTTATCCAAAGGTCCAAATTCCTTTAGCCAGTTTTCTGGCTAAATAACTATTTCTGTAGTTATTGTTAGCAAGGTAAATTGTCCCAACACCTTGACTTTCCAGACAACTTCCATCTGTCTATGAGATGGTTTCATGTTTCTCCTTAAAGGAGATAAACAAATCTCTCCGACCGCTCTGTGTTTTATGTTGTGTCCTCAAATTCTTTCTTCGTATCTCTTAACGTTGTTGGCATTTCTTCTGCTAAGGTTTGAGTTCTTCTTCTCCCCTTTTGTTTGGACAAGACTTCCATTTATTGAAATAAGTCTTTCCTCGGATAGCTTTCTTGACCCAACTCATTAATCATGCTGACATCCTCTTGGCTGTGGTGGTACCTTCACTGCTTAGCTTCTGTTATTGTGGTTGCAGGGTGGGACCCAAGCATTTTGCAGAGGTTTGACCCTCCTGACTTTCTCTTTTAACTTCCTTTTTTATTAGAGGTTTCCTCTTCTGAAGTCAAATGGACTGTGTTGGACTTCCTTGGTAATTGCCCAGCTATATTGAATTTGATAGCACTGTGGCCACTTGGTTCAAGAACACTTATATCTCCCTCCAGGTCCTCCTGGGCAGCACTTAAGATTAAGTTCAATGTTGCTGCCTCTCTTATCAGTTCCTGAGGGGTAGGTTAGGCTGAGTGTGACTATTTTAACATGATCTAATGAACCTCATCACTGTGAGAGGACTTGAATCTTGGTCTTCCTGGTCTTCATCCGGTACCCTGCTTGCTAGGTTGTGGTTTTTGGCACTGATGGCTACTTATGTTTCTGTTCAGAGAAACCTGTAGCTGTAGCATGGGGCCTGTGAGAAAAGCTTTTCCCATCCTGCAGCATGGTTTGCCCCTCACTTTCATGGGGCTGATAGTCACTCCTTTCTAACAAATAACACCATTATGAAATAAGTGGCATTCATTCTTGGAATAATTGACCACAGTCAAAGGGGTAGCCAATAGATGAATGTGTGCTCTAGTCTTGAGTGGCAGCCCTGACCTCTTAATATGTTATAGATTTTAGTTTGCCCTTGTAGTTTTGCTGAAAAGCCTAAAAGCCTTCCCTCTCCCCCTTCCAACCCAAGGCTATAATTTTAAGTGTGGATGAGTAGAAGGACAGATATAATTGGTTTGGTAATAAGTTTGGGTTCTTTGGATTAATGTGATAAAGAGGAAATGAATTAACTTTCAAGAGTGTTATGTAGTGGGTTGGCATGCCAGGCAAACTGGAGTGGGTGAGAAGGAATTAGATGACAACTGGGTTGTGTCATACAGGAACCAGCAGCGCGAGTTTGGACTGCTTTTCAATAACCTTTCCGCAATGTGTGTTAACGTTATAATCTGGTAAATACCTAGGAAGAATGCTAATAATTTTGGATTTCCCCTTTTAATGCATGCTTATGTGCCAAGTGGCAATGCTAATATACACTCAAGGTCGCTTTGCTCGAATTGGAAAGGGGGGTGAGGTGTTCATTTCTAGCTAATTAGAGTAAAATTGTCAGCATGATATTGGGTATGTGGGAGTTCGTAAATATACGACTGATCTGGCACATGTAGCTTAATGTGTCCTCAGGATAACTCAGCACACTAGTCAACTCATATGCTTTAAACACTCCCTGATATACAGGCAAGATGATGAAACAACACTAAAAGGTCCAAGCTGGAAAATCTCGGGTGTATGCTCTCTTGGGATGTCTAAAAGCTAATAGTTTAATCTCTGCCTGTGAAACGGTGAAGGAGGGTTTCTTCCTCATTGTCAGGATGTTCAGGGGAAAGAGAAGTTGTCTGTTAAAAAGGATTGTGGGAACTGTCTTTCTCACTTTGGACTTGGAAGTTGTTAGTTCTGAACAGTTCTATCACTTCTGTAACAAAAATTAAGATTATCATTCCAGAGAAAGAGGTCTCTTGCTGTGGGTGGTATAATATCTTTTTCTAATGATGGCAGGTGAATAATGAGTGTTGAGGACTATAGAGGTTGCAGGCACCATTCCTCCTTCCCTTGGATCTGTGGAATTCTGAAATGCTGAAGTTTAAGCATCCTCATAACCATCAGTATCAATCCATGGAGAGCAAGAGTGTGCAGAAGTGGGATAGTTCCTGTTTAGTAGTTTGAAAGGTTTGCACGTTAATAGGTGCCCTGCTCCTCGTTCTTCAGTTTCAGGGTATTAGGAGCGGAGGGGTCAGGAGAGCATTTCAGCCTAGTCACTTTTCAGTTGTTTTCCTCTTCACTGTCTGCAGTAATCAAGACGATTATCAACTGGTTCGGAAACTCGGCCGGGGGAAATATAGTGAAGTCTTTGAGGCTATAAACATCACCAACAACGAACGAGTGGTTGTGAAAATTCTTAAGGTGAGTTTTTGTTGGATGAATATGAATGGTTTTCTGAGGTGGGAGCAATGCTGTGGCAACAAATCTTCCCTAACACTGTAATGGGCTGTTCTTGATCTAAGCCCCTTGCGTCCTTCATATCATATTGCATATTCATATCTGGAATGGAGGTGCTGCATTCTTAACTTTGTGTCTGGTAGTGGTTTTTGGTTATCACTCTCCTCATCTGTTTTTAAAAGGTAGCATTGCCGTTGGGACCATTTTGTGAAGGAACAGCATGTTTCCATGTGTTGAAATAGCACTGCACACGGTGGACACAGGAATTAACATCTGGCAAGTTTTACTTGGCAGGGCACATGTTAAGGCCTGTTCACTGTAATGCAAAGGCTACCGGAGCATCCTTTGGTTAACATCTCAATGATGAGCATTTGACTTAGCTGAAACTGTGGTGGAGGTGATCAGGCAGGTGGATTTTGGAAAGACTAACTTGGATGTTTCTGTTAGTAGCAATACACCAAAGCACACTTGGCCTTGCTTAAAATGAGGATGTGGGATTTTCATGTTTAGCATTGCTCATCATTTGCCTTCTGCTATAAAAGCGTTTTATCAAAAGTGACCCAGTAAATATATTGCCAAGGTTGACATTACCTTGGGGGGGGGGCAAGTGAATTCTCATGACTGACATGTTTAAAATTCATGTCCATGTTATCAAGGCTTATCTAGTTAGGGGGTGTGTGGCATGGGGTGGGGTTTTCCTATGAAGAGGACAGTTTAGACTTTTATGTATTTAGATTGCCTCTTATTTATTTAGACTTGTGGTCATAACTAGCATCTGTGATCATTGCTGTTGGCCCAGCATCCTCTTTAAACTTCTCCCAGTTGTCCTTTCAACAGTTGAAATGGTGATCCTCAGTGTAAGGCTTTCCAGAAGTATTTATCACACATCAGTGGTGACTTATAGGCTACTTATTGTGGCTTCAGTGGTTTGCATTAGGTGAATCTGGGTTGGCATTGGCACAGTGCTACCATACTGAAAATAAAGAGATGTGTGGAAAGAAGTCCCAGGATGTGATTTTTTTCAACTTGGTCTGAGCAGATTGCTTCTTTGGGTGGTCAGTTTGTCTCTCTGTGGTGTTCCAATATTGTGTGTTCTAGTGCAGCATTTGTGAGAATTGTTTAAAGGGTAGATGTAGGAGGTAGACACACATTAAGTCTCTGCTCCCGCACCTCAAGACTGCCTTCGCTAACCTGGTGTCCTTCAGATCTTTTGGACTACAACTTCCATTTGCCCCAGCCAGCATAGCTGACAGTACGTGTATCACTTGATGGACTATGAAGTACTCCTGGTTGAAAAGCATGGCTTTAGTAATGGAAACAGGCAGTGCAAGGAAATGCTTGCTAAGTAATTCCTGTGAAACCCATGACAAACTTCCTGTGGGCACATCACCTCTTTCTTGTTGACAACTTTCTGCTGTCCTGTTCACCAGAGCCCAGAATGTCCCCTAGAGACTGAAAGAGGGAGGGACTGTCAAAGTATGCCCTGAAAGAATCCTCCAAACTAAGATTGCCCTGTGTGACTCTGGTACCATCCAGTCTTGATGTCATCCCTTTCTCTTCTGCATGATCCTGTGTCCTGCATCAAAAGCTTGTTGCTTCTTTCCCACTTGATTTGACCTGATAATGGTAGGGAAATGTTGGCTTCCCTAGAAATTGCAAGATTGGAATGGATTGGCACTACTGTCCAGTTTAATGGATGGGTAAGACTTAGTCTTAGTTCTTGTGGAAGACTTCGAAGCTATCGGGTGACTGGCTGTATGTTTAACAAGTGAGGTACAGCTTATGCTAAACGTAGTACATTAAGAGAATGAACTGAGCAAGGAAGTGCCTGGTTGCAAATGTCACCTTAGCCATGAAGCAAACTCCTGCTCTCAGCCCCTCTCTCTGTTCTGTAAGTAGTCCAGTGTTATCTCTGATCTTAGGTAGTTGCAAGGATTTTGGATACCGACATGAAGCATTTTGAGCAATTAAGAAAAATACAATGTAAAGGCAACTCGAGGATCTTAATGTTTCCTAACTTTTTTAAGTTTTGAGATGCTGTTAATTGTTAAACAAGGCAGTACTGTAGTATTGAAGAGGTGGTCTCAGCAGAAAACTACTCCAAAAGAGACCCTAGATGCAAATATACTTGCTTATCTTCAGGTTGTGCATCCACCCCTCTCCTGAAAATTGGTGGTTGATGGTGACAAAATACCAATAAGTGTCGTTACTTGTTTTTGTCTTTTTTGTATGAAACCTCTGGATTTGAATTTGAAGGAGAGGGAAACACTGCATGCTAGCCCTGGTGTTGTCACCTTCTGGAGCCCTAAATTCCTGTTTGCAGGGGCCCAAAACTCCTTATACTTGTTAATCCCTGAGCCTGCTCATTGCTTTTCTTCTTGGGCACAGCAAATGCATACTGTTGTGCACCTAACTGGCCTCTATTTTCATCCTGCTCAGGAGGCTTATAGGGTTTCCTGGATCCCCAGGATTTGCTGGTATGCTTCTTTCAGGGAAGAGTTGCAGACTTTGGTTGCATGATGATGATAACGTTTATTAGTTAACTTTGCAGGCATTGATCATAAGTGTACAATGTAACTGGTGTCTACAAACAGGAATGGTATTTCAACTTCTCTCAGCCCTTTTAAGCCACTCCTGCCACCAGCTCAAAACTGCTGCCACCTGCTTGACCCTAGTTTTCTTGCAGAAACCTCCTCTATCCACCGTGATTGCTAAACGTTCAGAGGCAATGTAGCAAGTGCTATCAGCAGACGGGAGGGTGGTTCTCTATAGTGTCCCATACAAGACTGGAAAACTGATACTAAAAAATAACATGTATGTAGCACAGCTTTGCTTTTAATCACTGGCCTTGTAAGCCATAGGGTGCATGGAATTGGGTCCAGGCAAGTGAGCAGGCTTCTGGAAGAAAAAGACCCCTTCTCCAGTCCTAGGAAAGGTTTGCAGATCTTACTGACCCTCCTATGCCAGCCCCCAGCAGGCAAGAAAATTGGTTGGCTTATTTACCAGGCTGATAATAGTAAGCATATCAAAAAAGTGGTGACTTCAAGAATTTCAGTTACTTGCCTATTTTTTTTCCCCTTCCAGTGGCTAGCAGGATAAGAAATCATACTAAATGTATACACTTCAATATACTTGCTTAATTTTCCAGGTTCATAATAAAATAAGAATTTTGATTTTACATAATTAATATTATAAGTACAGAATATACAGCTTTGGCTGTCAGCAGACTCCAAAGGAGCTGATAGTCAACCATCTTTTCTCTTACCTGCAGCACAAAAAGTTCTCTAGACATAAGCAGGAAGTAATTTTGCACCGATATGGGAATATTGATGAGATATGGTCAGGTTTTGGGTGTGGGTGCTTTCTAATCTAAACTGGCCACTTGGTGCTCCTCCTTACTGCTGCCTCACTTTTTTAACCTTTGAGGAGGGGTGTTTACCCCACCCCACGGTTCTGTGGTGTGGCTGTCTGCCAGTACACATTAGGAGGGATAAAGCTGTGCTAGCAGCTGAGGTTCTGAAGAGCTTCTCACCATTTTAATTTAAATTATTTCCCGAGTTGACAGCAAGGTGAACCAATAAGACAGCACATTTTGAAGTTCCTGGACCAATGAGGACAGAGGAGCAATGACCTACTTTGGTGCTTTAATTGGTCTAGCAACCCACCCAAGTGGTGTCTCATTGGCTCACTGCACTGCCATTCTTGTTCTATGAGAAATCCACTAAATGAAATGGTAGGCAGCTCATAGGACCCTCAACTGCTACTGCAGCACTGTATTCCTAGCATTCACTGCTGCTCCCCACCACTTGCTCCTGGCTTGCCACTATGGGCTATACTTTGAGCTCTGGGCCTTTCCCAATCTGAAACAGACATTTCTGTACTAACCACTTCCCCATGAGGTGTATTCATCATGGGCTGAAACTCTGCCCCATCCACTCAGTCCCTCATCTTCCCCACATTCGGCACGGAAGGCTTTTGCTTATACTGTCAAAGACTCCCCAGCCACATGGCGGGTTCTGCTTTCATTTAAGCAGAAATTAACAAAAGCCCCCTGCAGACCTTCTATACTTGGGGGGGGGGGGAGATGGGATGGAGCAGTTTTGGTGATATGCACCAGGGCATGAGGGGAGGTGCTTGCAGGCACACCCCTGCCTCCCATCCAAGGATGTACATTTGTGTGTTCAGGTAAAAATTTAACGTTGAAAGAAATCTCACTTCTATTCTCTCTTTATGTATTTAAGCCAGTGAAGAAAAAGAAGATAAAACGGGAAGTTAAGATTCTGGAGAACCTGCGAGGTGGAACAAACATCATTAAACTGATCGACACTGTCAAGGATCCAGTGGTAGGTCCTAGTATGTGTCAGGAGCACTGGAATAATTGGGGTTATCTTCAGAAGTGGGTCATACAGGAAGCTTAGCTCCTCACACAGGTTTTACAGTTCAAGTGTGTGTTTACTGCAGGTGGAACAGGTCTTATGTTGGGATTTTTATTGTTTAGGCATCTGCATAGTTTAAAAACCACGTTAGTTTCTGTTTTTAACAATAAGCTCTTTAAATGACCCTTTGAGTTCTTTGGGATAGATAAGGGAGGATTTATTTCTGTGTCTTGGGGTCAGAGAGAGCATTATCCAGAAGAATCTTGGAATAATCAAGAAAGCAGGTTACAGGAAAGGTGTGGTTATATCATACATATTCTCTCTTGCAGTCAAAGACTCCAGCTCTAGTGTTTGAATACATCAATAATACAGATTTCAAGGTGAGTTTTTCTTCCTTTCTATACATAATAGATTTTCCAGAAAGCCTTAGGAGAGGAAATGTTGAATCTATTGAAACACACAAAATTTATTCTTGCGGAAGAATGAATTGTGCAGTCTTATGGGCACTTTGTAAGAAACTAACTGCAATCAGCAAGCAGTCTTTCTGTGTGGTTTTTGTGGTCCATGTTCAAAGGGAGTAGTGCAATAGAAGTTTACTGCATTTCCTTGATACTCTGTCTCAATATAGCAACTGTTGCCCTGCAGCATGTAATTCCATGCTAATCTCCCTGCTATGATACTCTGTTTACTGTAGTCTTGTTGATGAGGAAAGTGGGGCCTGATTTTTACAGTGGAAAAAAGCTGGATATGAGAGTAGAGTTGGGAGGAAATGTCAAGATTTGTTGAGCATTAGGGGAAAATTTGAGACTAGGTTCTACAAAAGTGACAGTCTCTACTTGAATCACAATGGAACCAGGTTACTGGCATTAAAAATCACAAAGATTATGCAATTTTAAAGCTATGTTTTTTGGTGTTGGTTTTTTTTTTTTTTTTTTTTTAAGGAAAGCAGTCAGTAAATTGGAAGCGTTTGGTTTGCCTCATCTATGGGTGATAGCCTAAAAATCTAGGTCTCAAAATGTGATGATAGAATTTGACAGCGAACTTGTAGAAACATGGCAGGAGTTTAAAGGGACCAAAGAATCAAAGGAAAAGTTACACACAAAATTGGACTTTTGGAGGAGAGTTGGAATCTGAAGCAGCAAATGCCAACATGAGCCATAGTGAGCGTTTCAGAAACTCAATGAAACTGAGAATCTGTGGAGGATGTATTTCATTTCATTTCATTTTTATACCACTTTATATTTTTAATAAAAAGTTTTCAAAACAGTTTACAACCCAGATTAAAACATCAAATAAAACAATACAGAAAAAAAAATTACAGAAAGAAGTTAATCAGTAAGTATACATTCAAAGCAGCATAATTAAGAGGACTCTAAAATATTATCTTAAAAATTCAAAATAAAGCATTACAAAGAAGGTCAACTATAGAATGCTTCTCTGAGGTGGAGACCTGGAGTTCCTTGTCTAACTGGCAGTGTGCTGATGTGGCTGAGCTGTGCTGATCCCAATTCTTAGTCCAGACCTAGGTGTAGCTAAGAAATATTCGTGTGCTAAGTGTGCAAGGTGAAGGTTCAGAATCTTCTTATGTCATCATAGTGCCCTCTAGATGTTGAGGAGTCCAACTCCTGTCAGCCCCAGAAGCCAGTGTTTTTCATTTCACTTTTAATTTGTACACTGACTTTCTATATTGCTATGCACAAGATGATTTACATGCTGAAGAAACAACAAAATATATAGACAAAATCACATATCTTTTAACAAAAAAGTCATAATAAAATGTATGACTTTAAAATAAACAACTTATACAAAATAAGTTAATATTCTGTAATCCATTAGCATATAATAGTGCACAATAAAATTAACCATCAAAATATCAGCAAACAATAATTAAAGAAATTCACTATCAACAATAAATCATCACTAAAATATGATAAAAATAACAGCAAGTTGCAATGCATAAAATATAACACACACAAAAACAATGTAAAAGGATCAAATTGAGCAACAAAGCCACATAACTTACAAAAAATAATAATTCACCTCACCACCAAAAAACCCCACCTCTTCTCCCTTCCCAGCCATGGTCTCGGAGAGGCTGTTGCTCAGTTGGACTTGATTGAAGGGGGGGGGAGAGGCAAGGCTCTTTTGCCCTTCTTCATACTTTCTCCCCAAAGAAGCTGGTAAAGAAACTGGTAGCATGCTGAGTTGATCCATGGGGTGGGGCATTTGCCTGCAGGCTGAACCCTGCCCATCAGCTGCCATCACCCAGTGACATCAGCTTGTTGGACAAGTGGGTGTGGTTTGGGGGAAATGGAGAGGTGGGATGAAATAGGCCCAGGGGGGCAGAGATTCCCTTTCCTTGCTCTAATGCTTGCCAGGATCCTTTAATGCTTCTCTGAGGTTTGTCTGTCTTCTGCTTCAGAGATCTTGCAGCTCTGTCTCTTGACCTGCCCTTGAGTGTAAAAGAGGTTCTACAGAGTGTGGAACACAGTGAGGCCACTGCAGGGTGGGGGTGGAGGTGTAAGAATGACAGGAAAAGCACAACACTGATTTTTGCAATTTTCTGTTTTCAAATTGATTTCAGCAACTGTATCAGATCCTGACAGACTTTGATATTCGGTTTTATATGTATGAATTGCTCAAGGTGAGTATTCATGGGAAATTTGAAAGGTCACCCTTGGTTTGAATTTTGTTAAGTGGGGTTGTGTATAATTAATACCTGCAGGATTCTTTTATTATTTGGGAAAGGGAAGAACAGCACTGCTCCCATACTTCAACACTTTTTTGTGGGCAACATTATGTCTTGGTCACAGCTCCAGAATACCTCCAAAGTCCTCTGGGACTTCTTGGGCCCTGATTACCTCTTGGAATAATTTAAAGGTGTGATGTGTCTCTGTGGATATGCATAAAATTCATTCCCATCCCTAAACCCTTCTCTGTAGAGAAGGATAGACAAGTCAGAGGAAGTTAAGAAATCAGTCAGTCACACAGCAAGAGACAACCTTGGAAAACAGAGCATACATCTGGCTCTTAGTTATTCTTCAGAGGTCCTCAGGAGTCAATGGATTTTGCTTTCTGACTTTTTAGTCCCTGTGCACTGAAAATGACTCCCAAGTTCATCTCTACTAGTTTCTGCTGCCGCCTTTATCTTCTACCATCATATCATTTCTTTAACGGCTCTCAAATGTAAAGCAGTGTCTAAATAAATTTTGCTGTTTCAAAGTGTTAGAACAACTTGCAGCTTGGTTGAATTAGATTGAAATGGCCCCTTATAATTTCTGGAGTTCAAAGGCTTTATTCATGCAGGAGCAGATTTATCTTTGTAGGATTTATTTGCAGAAGAGATTAAAGAGAGAAAACAGAAGATATTGTCTCAATAAGTTGGGAGAGAAAGAAACGAAATGATAGAGTTGATTTGAGCAGAAAGGCTACAAGCAAGTGCTGGCTAGATTGCTAGAAAAACAGTACCCTCATGTGGTTTAAAATAACACATGCATTAACCAGAAGCTCAGAAGAAGGAAATGTCTTTACTTGTTTCCAACATGAAGGACAGACAAATTTTTCTTGTAAAGCCACAGGTGCTGGTGACATGCTGGAAACAGGCACCACCTTTGCCCTGGCCTTGACATATTTTTGAACCCAACTGGGATGAGCAGCAGAGGGCAAAGCAGCTGCCACCAAAAGTGCAGTAGCCTGGAGAGAAAGAGTGAGTCCTGGGCCATCTTGTTCTTGCTGTGCAACTAGGCAGTACTGCAGCTTTTAACCTCAAAAGGGGTTTCTAACTAGAGACCCACATCACGGCCCCATGTGAAAACATGAATATCCTTTTTTCAAAGCCTTGGCAGGCTTGGCTATCTCATTGTTAAGATTCCAGGAGGAAAGGTTGCTTGACCTATTTGATGGGCTTGGTTCCTTCCAAGATCTGTGCTTAGATTTAGGCTTTTGGGAGGACTAACAAAACTCTTGGATAACTACTTCTACATGGCAGTGTGGCATCCTTGCTGGGGAGAGAAACTGGCACATAGCACAGATATATTCAGCTGCTATAATTTCATCAGTGGAAAGGTTTAATTTTCCTTGTGTGTCTTTTTTAATGTTTTAATTTAGGTTTGGCATAAGTAACGAGTACATTCAGTATCTCTATTTTCAAATCGTAAAGTCTTTCATACAGGTGAATTACAATTTGAGACATTTTTGTTGTTAATTTTCCTTGTGTTGGGTGTTAATGTCTACATGTCTCTGGCAGGCCTTGGATTACTGTCACAGCATGGGAATCATGCATAGAGATGTCAAACCTCATAACGTCATGATAGACCACCAACAGAAAAAGGTAAAGACATGAGAAGAATGACCCTTGTGCTTTGCTATGGCTGAGTTCTTGATGCTGAGTTGCGTCTCTGCCCTGTTCCCCAGTCTGGTGTCTTTTAGAGAGGCCTCCATCACCAGATGCTTCAAAGATCTATCAGAATTCATGGTTTAAGCTGCTGCTGGGGGTGACCCAATTTCTTTACTGATTACCTCCCCAGTTTTGCCTATGTCTTGATTCTTAGCCATCCCCTCTTTTTAAAATGTGGGTGTAAGTAAGATTTTTTACTATATATTCTAAAGGAATATTATCACTGGCTTTGGCTTCTGTTTTAGCTTTTTTTGTTCATTAGTCAAAGCGGCTTACATAATAAAATGATTGCTTATAAAATCACAAGCTAAAAAAAGTAAATACAGCAACAGTATAACAACTGTTTTTATTTAAGAGCAACAGACAAAAGCAAATTCATAAAAGCAGTACATCAGATGTTAAAAGATAGCTGGAATGAAAAAATTCACGAGCCATTTAAAAATAGACAGCAGGAACGTGGCAGATCTCCAGTGGGAGGCTGTTACATAATCTAGGTGCAACTACTGGGAAAACCCGTCTCTTGTACCCACCTGCCTAGCTACACAGAGCTGTGTAGGGATGGAACACAGAGAAGGGTTTCTGATGCCAATCTTAAAGGCCAGGTGAATGCATATGAAAGTAGGTGGTTTCTGAGATAATCTCCTAAGCCTTTTGGGAGCTCAGTTTGACTAGGTGGCTGAAGGGGAATAAGGAGAAGCCCTTCTCTATGTAAAATGGCAGCTACAGCTAGAGTGCTGTTAGTAATGCACCACATCAGAAGGCTATAAAAATGATGGGTCCAAGAGAGCAAAGCTGCCCCTTTTTCTCTTCAGCCTCCATAACCAACCGCTGATTTTCACATACACTCAGTGAACAGCCAGGCTTTCTTTGGGCCCCTGCATTTCCTCTCCAGGCCTTCCTGACTATTTCCTCCTTCACTCTCTTGGTCTCCTCTGATGCTGCATGTAAACCAGGCAGCCTTGGATTCCTCCAGCCCGCCCGCTACACAAATATCTAACACAGTCAACTTTTGCACTCCCCACTTTGCTCTCTGAGAGTGGGAAATGGATGTAGAAAACACCTTTGTTTGGCACCTTCTGTTCATCAGATAATCTTGACAGCAATGCCCCTGCACCTTTGCAGGGTTCGTGAGCATGAGGCAGGAAGCCCGGCTTGTGCTTGGGAGCACCAGTTGTATCCTCTGCAAGAGGTTCTTGCCCTTGCAGCTGTCCTTGTGCATTAATGTTGACTGGGGCCTCCTTCCGGCTTAGCTGTGCTCTCCCACAGGTGCATGCAGCTGGTCCCTGTTTTCTGGCAGTCAGTTCACTTTCCTTTTAGGAGTCTGGTGACTTATGATTAGTAAATGAGTCATCCAGTAATACACAATCTGACCAGTACAGCAGAGCTAATTTTACAGAGTCCAGCAGATGATAGGAGCTGAGCACCATCCCGGCTAGCAGCTGTGCAAGCGCCATTTGACCAAAGTGTTGAGCAGGCTCCCTGGCTGACTGACTGCCTTGTATGTTCATAGTTGCGGCTCATAGACTGGGGCTTGGCAGAATTCTACCATCCAGCTCAGGAATACAACGTCCGTGTGGCCTCGAGGTACTTCAAAGGGCCAGAGCTCCTCGTGGACTACCAAGTAAGATTTTGTTCCTTGGTCTGAAGTGCTGGTAACTACCAGTGCTACTATCCCCTTCACCTCCCCAGGGAGGGGTCAGCAAAGATCAGTGTCTGCCAGCAAACCAGTTAAGGGTGACTCCTGGTAAGAAATGAAGGGCAACGTGGAGAGGAATCCTCAGTGGCTGCATCCATGCTAGAACTCAATGGGCTCTTCGAATTTGAGCCTGGGAATGTGAAAAAGACCCATTGTTCCTTCCTCTTTCTTGTTAATATGCCTCAGCATAAGCAATAAGATGGGATACAGGCTTGGAGGCCTAATTCCTGCTTTTGACCTCACCCATGTATTTCCTGATATGATTTGTGTTCTCAGTTAGGATTATCTTTTCACCTAGTTCATTCCTAAGTGACACAGGAGGCCAGCGTGCTTGAAAGGAGGTGACAGAATCATGGCAGATGCTCTCCCCTTCTCACAACTAGGCATTGGGGATGAATGACTGCCAAAGGTACCTTCAGGGCCAATTCTGTAGGACTCTGTGGGCAGGAAGCAAAAAGAGTCATTGCAGTCAGGCTTGATAGTCAGTGGGGGGAAATGTTATAGGGCAGAGAGATTCGTTTAAGCAGATTCTTACTTAGAAAAGAAGTGCTTTGTGTCTCTTCAGCCTCATTAATGGGCAGCCCATGCACATGGAGGGAGGATTGCTCTGCAGATAGAGCTTCCTTCCTGAACTTCAAAACAGGAGGATAGATAATTGATTACAGGATAGAAGTAAGAAAGAGAAAACCACAAGGTAAAAAATTAGTTGGAGGTATGTGGCACTGGAACAGAACCAGTAATAGGAAATGACCAGACTGGGCCTTTCTTGAGTGCTGACAATATACCTTTGATCAAGTGAATCTGAACATTTCTTGGGAACAGATGGTGTTAACTACTTTAGACAGGACCAGTTCTCTGCAGTCCGGAAATAAAAGTTAGGGTACTTTTAAAGCAGTTGTCTTTCAGATATTGGAACCATACTCTTGTATAATGTTCAAGGCTAATATATAGTTTTTAAGTGACTCGGTTTTCAAAATCCAGGTTGCAGTTGCACTTCTAGAGGTAGACGTGTCTGCAGAAACCTGAATACTCAACCTGCCCCAATTCATTTCTTTTTCTGCTCTTTTCCTCTTGTCTCCTCCCTCCCCCACCCCAGATGTACGACTATAGCTTAGACATGTGGAGCTTAGGCTGTATGCTGGCCAGCATGATCTTCCGAAAAGAACCTTTCTTCCATGGTCAAGACAACTATGACCAGGTGAGAAATTATGGCATAGAACAACTTGCAAAAGGAAGCTAGTTGTTGAACATGCCCCTCTCTCTTTCCACAGCTATCATGGCATGGATCAGGATATCTAGTCTTTGGTGGCAAAAGGATGTCCCTGTTTGTAAGATGTTCTTAAGGTTTCTCAAATTAGAAGTGCTTATTTTGAAAGCTTATGCTAAACCTTGCATTTCTACCTTGAGGCTGGCTGCACCATTGGGAGGCCAAAGCACTAAGTTTATAGGGTGGCTGGGGGGGTGTGCTTCTTCACTTGTGGATGCCTGGTTGCAGTGTTTACCTTTTCCCACTGCACAGGTGGCCAGGGAGACACCTGCAGCCAGTCTTCACTGTCATGTAGGACCTGACTATTGGCAGCTGTCCCAGAGTGGATGCAACAAAATGTGTGCAGAAGTCCTACTGTAGGGTCACTCTTGTTTGGGCAATTAATAGAATCCCAAGAGTTGCATCTTCAAGCTTCATGGCTGTAAACTACCCTTGTGATTATTCAAATAGGAAAGGGTCAAAGGAGACCTCTCTTGCTTGTTTCTTCTTCATTTGGTAGAACTCCACTGTGGTCCCTTTTTTGCTGGCACTAAAGTATGATAAGACTAGGAGGAAAGTCATTGGCATTGGGATATGATTCTGTAGCTAACCTGTGCCCATGTGGAGGATTCTTATTAGTACAGCCAGAGCTGTGCTAGTTTTCTTCTGCCCCTGTACAAGGGACACGCACAGTTCTGAAGCAGAGGGCAAGGAGTTCCCTTGAGCTGACATTGGGCCTCTGCTAGCTTCCTGTGCTATAGGTTTGGAGTTTGCACCAAGGCCTGTTCTCTAGTGTTTCAGTGTGTGTTACCAATTGTAAAGACACTAATATTTTGAGAATGCCAATAACCATGTCAGAATAAACTTTAAATATAAAAATAGTTTCCATCAACGAGGCTGAGTTCAAGAGGAGAAAAATGCAAATACAATGTGGAAATACATGAGTGTAATAACTAGAAATACGAAACATCTTAACCAGAACTACTCTACGTTGATCAGCATTCAGCAAATAAGAATTCACATTTACCCTTTGAGCTGTCAAAAATAAAATACCTCTATCCAGCCACATATGTATGGCACAAGCTCATATAATTTTATTCAAATCATTCAAGTAAAAAGGTGTTCAAGGCCCATTCAGTGTATTTTAACCTGGGGAATCTGACTCTTGCCTTAATTATTCTTATAGGTCCTATATGTTATCGTGCTTTGGCCTTTTGACATGCAACATTTGTGGAAATAAACTCCACAGATTTTGCATATAAAATGCAAAACCACAGTAGCTGCTCAAAATAAGCTGGAACTTGTTTGAGAACCATCTCACTGCGATCTTCAGTACCCTCAAGTAACTTGTCTGAAAGGCTTTTTTTAAAGTTCCAGCTTTTACATCTAATGTCCTCTTGTGCTTAAACAACATTGTGCCCTTGACATTGCAGGACTCAAGTGGACGTAGACTTGGTCCTCCTCCTGGCATAGCTCAAACACCCCTTCCATCCACAACTGTTAAAGCAGTCTTCTGTTGCTAGCCAAGGCTGAAAGGAGTTGTAGCCCAAAATGTCTGGAGGGCACCAGGTTGCCGTAGCCCGGCTAAAAGTATTGTCATACAAGTGGGTGGCTTTGAAAGGATGGCAGCTGACATGGGACATAGAAAACTACCTTTTCTTGGTCTGTCTAGCCCAAGTCTTGTCTGCTCTGACTAGCATTAGCTTTTCAGGACAATTCTATGAGTCTTAAGTCTTTGCCTGGCCTGTTGCCTGAGATCCTTTTCAGTGGTCATGGCAGGGACAGAAACTGGGGCCTTGTCCATTCCAAGCATGTGCTGAGCTGCAGCCCGTCCACATTCCTCCTTTGGGTGGAAATAGCTTATTTTAACTAGCAAGACGACTTTGGTGATATGTCTGAGACAGAGAGAGAAGATACAAAATGGAGACACTCCTCCTGCATGCCAAAGTCGTGTACCGTCTCAAGCCTGCTTGCACAGCTGGTTCATTCAGCCACGAGGTGCCCCTTGCCTCTGCCCGGCTCCTACCCATCACCCTTGCATTGGCAGCTCTTGAGCTAGCTTTGTCCCGGTGGAGCTGCAGAGCGGGTGTAGTTTTGCTTGCTCTCCTCTTTCCAGTTCAACACATCTATTCTTTCATTTCAGTTGGTTCGCATTGCAAAGGTTCTGGGTACAGATGAATTATATGGTTATCTGAAGAAGTACCACATAGAACTGGACCCCCACTTCAATGATATCTTGGGACAGTAAGTTTACTGTGGCATGTTTGTTTCCTGGTGGTGCCCAGGGTGGGAACACTAAGCATGATGTATAGGGCCTTTTCTTCTTCCCTACTGGAAATGGATTTTTCAACCCATGGGATTTATTGTATTTTGGTAACTTGTTTGTTTTTTTTTAAAAAGAAAGGGGGGGAACCCTCACAAAGCAGATTTAAAACGCACCCTATAGGTACATTTACTTGATTAGGTTGCTGATAATGGGAAGTGAAAGCCATTGAGGGGCCAAAATGTCCCTGTGTCAAATATATGAAATGCAGTGCAGCTTCTTTCTGAGTTCCTCCACTGGATCTCTTCATTTGGAAATCTTCAGGCTTTTCTACTTTGCTTACAGGCATTCACGGAAACGTTGGGAGAACTTTATCCATAGTGAAAACAGACACCTGGTCAGTCCCGAAGTCTTGGATCTTCTGGACAAACTCCTACGATATGACCATCAACAGAGGTTGACAGCCAAAGAAGCTATGGAGCACCCCTATTTCTGTGAGTATTTTGCTGGAGCAGGAGAACTGTTCAGTTAGGCACTTGTTTATATAAAAGCTGTTCGCCATTGCAAAAATGTTCGATTACATGAGCAAGGGGGAATAATTCTAGAAAACCTTGCATATAATATTCTGCAGAAGTAGGAGAATTTTCTTGGAATTTAAGGAGGTAACCTCAATTTTGGAAAATAGAAAATATTTTAAAAGGACTCAGTGTAACTGCATTCTGAAATGTTTGTATCTCTCAAAATGAAAAAGTTCTGGGATTTCAAGTCATGCTGGGCCCTGGTAACTGCTCCCCCTTTTCTCCTACAGATCCAGTTGTGAAGGAGCAGGCCCAGCCCAGCTCCGACAGCCCTGTGCTCTCCAGTGGCCTCACAGCAGCACGATGAAGTTTGGGGGAACGACGGGTAATTCCAGAGGTTTACAAATACAAACACACCCTTCAAGTCACCTAGGGAAGGGATGAACCAAACCCCTGTATGCTCTGCAGCAAGCCTCGTCTTGAAGGGGGTTAGGGCTTAGCCTCCCTCTCTCTCCAGCACTTACGGCTACCCAAACTTTCTCTCTGTGTTACTGATCCAAACAGTTGTGCCAGATTTACTTGGATAAGCGGCTGTACCCCCACGGTCTGCACGACTGGCTCTGGGTTGATTCTGCAGTTTCGTACTCTACCTTTCCCAGCCTACCATTTTCTCTGTTCTTCCGTTGGGCAACATTTCAATTTCTCCCCTCCCACACACACTGGAATGTAGCATATGCACCCCATAGAGGCAAGCTCCTGTGGGGTCAGATTCTACTTAAGTCATAAGCAAATTAAAGCCTGTAAGTGGTGGGTTTCACCTCTGCTCTCTCCAGGTCTCACCCTGGCCCTCATTTTCCTGTTTTTAAACCAGCAAGTCTTGGAAATGGTTTTGAGTCGGTCAAAAGTACATTCAAAGCAGGTAGCCATTGGGGAGAATCCTACTTCCTCCCCCTTCCATTCCCTCTGGGGAAGTGCCTGCCTTAGTTGGAGGAAAGGTCATTCTTTGAGACAGAAGGAGAGCTTCCTCTGGCGAGGCATGTTATTATCGCTAGAAAAGCCAACCTGGTCATTCCCATCACTGTGCAAAATTCAGAATTGTGTTGATTACAGCTGCTTTGACTATGTGAAAGAGGCAAAGAGGAGGTGTTTGGGCAAGGAGACCAGTGGGGAATTTTGGAAGCCAGACACGGAGGGGCTGTTCAGAATTGGTGTGCAACAATCTGCCAAGGGTTCAGATCCCTATAAGCATTTTTACATGCCCAGCCCAGTGTTGGAATTGTTGGGGTAGAATCCTCTGCTTTGGGGGAATGGTGTGTAAGATGCTCCTTTTGTTTTTCCATTGGGTCTCGTCATGAGCCCCATAGTTCAACCCCACCTTTTGGGGGGATTATATTGTGTGATTCTGGTGACTTCATATACCTAAATCCACAAAAAAAAAAAAAATTGTCGCCATGCCGAAATGCAGATTTTTTTTCTTTCTGTTACATTGTCAAATATTTAATTTTAAGTAAGAAGGTTAGATTGTTTCTATTTGAAGCATCTGTTTACATTCCACATCCCCATAACGACATGTTAGCATTGATATCAGGTCAGATCCATTTGTACAATTCACTGGAACCAATAAATCTCTCTGTGTACAAACTTGTGTTGTCCTCCGTCTAGTCTCTGGGAATTCCTTGGAAGGAAAGATCTGATTTGGGGGTTGAGGTACAATTTTGGGGGCATAGGAGGAAAGCCCTCTTGTTAATCTCTACCCTTAAAGCTTGGTAGCTTGAGTAGAACCTTGGATGTGGAAGACCTGTGTTCAGGTCCCAACTCACTGGCTGGCTTTGAGTGCAGGGTTTGCTCTCTGCTTTGCATCCCAGTTTTGATGTCCCTCTTGGACCTTTCATTTCTGATCACTTTGTTGACCACTTTCAGAGGACGTTAATGCCGAGCAGAATCTTAAAATGATGGACTCTTCCTTGTGACCTCTAATCACTCTTCCCCTAACCATTGCTCACTTCTGTTTCACCCATACATCTTTTCTCACCTCGCTGTCCTTTCAGGAAAAAATAAAGTTTTGTTGCAATTCTGCAATTAGTATTTTTTTAGAACATTGAATAGCGAGCTCTGGCTAAATATCAAGAAGTAAGTGCATGGATTAATATATTTTTTTTTAATATTCAGAACAGAGCACTCTTTACTTCAATGCAAAGTGTTTAAGAAAGCAGGTCAGCATCTCCACCTTCTATTATCTTAATTTGAATTTGTCTACGTGGTTTTCATGGCCCCCAATTTACTATTGTTTTACTTTTAAGAAAAGCCATTGTTCAAAATGCACACAAGATGTAAGACATTCTTGCATAATTAAATGTTAGATTGAATGTAGAATTCGGGGGTGGGGAGGCATACTGCCGATCCTTGTAGCTATGTTTAGCTGAGTTCTGTCAAAGTACGATCAAAACTTACTGAAAGATAGAATCATTTTTATTGAAGTACCTGATGCGTCTTCTCAGTTCTTTGATCCAAAGGCTTCAAACATGAATACAAAATTTCCTCTGCCTTTGACAAATGGGGGTAAGGTTCCACCCCACTGCCCCTTGGAGACTGTGATGGAGTCTTTTTGCACAATGTGGTGGTACTATAGCAGTAGTAGTAGGAGTAGTAATAATAATGATGATGATGATGATGATGTAGCACTTTCATACATACGTGAAGCTTTTTAAACATTAACTTGTAACCCTAAACAACAACTTTGTATGGTAGGTTATTATTATTATTATTATTATTATTATTATTATCCTCATATTGCAGGGTTGAGGCTGAGGAAGGGTGGCCTCCCTAAGGCCACTGTTGGAGGTGAGATTTGAATTGGGGTTGCCTGATTTTTGTAGCAGAATCTATTAGCTGCTTGGCGGCCTCCCGGACACTGGCATGGGAACTGACAAACCAGGTCTGTGGCATTTCTTAATGTTGTGAGTTCAGGCATGCATATCCCAGGAGTGGTGTGGCCACGAGGACCTTTGCTTCCGATTATTGAGCTTTGTGTGCATGCTTGTTACTCCTCCTGCGGCAGCCAGCCATTTTTGGACAAGCGTGCCACTTGAGTGCTCTTATGGTATGTACTTCCCTTAGTCTGCTGAGCCAGGGAACAAGAATAAGCATAAGTAGAACTCTGCTGGATAAGGTCAGTGGCCCATCTAGGCCAGCATCCTGTTCTCACAGTGGTCAACCAGATGCCTGTGGGAAGCCTGCAAGCAGGGAATGAGTACAACAGTACTCTTCCCTCCTGCAGTTTCTAGCAACTGGCATTCTGCAACCAGTTGCATAACATAGGAATGTAGGAAACTACCTTATACAGAACAGCTGTCCATCTTGCTTGGTGTTGTCTATGCTAAGTGGAGGCAGATCCATTAGGGTGACTGGGCACCACTTTAGCAACCTCAGTCTGCCGTGGTCATTGGCTCTGGCTCCACTTATTATTGCTGGTCTCCCTGCCTTTCACCCTAAGCGTCCCAATGAGCATCAGCCACCACAGTGGCTCTCCAGGGTTTCACATATGAAGTCTTCCCCAGAGCTACCTGTAGATGTTGGCTATTGAACATGGGGCCTTGGGCCTGCAAAGCAGATTCTCTACCACCAAGCTACACCCCTCCCCTAAATGAGCTGCATTTGTATAGCTACTCTTCTGCATATTTCTGGTTTTGCTGGGTCATGAGGTGGGGCAGGAGCTCTCCCGGGTTAGAGTTCCAAGCAACTGAATGCTGTGTCTTTCATATCTGCTTGGCTTTGGCAGAATCTGAGCATATAAAGCCCTGTCTTCAGCCTGTGGCTGGAGGATGTAACAAGTGGGAATGGGAAATCCAGCAGAAGGAGAGATGCATTGAGGCATGCTCTGTGCTGGGGAAAGGGATTTATGTGAAAGAGAAGTCTTCATCACTTCATAGCCTTCCATCTCGAATAGGTGGACTAATCTTCAGAAACAAAGATGGTGGAGGTACTTTCTGCTCTATCATGGATGCAGTGGTGGAATCCTAATCTGAACATTTATTGTCCTCTGACATTTTCCTTTCTTTTGCTTGCTGTTCCTCAAGGGCGTGGGGTGGGGTTGTTAGTGGTTTATTTTGTTCTTGTTCTATTATGCGTTTTGTATGTTTATCTTGTATTTTTATGCTGTGAACTGCCCAGAGATCTACAGATGAAGGGTGGTATACAAATTTAATAAGTAATAATAAAAGTCATCTCGTATTCAGGCTCATGACTATACCATGTCAGTGCCTTGGAGAGGCATAGTTGCTTCTCAGATTGGGAGCTCCTGTCAAGGCGGGTTGGCTGCACAGTGTTGAAGCCTGCCATTGGAATGCAGCGGTGTTTGACCCATCAGGCCTTTGGCCATCAATGTAAACAGTTGTCTCTGGCTTTTGTTCCTTGTGCTAACCGTTCTGGCTACACAGTGCCTCCAAGCTCCAGCTTTGCGTTTGATGCTTGCTTCCCGTCTCTTCCCTAGGTCTGTCTGGTGCTGTTCTCCCAATTTTCCATAAGCAGAACAAGAACCAAATCAAACGTTTTAATCTGCTTGTGTACAGAGATGGTGGTGTGCAGCTTCCAGATGTCGTCATCCGAGTGGCAGGTTACGGGAGCAAGGACTGCAGCAGTGGCGGCAGCTGATGGGATCGAACAGCATATAAAAACACAAACCTTAACTTCTGTCTTTGACTTCCTGTTGACCTCTTCCTGACCAAGAAAGCATGGGAAATGTGAAGGGTATGCGAAACCGCTGTTGGCTCAGGTGACTTCCCTGAACCCAGCCCAGTGTATGGTGTTCTGACCACCTGGCTCCTGTTTTGCGGGCTGGGGGAGGAGGGTGGGCCTGTGGCATGATGGACAGTTCTATATTAAGATAATTATATATTATTGAATAAAAGTTTTAAAAGTAAATGTATGGAGAGTCGTACAGATGGAAGAAGGCATGCAGTGAGGCCTCTGCTTTGGAACAGGACAAATACCATATGGGGCGGTGGGGGAATGTCTCCTTGTATAGGTCCACAGGACCTTCCACTAGACAGACACAATTTTTATTAAGTAAAACTTGAGAAAGAGCAATGAAGTTTCCTATGAATTCCTCCCATGTGATAATCATTTAGCGTCAAGGCCCCCTCTCCCTAGAATTCCTCCCTGGTCTCTTCCCCAACCCCTAATGCATGGGTAGGCAAACTAAGGCCCAGGGGCCGGATCCGGCCCAATCACCTTCTAAATCCAGCCCATGGATGGTCCGGGAATCTGCATGTTTTTACATGAGTAGAATGTGTCCTTTTATTTAAAATGCATCTCTGGGTTATTTGTGGGGCCTGCCTGGTGTTTTTACATGAGTAGAATGTATGCTTTCATTTAAAATCATTTCTGGGTTATTTGTGGGGCACAGGAATTCGTTCATTTCCCCCCCTTCAAAATATAGTCCAGCCCCCCACAAGTTCTGAGGGACAGTGGACCAGCCCCCTGCTGAAAAAGTTTGCTGACCCATGAAACAAACCAATCAATATGTAAAATGATTCACGGGATTCAGATACTCTCATGGTTGATTTCCAAAGCAGGTGGTCAAAAAATAAGTGAAAGAAGAAAGAGGGAAAGATGTCCTCCTGCTCATCATAGTCACTATCCCTGAAAATCAGAAACTGTTTCACAAATTTGCTCATTAGTGTCTTGGCATCAATCACTTGTTTTTTTAATTATTATTTTTTAATGTAGCCTCTTTCCTTTGATTCCCTTGTCATCTTATGGCTGAGCTATGCATGATGCCTAGCAATTCATGGCTGACCTGTTTGGGGTGTTGGTGCAGATTAAAGTGGAGAGGACCCCCAAAGAGCTATAAATTGCATGCAGCGGTGGTGGTGGTGTTGCTGCTGTTGCTGTGCAAGAGGCTGCTTTCCTTCCCTGGGTGGGGTGGTTGGAAGAATATAGGGCACCTGGGAAGCAGGGAAGCAGTCCTTGAGCACAAAAAGGGAAGAGCAGAACGCTCCCTCTGCCAGTGCCACATGCTAGACACTCACTATTCCCATTTCTCTGTTTCCCCACAACAAGCACACACACACAAGATCAGCCATGATCAGTCTCCCGGAGTATGTAATTTGCCTCTCACAAATTCATGTCTGAGCATTCGGGGAGCACTTGGCAACAAAGAATGCCAAGCAGGCAGCCTAGAGGGTAAAGCAGTGCCTGGACCGTAGGAGAGAGAACAGTTTTGGAGGGCTGCTTGGAATAGCCTTATTGTGAAGGAGCTCTTCTTGCTCAGTACTAGAACTCAACCTGATACTGGAATACTAAGTTGCTTCTGAGGTCTGGAACACATGCTGCAGTGCCTTGTTTTTAACTTGAAGGCAATTATTTAAATAGGGGGATCCAACTGGATACTGTTTCCCCCCAGTAAAGAGTGTGTTACTGTCTCCTTTAACACAGATAGCATTTCACCCTCTCTGTTGTCCAGACACTCCTGTTAACAGATCTGCTTGTGTGTCTATCCACACAAATAAATTAAATATTGTACAGTGGTACCTCGGGTGAAGAACTTAATTCGTTCCGGAGGTCCATTCTTAACCTGAAACTGTTCTTAACCTGAAGCACCACTTTAGCTAATGGGGCTGCCACGCCGCCAGAGCATGATTTCTGTTCTCGTCCTGAAGCAAAGTTCTTAACCCGAGGTACTATTTCTGTGTTAGCGGAGTCTGTAACCTGAAGTGTATGTAACCTGAAGCGTATGTAACCCAAGGTACCACTGTACTTGTGTTCACTGAGATACAACTTTTGTGATCCTTATTGTGGTGACCCTGTGGTTTTTGCTGTATGTCACTACAAGTTTAAAAATGCTTGGCAAGAGCTACAGATGTCACTATAACTAAAATCAGGTAGGTAGCCATGTTGGTCTGACACAGTCGAAATACATAAAAAAAATAAAAATTTGTCTAGTAGCACCTTAGAGACCAACTAAGTTTGTTCTTGGTGTAAGCTTTCGTGTGCGTGCACACTTCTTCAGATACACTGAACTAAAATGTTTGTTTACACATAACAGTGGACGGTAAGTAAAATAGCTTCATGGCTTGAAATGTCAGTACAGAAACAACAACAACAACATCATATGGTTATTTTATTTTTTAAATTAAATTTCTATACTGCCCTTCATCTGAAGATGGCAGCAGTTTACGCTGATTTGTGTGGGAAGTTCCTTAAAGATAGAGTAAGCCTACAAGCTTCTTTTGACTGGTGCAGGTGAGAACATGGCAGCTGATAAGGTGCCCTAAGCCAAAATCAAATTACCGCCCTGGGTTCTAACATTTCTAAAAACATATCTCTGTTTCAGTCCTTGCGTAGCAGTCCTAATCAAGGTTTAAGCACACATATCTGACAACCTTGCCACTTGCTTGTTGATGCTGCCCTCTTTTGCATGGGTCATGGCTGTTTTCTGTGCAATCAGGAAACAAGTGGATGTACAACAAAAAGTGGGGCAGCGTGAATATTACTGTTTGGGATTCCCAATATTCCATTCTACTCTTCCCCACCCCAATTAATGTTCCTCACATTCTACAATAACTGTTTTCATTCAATCCTCATTGGACGGTTTTGAGGTGTCTCCGCCCTCCCAGCTTTCTTTTTTTATGTATTAAAAAAATACTCCATGTTCTAAATTCCATACTAAATGATTGCAATGCACTCTATGTGGGGCTCCCTTGAAGACTACTCAGAAACTTCAACTGGTCCAAACATATTATTGGTTGGGGTTGCTTTGAGAACTCAACCCCTATTCTAAAACAGCTACATTAGCTGCCAATTCGTTTCCTGTCTTAATTCAAGGTTCTCATGTTAGCATTTAAAGCCCTAAATGACTCGGGCCCAAATAGCGAAAAGGCCACCTTGTTCTCTAGAAACCATCTCGGGTGCTAAGGTGGGCAGAAGGGCCCCTTTTCGTAGTTCCACTGCTGAGGAAGTCCAGGGGTGGCAGCAGCCCAATAGAAGACATTCTCTGTGGTGTCCCCTAAGTTGTAGAATTCCCTCCACACAGATTTGCATCTGACACCTTCACTATACAGCTTTTAGAGAATGCTGAAAACACACATCTTTAACCTGGCCTATGACACATTATCAGAATCCACCCTATTCTGGTGACTGTAACCTGTTTCAACTGTTTTAAATCCTGAATTTCAAATTGCTTTACCCCGCCCTGGGACCTGTTGGTGAAAGGTAGGTAACAAATTAGTGATAACCATAATAATAGAAGCTCTCTCCAAGTGTTCTCCAGAAACTGGTACCTAGAGGCTGTGATCCTGTAGGTGATATATAGCTATTGTGACTAATGGTCACTGGTGGTCTGCTTTTTCTGCATGCATTTTTCTACTTTCTTTTTCAAGCTATCCAAGCGAGTGATCACAATTTAAAGGCAAATTCATGGGGAGGCTGTTGGCCCATGATGGCTTCCTATGACCCCCAGGTTACAAAGGTGGTAGCATCCTGCTGGGTATCAACAGCTGAGGTTCATGAATGGGAACAAATAGGGAGGGCAGCTTTGAACTGCTTAAAAGTTTAAAATAAGCAAATCATATTTTGCAGGAAGAGTGCAGCTCTGTATGCCTACACAGAAGTATGCCCCACTGAGTTCAACGAGGGGGTTATTGAAGGTAGCGGGGTTGCTGCACAAGCTGCGTTATGCAATGAATTTCTCTGAGGTTGCTTTGGAGGTCAGCTCTCAAGGGAAGTGAGTTGGAAGTTGGAGGAAGGCAAACAAGCAAAAGAGACAAGGGAGTTTCAGACCTACACTAGAAACTACTGAATGGACCTCTCTGCACTTTTCCGATCTACGGAGTAAGCGGACGCGGTGAGGTAGTTCCCTCGTCCCGCCCCGTTGCCCAGGCAACGCGCACGAGCTGCGCGACAACACACGGCGCCTAGAGAGCGAGAAAGAGGACGGCAACTAGTCCCGTCCGGAAAGTAGTCCGTCCCTTAACGACGGGGGGCGTGGCTTCGGCGCGATGTCCGGTTGGCCCTTTGAGCCTCGCTTTAGCTGGCTGGCGGAGCGCTCTTCCAGTCGCGCGGGGACGAAGTACACAGTGAGAGGAAGCTTGTGTCCTTCCGCATAAGAATCACTGAGAAGAGCGAGAGACGCGCGCGGCGGCGGCGGCGGCGGCTGAGGAGGGAGCCCAACGCCCTCTCACCCGCCCGGCGGAACGAGCCTTCCCTACCCGCGACGCGGAGGCGGCGGCGGGATGTTCAAGAACACGTTCCAGAGCGGCTTCCTATCCGTGCTCTACAGCATCGGGAGCAAACCGCTGCAGATCTGGGACAAGAAGGTGGCGGAGGGAGCTGGTCCTGGCCTACCTGGCCTGGGGGGCGTTTCTGCGAGAGGGTTTCTAGTCCTCATGGCTGCCAGGGGGTTGGCCTTCAAGGGTTGGCCTTCAAGAGTTGGCCTTCAAGAGCTCTCTTCAGAGCGCCGCCAGGGAGAACCCCAGAGCCAGCCAGCCTCGCTTCCTCCCTCAGGCTTCACATGCTCGAAGGAAGCCCGAGCCAGGTCTGGGGAACCTCCGGACTCTTTTGGACTACAACTCCTGTCGGCCCCAGCGTCGTATTACTGTGTTTTGTTGGGGCTGATGGGAGAACAATATGGAGGGCACCTGTTTGGGGAGGGATCCTCTTAGGGGTTCCCTCCTCGTCTGTTGCCCCATTTCTTTGGAAGCCCCTCCACTGTCCCTTGGGCCCCCGACATCTTAGGGTGGTCTAGCAGTGCTTCATGCCTGGTGGTCCCATTTCCAATTGACCGGAAGCAGAAAGCCTCGTTTCCCCTTCCTACTACTGCTGAAAAGAGCCCTGTTGGATCAGACCAAATAGCTTTGCAGCCTGTTTCCCTCAGTGGCTAAGCAGATTACTCTCTAAGTCATAACTTCCCCAACTAGGTGCTCTCCATATGTTTTGGGTGCCAGTTTCCGTCAGGCCTAGGCAATGTGGCCAGTGGTAATGGATGGTGGGAGTTGTACCACATAATGTAGTGATGGTCCCTGACTTGGGCAGCTTTTAAAAAGGATTAAGCTGAATTCATGGCCAATTAGTCTAGCAATGACTACTAGCTGCAGTGGTTGTATACTGCCTCCACTATAATACCGGGCTTTCCATGGGAATATGGTTGGCCATTGTGAGACCAGGATGAAGCCTGCACTTCCAGTTCAGAAGTATGTCTTCCTGGTAGGGCTTTCAGATGCTATTTGAAGCAAGAAAGTCATCTGCTTAATTGAGTGATGTCCTATTTCATTCTCACCTTCTAGGTGCGGAATGGCCACATCAAAAGAATTACAGATAATGATATTCAGTCATTGGTGTTGGAGATTGAAGGGACCAATGTCAGGTAAAGAGGAACCACTGTCTATGCTTTCCTAATGTCCCATTGAGAATTAGACGTTGAAAAGCATTGTGGGATTGATTCCCAGCTCCAGTTTCCTCACAGAGATTTCTCCATCAAAACCACGCCAGCGTATAGTGACTATGGAAACAGCTCATTGCTCCCATCCTTGGTAACGACGGGTCTGGGATTGGAGGAGCCCATTGTGGCAATTTATCTGTTGTTATGCTTTGAATGGGCTGACTGCATGTGGCCCTCAGGCCAGAAAGGATTAGTCTCCCATGTGGCAGGAGCTTTCCCTACAGCTGTTGGGATGGAGAACCTTTCTCAGCCTGAGAGCTGCGTTCCATGGTGGGTAAACTTTCAGGGACTGCTAGAGGTAAACCTGGGCATACCAACAGAGGTGACTCTTAGTAGAGCTGGATACCTTCCAACCATGCAAAAGTTAAGAGTTTCTACACAAGCTTTTCTCAATTTTCAATTGAGGCATGGAAGAGGTATTGTCGCAGATCATATAATGCATAGGATGCATTCCTGACAGGCAAAGGCTCTTGAGGAGGGTGCAGAGCAGGGTCAGTGAGGGTTTGTGGCCTGGAGAGAGTCCCAAGGGTTGGATGAGAAGATTGGAGGGCCACATTTGGTCCCTAGGGCTGAGTTTCTCCAATCCTGCTCCATAGGGAGGCAGAAATATCAGTATATAAGCTTTTAGAGAATCCTGAAATGCTTGTAGAAATATTTCAAACAAATGGGTTCTTCTGATGCGGATCCTGCACCTGAATTTTTGAAGCCCTGGGAGATGAGATGCTCTCAGAAGGCCTGCTTCTCCTGCAAGTCGTGCAGTCTTGCTCATTCTGTTTCTCCCCCCCACAGTACCACATACATCACGTGTCCTGCTGACCCAAAGAAAACGCTGGGGATCAAATTACCCTTTCTGGTGATGATAATCAAGAATCTGAAGAAATACTTCACCTTTGAAGTACAGGTTAGTTCATGGAGCTAACACAGCAGGTCCAGAACATGACAGCATTAGTGGACAAAGTCATTGGTCTTCCCATCTAAAGTCATGAGATGGTTGTTCCTATTGTATAAAAGGTGACTTGCTTAGAGCTACTCAGTCTCTGAGATCCATCTGTTGCTCCAATCCTCGGTTCAGCCTTACTGGCAGAGTTCCTCTCCAGCACTTCAGTCAGGTCCTTGCCTAGCCTGACATTGCTTATTCTGCAGGCCCCTCCCTCCAGGGGAGCTGAAGGCAAACTGCTTAGTATTCTTATCAGTAAGGTTAGGGGACTGCAGGCTTGACATCTGCAGCCCCCCCCCCCCCGTTTTCCAACAGTGGTGTGTCTTTCTGTGTTAGGTGTTAGATGATAAAAATGTGCGCCGACGGTTCCGTGCCAGCAATTACCAGAGCACCACCCGTGTCAAGCCTTTCATCTGCACCATGCCTATGCGCCTGGACGATGGCTGGAACCAGATCCAATTCAACCTCTCTGACTTCACTCGACGAGCATATGGTACCAACTACATTGAAACCCTGAGAGTCCAGGTAAGGAGCTGTGCGTTCTGACAGCTGTGACACTTGCATTTCAGTTGCTGATTTGGGTGGTTGCCCTTGTGAAGAAAGAGCCATTGTGGGTCCCTGCTTCAGTCTCTCCATAGCTAGCGGTGGCAACTGCTGGGGTCTTCAGTTAACATGGGGGAGATCAGCATTCAGAGTTAACACTGGAAATTCTAGGCCCACAAGTGTCAATCAGCAGATTTGACTGGTTTCTTTTATCCCTGGGCCTGATCTCTCTTTAGAGGTTGTTCTGAAACACATGCATAGTATATATGTATGTTAGTATTTATATATAAAATTTCTTACCAGTCATAAAACCCAAATCTGAGACTGTACCAGAATGACTTCCTAGCTGATTCTGTTTATAGCGAAATGGAATAGCATCCATTTTGTGGTGGGGGTGGGGGCTGGTAGATGTCAGGCTGCTTTGAAATGACTGCTGCTGAAACACCCTTCTTGGGCATGCTTGACTTTTCAGATCCACGCAAACTGTCGCATCCGCAGAATTTATTTCTCTGACAGACTCTACTCTGAGGATGAGCTTCCTGCTGAGTTCAAGCTTTATATCCCAGTCCAGAACAAGGCCAAGGTGAGCAGCTGCTGGAGGATCGGGGGGAGCAGGAGTTTGCATTCTAAAAAGCGCTTGTTAAGCTAGTTGTGGGAGCAGAGACGGCTGGAGTGGAGCACTGGATTTGGAGGGCAAGAATGCATCCTTATCTTCCACCCTCCTCAAGCCAAGTCTGACAGGTTTGCTGCTGACTCATCGAATGACCCACTTTTGCCCACACAATTTGAAATCAAATAGCATGGGCAAAGGCACAGCCTGTAAAGTGCCAACTTTCAGCTAACCTTGTGAAGTCAATGTGCATAAAAGCCCCAACAACCAGATGATCGCCTGAGTTGCGAAGCCATGGGCGGCACAGTTCTTTGCATGCAGCTTTGCAGCTGCTGCCAATTCATCTGATTGGTGCTACATCTTTACCTGCCCCTCCCCTGAAGTCCTATCTCTGTAGGAAACATGGACATGGCTTGGTCAAAATGGCCTCATGGACCAAACAGGGGTGTCTGGGGGCCTAACTAGGCCCACGGGCTGGAGGTTCCCCACGGCTGCTGGAAGTGAGGGCAACTGATGCCAAGAAGTCAACTAAGAGAGCCTTATGCGTGGACTGCATGGAAACTTAAGAATTTGGCCGCTTGCAGCATAATCTAGTGTATTATTTAGTAAGCATCTTACACCACTCCTTAGCTGTCAGGTTCACAGAGCAACTGATATACATTCAAACAACATATGCTGCAATATAGCATCACTACAAAGTGGAGCAGATAAATGTCCCAATGTTAAAACGTATAAACTAGTTGATCTTAAAAGGTCTGGACCTGGTGCCTAAAGGTGAGTCTCTCTAAGGAGTGAGTTCTAAAGAAGGAATGCTATGAAAGTTGAGCCTTGGGAAATTGGATTTCAGGTGACAGTTCAGCTATGTTCTAGCAGGGGGCCTTGGACAAATCTCTTGTCTCATGCGCATGCACACACAGGCAGAGAGCCTGCTGGTGAGGGATATTGCTGCAATAAGAGAGATCTGAATGCCTTTTGAATGAATGTGAACTTTTGAATAACTGTCTTTCTCTGCATCTTTCCCCCTGCAGCAATGATGTCACATTGGGAAACACACTGAGAGAGACACTGTGAAGAGAGGTGGAAGAGTTTGTTTTTTTAAATTAAAAACAAAATTTAATGTTGATTTACATAGGGTAACTTTATTTAATAAAAGTTGGTATCTAAAATGCTGGGACACAGGACAACTAACCATGTCATTGTTTTGTGTGAGCGAGATGATGCACGATCAAGCTTGCACTTTAAAATCAACCCCAGACCAAACTTGAGTTACGGGGCTTGATCCTGAGTGCATGCAGACAACTCTGTTGGAGAGCAGTTTTGAGATCCTTGTGCCCCCGGCCCCCCTCAGATGCCAGTGGTTTTTCTTCTTTGCTGTTCATATCTTTTTTCATGTATGCTCCAAATACGTGTGGACTCCTCCCCTTCTGGAAGCTGCTATTAAATATTTGATTTTCTTTGTAAGGCTGTTCTTGGTTACTACATGCTGAAGGAGGCCTTATGCATCACAGGCTCCCTTGCAGGTGAATTGATTCCCTGTGGTATTGTGCCTGGCCTGCCTTGTCCCCTTCATTGTCAAATGTCAATGTGTGTCTCCTGCTTGTATGCCAAGGAGATAAGGAGGGATGGTAGCCAAACTTCTGAACTGTCAGATCTGATTTCTTGGGCATGAACCTCAGTAGAATCCCTTCCTCTTTCCCGGTCATGTGGTGTGCACATTCACAGTGCAGTGCACGCAGCTGATGAAGGGAACCGGGAGCATGTTTTGCCCACTTCAAAAACAAAATTCTGCCTTGGTGCTTTTAATGACTTCTGTAAAGTAGGCAGGGGAATGGCTGCATCTGAAGCTTCTCTTGGAAAGGCGAAAGCAGAAAGCCTGAGCATAGGGAGATTTGACAAGGGACTAGGCTGGCTGCCTTTCCTTGCTGGTGGCATCAGTCCAAGGAAGGTGCTGGGAAATCCGGGCAAAGTGGCCTTCTTGGGGGGGGGGGCACTTTCCAGAAGCCTCAGCCTTACAGATATTGTTACTAAACTTACTCCCCTTGCTTCACCAGGTCACAGGGTGGGTTACAGCAATTGACAATTCAGTATTAAAGCAATTAATGCAAATTACAGTCACAATAATAGGGTGGCTCCTCCAAACACACATCTCTGGTATCAAAAGAGGTGTGTCTTCATAATTCCCTGAGACTATAGTGAAGGTGCCAGGCTCATCTCTGGGGAGGGAATTCCATAATTTGTTGAACTTCCATCAGCCTCAGTAGGCATGGCCAATAATGAGGGAGGATGGTTGTTGCAGCTGTGGAACATCTGGAGGACGACAGGCTATCCACCCCTTCTCTAAGTAGGCTGGGGAGAGGTTCCTGTTGCACCGAAGAAGTACCTCTGCTAGACCTTTGCCCTTTTTGAGTTTCAAACTTAAGCAGGGGAGGTGCTCCCATGACTCCCCATCTGTCAAAATGCAAGTGTGGGCAGAGTTGCCACCCAGCTTGCCTCATGATGCCCTTTATCTTCCGCTTCTTCCACTTAGCTTAAAATGAGTGACCTAAAATAACCAGAACTCTGAGCTGAAGGATTGTTGACGGTCTGTACTCAGTGAGCACAGGTAGTATTGCTGGCTGGTCTTTCAGACCAAAAGCCAAGAGTGGGCAGGAGGCTAATACATTTGTTAGGATCAACCAAAACATCACAAATTGCTTTAGAGATGGCCAGAATGTTTCCATTCACACACACACATGAGGAAGTTGTGCAGCAGTTACTGTAAATCCTGTAACACTAAATTGTGTACCTGTCTGATGATGTGGCTGGACCAGAATAGATCAGCTTGAAGAACAGCAACAGAAGCCCCCTCCCTTGGTTTTGTCCTAAGGAGAGCACCATGACTTCAGCAGTGCCTGCCGACAGGCCTCCAGCATGCATGTGGTGGTGTTCCTTTCACTTCCAGCAGGTGTTGCTGTTGTGTTTCTAAACTCACTGTAAGGTACACTGGTTAATGGAGGAGCAGTCCTGAAAGGTCAAAATCATGGGCGGTTCTAGGGCCTTGCGTTGTAAGGCTTGCCTTCTGTCAGACCTTGGGGTGCTGAAGGTACATGGATGAAGAGGTTTCTGCTTTGACTGCTTGACTAGTGGTGACCTATGGAGCTCTTGTGGTTCCATGGATTTCCTCTGTAAGGAACACTAGCAAGAACTATGTCAATCCAGTAAAAAAAGGAGTAGCTCACAGCTCCTGCAGTTAGTAAAAAATAGCCCTTTTATGTCTCTGAGTGACTTATAGCACTAGGGTGGGGAGACCGGTAAGTACACAAATCTTGGTTAGCTGAGAGTTTTAATGGTGTGGAAGTTGGGGCGCATTGTGAGGGTCTTGCCCCCAGGTGAAGCAGCTGTGGACTTCCCTAGGTGGACAGATTTGATAAGTGACTCTCTTTGCTTTTATTCTGTGTCAAGTCCTAGATTGGTCTCTAGAGACTCCGGAGGGCAAGTCCTTCCAGGGCAGTGGAGGTTTTAATAGCTGAAAAGCTTCCACATGCTGATAATTTGAGGCGCTGTCCCTCCTCCAAAAGAACCAGGGCCTCCTGTTGCAATGCCAGACCCACCTTCAGTTGTCGCCAATCCCTGGAGCAGAATGTGGCAGTTTTCCTCTGCATTGCAGCATTGAGAACTTGGTTGTTCTATCTCCTGCCAATGTTCTGGATAATCCACTCAAGATAACTTCTTGCTGGAGATGCTGCCTCATCACCACATTTGGAGAGGGAGCAATTTTCTCCCAGCCTGCAGACACAAACACCTGCTCCTTTCTACCACAGTTCTTGCTTGGTTCTCTTCTTAGGGCCTGCTGGTTGTTGGGGTATACCTGCAGACAGCATGGGTCAGTCTGGGCAAGTGGAAGAATCCCACTGTCCCAACATTAAATCTGTCTGCAAGGAGTGAGCACTGTTTCTAAGGGGCCCCGTTAGCCAGAACAAGTGGAGCAGATATGCCTGTGGATGCGCACAAGGCACCAATTGTCCTATCTGGTGTTGCAACTCTCACAGGGCAGCTCCATCTCAGCAGCTTCTCACTTCCTGGCCCCTCCCCACCCCCTTCATTCACTGGACAGCAGCCAGCCACAGATGGCCAGCCAAGCTGGGATGCCCCTACTCTCCTTTTGTCAGATTGCCCATGTCTTAAGAGGCAGACAGTGCCCGCTGGGTAGGGGCTCTTTCATGTGCAGGAGAGGGAATAAAGGGGGTCTTTATTGCTCAGCGGCAATGCATGAGCACAAGGGTCTTCCCTTTTAAATGGGCTTTCTGGTGTGCTATTTTCTGCTGTAGACACCAGGCTTGCTTGGATGGCAGAGATCCTCTCCGAGGAGTGGGAAATGACAAAGGCTGCAAGTGGAAAGTGGGAGCTGTGTGCAAGGAGCGGGATTCAGCCCCAGCCAGCAGGTGTTGGGTTTCGAATTTCCCAAAAGCCAGAGATCCCTCTTCACATAAAACTACTATCTTGGAAGGGTTTTGCTCCTAACAAGGCAGCACAGCCCTATGAAGGTGTCTGACTGTACTGGCCCCAGGAGCTACACACCAGGCACTGGCTATCTGCCTGCAAAGCTATAGGCTTAGGGGCCCAGGACTCTGCCTGTGCTGCAGACCTTCCTGACTCTGTTTGGTGAAGCCTTTGGCATTCAGGCACCTTAAGCCCTAAGTTGGCTGAGTCCTTTGCATGCAGACTAATGGCGACCCCCTTGACATTGCTCCACAATCAAAATCTTACTGTCTCGCCTGCCATTTGCTGACTTGCACTAGTGATGAGTCAGAGGGAACAGACAGGCTGTTCCTTTGGGCAAAATCTTCCTAGGGCATGGGAGGCAGGTGGTTGCTGAAGCCATGCAGAATCGGCAAATCCAGCTGAAGCAATTTCTGCCTCCCTCATCCAAGTGGGATTCAAAGGCAAAGAGATGCTGCCTCTGCAAAGGGCGTAGAAGTTGCACCAAGCAGCTGGCATCATTGGGATGGGGAATCACCAATCTGTTTAAGGCTGCTTGCCCCAATTGTGCATACCTTGATTTCATCCATGTGACATTTCTTTAACTGTTTCTCTTTTGAATGATAGTCATATTTTAAAATCTCAGCAGGTCAATGCACAATAAACAACCTTGGTGCCTTTATACTATTTGCTGTTAAAATGGATTGGCAAAGTCAATGGCCCATTGCCATTGCTTCATTTAGTGTCCTAGCACTTAGTCTACAAATAAGAACTTTTAAAAATGCTATGTTGCCTGCAGTGGTTGTGCCTCAGGAGGATTGTTAGTGGCAAAAGATCTCTGCGCATTATGCTACACAGCCTGCTGCCCTCAAGATGTTTTGGACTACAATTCCCATCAGCCCCAGCATAATATGACCATTCTGCTAAACCATCTTGTTGATGGTGGTGGGGAAAACAGGCTGTTCAGCTGCAGGTCAAACACCCCTGCTCTGTCCCTTTGTCTGCTAGCTGATTTGAAAGTGCTGCCTCCATAGGAATGATGGGAGTTGTAGTCCAAAACCTTTGGAGGACACATGGCTAGAGAAGGTCTAGTTGCTATAAGTATGCTAGTCAGTAGTTTACAATCATGCCACAAAGGACCAATGATTGTGCACAAACGCATTCCACGAAGAACAGGAATCAATTTTGGGACAGAATCACAACTGCCCATCTGAAATACACATCATAACCAGTGCCGAGTGCTTCCCTGCAGAAGAAGCAAAACCTCAAGGATCCACACTGCATTTGGCAAATTGGGTAGCAATTAAGTGCCTAATTTTGTGCTATAAATTGATTGACTGGAAATCAATGCACCTTTTTGCTGTGGCTGCAATCTTCTAAGCAAGCCAGTGGTCCTTGGAGATGTGCTCTTGGAATGATCCTGTTGAGGCTTTCATGTAAATTATATTCTGTTGGAATCAGGTGAACCATTTTTCCGGAATGCATCAAAGCTGGCTGGTGTGGACTTTTTTGCTTCTATAAAGAAAAGTATTTGGGTTGCAGTGTGGAGAGGATCATCTGACAGGCAGGCACAGCAACAGAACATTTTCTACAAGGCCAGTTCCACTCAGCCAGTCTGATGGGAAGTGTTAGGGCAGGACATGCAATTTGCGGATATAGTCAAAGCCCCTGGGCATGCTCTTAATGAGCTTTGTTCCAAAGAGCTACTGTTCCCACAGCAGCAACAGGAGGAAGGGAAGGAGGTGCTGTTATCAAATAGCCCATGATCTCACATCCTCTTCTTCAGATGGTCAGAGTTCACCGCACAACAGAAGCAGCGTTTCAGGAGGCAGAATCAATAATGAACGTATCTTATCAGCCTCCTAATGGGGTCAGGCTCATGGCTCAGTGCCTTCCTGGATGGAAAGAAAAATCTAATTTGCTTGGCAGTTTCAGGAAGGCAGAAGCAGCAGCTGTGATGCAGAGCAACAAGCAGGCTTTAATTCTGATGTCTCCAAAGCAAAG